CTAATATCAGATGCATTAAAGTCTCCTATTATCAAGCATCTGGTATTTGCACTCCAAAGATGAATGTGCTCTAAAATAAAGTCATCAGATAGGCAGATCGGACTGCGATAGATGACACCGAGCATAAATGTACTACATCCGATAGCCAATTCATAGCTAATGACTTCACAAGTACCGCTATCATGGGATTCGCTAGCAGAGGAGTGGATGTTTATATTATTGGCTATATATAACAGGAAGCCACAACTTTTCCCACATTTATGTCTATCATTCCTAAGGTAATGGTATCCGCATAATTCTGGAGTGATGTCTAAGCCATAGACTAACGTAGTTTCTGTCACTGCTACAATGAGTAGCTCTAGTCTGTCCACTAATGCTTCTTTTTCATAGAACTTATTTCTTAGATATAAGACTTCTAAGTAGAACGGCCTGTCCACACAGGTCTTGATAGCATTCGCTTCCAAGACCTGACTAACCGAAAACCCACTAGCCGGAGATTTTCCTCATCGTTCTGCCGACGGGTTTCTAGTCCAGCTAGTGCTCTCTTCCTGACCTGAACTCCTTTAGTCCTCAGTATTAAGGATAACAGGTTGATGAACCTGTGCTAATCCTGACAGATTTTATTCCAGTGAAGGTTCAGTTTCTCCTTGCATATATTCACTGATGGGGCTGATAGCACTTGTTCGGGTAAGGTGATCCAATCATTGACTACTCGATAAGAAAAACGGAACCGCACTTTAAGTTTATTAGATCATGGTTTATGAACACTCTCGCTATGACCTTGGAGATTATTAGTGCTGAAGGGAGGAAAAAGATAAGACATATTAACACCCAAATCATAATTAAAGATACGAGATGCCAGTATGAAGTTACCTCGCGTCCTACGATACGACAAGTGGAAAAGGTTTAGTCGTTTTAAACGCTCATCGTAAGGGAATTCAGAGATACCCTTCACTAATTTCGGGCCAGTTGCTTGGACACAGTACTCTAAATGTGGTCTTACATAGGTGGAATATAAAATTCGAAACGTTTCCTCGTCAAAAGATTTGAACGCTCGGTGAAGTGACCATAACGCACAAAAACCTGTGACCGGCTGCCCTGCAATGCGTAGTTCTTTTTACGTCATGACTTATTATTACTCCTAAGTCTTTATGCTCATGAATGCATGGAAAAGGTTTACTATCAATAGTATGATGGCAACTATTACAGTGACCTATGTGCATTAGCACACTCCTCCTAGCATTGATTTCTAAGCCCCAACCTCGAGCCCATGTAACTAAATCGTCTAAGTCAGGTTGAAGATCTGGATGATCAGCCTCACTTTTTATTATTCTCCAGATTTTTACGTCATCCGAAACAATAATGACGACTTAAGCAACAGCGGTCACTCATTAACGTAGAGAAGGAAGAGCGTCCCATTGACCCTCACTCTCTGTCTGCGGTCACATAAGAAGTTTCCTATCCACTCCTGTACAGTACCTATTATTCCGAAGCTCGTAAGCTTCTGCATAAGACCTAAGTGTGAAACCTTGTCAAATGCTTTGCCAAAATATCACGTCGACAGATAGGCCTTTATCTAAGGCTGCTGTCCAATCCTCTCTCACAATAAGTAAGTTAGTCAAGCATGAAGAATTGTTACGAAATCCATGTTGCTCAGGAGCTAACAAATTGTGTGAATCTATGTGGCTTAGCAACGTAACCCGAATCATTTTTTCAAGTAACTTAACGACAATGCTACTTGGACTGACAGGCCGGTAGTTAGATACGATCTGTCTCTGACCATCCATAAATATAGGGCTGACTATAGCGTCTTTCCAATCTCTAGGGAGTTGAGCTAGTGAATGGGACATGTTGAAGAGTGTCACGAGCTGTTTTGAAATAATGTCCGCAAGAGATGACAGCAGCCGTGGATGTAACCCGTCAGGGCCCGGTATCTTACAAAGTTTCAGGTTGGTTATCAACGGAAGGACAGTTTGCGCAGTCACCTGTACAGATTCAGTGACTGGTATCTTGTTGTGAGGGGGACATGTATTTGTTACAATAAACGTAGAATAGTTTGAAAAGTCTCAGCTTTTGCCCGATCTGATTCAGCTAGTAAATCTGAATTTTCGTGTAACAGTAACGACAGGCATGAAAGAAACATTGACTTCAACGAGTCAAGAGGTTCTGGGCCTCAAGAAACACCATCATAAGGAACGGACCTCTATAGAAACACTGGACAAGATCAAAGAAAGGAAGAACACGCAGACAGCAATTAACAACAGCCGAACAAGAGCAGAGAAAGTCCAAGCGCAAGCTCAATACATGGAAGCAAACAAGCAAGTGAAGAGGAGCATTAGAGCCGACAGGAAGAAATATGTGGAAGAATTAGCAACGACGGCAGAAAAAGCTGCTAGAGAAGGAAATATGAAACAGCTTTACGATACAACGAAGAAACTAACAGGGAAATACAGTAAACCAGAGAGGCCGGTAAAAGACAAAGAAGGCAAGCCAATCACTGAAATTCAACAACAGCGGAACAGATGGGTAGAATACTTCGAGAAGCTCCTGAATAGGCCGGCTCCAATGAACCCACCAGACATCGAAGCAGCACACACAGATCTTCCTATAGATATCAATCCACTAACAATGGAAGAAATCAGAATGGCCGTCAGACAAATGAAGAACGGGAAAGCAGCAGAACCCGACAACATACCAGCTGAAGCACTGAAATCAGACATCGAAGCAACCACAAGCATGCTTTACCCTCTATTAGAAAAGATTTGGGAGGAGGAACACATGCCGATGGACTGGAAAGAAGGACACCTTATCAAGATTCCAAAGAAAGGAGATCTGAGCAAATGTGGAAACTACAGAGGCATAACACTACTGTCAATACCAGGGAAAGTCTTCAACAGAGTGTTGCTGAACCGGATGAAGGATGCAGTATACGCCTAATTTCGAGATCAACAAGCTGGATTCCGTAAGGATCGGTCGTGCACAGACCAAATTGCTACACTACGGATCATCGTTGAACAATCAGTTGAGTGGAACTCGTCACTATACATCAACTTCATTGATTATGAAAAGGCATTCGACAGTGTAGATTGGAGGACATTATGGAAACTTCTTCGACACTACGGAGTTCCTGAGAAGATTGTCAATATTATCCGGGACTCATACGACGGACTACAGTGCAAGGTTGTGCATGGAGGATAGCTGACAGACGCATTCCAAGTAAGAACCGGAGTCAGACAAGGCTGTCTACTATCTCCCTTTCTCTTTCTTCTGGTGGTCGACTGGATTATGAAGACCTCGACATCTGAGGGAAAACACGGCATACAATGGACAGCTCAGGACCAATTAGACGATTTGGACTTCGCAGATGACCTAGCCCTCCCATCGCGTACACACGAACAGATGCAGATGAAGACAGCCAGTGCAGCAGCAGTCTCAGCATCAGTATGCCTCAACATACTCATGGAGAAAACCAAGGTCCTCAAATACAACACGGAGAACAGCAATCCAATCACACTTGATGGCGAAACTCTGGAAGATGTAGAGTCCTTCACATACCTGGGAAGCATCATCGATGAACAAGGAGGTTTAGATGCAGACGTAAAGGCGAGGATTGGCAAAGCCAGGGCCGCATTCCTTCGATTGAAGAACATATGGAACTCAAAACAACTTTCAACCAATATCAAAGTGAGGATCTTCACCGGCCGGATACCATCAGCAATAGCCTTCTGTGGGAGAGAACAAACCAGATTCCAGCTGAAGAAGAAATTAGGAAAAGACGATGGAAATGGATAGGACATACATTACGCAAATCGTTGAACTACTGAAAGAAGGCGAAAAGAGGAAGGCCAAATAGCGCATTACGTCGGATAATAGAAGCAGATATGAAAAGGATGAATTACAACTAGAAGGAGCTAGAAAAGATCGCTCAGGACTGGGTTGGATGGCGAATGCTGGTGAGCGGCCTATGTTCCTCCACGAAGAGTAACAGGCGTAAGTAAGTAAGTAAGTAACGGTGTAATACCATCACTACGTTTTATTCGCCGTTCAACATACGAAAACAAACGTTTCGAACAGGTGCGGCTATCAAATACCACCTTTCGATCGTAAGTAGTAAAAGATTTGGCTATGGTTTTCTTACAAATATTCCTGAACTTTTGGTACTCCTACTTAAATGATGTCTGATCTTTCAACAAGAATAAGTCCCAGAAGTGTTTCCTACGCTTTTACAGCTTCCAGGCTTCCTTATTAATCCATGTAGGGCAATGTGATAGCTTACGCGCTGACCATGGGATAAACAGCGATGTTACGGACACGAACAGAGCCTTAAACTTAGTCCATTCGTTTTCGATCGATCCATCCGCGTCGACCGACATTCAGAGTTATCTGGTAAGATACTACGAATATATTCTCCCAGCTTCGCTAAATCATGCGCTTATCTAATTTTGGGATCACGGTCGTTTGACTCCAGCAATTCGCTCACCTGCGTACTGCCTACAGCTGTTATACTTTCGTTTCGTTTTCTCCGGATTGTAGTCCATTTTTCATCCCTCAGGACACTGGGACTATTTGGAACGGTGACGGTCTTATCCAGATCTTCATTTTCCACTAGAGAAACATGGTTACCAATGTCAGTGTCAGGTAGTACTACCGTCTCAGTAATGTTAACAGAGATTTCACTTTTTCGTCAGTCAAAGTCGTTTGTTTAAGGCGTCTCGTAACAGCAGGTACTACACTGACGCATTCGTCACTGTCAGTGCTCGTGTTATCATCGTTTTCTGTCTCATAAACATAGATATTTGTTTGGAGGAATTAATACTGAGCTGCTACAAGAAACAATATTACCTGGAATAAAACGTCACCATATTCCGTTCATAACTATTTAATGCTTAGACACGAGAGCACGAAACGGATTGGGAATTGAAATGAAGAGCAATCGGCAAATGTTTGCGTTACCTTGACTGGGAGATCTCTATGCATTTCTATGGCTAAACACAATAAGGATGAGCGTTAGTAAAAGGAAGTTCACACAACACATCATACCCAACCCTCAAACCTCTAAATACAAAGATGGTTCGTCAGTGGGAAATAATGAACTCGCTGAGCAGATGGTTTGAACTTATGTTATTATTAAACTGATTTATTTTAGTGGTGTTCATCTATTTCTATGCCGATTGACTACGAGGAATATGTTACAAAAAATAAGGCACTCATTGTTAATGACCCATACCGGGAAACTGTACTTTTTCCTCAAGACGATTTGAAGGTGACCTTTTATGAATATTTATAACTGTTTTGCGTTGCTTGGAGCTCACTTGTTTGGTAATAAATGTATAAAATAGTAAAATCCCGTCAGTTAATATTTATCATTGGTTAGGACAGTCGGACACCACTTTGTAGACACTTATTCAGTCCCAAAATTTTTAACTACTGAGTTGATAATGGCTGATTTCTCCATACATCTAGTTTACTGACACACAGCTACTTGTCTATTTAAAATGAATAATCCTCACAGTCCTCACAATTCCAAACCCGGGATATTTGTGATAAGCTTGAATTGAATTGGTGGTCACTTGTCTAATATGTATGCGGTAAATATCTGTTTTTGCTCTTCAATACGAACTCCTAATTATTTGCAAACCAGTGAAGCAATGCATGATAGATGTTTAATGTGACTTTGAAGTATTTTGACAGGAACAGGGAAGTACCGATTTCTTTGGGGTTTGTGTTTCATGTGATTAAGTTTATGAAGTTCAATATTTCTCTCGGAACTCAGCTTCTTCTGATAGCTCTCAAAATCTCTTCATAGTATCAGTAAAAAATGTAAGCGTTTATAATTTTTCTTTAGAAGTAGCTCTATGTGTGTCAGTCACAGGGTATGACCTTTCATTCTATGTGTTGCATATTTTCCTACTGTTGTAATAGTTTGGGTTATATGAAAGACTGGGAAGTGACAGTCATGATAATCGTAAAGTCTGGTATAAATATACATCAGCTCAGACTGCTAAACCATACATTTGAGGTGTACCATGTGAATCTAGAAAGTCTAGTTATTTAACAGCTGTCTACTAACACATTACATAATCGTGATAATCGGTTGTCTGTATTCCTTTTACCCATTAGTACTGTTGATATTTATCAAACTTTCAAACATGCTAGTCCGTTCGTTTCATATGGCTTTATGTATTCGTGTAGTTCGTGCTCGTATCCCTCATTTGTTGCCTGTCCAACCAAAAAATTAGGTTTGTAAGCAATCTGGTGTACCATCCATAATGTTTCGCTAGATTTGTGTATATTGATCTACCCATGTATTTCAGGTGATCAGAATTCCTCATATTCATCGAACGTTGAGCAATGTTGTCCCTGAGGCTGCACTTAAACATGATTTATTTACTTCAAATTCATTGGCACGCCATGCAGTATCGTTTTTTGCTACAACTGAATGGAGCTATATTCAACAACTATCTTCCATTTATTGCGGGAATTTTCTCTCGCTTCCATTTAAGAAGTGAGGTCTTCCGTTTTGAATTTTTACGTTGTTTTTGTGAATGTAAGATTAATGTATAGTTCATTTTAGTCGTTAGCGTTTTTATCGACTCTTATGTTTATTTTATACAATAGTAACAAAGCACCTTCGTAAACGAAGGAATTCGCACTGTTATCTGATAATATTTGAGAGTGGATTTAAAACTATATTTGTGTGGAACTTGCTAATTAATCTTGTACACTTTACTAAAAGAAATTAGTTTGGCTAATTACAAATGAATTACTCAATTTTATTGGGGAAATGTCCAAGTTGTTTGTTTATTAAAATTCACTAATTGCGGTATGTCTTCTGATATTTTACTTATTTAGTCAAGTGGTTTATGGATCGGGATAATATAAACTCACTCATGGTTAATTACTTGGCCTTATGTCATTCTGGCTGAAGTTTTGTAAATGTAGTTGGGAATCCGTCAGCTATCGATTGTGTGAAAAAAGCACGAATACAGTTGGTGGATTTTATTGTTAGTTGTGTTAAGGACCGTGTTTTGACCTGTCAAATTCACCTGGTCGAGTGATTAATTTTACCACCATGAAAGTTTAGATTGCAACTTACAGGCCTTGGGATAGAAGTATAGCTTGTAAATCAACTGAGTAATTCTGAAGTTGGGCGTAGTGGTACTGAGTAAATATAACTATTCGGTTGGTGAAGTGGTGACTTTTCATCCTCTGAGGTGGTTAGGACGTTTTACGTATACCCAACCATCACCTATCTCGAAACAATAGTGGAAAGAATGAGGATGCGTTTTAAGAAAACTAAGAGTAGTCACACCGATACATGGCACTAGACCATAAAATCACTGAGTGTTGGTCTGGTAGATGCAAACGCCATCATTAAGGACTATGAGACCATCACGGCCAGTTATTTTAAGTGTTGAGTTACATGTCTCAAATTGGTTTCAGTAGTGCAGGTTTATTCCTTCTTTGTTTATCTTTAGATCCTCAGTTTTTAATTTATTGCATATTTAACTTATATAAATTCGTGCTCAAACCATATGCTGTGTTTCGAATTTCTTCTGCTATCACTAATGGGACTGCCTCTACTCTTACTAATTTCGTATGCATACTATTCTTTGAAATGGATAGTGTTTTGCACTCAGAACAAGCTTTGACATTCTCTTTCGTTAGTTTTCAGTTGTCTTATTCAGTCTTTTTATCTATGAAAAAACATTTCTAACGTTTCGTAGTCAATCAGTTTGAAATATTTATGTCCAATATATATTCGATGTTATTAAATTTTGATGAACATGTCTTTATCATACAACCGAACTGTTTTGATTACAGTGATATCGATGAGTTAGGCGGAAAATTATCCCAATATTGGTTCTCAATTGATCAGTCATTATCGAATAAAGACAGTCTCAATCATATTTCAGATTCCGATCATCTATCAACTAACATTGGCTCAAAAATAAGAACAGCTACAGGATTTCAAGTTCGTAGTCGTCGGTCAGCCACAAGTGGTCTTATGAGAACTGGTCAAAGTGTTTGTGAAACAGCTACTTCTAGTTCAGATTGTCGATTTGCAGGAAATTTTCAACCTAAAGATCATTTGAAATTGGAGCGAATCAACTCAGATACCAGTTTAATAAAACGTGGCAGTAAATCAAAGGATATAGAAGAGACTGATGAAAAATCAATCAATGATATTACTACAAATTTGAGTCTTAGTGGGAAACAGATTGAAAATGGAAAGTTTTCAGTAAGTGTATTATTTAACGTCTCTCTCTCCCTCTCGAAACTACCTATCAATCTTTTTTGAAATTGTTCTGTATCGTTGTTATTTATGTTAAGTGTCCTTTTGATTATCAACAGTTTGTTGAATTTTTGAACGAATGATCTAATGTATTGTTCCGTTTAAAATGAGTGATCAAAGTCGTTGTATTTGTATTTTATCTTTCTCATATTTGTCAGTAAGTTATATCTACAATGATTCCTGAAAATGTATAGTTTAGGTGCAAATAAGTTTGATGTTCTGGTGTCATAGATTCATGTACTAGACCTAGCTGTGATACTATTGAGTTGTTTAAAACTTCTAAACATTCTTGTGTTTAAAGTTGAGTATCCATCATATAGCGGCGTAATTCATTTGCACAAAAATTCAGCTTGTAAGTAATGAATTATAAAACTCAATACACTGCTCTTATAGTGATTGAATCAAACTAACAGTATTGTTATCTCATAAGCTCATAGATGATAATGTATACTACGTTGGAAATATAACGTTTGTTGTTCAATTACTTCGATTCTATTTGCACAATTAATTGTATTGCAGAAACTTGTCAATCTGTAAACGGTAACCCATTTCATGATTTCTAATCCAAAGAATTAAATCATCTTAGGAAATGACCATTGTGACACACTACGGTATGTCATAAAATTCGACTAGAAAAGTGGATAGGAGCGGGAACTTCAATACATATTACCACCGATTTTGATCTGTAAGAGATAGTTGAAGTAGACCTGTTTGTAATTAGTTTTGGTACTATTTGCATTTTTCATCACTTCTTACAATTACTGTTATCGCCTGTAAAATTGTCGTTTAGAATGCATAACCTTTGACCTTCCATCCCGATTTGTAAACAAACATAGAATGAACCATTGGCCATCGCTCACAAATACTCTGCTGCACACATGGGCTGTGTCTAGTTTCTGGACAGATCAATCTGTCCATTCTTCTTTAACCACATTTTCACCTTGTCACTTACTTATTGGTTTATTTATTCTGACTGTTTTCAGATGAGCGTATATGTGTTGACTGCTTATCCCATTCATTATATGCTTGTAACTTGTTTTTGATCTGACTATATAAATATTGAATAACGCTTGATTAAATTGAGTTGGCTCACATGACTCTTTCCACCCTCGACCGTATTAGGGTATTTGAAGGCTAATAATAGGAACAAATATTACAACTTAAATTGATATACATTTTCATCAAACCATACATTATTATTTTCTTTGTCTTCTATATGTATATTATGCATGACAATGTTAACAAATTACCAGTCTATGGGTTGTGGAGATTGTTAAGATTTTTGATCGGGATCATAAACCGATTGGTGTTGAGGTTGATGTTAGGCATTAACACCATTGGATGCCGGCTTAATGGTCCAGTAGGTTAAGCATTCGCGTGCGAGACCAAAGGCCCTGAGTTGGAATCCCGCCAGCGGGATCATGGATACTCATTGATGAGGACGAAACGGCCATCCAGTGCTTCCAGGTTTTCAATGGTAGTCTAACATCAATCGGTTCATGATCTCAATCAAAAAACTTAACAAATTATCATTGAACTTATTGAAAGATGGATCTATGAATTTTCGCTTATTTTATTTTTTTTTAATTTTTATTATTTAATAGTCTACTTATTTAGAATGTCAACTTATGTTATGTAATCGTGAAAAATATCAAGATTATATTCGTATTCTAGAAGGTTTACTTTCTTCTGGTATAAATAAAAATGTTAATAAAACAAAATCATTATTTAAAAATTATATAACAAACTATTATTGTTTAAGACAAATACAAATTGAAGAGCTATGTGATAATGATCGACAAAAAACTTCATTAGAATCTATTGGAATAATTCGAAATTTATTCGTTGGTCTACATGTTATAGCACCTTGTGATTGGCGTGCATCAAAAGTGTATTCATCATCTTATGAAAATGAAAATATTATATATTTAGGTAAATTTTATTATTATTATTATTATTTCAATAGTTGAGATCATGAGTCAATTGAAGCTAGATCACCATAGAAAACCTAGAAGCACTGGACGGCCATTTCGTCCTAGTATGGGACTGCTCAGCAGTGCGCATCCACGATCCTGCTTCTCAAGATTCGAACCAAGGACCTATCAGTTTCGCGCGCGAATGCTTAATCATGAGACCACTGAGTCGGCATCCAACGGTGTTAATGTCTAACTTCAACCAATCCACGAAGTTGCGCCACCGTACACCATTGTCTTCAGTGAGTTGATATCTCACAACAGACCTGGTTGAACTCCACTGGTAACGGCTTCTCACTAGAACTCCAGGAAATGCCTCTTCAAGTCAGTCACCAGTGAGCAGATGATTATTATCAGAAGGTGTTTTGTGGAGATTTTTACAAATTTCAATAGTTGAAATCATGAGTCAATTGAAGCTAGATCACCATAGAAAACCTGAAAGCATTGAACGGTTGTTTCATCCTATTGTGGGACTGCTCAGCAGTGTACATTTACATTCCCGCTTGTCAAGATCCAAACCAAGGACCTATCAGTTTCGCGCGCGAATGCTTAAACTTGTGACCATTGAACCGGCCAGCTATCCAAATGATATTAATGTCTAACTTCAACTAATCCACGAAATTGAGCGATACATCCACCATTGTCATCAGTGAGTTAATATCTCACAACTGATTCGGTTGAACTCCATTGGTCACTGTTTCTCACTAGAACTCCAGGATGTACACGTTGAAGCTAGTCACTAATAAGCATATGTTGATTAGTATCAGAAGGGGTTTTATGGCTATTGTATTAATTTCAATAGTTGAGATTATGAGTCAATTGAATCTAGACCACCATGGAAAACCTGGAAGCACTGGACGGCTGACCGTTTCGTCCTATTGTGGAACTCCTCAGCAGTGCGTGTCCGCGACTCCACCTTGTGGAATTCGAACCCAGGACCTATTATTATGAGTAATATTGTATAAATAAGCCCAATAGCTTAGTGGATGCTCGGTTAGAGTCTCAACGTAAACATTAGCATTAGGTTGGAAGTATATCCGACTGAAGAGTCCCAAATAGGACGAAATGTTCGTTCAAATTTCACTGTTGATTGTTATCCAAGTTTAGCAAATACTTGTGATTACATTACACCATTGAGGCAGTTGGCTCAGGATACTTCGGGAATTGTCTTGGTAATGCCATGTTGTTGTATTAAGTTGATATGGCAGTTTGAGTTAATGTACTTACTTACCGATTTTCATCTTGCTCATTACTGACTGGTGCAGATTGAGATTGATCAATTCATCTTTAACATCAACAACGGAATAGTACAAATTATTAGCGGTAGTTTCTCTGTCAGAAGAAAATCTATGGATATAAATTCACTCGCAACGATTGATAATTAATACTTTACTAATTTCTGAGTGTTTTGTAAGTCTGAAAGAAACCTCTATATATGTTTGTGTTTATATGTGAGAAGTGATAGAGCTGTACGCGTATATGTTGGACATTAGTGATAATTCTCATAGATCTTTTTGATCTATAATATTTCCCCAACTCTAATTTTATACTCTGACCATATATGTTCGTACATTAGGCCATGAGCTATACGAAGGGGTAGTGAGGCTAACTAACTATCTACCTAAATTAAAATAAGTAGAGTGAATCATATTTGTTTTTATAGTTGAAAGCTTAGTGATTTTCAGTACTAAACTACTAAACATTTCATTTAATCTAGTCTGGCTCAATTTGTTTTACGTTACGAAGATGATCTTCCTAAGTTGTGTGTCACAATCTTTAGGGGTGAGAGATTTTTTTTGGAAATATGATTGCCTTCGTACTGACATCGGTGTATTATTTAAATACATTTCAGATGTATGTCTTGTTTTCATCATTTCACTACAGATACAATTGAATCAGCACGTTCAATTGGTGATTATTGGATTCGTTTAGAAAGATTATTGCCATCTTCATCATCATCATCATTGTCACCGATACCATCGTCTTCACCGACATTAAATTCTATCCAACCATCATCTATTAAACAATCCAATGAATTATCAACACCCAATAGTTCACTATTAAATGATGAAATATTTATTTATTTCGATCCTGGAATGAGTGATGCATTGGAGAAACGACAACTATGGTTGAATGCAATAGAGTTAGCTATAAAATTGGAACATCATAGACGACGTATAGGTTATCATCATCAATCAAATACACATTTTCACGAGAATTCAGACTCCACTGGAAGTAATAAACTAGATTTATTTAACAAATCTAACGATACAGATTCAGTACGCAGTGCCTTACAACGGGTAGGTTGGTTTTCATCCTGAGCGTATAACCTCGATGTAGACTTTTAGTTACAAGTTTTAATGTAGCAGTGGAATTCCGCATGTATGTTTCATCTTATTACAAACCCTTACCACTATATTCATACCCATTGAGCAAGTATGTAGTAGCTTAATGGATAATGCTTTGACGTATAAGACGATGAACACTTGACTAGAGTCAGATTGTGAACATCAATACTGGAGTAGAGGTAAATCCGATTGACAAGTGTCAAATAGGACTTAATGCACGTACTAGACTGCACTGGTAAGTACAGTCCAAATATTCTAAGACTTTTATAGAAATTCATCACTACACGAGCCTCGTTTTCTAGTGGATGATACAATAGGTGACAAATCAACATCTTCCTTTTATCAGCCAATCAAATTTCGGAGCAGAGATGGATGGTGTTTATTTATTTAAACACATGGAAATTGGTGCAAGGAAGCACGAAATATATATATATACGCCACACTTCGTCATTCGATTTGTGTAAAGGCTGGTATACTGCTCAGGTACCCAGACCGAAGCAAGTGGTTTTATTAGGGGGCCACTCCTCGAGCCTTTAACCTACAGGTTTAATCTACAAGGCAGTGGAGCAACGTCAAGAGATGCAGTCCCATGGTAGCCGGTGACCAACAATTGGTTCTTACGCCTTTTGTTTCCTCAGGATCCTGTAGTCACCCCATGTGCACCATTGGTTTTGAATAAGTGGTTTCCAACCCACCGAGTTGGATTCTCCATATCTATCAACCCGGTTGAAGCACCGGGCATTCGTTTTTCATGTTGTCAATTTCTTAGACAACACCTGTGGTGCGAAAGTGAAGTGAGTAGGACTTCTGTGGTAGTAGCTGTGGCTATTTGAGAGCATTTGGAGGGGGAGAGTTGACTCTCCGCCTATACTCAAATGATCAGAATGCAGATGTACACATGATTTTGATGTATATTGTTCACAAATCTGGCTTCCGACTACTACTAGACTGAAAGTTTGAATCCTACAACACTTTAGTTAGGACAACGAGACACTATCTCAAGCCATCATATTTAAAATGTAACTTAAAGCTAAGTACACGTACTTATCATTAATTAAAAGGTGAAATTATTGAAATCAATGGTTAACTTTTATTATATGCTTAAGTTGTAAAACAACTGATATTCTATTTACTAAAATATTTCAAGTAAACAGTTCCAATCGCCAATCCACATAGTTATCAGTAGTAGTATTAGTCACTGTAACTAAACTTTCGGATGGATGTTTGTGGTTGAACTGTTTTTAACGTGAATTCTGGCCAGCGGTATTTTGCTGTTGTAATATTCGACCTGACTGTAGATTAGGCTGAGACAAAAATTAGTTTTGGTGTTATAACATTATTTTTATGATCTAGTAAATATTTGTTTAGTTATGATTATGATGTTGAGAAGTTTTAAAAGTCCAAGAGATAGTAGATCCATTCTAGTTACTAGTGTTCAATATTCACGAGCAATAGCTTTAATGTATGGAGCCTTATCAGTATTCTAGCAGTTGTCACAGTTTCAAGTTGAAATCGTTACCTATTCAATATTGGATTAATGTAGCAATCATTGTATGATGTAAAGTATTTCCAAGTTCTATAACCTACACTTAGCACTTCAGCATAGTGGGCGAGGACTCGAGTTATCACAGAGTATCACCTCTCTCAAGATTACAAAGTATATCATATCAACGAGTACTAACTAGTATGAAACTTAAGTCGAGGATGGTTTCTTGCCTGGCTATCACCAACTAACTGACTACCAAATAATTTTACAACTTCATAATCCATTTCTTTTCTATGTAACTGAAACCAACATGCACACAATGCCTTCGAAGCAAATTTACTACTGATCGAAAAAAGTGTGTTTGATTATGATTAACTTTTGAAGAATTCATTTCTTCCATAAACGTATTGTATACGATTTATTTTGTTTGTTTTTTTCTTTGAACATATTTTCTTCTTACTTGTAAACTCTCTTTGTAAAACAAGTATGCTCAAGAAACCGAATTATTTGTAATACGTCAACGTCAAAAAGATCGAATCAAATTAATCACATTGTTCCCAGAAGTTCGAGTAAGTTTACTCATATGGTTTTTGTTATAACTTGTGGGTTTTTTTCCTCTATCAATGATACCGCCAATCAGAGAACAGTGAATTATCGACCAGACCAATGACGCATAAAACAAGTACGAGCACTCTAGAGTACTTATCGGTCTTGCTTCCCGCCTAATCCCTGGTTGTTAAGTCTAGAACACCAATCTCAGTTTCTGTGATATGAAGCCTGTAATTCAAACGGGTTGGGTTTATATGTACCAACCAAACAGACCACATCGTACCATTAGAATAGAAAATACACATTCATACGAAGTTTAGCCAAACATGGCTGTGAATGTGGGAGATAGTCATTGATAGACAGAGCATAACTCAAGAATGGTAAATTGTATAATAATAGTTCATAGGTGAAAACAAAGCTTATAATAAGAGGAACATGAATATAAATAGTTTAATTACTTAACAATTATACAATAGTATTAATCTATAAATGGATCCCAAAAGTTACCATTCATTATTCTCATCTGGATATAACAGTTTTGTTTTTCTTACTCATCAGTTGTTGTGTTATGTAATTCGACTCAAATTTTGTTGTGTGTTCTTTGTGGTGATATAAAGAACTATTATTACTTATAATTCCTAGTAAAGGTTTGGACTGTTAATATTCATGAGACTGATGTTTGATCGATCTTTAGTAGCACTGTTAACATTTGTTTATTTTGCATTTCAAGACTAAATTACATAAAAGTCATTCATATTCATTTGATCATTCAAAAAATAGTTCACTTTTAATTGATGTTGCTAAACTTTTAACTTGTTGATTAGTAACCAGTGTCATAGCCATATTCTGTCTATCACTTTGTATTTGTTACATTGGTTATTTTACTGACTCAACGTCACTGCTCATCTTGTTAAGATATTGGATAGTGAGAGCCAGTAGTTAATAAGTTGTAAATGTTGATTTTATGCTAGTTGTGTAGTGTGTGCTACTTATGTCGACAGATATAAGTAGTATATAGCATCATTTGAAAGTGGAATGCCTGGCAGTAAAAGGTTGAGAAGATCGAATAGAAGGGAACGGGAACAGAGAATGATCGTTATGAAAATGAAAGAACAATAAAGTCTGAGACAATTGACGGATATTTTGCAAATGAACTACTGAATGTACGGTGTTCATATTTTACCATTTAACTCTGTAATTCTGTGATAATACATATTTAGTCGTCCCTAAATATGTTTTTGTTCGTTGCAGTTAACGATCATTGGTAAGGTTTAACCGAAATTGATGCCTCAGGTTGGATTTGGACCAATGTCTTGCGTTGATATTGTAAAGAAGTTTAATAGCTGAACAATTTGTGCCTTGATTGACCAATTAAGCAGTTACTAATTATTAACCGATATCATGTTATGTAGTCTTTAATAGTTATCAAGGTTTATGAATGAAATGACTCAATGATTTGACTGAAGTTTCCAGTAGGTTACTAAGTCTACTGGACTTACTACCTCTTTCACCCAATCACATGCTAAATTGTATCACTAACTAACTTTTCGATCGTCTTCTAAATTTTTGATAATAATGGTCATAAATTCCTTAAAACTTTCTAGCCTTTCATAGCATTTGTTTTGGTAAACATATAGGAATGCGCTTAAAATGACTTCAACTCTTAGTCAGGCAGAAAATAGCTAATATAATTGAGTTCATAATTAGATGTTGTTATGGGGTTAAAATCAGAGTTTGGGTTAGGATTAAGGATCTAACTATATGGTTTCTTTGGGTATTATCTACATTATCTTTACAGAAAGAGTTCAGTATCTAGTACCTTTGACATTACCATCTTCACTTCGTAATGACTATACAAAAACTCAAGACCTATTTCCGATATTTTGATTGGTTTGTTACTATCCTTTACTTTCACCCTGTATTTATATTTGAAAGTACAAATACACATAATAAGTCACATTCTTATTGAATGATTTAATCATTTAACTTTCAATTCATTTTACATGTCCAATAGTTTTTATTTATTGACTAGTTAAACAATTTAGACTAAAACTAATGACCTAATTCAATAGATTACTGCATTTGTCAAATTCACTAAGTGATTTGTTCTAATTGTCATTCATATGAATAGTTTTAGAGATGATAAAGTGTATCGATGAGAAGGAAGGTGATAAAGTTAAATATACACAGTATTATCAAAAATATCACTTTACTATTTATAGTCAAACTATTTAGAATGAAGTGTACCTTATTTTATGATTGCGTTTCTTATGTGCTAAACATCAGTCAGTCAGTCAATCAACAACGTAGAACTTTGTACGTACGTACAACAGTTCGAGTTGCCATGCTACATTAGCACAGAGATACAATTATAGATTCAAATCTCATAGTGGTAGAGGCAGTGAAAGTACAAACAGTAATCGGAAAGATTAGGATTCGAAGATGTTATTCAAGGAGTATAATCCAGTGAAATAAATTTGCAGAGAGAAAAAAAAGAAAGGGAGATGAAGAATTCAGAAGATTAGGATTTGGGAGAACACAAAGAGTGTATGCACATGCTCACACCATTTCAAACGATTTTGAGCCATGTCAATCAAGGTCTCTAACCATCGATTGTTATCGTCTCGCAGATCCCAACCAGGTAGTCTACACCTACTAACATGACTCAGTTCAGTTGTCAGTAGTGACTTCATGGATTTGTGCCATGTTTTGATCTGGAGGTACTGATTACCCTTAGAAGAGACCTTATGGCTGTTTTACCTCACTACATCCTCTAGTATGATTTCTTACGTAAACGTTAAACTGAAAAATTTACTGCTTTAATCTTAATTACACTTCCATAGATCGATCTAATATCAAATGATTTCACGGGAAACTTGGAATCCAAATTTTATATCAGTTGGCCCTCATTCATAAGAAGTAAAAGTAATCTTGTGCAAGTGATGTTGAGTCACTTAAATTAGTAGCCATATTATAATCCGATCAGGGTTAAGTATTAGACAAATATGATATTGGTCATTACTCAGTAATCAGTTAGTATGCCCCTAAATGCCCTAGTACGGCCGAGAGTAGGGAGAGTCAGCTCTCCCTCTCCAAATTCTCTCACATGGCCACGTGCACAAAACCACTGCAAGGGAAGTCCTACTCAATGCTTTCTCGCGGCATTACTGTTGTTTACAAAATTGAGAGGACAAAAAGTGAATGTCCGGTGCTTTAGCCGTGTTGGTGGACGTGGAGAGTCTACCTAGGGGAGTTGGAAATCTCTGATTCCAAACCAATGGTGCACATAGGCTGGCTCCGGGATTCTAAGAAGACAAATGGCGCATGAACTCATCGTTGGTCACCGGTTACCATGAGACTGCATCTCCTGACGTTGTTCCACTGCGTTTTGGACTAGACCTTTAGGTTTTAGGCTTCGATTCGGACACCCGTGCTGTATTGTAGCCCTCATACAAATCGAATGATTTTTGTGGCGCATATCTCACTTTAATACTTTCATTATTTTTTTTGCTTTATCTTATCAAAATTAGATAAATCAACATAAAATTAAAATGTCCTACTCACCACATGAAAATAATAATGTAATAGTTAGCAATTTGAAAGATTCACCATTTTCACCATTTCCTGAACGTACAATTGAATTATGTAATCGACGATATTTAGCTACATGTTTATGTTTACATTCAAAAATTCAAGCTAATTTGGAAATTTCAGGGAATTCATCATCTTCCCATTTAGAGAATGTAAGTTTTTTTTGTTCTATTGTTCCTATCTACGTGTTAATACATTTTTTATACAAGTATATTTACCATTGAGTTCATGAGTCAATTAAAGTTAAACCATCATAGAAAATATGGAAGCACTGAACGGCCGTTTCGTTTTGGTATGGGACTCGTCAGCAGTGCGCACCCACAATCCCGCACGTGTGATTCGGACCTAGAACCTGTTGGTCTCGCGCGCCATGATCAGTGGAGTTCAGTCAAGTCTGTTGTAAGATAGTAACTCATTGAAGACAATAGTGGACGGTTGTGCAATTTCATGAATTAGTTGAAGTTAGACATTAACACAATTGGATGCCAGCTCAGTGGTTTAGAGGTGAAGTGTTCGTGCGCGAGACCGATAGGTCCTGTGTTCGAGTGTGGCTTGCAGGATTCTGGATGCGCACTGCTGACGAGTCCCATACCAAAACAAAACGGCCGTTCAGTGCTTCCTTGTTTTCCATAATAGTCTACCTTTAATTGACTCATGAACTCAATGATTAAATTACTAAAATCTCCATAAAACCCCATTCTGAAAATATATTTACATTTGTTTGTTATAAATATGATGTGTACATCATTTCAAGTTGCCATATCCCATTATCATATCGAGATGGAATTGTTAGGGTATGAATCCTAGAGTAGTAAAGGTACTACTAGAAAAGATTACACATCGAAGGTACAATTCATTAAAATATAAATTAGTGAAATAATACAAAGTTATAAGGAATTCAGAAACTTAGGATCTGAGTGAAAACAAAAGGTGAATGCAGCTGAGCTGTTACGACTTAGTTTTCTTGTGGTTTTGTAACTGTTTCGAATTAGATTACATTGTAATTTTGACATGACAAAGAGTTCTAACAGTTGGAGTTTTATTCATTGACATGGAGAAGATTAAGTGATCTATCAAAATTGATCGTATTCGATAGTTTATAACATTTAATCACGCGTTACATCCGAACGAAACGGGATTGTTGTTCCACTTATCTATTTGTTTCAATGTAGGGAAAAAGAGAGAGAGAGAGATAGAGAGAGAAAGGGGAATGAATCACTGATGTGTTTGTATACTTACAATAACTTTTTGTTGATACTTTTAGCCAGAACCATATTTTGTTACTATTTTTCTTGTGGATGTCAATGATGGACGTCGTGTTAGTGAAGATTTCTATTGGAATCCTAATTCATCAATTATTGATTCTATGTTACCAACAGATCAATTCAAAAGTTTACCATGGTATTCATCTAATAATCAATATTCTGAAACAACTAATGATAATCATCATCATCATCATCATTCAATATCTAATCAACCAAATATTATTTCATCACCTAATCGAACAACACGTAGACATGCACCACCACCACCACCACCAAATAATAATCTTATGTCTCCATATGGAACACAAAGTTCTATTTCATTAGATTGTTTGTATAAGTGTCGTACAGTGAGTTATTATGTTCCATTGTTCTTTTTATTTCTTTTGCTTAATTGTTTTACTTAGCATTGACATTAGAATTATTGATCAATGTATACTTTATCTTTAATGTTCATAGTAATGCTATGTGGTTTCAATGATCAGTTATATATATATTTACTCAACAAAAAAAAGGTTGATCGATTGACGTTTTTCTGATTGTAATTTACTTAAATGAATAGCAGATCATTTTTGGTTGTTAGTTTAATTGAACTTTTGCAATGGTATAACTTTGAATCAACCTGATTTCATTGTTCAGCCAGGAATTATCTTTAAATCCCTTAACTTTAATCTGTAGGTTTTGTATGTATGTATGTATGAAGTAGTTGAACGCGTTGACAACTTCACTTATCTTGGAAGTCTGATCAGCCCTAATGGGTTGGTGTCTGACGAAATCTCAGCACGGATTCGAAAAGCTCGTTTGGCTTTTGCCAATTTACGTCACCTTTGGCGAAGGCGAGATATCCGTCTATCAATAAAAGGACGAGTATACTGCGCGGCAGTTCGTTCTGTTTTAATTTACGGCAGCGAAACATGGCCCTTAAGAGTAGAAGACACCCGTAAGCTACTAGTATTTGACCACAGATGCCTTAGAAATATTGCTGGCATCTGCTGGGATCACCGGGTAAGTAATAGTGAGGTTAGACGCAGGGTATTAGGGAATGATGGTAAATCTGTTGATGAGGTTATGAATCTTCATCGACTGAGATGGTTGGGCCACGTGTTACGTATGCCTGAACACCGATTACCACGACGTGCAATGCTAACCGGGGTAGGGGACGGTTGGAAGAAGTTAGGGGCGGCCAAACCAAAACGTGGCATCAGTGCCTGAAGTCACTAACTTCTTGTCTGAGCCATGTTGGTAGATGCAGACTACTTGGTTGGGGTCCGCGTGACTTTCGTAACCAATGGTTGGAGACTCTTGGTGACATGGCTCAAAATCGATCACAATGGCGTCGGTGTATACACTCCCTGTCTTCCCTTAAACTAAGAGACTAAAATCACTTCATTCTTTCTATCTACGAACTAATTCTTTCTTCCTATACTATATCCTTATTGCAACCTTTGACCTAACCACTCCTATGAATCCGCTGTTCATCTTGCTGTGCTAATGAGGTATGGCAACCTGGACCGATGCACATATGTGCCTGGTCCTACGTTGTAGCTGACTGACTGACTGACTGACATATTTATGTACTCACCTTTTAGTTGCACTATTTTATGTGTTTAGGAAAGGGATCAATAATACCAGTCATCTCAAAACAAAGTAGATGGGCTGATGTTCCAATCTGGGTCTTAATGGTCTCATAGCCATCAGTAACCCTGATAACCTTAGAGTTACGTAGACAACATAAATGTATATACCAGGTGTAGATATGTTCCTAAGAGTGTTTTTTTTTACTAGAAAGTACTTTTAAAAATGATCAATTTGTGTTTATTTTACTGGTTTTCATTAAAGCGATTAATTGGTTTGTATTTCGTAACCGCTGAACACCGATCACCACGACACGCAATGCTGACTAGTGTTGGGGATGGTTGGAAGAAAGTTAGGGGAGACCAAACCAAAACGTGGCATCAGTCCACGAAGTCACTAACTTCTAGTCTGAGCTATGTTGGTAGATGCGAACTACTTGGTTGGGGTCTGCATGACTATTGTAACCAATGGTTGGAGACTCTTGGTGAAATGGCTCAGAATCGATCACAATGGTGTAGGTGTATACACTATTTGTCTTCCCTTAAACTATGAGATTAAAATTGGTTTATATCTTTCTTTCTACGAACTAATTGTTTCTTCGTGTACTATGTCCTTATGCACAATCTTTCTTTTACATATTACCACCACTGAATTAACTACTTCTATGAATCCGGTGTTCATCTTGTTGTGCTAATGAGGTATGGCAATTCGGACTGATGCACATATGTGCCTGGTCCTAAGTTTTAGCTGAATGACTGACTGATTTTGTAACCATTACATAAAGTTGTTCAGATTGGTGTGAATGTACACTAAAAAATTATCTAGAAGTACGATTGTACAACTCTAGGAAATGATATCGTCGATGTTTTTTTTGTCTCTGAAATGTCTTCGTTCTTTTTAATGAATCAATAAGTTTCTTTCGTTAGTTTTTCAAGAATAACATCTTCAAACCCTAATCTTTTCGATTACTGATTATACTTTTACTACCTTTACCACTATGAGATTTGAATCCACAGTTGTATCTGTGTGCTAATATGGTATGGCAACTGGAACTGGTGTACGTTGTTGCTGACTGACTAACCTCGTTTTTTTCAAAAATTCATATATCAACACACGATCAAACTGCGTAACTTTAAGTTGTTTGAAATTATAACGTAATGGTTTGTATGTCTACTGTGTTGTTCTTGATTGGCGTATCTTTATTCGATTGTACTTTCTGAAACATTACGAATCCCGTTGCTTTATTTTACACATGAACAGTGCCAGATGCCCTGGTACGGCCGAGAGTGGGGAGAGTCTGCTCACCCTCTCGAAATGCTCTCACATGGCCACGCGTATATAGTCTCTGCCAGAGAAGTTCTACTCACTGCCTTCTCGTGGCGGAGGTGTTGTTTACGAAAATGAGAGGACGAAAAGCGAATGTCCGGAGCTTTAACCGGATCCCAAACCAATGGTGCACATGGGCTCCAGTATCCTGTAGGAACAAATGGCGTATGAACCAATCGTTGGTCATCGGCTTCCATGAGACTGCATCTCCTCATGATGCTCCACTGCCTTGTGGATCAGACCTTCAGGTTAAAGGCTCGGGGTGTTGCCCCCTAAGATAACCACCTGCTTCGGTTTGGGCACCCGAGCAGTATCACAGCCCTCACACATATCGAATGATATTTGTGTGGCGCATATGTATTTGGTGCCTCCATGTACCAATACCTATGTGTTAAAATAATAATAATAATTCGATTTTAAACAATTGGGTTACATGTTAGGACTCTATCTGACATTTAATCTAGTTTAAAAAACCGCATCTTATCTGTATGTTCATCATTTAGAGTTGTGATATGACTCTAAGTTTAAAGTAAATATACATGTTTCATACTTCACAATACTACCAACTGACTTTGAACAAGAATGGAAAACTAAGTCGTATTGAGCACGAGATAGTACAGAATTATTGATTTTTTAGTTTTGTGGTTTACACCATGGATTGACCTTAATTAGCATGTTTTTTTTCTTAATATGGGACTCCTCAGCAGTCATCACTTATGACCACCCTTTCCGTAGACTTTCAAACCTCGCGTCAAATACTCAACAATTATTCCACTGAGTCGACGTACATTATTTTATATTTCTGTCATATGCTCACTGGTGACTAATTTTGAGACATGATTCTTGGAATTTCAGTGAAAAACCGTGTCTAGTGAAGTCCAACTATATCGTGAGTCAGGCATTTACCTACCAATGACATTAGAAAATAATTGCGTAATGTTGTAAATTGATTAAATTTATAAATGTACGTAACTGGATCCAGACTCACTGGTCTAATGTTTAATCGCTTTCTGTGAAACCTATAGGTTTTTCATTTGATTCCCATTGGGATCGTGAATACACTTTGTTCTGAGGATTCTCATACTAGGCTGAAACAGTTGTCCAGTGATTTCGGGTTTCCATTGGTTGTCTTATCAAGGTTAGACTTTGATGCAAATCCCACGAATCCCTTACAGTAGAAATAAACGTGTTCAGTATGCATAAGTTATATTACATTAGATTAGAAACAGATTATGTTTGTTTGTCTTTAATTCTATGATAATCAATGAACTGATATCATTGATATAAATCTATGGAGAATATTACCATTCATTATGTATGAATGATTCATGTACAACTGTAAATGGTGTACATCACCTGTACATATTTAACATTTTTCTCATTTCAACGATCATAGTTGTAATCCTTAACCTAATCATTTCCACATCACACACACACACACAAACTCAGTAGTCTTAAGCGTATATTCACTGAGGGTATTAGTTTGTTGAAGTTTCACAATATGTACAATGAACAGAATTGATATGAAAACTTGTCTGTTCATCATAATACAGTTCAATTTATGTAACATTGATAAGTTTTCTAAATTCAATAAATTACTTAAAGGTAATTTACTAGTCTATTGATATAATGGGATAAAAAGGTATGGCAGGGCATCTAAGTAAATATCAGTAGTAGTTTTTTTATTCACATTATGAATACAAATTTTAATGTTGGTGTATGTATAAGATAGGAATTTGGATTTTTACGATTTAATCTATAATGACCATTTCCATACTAGGACAAAACAGCCGTCCAGTGCTTTCACGTTTTCCATGGTGGTCTAACTTTAATTGACTCATGAATTCAATTATTAAATTACTAAAATCTACACAAAACCCCCTTCTAATGATAATCACCATATCCTCACTAGTGACTGGCTTTAAGAGGTATTTCATGGAGTTCTAGTAGGAAACAGTGACCAGTGGAGTTCAACCAGGTCTGTTGTGAGATAATAACTCACTGAAGACAATGGTGGACAGTGGCGCAATTTCGTGGATTGGTTGAAGTTAGACATTAATACCGTTGGATGCCGTCTCAATGGTCTAGAGGTTAAGTGTTCGCGCTTGAGACAGTTAGGTCGTGGGTTCGGGTGTGGTGTGCAGGATCTTGTATGCGCACTGTTGAAGAGTCCCATACTAGGACGAAACAGCCGTCCAGTGCTTCCAGATTTTTCATGATGGTCTAGTTTTAATTGACTAATGAATTCAACTATCAAATTATTTACGTTTAATTTATTTATTGCATATTTAGCTTCCTTTCACGGTATAATTAATGATATTCAAATGAAATTTTAAACATTGATGGTTGAACAGGTCTATTCGATTTTATTGATCAATTGTCTGGGCATGAATTTAAAATATTTGCTTGGCTATTCCCAATTTATATCATTTTTGACTGTGGCCAGACATCCGTCTACTCCTCAAAGGGTAAATATATCGAGAAGTAGACAACTATACTTTGCTCTATACTTTCGGAATATTGTCCGTAAAAGTAGAAGACATGAGTAGATTTTAAGTTATGTAAGATGGCTGTTTGAAGAAATCCTGACGCGAATACTTCAAACTCCGTTGGTGTTATTCAAAATGCATGACTTCTGTTGTAGAGGATATATTTTTCTGATTATAATATGATAGAACTAGCGAATAAATCATTTCTAAAGTTTGATTAGTGAAGATAAAAAATAATTGTTTGTCACAGTTATTTAACTGTGAGTATTTTCAAAACATTCCTTGGGACTGATCTCAGTCGTTATGTACTAGGTTGAGACAATGCAAATGGGCTAGTCTTGGAACTTTCATAAACTTAGATGGTTAAGAAATGTGTTATATATGTTCTAAGCTACTACTACTCACTTCAGATATACAATTCTGGCAACATTTTAGCTTTAAATCAATTGCTTGTTTTTCGAAGCGAGAAAAGTAACTTCCATAGGCATAGAGAGTTCATCAATTTGTGTGTGGGCTGTGATACTGCCCGGGTGCCCAAACCGAAGCAGGTGGTTATCTTAGGGGGCAACACTCCGAGCCTTTGACCTAAAGGTCTAACCCACAAGGCAGTGGAGCATCGTAAGGAGATGCAGTCCCATGGTAGCCGGTGACAAACAATTGGTTCATACGCCATTTGTTCCCTCAGGATACTTGAGCCCATGTGCACCATTGATTTGTGATCCGGTTAAAGCGCCGGACATTCGCTTTTCGTCCTCTCATTTTCGTAAACAACACCTCCGCCACGAGAAGGCAGTGAGTAGGACTTCCCTGGCAGAGGCTGTATACGCGTGGCCGTGTGAGAGTATTTCGAGAGGGAGAGCGGACTCTCCCCACTCTCGGCCGTACCAGGGCATTCGAGGGCTTGGACATGTTCTCCGAATGTCGTCCTAGAGAATTCCACGTCGTGCATTATTTGCCGACTCTGAGACTGGTTGGAAGAAGCGGAGAGATGGTCAGTGCATGACATGGTGTCGTGGCATGAAAGAAAGCTGCAAAGGACTGGCTTGTGTTGGTTCTTCACGACTCCCTGGTTGGGGTCTGAGAGATGGTGCAACACAGTGGCTAGAGACGTTATGAGATATGGCCCAGAATAGAAGCCAGTGGCGATCCTGCTGTAATCTTCTTTTACTTTCTTCATAAAAAGTGGTTGTGTCTCCCTTACCTGAAAGATTTCTTCCGATTGTACCTTTGCGTTCCCTCATTACTACCACACTACCTTACACCAATCTCTTCGTTATTGTTCTCTTCTTTTTTCTATTTCTCTTCGAATTCTCATTGTTTTGTGTGGCGCATATATATTGGCACTCTCTTGTACAAATTTTTATGTGTTCAAATAAAATAAAATAAAACATTTTAGCTTGTTAGTTTCTTGTCTATTACTTTTGACTATCCTATAAGTTTCATACTCAATTATATTGTTCTGTAATTAAACTTGTCTAATTCTAACCTTCCTTTTTCTCATTGAATTTTTTTTTATTATCTAGGCATTATTTTCAATTCCATCATGTTGTCATGTCAATAATTTGTATATAGTTGTACGAGTGGATAAAGTCCTTAGTGGACCAATGAATACAGTAATAGATAAATACTTGAAAAATACTAATAATACTAATGATAATATTAAAACTGGTTCAAGTATACAAAAATCAATGGTGAATTATTGTCGTAATATTGGTCGTTATCGTATGCCATTTGCATGGGGTGCAAGGTTAGCTATATGAAATATTTATTCTTTGAATGAAACTAATGTATATGCCCGGCCCGTTGCTGTTACTTTGACGTGGTGGTCAGGCTTTCCTATTGTAATGAACCAATCAAGCTATACTCGCTGAAACGATCGTTCTTCAAGGTCTTACCATCTTAGACAGATCGGTTGAAAAGTAATAAGCAGCAAACCCAAGGTTCGAGGACGAAGTCCTACTGCTGACTGTACAGACGTATGACGGCAGTAAGGTGTTTCTATCAGACAACCAAGATAACAGCGATGCTGCCTTCGCACAAACAAGGGTGGGGTTAGATAAGGTCGTTCCCGAAAGTACACACCTCACCTTATCTCACGGATTTGCGTTTTCGGCGATAAGCTCCCAACAATACGGAGCTAACACGAAAATTACTCACAAAAATGTCGTGTGTGACCGACCTCAATTAGTTGTCCCTTGGTCACTGTGATCACACTCTCAGGTCATTAAGACCACCCCTAACCCAATTTCCTTTTGTTTTATTTATTTATTTAAACACATAAACATTGGTACAAGGAGGCACCAAATAAATATGAACCACATAAATCATTCGATTTATGTAAGAGCTGGGATACTGCCCAGGTGCCCAAACCGAAGTAGTACTTAGAATGTATATACTGTTGTAATAATAACAACTTATGAGCATTAATTGTTTAATCATGAATGTTTCAGTGTTCGACTTAATTTGATTATCATGTAATAAAACGAATATGTTTCCGAGTAAGTTACACTTCCAATTTTCTGATATCGAATAGTTAAATGTATAAGAATTTTACTAAATCATTTTAACTTGTAAAGACAATTAAGTTTAGATCAATGATGAATGTCTCATCAAACCTCTTATTGTCCATACTCTGGCAATGCTATGCATTAATGAGTATACTCATTATAGTCTTTCAACATTTTATAGTTATGACTATGTGCTGGTGCTAAGCCATCTTAATATTAAACTGATCACTAGATAAACAATATCAATGTCATATTTGTCTAATCTGAACTGCTGTTAAAATTCTTTGGATAAAGTTCATTGAAATTTGGTCAATAGTCTAATTAATTCCACGACATATTCACTATTTTGATTTTAGATGGTTAGCAAAATCATCACTAAGTCCTAAGCCTGTGGGTTTAATTTTAATTGAAACTCATCAGAATTGTGTACTTGCTGTCCAAAGGAAACCTATCCTCTTGTATGATATTAGAACACGGTTCACCCCATAACACAACCATAAACACGGACCTAATCAATCCATGAATCACTTAGTATGGGACTGAGTTATTTACATTGATTGAAAATCAATATCTTAGTGGTGATTTCTTTCTATGTTTGTTTGTAGATACTGGTTGTTCATGACTCCCAGTGGCTTTCACTACTGTTTTTTTGTTATGTAAATATATGTATGACGATTTTGTATTGAATGATGCCTATATTCTTACTAAAATACTTCATAATCCTATTGTGAGGTGAGTATTTTTACAAACTAACTTTCAATTTCACAACTGATTGATCATTGAGTGGTGATCAATGTCTTGTGTATCAGGTCCTGCTTAGTGCAGATCGGATGCTATCGACCAACTTACAATGTGGTCACTAGTCTAAGTAACTCAACATTGCGTGGAGGCTGGAAGTAGTCAACAGAAAACCCTAACCAGCTTTTCGTGCTATTTGGAACTCTTCAGCAAGGTATACCTGTAATCTTGAGGGAACTGGTGTTCCCTGATGGATCTAATCCTGTATCACCCATCTTCACAGTCAAGAGACTTTACCACTGAGCTATCTGGGCCACGATTGACCTCCTGTAGGACTGAGATATATTCACAATTGATTGATCATTGGATGATGATGATGAATATCATGTATGTCAGATCCTTCTTAGTGCAGATCGAATGCTATCAACCTGTTGACTACCTCCAACCACCATCTTAAATTATTGGATATGAAAAAATAAATTCAACATTTAAATTTCATTTCATAGATCTATAAACAGTACAAATCGTTTTATTCATCTATTCAAAATGGATTCTAATAAGATCTCTGAACAAGGATTAATTCAATCTGTACAAATGTTATCCCATTTATCAATTGATTATAATACATATCATGATCGGTATACAGATGTAACAAGCATTATGACTACTACTAATAATGATAATAGTAGTATAAATGAAAGTAATCATTATCATATACCAGAATCTATAAATCATATGTTAAAAATAGACTTAAATAAATCAAAATCATCAAAATTGATTAATAATAATAGTTCTTTACTAAAAGATGTTACAACTTATTTAACCGAACAAGATCGACTCTTTATTGAAACAATTGAACGTTCTCTTAAAACTCAAATGTTACCTTTACGATTTGAATTCGTGATGAGTGAACTAATTGATCATACTATTGATCCTAATGCAAAACCTTTATCACGTAAGTGTTAAATCTCTATTTACACTTGTTTTTTTTCTATATATCGTGGTATGTTAATCTGAAAAGTTAAAAACCTACATTTGGTGAGATTATAATTTCTGGATGACCTTTGTTTATCTTATTTATTTAGTTAAACACGAAAACATTGGCACAAGTAGGCACCAAATACATATGCGCCACGTAAATCATTCGATTTGTGTGAGGGCTGGGATATTGCCTGGATGCTTAGACCGAAACAGGTGGTTTTCTTAGTGAGCCACACCATGAGCCTTCGACCTAAAGGTTTGATCCACAAGGTAGTGGAGCAACGTCAGGAGACGCAGTCCCATAGTAGCCGGTGACCAATAATTGATTCATACGCCATGTGTTCTGTCGGGATTCTGGAGCCAGCGCATGTGTACCATTGGTTTGGAATTAGGTTTTCCAACTCCCCTAGGTGGACTCTCCTTGTCCACCAACCCGGTTAAAGCAACGGATATTCGCTTTTCGTTTTATCGATTTAGTAAACAACATCCCCGCCACGAGAATGGAGTGAGTAGGATTTCTGTGTCAATGGTTGTATGCATGTGGCCATGTGAGAATATTTGGAGAGGGAGAGCTGACTCTCCCCACTCTCGGCCGTACCAGGGCATTTGGGGGCGAACAACCTTTGAGTGACGCCAGACTGACCTTGAGAGTGGCCACTTAATAACTAGGACGAAATGATGGTTATAAACCAGCGTGAGGAATTATAATTATGATTTACAGTTGATGATTAAGGTTAGGAATTAGATTTGGGAGGTTTTCATCACCAACCGACATTAGTTATAATGCCAAAACTTTATTCAGCCAAATGGATGAGTGAATTTCGCGCCCAAATCCAAGACCTATTATCTTATACCTGATTGGTTTATTCATAAATTTATAGTCTCACTTTACATTTTAATGATTATTATCAGAATAATCTCGTACTTAATGTATTTACATTGGAATAGGATAAGGATTACAATATCCACATTTATAAATTGGATAATGTGATCATTTTAAGAAAACGTTAATTTAGTTTATTTATCCAATTGTTTAATGGTATTTCATCATAGATGAAATGAAAACGTTAGAACATTGATTGTATACATCATGTTCACCTGGTTAAATGATGTCTCTTTCACTGTTTCAGTCAGTCAGTCAGTCAGTAACAACGTAGAACTTCGTACGTACGTACATCAGTTCGAGTTGCCACACCACATTAGCACAGAGATGCAGTGGTCGATTCAAATCCCGTAGTGGTAGAGGTAGCAAGAGTATAAGCAGTAATCAGGAAGATTAGGGTTTGGAGATGTTATTTAAAGAGTATAATCCAGTGAAAGAAATTTGGAAAGAGGGAAAAAGGGACATGAAGGATTCAGAAGATTAGAGTTTGGGAGAACACAAAGAGTGGATGCACCTGCGCCATTGCGAACGATTTTGAGCCATGTCATTCATGGTCTCTAACCATCGGTTGCTGTCATCTCGCGGTCCCCAACCAGGTAGTCTACACCTACCAACATGACTCAGTTCACTTGTCAGTGACTTCATGGACTTGAGCCATGTTTTGGTTTGGCCGCCCCTAGCTTTCTTCCAACCTACTCCTATACCACTGAACATAGCACGTCGAGGCAGTCGGTCGCTGGGCATACGTAACACGTGTCCCAGCCATCTCAACTGATGAAGTTTCACTACTTCATCAATTGATTTGCCATCCTTACCTAGTACCCGTTTCCTAACAACTGTGTTACTTACTCGATGGTCCCATGATATACGAGCACTTTCACTGTTTATCTGGTTAATATCAACAGTTTTAAAGCATTAAATACTTCTTTTTATGAAATATGAAAAATCCGATGTGAGATGTTAGGTTAATAACTTAGACAGTTGGAAATATTGCTAAAAGTGTTTGAGGATTATGGAGTCCGTCTCTTAATTGACTGATCTTCTTCATTTGCGATTAATCAATATTTTTTTGAATTTAAGATAAAATTTCCATGAAGTGAAGCAATTGTAGAATGACTCTCAGCTTTGTACACTGTTCTATGAGTTAACCTTAATGCTTAAGGCACTATGGTCTGACTAATAGAAATGAAATAATTCGGATTTATTTAGTCCAATTAAATTCAGTAGTTAAAATTAACTTCGGAATCCATTAAGCCACAACTTCAATCGTTATTGTATGTGCTAAATAAATGCATCTTCAAACACCATTGGTTTTTGCACCCTTAATTCACCTTGATAATTATGTATTTATGTAGTAATAGTAATGCAATATATAAAGTGTTCGTTTTTCAAACATGATGGTGCTACAAGTTCGAATCTTATATTCTACATCTGTTGAGTTTGACCAATCGATTATCAATGTTAATTACTCCTACTCAAAAGATCTAGATGAAAACCGATTGAATAAGTTTGTATTTGACCAGTTGTTTTTCGAAGCGAGAAAAGTAATTTCCATAGACATAAAGAGTTCATCGTTTGTGTATGGGCTATGATACTGCCCGGGTGCCTAAACCGAAGCAGGTGGTTATCTTAGGGGGCCACTCTCCGAGCCTTTGACCTAAAGGTCTAACCCACAAGGCAGTGGAGCATCGTAAGGAGATGCAATCCCATGGTAGCCGGTGACCAACGATTGGTTCATACGCCATTTGTTCCCTCAGGATACTGGAGCCCATGTGCACCATTGCTTTGGAATTCGGTTAAAGCGCCGGACATTCGCTTTTCGTCCTCACATTTTCGTAAACAACACCCCCGCCACGATAAGGCAATGAGTAGTACTTCCCTAGCAGAGGCTGTATACGCGCATATATATTGGCGCTCTCTTGTACCAATATTTATGTGTTCAAATAAATAAATATTTGACCAGTTGAATAATGGGTAACGTACTTGACTGTTAAGTAGTAAGACTCTGGTTTACATTCTCATCTTCAGTTCAAGCAAAAACTGTATAGGTTTACTACAATTGAATTATATTACAGAATTTAATAAATGAATTTATGTTTAGTTATTTGCTTAATTTATTCTTACTATTGATAAATCATAGGAGTTATTGCTTCAAATCTGGAAACATACACACCGAATGTGACAGCTAATAATTCTCATAATTTCTATATACCATCAACACATCCACCGCTTATGTCAGATGAAATTATACGTGAAGTTGAAAATCTATTTGATTTTTATTCAACTCTATCAGGAACATCGTATAATGATGATTATGGAATTAATAATCCAGGTATGTCTTTTAGTTTAATGTGTAGAGATAGTTGAATGAAACGATAAAAATGGTGATTCTAAACTATTTGTTTCAATAATTCTCTAGTCTGTCTAAACTTAGAATGTTTATTATTCTTTATTTATTTAAACGCATGAACATTGGCACAAGTAGGCACCAAATAGATATGCGTCACGTAAATCATTCGATTTATGTGAGAGCTGGGATACTGTCCGGGTGCCCAGACCGAAACAGGTTGTTTCCTTAGGCGGCCACACCCCGATCCTTTGACCTAAAGGTCTAATCTACAGGGTAGTGGAGCAACGTCAGGAGATTCAGTCCCATGGTAGCCGGTGACCAACGATTGGTTCATACGCCATGTGTTCCTTCAGGATTCTGGAGCCAACCCATGTGCACCATTGGTTTGGAATGAGGGCTTTCCAACTCATTAAGGTGGATCATCCATGTCCACTAACTCGGTTAAAGTGCCGGATATTCACTTTTCGTATTGTCGATTTGGTGACCAACATCCCCGCCGCGAGAATGCAGTGAGTAGGACTTCTGTGTCAGTGGTTGTATGCACGTGGCCACTTGAGAGCCTGTCGATAGGGAGAGCTGACTCTTCCCGCTCCCGGCCGTATCTGGACATTTTAGGGCTCTCGTAGAAGCTGTGACTGAAATTCGTGAATAATAATAGAAAAGTTTTCAGATAGCTTTGAGTATTAAGTCCACTAATTGTACAATTTTCCAACGTTTGGATTCAACTTTACGCACTAATTTTAAAATTTCAAAGCTGGCGATCTACGAATTTTTTTGAACGGACTTCAATAGAATGTTTTAGAAAGATTTAATTTTTCAATATATTTTTCATCTTTAATGTAGAATCATTGAGTTGATGATCCAGTCTCGTCTCCATCAGTGGGGAGGCTGGTGGGTAACATACCTGACATTTTAAACTTTTTGGGTTGAAATTTCACTGATCTAAAGGTCAAGCGCTCGATTGGATTCACCCTTAGTCATGGATGTACTGATCAGGAATTTCAAACTAAGCTGAAACGAATATCAAGTGTTTTCATTAGTCGTCTAAGTTACGTCAGTTCTTGATATAAATTGAAATTTTTTTAAAGCTGATTCTTTTGAATTTTCCATTGTACAAACCAGTTTGTATTGACAAACAGACTGGTTTATAGAGTCAAACACCTCATAGATATTTTATACTTGATGTTATAATTAAATCACTCAAACATTCCAATTTTAACCTTTGAGCCTCTAACGTTTTGTCGCCCTTCATAGTGAATCAAAAAATTACAACGAAAAAACGTTATCTTAGCTTTTCATGAACATGTTTTAGGTTTCTGAGTTGTGCGAATTTTCGTAAATGTGGTACTGTGGTTAGTAATTTTGGTGTGAAGTTGAAGTGATTTTACGGCAGTTAATTTACATTGTGACTAACATCAAGATATTCCTGAAATTCTTGTGAAAAATTCCGACTGGTGGGGTTTAGACATATCGATAATGAAGCAACTGTTACTGTTGGATCACTCTGTCACAGATTCACTGGAGTTAGAGGCGTATCATTGAACTTTGACCCAGGATTTCTGATAGTCAAGCGCTCACCGAAAGGTCTGATTGTTCAATCCCTGATAAGGTTGTGAGTGCTCAGTTTTAAGTAGTTCCATACTAATACAAAGTTTCTGTCCAGAATTCTGTGACTCCAAACGGTTCGGTCAACCAAATATGTTGTGTAATTTTTTTTTCTTTTTTAGATGATTCTAATACTCCTTCTCGTACTGGAAGTCTTCAAAGAGGTAGTTCTCGAATGAATTCACTTAATAACAAAAATAATAATAATAATAATTATAGAGATTCTATTCTATCAACTAATAGTGTAAATAGTACAACTAGTTCACTTATTATTACAAATGATTTACCAAAATTATTAAATAACACACTACAAAATCAAACAAATTCAATTGAACAATCTGTTATTCAATTTGAACATGGAACAAGTACACAATGTTCAACTATTAAATTATTACCATTCACTTCATTTTTTAATACATTATATGTATGTCCAAAATCATTGAATATGTCAGGGAAACATAATTTTCCAAGGGTAAATTCAATCATCTATTTATTATCAGAATGTGTTTTGTGGAGATTTTTAGAAATTTTCACAGATTGAAATCATGAGTCAGTTGAAGCTAGACCACCATTGAAAACCTGGAAGCACTGGACGGCCGTTTCGTCCTGGTATGGGACTCCTCAGCAGTGCGCATCCACGAACCCGCACCACCCGGGGGTCGAACCCAGGACCTACTGGCTTCGCGCGCGGAGTTCAACCAGTTCTGTTGTGAGATAGGAACTCACTGAAGACAATGGTGTACGGTAGCGCAACTTCGTGGATTGGTTGAAGTTAGACATTAACACCGTTGGATGCCGGCTCAGTGGTCTAATGGTTAAGTGCTCGCGCGAAGCCAGTAGGTCCTGGGTTCGACCCCCGGGTGGTGCGGGTTCGTGGATGCGCACTGCTGAGGAGTCCCATACCAGGACGAAACGGCCGTCCAGTGCTTCCAGGTTTTCTATGGTGGTCTAGCTTCAACTGACTCATGATTTCAATCTGTGAAAACATCTATTTATTATTTTGATATGTATAACCATTTTTTTTTCTCCTAGTTCAAAGAGATCCTTTTAAAGTACAAGAAGATTTGTTTGAAAGAATCATTCGAATAAATCCATTGCGGTATTTTCAATTATTCAGTTACATGTTGTAACTTATTTGCTTTTAAATGACCTGGTATGTTCGAGGGTGCAATGAGTCCTTTCTACTGTTCGAAATGCTCTCCTACGGCGACGTGTATATAGCTACTATCAGGGAAGTACTACCCACTGTCTTCTCGTAGTGTGGGTGTTGCTTACAAAATTGAGTGGACGGAAAGCGAATGTCTGGTGCTTTAACCGGGTTAGTGGACTGGACACGGAGAGTCCACCTAGGGCAGTTGGAAAGTTTGATTTCAAATCAATGGTACACATATGCTGGCTCCAGAATACTGATTGAACCAACTATTGGTTACCGGATACTATGGGATTGCATCTCCTGACGTTGCTTCACTTCCTTGTGGATCAGACCTTCATGTCAAAGGCTCCGGATGTGGCATCCTAAGATAACCAACTGCTTCGGTTTGGGTGTCCGGGCAGTATCACAACCTTCACATATATCAGTGATAACTACTACTGGTTTCAATGTTATTGTGTGGCGCATGCGTATTTGGTGTTCAAATAAATAGATAAATGTAACTCATTTAATCATTGCTATGTAGTCGTTTTTGAGACAAACTTTGATGGTATTAAGGCTTATAATACCACTTGATTGTATAGACAGAGATCTATTGGTTGAAGGTCTAGTGATGTTGGGAAGGTCTTAATGGTCCTATTAGTAAATGTACACTATGACGTCATAATATCTTGGGTTCAATTTCTGACATGTTTTGTGGTTGTATATTTCTAAGGAGTCTTATACGTAGAATAAACTGGACTACATGACTGAAACAGCGAAGTGAGAAAATATGCGAACTTATAACGTGAATGATAGTACAAATGTGTATTGATTTGTGTTGCCAGATTTCATATCAGATAAATGATGTAGTTGTTGTGTTCAGCTATTTAATTCACTCCAATTAGGGTTGTTTTATTTGGTTATCTAAAGAAATAAGTATTAGTACTAAAAGGCACCAAAATATATATGCGCTGCACTAAGTGGTTATCACTCAGTTTCTTTTTGAGGAGGGGTCACTCCCCGAGTCTTTGATCTAGAGTTCTAATCCACAAGGTAGTGGAGCAATGTTAAAAGATGCAGTTCCATGGTAACCGGTAACCAAGAATAGGTTTCGTGTGTGTACACATCTTAATGGTTAAATCACTTGAGGGATAGATCATTGGTTTGGAGGTGTTCTGCTGATAATTTTCAACCACTGAGTTAAAGGTTTGAACGTCGGTTTCCAACTGGTAGATTTCATGTTCGAACTCTATTCTAATTAACTTGGTAAACTGGCAACTGGTCGATACCACTAATCTTCACGCATAAATCATTGTTCAAAGTCGAGTCGATATATTTACCTATTCTTGGTAAGTAGGTTACATATTCGTTGGGCATGTGATATTTTCTAGTCATAAATGATTGAAGTTCTTCCAGTACAAACAAACAATGATTAATTAACAATAAACGAGATAACTTGGAGTCTTCTTATCATTGTCATGCAAGGTTATTCTCTTTGCTTTCGATTTCACTTAACGTTAAATTCATAACTACCTTGAAGCAATTACTGAGCATTTAGTCTCTGACTAGTCATTTGGTAATTACGTTTTCGTACAATTTTATCGCTTCTTTTTGTTATCATGAATGGATCAATGTTGGACCACCGTTGAGAACCTTGAAGCACTGAGTAATTACTATGTGCTCACGAGTGACTGCCTTCAAGATGGATTTCTTGAAGTTCTATTGAGAAGCTGTGACCAGTGGAGTTTAATCGTATCTGTTATAACGGAATTACTCACTGAAGACAATGGTGGACGGTCGCGAAATATCATGGACTGGTTTAAGTTAGACATTAACACCGTTGAATTCCGGCTCATTGGTGTATAGGTTAAGTGTTCGCGCATGAGACCGATAGGTCCTGGGTTCGAGTGTGTTGTGCATAATCTTGGATGCACATTGCTGAGGAGTCCGATGCTAGGACGAAACGGCCTTCCAGATTTTCAGTGATGGTTTAACATTGATCCATTCATGATATCCATCTTAACTCAACAATCTTCATAACACCATATTGATACTTCGTTTTGTATGATCTATCATGTCTTTTGTATTTCAAACATCATCAGCTTATTTTTTTCCAGTCGATTTCATTTCAAATATTTCAATTAATTTGTTACTTTTTCATAGACCTTTCTATTGACCATCAGTACGTTTTTAGTAAAATTCATCTTTCTTACCTTCCTCCTCACTATAATATCAAATAGCTTCATTGCTATATATATATATATGTACATAGGTTGTGTACCCTGGTTTCCTTCACATTTATAGATTCTTCCCTATTGATCCTATTGTAAATGTCAATTCAACATCAATTCCTTTTTCTATGTTTCTTCTTTTCTCTCTATAAATAACAAATCATCAGTGAGAATATTTTTCAGTTTGATTCTATTGTTACAAAAGTAATTCGTTCACTAGTCAGTGATATGTTTCTTTTTTCCGTTCAGCTTTAAGTCGTATAGCTTTTGTGAGCGCTTAAATAAAATGACCTAAATAGCTAATCAGAGTTAATTGGGAGTACATGGAGCAACTAGGTTTAAACAAAAGGTCTTATGGAAATGGAAAAATAGATACTTGATACTTGATACATCAATACTTTGGTGTAAGCTACTTATATCTACATAAGTAGTATATAATGATAGTCAGGAAGAGAATGTATTTCAGTTGAATATCGAAAATGAAGGAACAATAAAATCTAAGACGATGGACTTATATTTTCAAAAGAAACAGTCAAGTTTAAGACAATGGATTGATATTTTGCAAATTACCTATTCACAGTGTAGTTCTCAGATTTTGGTAAGACGTTCTGTATTTTATTGTCCAAATACATTCGATTGTTCCCGCTGATGTTCTTTTTCACTGAAATACGAGTATAAGCATTTGACTCGGTAATTAGTCACGGTATTTAGTCATATGATACACGGTTCAATTGTCTAGAAAATGATCAAGAATAAGCTTCAACCTAAATGAGAGAGGGATAAAAGCGGAAATAATTTTACTTATAAAATAATCTCTTATAGTTAGTTTAGCCAGATATATCGGATTCCACTTTCACATTGGCATTATCAGAACTCGTAGTTGAAAATCAACTATTTTAACTACTAGACTATTACCACTCCACGACTACCCTACGACTAATTTTATTTTATCTGTTACTTACATGTTGTTCATTCTGTTTTGATGTGAATTAATGAAATCGGTCAATTACTTTGAAGCCTATTTCAAGAAATCTGTAAATGAAACCAAGCTCAAAACATATGGTCTGGTTATTAAAGGGTGTACATACCATTTAAGCTGTATCATACGTATTCATATTGCTTTAGCATATTTTTGTTCTCTTTTTTTTATCACTAATTTCTTTTCTTTTTATTCTCCTGTTTAGGCTCGGAATTTATCATGTTTCATTGAATTACGAAGTAATGATAATTTGGATAATTCCACTGCGTTAAAGGTTAGTTAGTTGGTTATGTGAAAAGTAAAATACTGACTTAACATACATGATAGTATTTACTGCTCAGTCCTGCAGGAGGTTAATCGAAGTCCGAATAGCTTAGGAGTAGCATCTCTGTGAAGCTATATGATACACGTTCAAATCCATGAGGAGCCATCAGCTCCCTCAACATTACACGTGCATTTTACTTACGAGTTCTAAATATCATGAAGCATAGGTCATGTTGGGTTTGCTGTCAATTTCCTCTAACAGTTTTGAATTATTGGAGTAAGTTATTCTCCTGAACCAATATGATGTTAGATAGCTGCTCTTGTGTTATCATGCTAAATTCAAAATACAATAATAAATAACTTGTTTTATTACGAGCTTACTAAAAACTTTGTAAGATGCCTTAAGTTGACAAACATGATGAGATTGAAGAATAGTAGCGAATTTGCTCACTTCTTAAAATGACACTAATAAAGTGAACAATTTTTAGAGGACAAGTAACAAGTCCTACTCACTGCCTTCTCGCGGGATTACTGTTGTCTACGAAGTTGAGGGGGGAAAAAAGCGAATATCCGGCGCTTGAACCGGGTCGTTGGATATGGAAGATCCACCTAGAGAAGTTGGAAAACCCTGATTTCAAACCAGTGGTTCACATGGGTTTCAGGATCCTAAGGAAACAAATGGCATATAAACCTGTTGTTGATCGCCGGCTACCATGCGACTGCATCTCGTTACGTCGCCCCACTGCCTTGTAGATTAGACCTTTAAACCAAAGACTTTGTGTGCGGATACCACCTGCTTCGTGTTGGATACCCGTGCTGTATCACAGTCCACATATAAACCAAGTGATTTGTGTGGCGCATACATATTTGGTGCTCCTTTGTAATAATATTTGTGTTGAAATAAATAAATAAGATTAACTAAGTTTTTTTGTGAGTGGTTTTCTTCGCAGACGGTTAATGTAGATTTACAGAAGCACCTGCGCCATTGCAAACGATTTTGAGCCATGTCATTCAAGGTCTCTATCCATCGGTTGCTATCATCTCGCGGATCCCAACATGCAAGCATATTCGGGATGCGATTCAATAAAAGGTTTGTCGTAGTCCATAAAGCTCAGTAATTATGTTTCAGGATATGAAACTGCATAGCCTCGGTTAGAATTTACTAGAGAGCTTCAGTTATTCCAAGATTTTTGATACACTTATTTACGAGTGGCAGTCGAAATGGAACCTAAGTCAGTCACACAGAGTTTCCGATTGATTACTGCCAACCGTCTGGCATCGAAATATTGTCCACACAATGTCGAGTTGTAATTTCACAAGTTATGCACATAAACCATAAACGTCCACACATACTATTTGCCTATCCTTTTGGGAAGTGTTTAAGATATGAGACAAGTGTTTAACAGTCAAATATAAATTGAAATATGATTGTTTATTTTCTATACACTCTTAAAAGCAATTTCAATTCGGTTTGACTAATATAAAGGGACAACATAATCGTGAAAAATCTCAACCAATTATCCGGTTGAAAATAAAGTAAGAAATATTGTTAGGAATTCGGGTTAGTATTCAGAATAACAAAGTATGTTTGCGGTTCTTATTACAAAATGATGTTAGCTATAATATGCACGAACTTTTTAGCCATTTGGATAGATTCATTTTGTGCACAAATTGCTGAGTTGTTACCTCAAACCTTATTGTTTCTTTCATGTAATGTAGTTCCGTCTTAAACTCGTACATGTATGAATGTTTATAAATATGTTGACGATCTTTCTGCATTAGATCTAGATGTTACATTTTTGCTCAAGAGCAAGCACATCATTACTAAAGAGTCACGTAGTTTGATGACCACATTATAACTTGATTGATAGAATTACATCACCAATGAGGACTAGATAATATGTGAAATCAGTCACTCTTTAGTAACTTATCATTGAAAGGGGGATATTTTCAAATTTCATAACAATGAATGTTTACTCACTTATTTATTCCTGTGACTTCTCTTCGAGGAGCATAGGCCTCCCATAAGTATTTTCCATCTAATCCTGTAGGTCCTGGGCAATCCTTTTCTGAGATATACCATAGTGCCAAAGAAGGTTCCATAATGTTTTCGTATCCATTCTGTCAATCGCTTCCTCATAATCAAGGAAGTTGATATATGGTCATGAATCCCATTCAACTGATTGCTTAATAATGATTCGTAGTGTCGCGATTCAATTTGTACTCAAACAATCCTCACGATGTACGACTTGATGATCTCGAAGCTGGTTGTCTATTGAATTTTTCATCCCACTTAGCAACAATGGTTATAGGATACATTTACTATAAATTTTTCTGCAAAAATTCAATCATTTCAAATAATCTTTGCACAGCTGTTAAGCAAATGGAATGCATTTATATTATAAAAAAAACAAAGTCCATAACATGACATTTTTCCCCTCATTGATTGAAGCAAACAATTGTTTATAAAGTTTAAAATGAACATAACTATACAATTTTTCTTTGTTTTGTAGAAGAAAACATTAATTTATTTCCATAAGTTTATACTGTAAGCAAAAACTTGATTCTGAATACATATTTATTTTATTTGAACACATATATATTGGTACAGGAGTGCGCCAAACATATATGCGCCACACAATTTCAGTTCATTAATTGCGTGTGGGCTGCGTTACTGCCCGGGTCCCCAGACCGAAGCAGGTGGTTATCTTAGGGGGCCACACCCCGAGCCTTTGACCTAAAGGTCTAACCCACAAGGCAGTGGAGCATCGCAAGGAGATGCAGTCCCATGGTAGCTGGTGACCGAAAATTGCTTCATACGCCATTTGTTCCCGCAGGATACTGGAGCCCATGTGCACCATTGGTTTGGAATCCGGTTAAAGCACCAGACATTCGCTTTTCGTCCTCTCATTTTCGTAAACAACACCTCCGCCACGAGAAGGCAGTGAGTAGTACTTCCCTGGCAGAGGCTGTATACGCGCGGCCGTGTGAGAGTATTTCGAGAGGGAGTGCGAACCCATCCCACTCTCGGCCATACCAGGGCGTTTGGGGGCTCTAAATACATAAGATTAGTGTAACTCCTCGTTATGACATAATATCACTAGTTATAGTGTTGTAGAAAAATTTTGTTTTAATTTATACTATTCGGCAATTTCAAGATTTAGTCGAGGTATCTAAGTGGTTGTTGTTTCCTGATTGCTCACACAATGTAAGGATAAGCCCTCAAATGTCCTGATACGGCGGAGAGTGGGGAGAGTCCGCCCTCCCTCTCCAAATGCTCTCACATGACCACACATATATAGCCTCTACTAGGGAAGTCCTACTCACCGCCTTCTCGCACCAAGGGTGTTGTTTACGAAGTTGAGAGGACGAAAAGCGAATGTTCGTTGCTTTAACCGGGTTAGTGGACACAGAGAGTCCATCTAGGGGAGTTGGAAAGCCTTATTTCAAACCAATGGTGCACATGCGCTGCCCCCAGAATCCTGAAGAAACAAACTGCGTATGAACCAATTATTGGGACTGCATCTCCTTACGATGCTCCACTGGCTTGTGGATCAGACCTTCAGGTCGAAGGCTTCGGGTGTGACCCTCTAAGAAAACCACCTGCTTCGGTTTAGGTGTCCGGCCAGTATCACAGGACTCACACATATCAAATGAGATCTGTTTGGCGCATATGTATTTAGTGCCTCCTTGTACTAATATCTATGTGTTAAAATACAAAAAATAAAAGGTAAGGATACTTCAGGCATCTGGGAAATAAACTGGGTTGGGTCTAGTCTTAATGACTTGGTAATGTTACAGTTTAGCCTAAAGAGCATCTTCATTTCGTTCACGCACAGGTTTTCTGTAATATTTTTAACCCCTATACTTTCCAGATAAGAATCTGTGGACCAAGACATTTTCAGAGTCAACTTAATCTAACCCTTCGTGTTTTCGTTGAGAGAAAGCAATATCTCTGGTTATGCTGGTTTTCTTGATGAAACATATCACTCTATTTCAGTTTAGCTGACAGTATAGGTTCGCTGTTGTATCTCATGACTGTTACTTTCAGTATTATCGTTCTCCAATCAACCTGTCTATCGTGCTGTTACCTAAAGGATCGAGTTTTCCAGACGCTATTCACTTCATCGGGTCATTTCGGTTTGGATTCCCTACTACCACGTTTAGGTAGCAGCTACAGTCAGGTGTATGTACTTAACTTCCAGCCACAGTGTTTCTGTGTGTGTGTGTGTGTTATACAGAGATGTCACCAACTTGTTCTTAACGAATTAAGTATAGTAGCGAGTTTCAAACTCTCAACCTTATGTGTAAACATCGAGTGTTTTAATCAGTAAATCATCACTTCATCAATATTAAGTTTTTGTTATGATGATTTAGTTTGAATAACATCACTTGAATGATTGGTTCAATCGTAATAATAATTTGTTCACAGAAACATCGACCTATTGAAGCTACTCTTATATAACAACATATTAAAATAATTAGATCACAAAAAACTGCTATTCCTTAGCGGTTCTGATTTTTAGCTATTTTTGTGATACGATTATTTAATTTTGTATGTAATGTCGGTTAAACCATGACAAGAATGATCACATCTATTGAAGGTCCTAATTGGCCTACGATACTTGCGAATTAAGGAAACTATGGAGCTATTCGAATGTCGATAGTCATGTTGGATATTCGGTAACTCCAAAATTTGTCTTCTAACTCAGACAGAAGACAAACGTTATTTTGAGGGAAGCTGCATATTTGTTATGGCTCGAGATTCTAATTGATATCATGTACAATCTTCGCAGTCGAACCATTGACTTATTTCGCAAATTTACTAACTGATCATTGAATAGCAATCATGGTTCTAACGCTTATTGACCCTTGAGTTCTTTGTAACCCAGCAGACTAATTTTCTGTTGTACTAAATTCGATCGTAACTCAAGACTTTTACTGAAAATACTAGAACACATAACATATCCAATAGGAAATCACACTTTATAATCAACGAAGTCATAGATGGTGTAGGGCGGAAGAGACTGTCCATAATTAATCAGCGATAATTAGGGAATAGTAAAACCAGACATTCGCTTTTTGTGTTTTCAATTTCGTAAACAACAGTAATGCTACGAGAAGGCAGTGAGTAGGACTTCTGTGGCAGTGGCTGTATTCACGTGTTCATATCACAGCATTGCCCCCTCAACTGTACCAGGGCATTTGAGGGCGACTAGATACATAGTTGAAATGATTTTAATTGTTGGTTGAAAGTAGTCTGTAGAAACCTTATTTAATTGAGAATTCTTGTTATTTGCGTAATATCAACAAAGCATATCTATAGTCTCGACAGGAACTGATGTTTCTCGCGAGATTACTCTGTATGTCATCCAGTGTTGCTTAGATTATTCACTCAATTAATTTCAATGTTTTTTCTCGTTTATTTTATGTGTTTAGGTGTTTTACACTCGTCCAAGTATTCGTCAACCAATATTTGATTCATGGTTTAATACTGCTGTAATATATCATGATAATTATCCGAATTTCAGTGAACAAGTATGTTTATTATGTTTGTGTATGTGTGTATATAGTTTCTATGGATGATTCCGGTTGTTTATGATAGTTGGGTTTTTATAAAGTTTATTAAGTGTATTTATGTGTGTTGTTGTTGTTGGGTAATTCGCTATTTTTACAATTGTATACTTAAATCAATTAGTGTTAATCGAATTAATAATTTCACTAAAAGTATAATCAACATTTCAGACTGTAGATAGTTGTTACAGACTTTGTGGTTAGTTTCTTCTGATGTTAGCTGTAGCCCCAGTGGGGCTCCAGGCGGACAAATCTATAATAATTATACAACTTGGTTCTTATAGTCTTATCACATATATACTACACTAAACAAGAAATCAATGAATGCATCATTGCAATTAGTTACAGGTCCATAAAGTCATAATTTTTCTAATTAATGATGACTATTGATGACAATATTGTATTTTCAGAAGGGGTTTGTGGAGATTTTTGGAAATTTTCACAGATTGAAATCATGAGTCAGTTGAAGCTAGACCACCATTGAAAACCTGCTGAGGAGTCCCATACTAGGACGAAACGGCTGTCCAGCGCTTCCAGGTTTTCAATGGTGGTCTAGCTTCAACTGACTCATGATTTCAATCTGTGAAAAAAATATTGTATTTGTCTAAACTGAAGTAGGTAGACTGAAGGTCAAAACCACTCTCAGTTCAATAAATTAAAATCGTTTCATTGTGTTTGCTGCACTCTGATATCATTCAGTAAATCACTAACTCTAATCTGATTCTATCTGTTGAATTTAATACCTTATTTATTTCAATCCACTCTCAGACAACAAAATTGGTTCATATTTTAGTTCATGGTTGATAAGTTGGGTAGCTTTTGACCTATTTGTATAGTCATCAATGATCTTGATATTTGGGAAATATCAAATTAAGTAATGAATTTCTCATTATAAAAGGTTAACTAAACAAAAGTAATAAAATAACCAGTGGAACTTATCCATGTCAAGTAGAGACAGATATCTACCTCAGTACAATGAAAGATAGTCTCACAATTTCGTGGATTGGTTGAGGTTAGAAATTAACATTGTTGGATGCTGGCTCAGTGGTCCAGAGGTTAAGCGTGGACGCGAGACCGAATGCTCTGGGTTTGAGTGTGACGTGCGAGATTGTGGATACACTTTGCTGAGGAGTCCAATACTAGGATCTTAATCAAAAACTTAAGAATCTCCACAACCCAATGCTGATAATAACATTGTTTGTTGGTGAATATATATAAAGTGAAAACAAATGAGCTTGGGATTATTGCATAGGAAATTGTCGCAGAAATATAGTGCATGAATCCTATGTAAACTATACTGTCTAATTGCTTTAAGTATTCTTATCCGAAATCAGTTATCTTTCCTTAGCTTTAAAACTTATGATCTAAATAGCTCAGTGGTAATATTTCTGACTATGGGACGTTCTGATACTAGTTTGACTCTCATGAAGAGTGAGAGAATCAGATCTCAACGACTAATAGTTGTTATATCAACATCTTGGTTTTATTTGTATTGCTGCCTTCCCAATTGCCGGCAGTTTATTAAATAGAAATCATTGTAATTTCAACCAGGAAACTGCGTGTTTAGATCCTGTTTCGGTTTCAACAACTAGGTAGTACTTTGATGCGCCCCCCAAATGCCCTGGTACGGCCGAGGGTGAGAAGAGTCCGTTCTCTTTCGAGAAAGGTTCTCACATGGCTAAGCGTATACAGCCGCTGCCAGGGAAGTCCTACTCACTACCTTCTCACGACATTACTGTTGTTTACAAAACTGACAACACGAAAAACGAATGTTCATCGCTTTAACCAGGTTGGTGGACAAGGAGAGAGTCCACCTAGGGAGATCGGATTGATTCCAAACTAATGGTGCACATGGGCTACAGAATTCTAAGGGAACAAATGGCGTATGAACCTACTGTTGGTCAGCGGCTACTATGAGACTGCATCTCCTAACGTTGCCCCACTGATTTGTGGATCGGACCTTCAGGTCGAAGGCTGGGGATGTTGCCCCCAAAGAAAACCATCTGCTTCGGTTTGGGCACCCGGGCAGCATGGCAGTCTACACACAAATGCAGTGACTTGCGTGGCGCATATCTATTCCTTGCCCCTTCGTTCCGGTATTTATGTGTTCAAGTAAATAATCGTACTCTGACATAATTAGACATAAGTTAAAGCCAAATGCATAATCCATTTCTAAGTTACAGCGATATGTATTTAAAAAATCGTTTTAATTGAAATTTGTCCAAACCAGTTAGCCTGATAAACTTATTTAATGTAGCTGACAGTAATTTAGCTGATCATATGAAAGCTGTTCGAAAGTCTGAATATGAAAGAGATCTGTCGAAATTTTATGACGAAAGTCGAACATAATGAACATTGTTTTACAAACCAGAATATATATTTGTCCATCCAGTTGAAACCCAGTTGTTGCTGCTACCTTGACAAGGTGGTCGGGCTTGCCTATTGTAATGAACCAATCGATTTATACTGGCTGGAACAATCGTTCCTCAAGGTCCTACCATACCAGACAGGTCGGTTGAGGAGTAGTAAAACTAAGGGCAGCAAACCCATGGTTGGAGAGCGAAGTCGTACTTCTGACTGTATAGAGGTGTGACGGCAGTAAGGTGTTTCTTTCAGACAACTAGCATTACAGCGATGTTTGCTTTCCCACAAGGAGGGGGATGGGGTTGTAAATAAAAATCTTCCTAGCCAATCGATCATATATCCGTTAGGTGGAAGTTCATACTGTAAATCTTTGTTAAACACACTGTCGTTTACTGACATTCAAGTCCATTCTGTGTTACTTTTTTTTCAGATGACTTACTAATATTAACAATAGTTGTTCACTGTTGTTGCTTCGAATCATTTTCACATTCTCTTCATCATCATTGTTTTTCTCTCTCTTTTTTTATTTCCTTAGGCTAAAATCTGTTTACCATTAAATTTAACTTCAAAACATCATTTACTATTTCGTTTTTATCATGTAAGCTGTGAGACGGCTTCAACAAATTTATTAACTTCCAAAGAGAAATCTAATAGTAATAATACTAATAATAATAATAGTAGTGGTAGTAGTAATAATAAAAAACCTGTTGAATCAAGTACAGGCTATTCATGGATTCCAATACTTGGAACAGATGGAAAGTAAGTTATTTTTCAAAATCTGTTTAATGAACTAACATCAGGTTGTGTATAGATATGATTGAAAACTGAAGAATAATTGACAGCTATTACATTCTATTCTGAGGACTGTCGAGGTCGCACACACATAATCACCACACTGACCCCATAGTTTTCAAACAACGTGGTGTGAATAATTTTTTTACAATTTAAGTAAACTATTGATTAAGCTTAAAGTTATTAAGTCAATTCGATTTTAGCCGGCTTTTCAGGTCATCGATTCATTCCAGACTTGAGATATCTATTTTCAATGTTAATAATTAACATATAGCTATTATTTACTTCAGTAATAATAATGAGATATTGTGCATTTTGAAATCTTCCGTAGGAAAGCTGTCTGATGTGTTAAATTAAAGATTATTCACTAGGGGCGACATATAAAACAATTGAGATGTCGATTATATGTTTAAATATAATTGGTTCTTTAGACCATTATGAACCATGGAATCTATAATCAATATAAGTATTAATCGCGAGGTGTGATGCCGACGTATACCAGAAAGTCACAGCATTCTCATCAAACACAACTAGGTCCTCAATCATCGACACAGATCACCTACGTTGGTGATTTACAAACTGCTGATTTACTGAAGCTCCATTCCAACTATTACCAATATTGAATTGAAACGAACAATAGGTGAATAAAGTACATATTCATTTTTACTGTTGTTAGCGATGAATAACGGTTATTTTCTTATACTTGACATCGTTCGATGAATACTGTATCTACATGATTGATGATTATAAACTTCTAGTCTCCTTAACTTTTATTACATACTTACACATTGGATTTGTCTACCTTTTTTTCCCATCTTCTACTCTGTCTACTTTCTATCTATCAGTTTAAATGTTGGCACATTTCAACTTCGTATTGCATCAACTATTCATCCGGGTTATTTACAACAATCAACTATACAAGTAATTCACCTTTTCATTTATCCTATTTATTTGTGTATATTATTGATCGTGATGGTAATGATAGAATACACTCAGTCAGCTATAAGCAACTTAAAAATATAGCATATATATGCTTTGAGTTTAAGTTGCTACACTATATAAGCCTTAGAGAATTGAAATGTATATCTGGAATAGTTTATCTAGTTAATAAAAACTGTAAATCGTTTAACTAAATAAATACGTATAACAACAAACTAAGTTGAAGTCTTATTGTGGTGTATGCTACTGATGTCAATAGATATAAGTAGTATGTATCGTCAATAAAAAGTGAAGTACCTAACAGTAGAAGATTAAAAAGATCGAAGAAAAAAAGAACGAGAACAGGTAATGATTGGTGTGGAAATAAAAACGATTTGACGATTTGATTGACATGTTGCAAATGAAGTATTTAATGTATGATTCTAAGATTTTACTAAGATATTCTGCATTGTTATAATAAAATCTATCCTCCTTCACTGCATTACGATCGGTCATTATTTCATAAACTTCATTTTCATCTGATGAGTTAATCAAAATCATAATATGAATTTCAACGAAGGGATCTCTTTTCAACAAATTTATTATCAAACTGTACAATCGTATATTTATGTGAAGTTTTGTGTGTGTGTGTGTGTGTGCGCGCTAATCCCGTGAGGAGCAAGGGCTAAACAATTACGAAGAAATTCATTAGGTTATGAGGAAATGGGAGGGGGCTTATTTCCTAATACAGAATAAAATAATGATAGTAATGATAATAATATTAATAGTTTAAGGCCAAAGTAACATTAAGGATAAGAAGTACTTCTTTTGTACACTTCATTTCATGAATGAAAAGAGCTTCTGCCATTTTAAAGAATTGCATTGGAAGAAGTTTAAGTGGATTTGAATGAATTACATAATTAACTTTAAAATCAACCTGTGGATCAGTGGAGTGATTAGAGTCGATTAAGTGTTTAAGAATGTAACTTCTAACTGCTTTCTTTTCATATTTGCAGTACAATACTGGGAAATGTTCTCGTATCCAAGTTAGAAGCAGGCGCTGGCTACGGCCTACATACTTTGCTCCATAAAAGCAGGGCAACTGATAGGTTCATATAGAGGCGAGAGATACAATATTTCCAGAATAACATGATTTCATTCTACTTCAAAGTTTCTCATTAGCTTCAAATGACCTAAATATAACATTTATAGTATTATTTCGATAGAACAATGAGAAGATGGAGTTGATTTGAGAAATATGATGTATTTGCGCGATCCATTTCAAACAATCTGATCACACATATTTATCAAGGCACCTTATATGAAAATTAATAAACGTCAATTGAATGAAGGTTCAAGTAAACAAAGTGATAATTATCGGTATGGGGATTTATGGAGATTGTAGTATTTTCACAGTTGAAATCATGAGCCGATCTAAGCTAGACCGCCATTGAGAATGTGATTCGAGCTTTGCGTGCTAGATTGTGGATGCTTACTGCTGAGGAGTCCTATACTAGGATGAAACATTCGTCCAGTACTTGCAGGTTTACAGTGGTAGTTTATCTTAGATCAAATTGTAATTTCAGCTGTGAAGTAAGTAGTAATTGTAAATAAACGAGAGAGAAAAAACATTACCCCAGGCCATTAAATTCCATAAGGATGCGACAAGTCGTTTCCGTACAAAAATAAGGGGGTTCGAATTTACAAATAACCAAGGATTCTATAAACCTAAGCATTTGTTCTTGACTATTTCTATAGAACGTTGTCAAAGCTGTATTGATTTTATTTCTGTGCCGTGTTTCAATTATATTCTTTGCTATCGATGAACATGGTTTTCTACTTCCTACGTTTTAACAAGAGAAAATAGCATATTTAACATAATAGCTCAAATTAACTAGTATTTCATATGTTGCTTTCATAAGGAGATGTAAATTCATATATATATACTTGAAGGTGACCTCAGAAGGATATAGATCCACTTATGATTAATTTAAAGAATATCTGATGTTATATACACTGAAAATAGTTGAACTGCAGGGAAGCTTCTCGTTTTAACACTGTTTTCATCCTTTTATCGATTCTATGTGAAACCTCCTCACCTTTAAGTACCAAACGAATAAAGACTGGTTTACTGTTAACAGTTGTTTGTTTTGGACTTTTAGTAGTCATTTTTCTATACTTCATAATAAGGTTCTTTGTATATCCATCTTTCATAAAGTTTTTTTTCGATGCTTGTTATTTTTTCCTTGATATGTTGTTTCCTCTTGTTACTGAAGTCGTTCCAAACTAAACTTTATTGATTATAGTATGTAATAAAATCCTTTTGTAATAATATTACTGTAAGATCCAGGCTGTATGTAGCTGATGAGAAGCCTTAAAATATACTAATTTTGTCTTAAATTATAACTGAATAGCTTGAAATTTTCAATAATCTACTCAGCTATCTGGGAATTATAAGCAGTGATAGGTGGGGGTTGGTAGTGGAATCCAGAACGTATATTTCGTTCTATTTGGGGCTCGTCATCTGGATGTAACTACATCTCAGAGTTGATGTTCATTTCGGGACTCGAAGCTAGTACTGTTCTGTTTAAACGCCTTCGCGTTATCCACATAGCTACAAGCTTCTCGACCGAAGCTGCTACCTTGACGCGGTGATCGGGCTTGCCTATCGTGATGACCCAACCGAGCTATATTGGCTAGAACATATGTTCCTGTAGGTTCTACCATGCCAGGCAGGTCGATTGGTGAACTGTAAGACTAAAAGCAACAACTCAAGGTCTGAGGGCGAAGTCGTATTGCTGACTGTAGAGGAGTGTGACAGCACTAAAGTGTTTCCCTCGGACAACCAGCATCTACGGCGATGCTGCCTTCCCGCAAGGAGGGGTGGGGTTAGCAAAGATCGACCCTAAAAAAGTCACACCTCACCTTACCTCACGGATTTCCGTCTCCGGCGGTAAGGCCCTTTGAAGAACGGAGCTAACATATTAAAGACCTCCCACAAAAAGGCCGTGCGCGACCGGCCTCAAGCAGTTATCCCTTGGGCTCTGCGGTCACGCTCTCGGGCCGTTAAGACCAACACTAATCCAATTTCCTTTTCAGGTTCCTCAAGAAATACCCTTCCATGGTGTGGGCAGCCGGGAAGTGACATCAGCCCTCATACCCGTAACAGCACACGAGACCAAGTTGGTCACATTCAAATCCTTCCTACACCTCCTAATACCTATCTTATCTCCATGATTAACCCTCCTCACGTCTCTTTATCACCTCGTACCGCTAGGGCAAACGATTCGAGTACGTGAAACGCTATTTCTGGTCTCCTAAAACCACGCTCTAAACTACACGTAGGAGCTTTTAACGTACGAACACTGTGCCAAATAGGTCAGCAGGCTTCCTTAGCTAGGACTTTAGAATCTCGCGCCATCGACGTGTGCTGCGTCTCCGAAACGCGCATACAGGATCCGAGTAGCGTCATTCATTTGACCTCACCATGCCAAAATAAAGAACCAACTCGATTTACGCTTCGTGTATCTGGAAGCCCTGATTCTGCTTCCCGTGGCCTCGCCGGCGTAGGTATAGCATTGAGTCCTAGGGCAGAACTAGCTCTCTTAGACATGATCCCAGTAGACAGTCGTTTGTGCGCTGTCCGACTAAACGGAACACTAAGGACTCGGAAAGATAGGGACACTCGTCGTTGCCTCTTCGTCGTCTCTGCCTATTCTCCCACTGACTGCAGCTCAGATGATGTAAAAGATGAGTTTTACAGAAAGCTTTCGGACCTTCTCCGAAAAGCTAAGCGCTCGGATGTAGTAATGGTGGCCGGTGACTTTAATGCTCAAGTAGGTAAACTAAGCGATAGGGAAAGACACCTAGGTGGATCTTATGGTGTCGTGGCTCAAAGAACAGATAATGGCGACCGTCTTTTGCAGCTATGCTCAGATAACCGCCTGTTCCTTGCAAATACTAACTTTAAACATAAGGAAAAACATCTTTTAACATGGTGACCCCCGAATTCGTCCCAACGTTGGACCCAAATAGATCACATCGCTATCAGCCACCGATGGAGGGGCTCGATAGAAGACTGTCACTCATTCTGGAGCACATACTTAGATTCAGATCATGCTCTAGTGCGAGCGCCTATTTGCTTGCGTCTTACTGGACGTAGGAAAGACGCTGCAAGGAAACCTCTTAGGGGCCTACTTAATGATAGTCAAGCTAAGAGTATATTTCAGGAACAACTAGGAAAACAGTTAGGCAGCCATGTATGTGATGCCCACCCCGATGCAGCATGGAATAATATCCGAAAAGCTGTGGAAACAGCAGTGATATCTGTTAGTAAGGTAAACCAGAAGGTTAGGGAGCAACACTGGATCTCAGCTGCATCTATCGCACTGATAGATGCTCGGAAACTCATTCCACCTGGCCCTGAACATAATGAAGAGCGGAGTCAGCTTAAGCACAAGCTGACAAGAAGTCTACGCTATGATCGCGAACAGTGGTGGGTAGCGAAAGCAAGAGAGATGGAAAAGGCAGTGGCAATAGGTAATAGCAGACAATTGTTCATACTTGTTAAGGAAACCGGAATTAGGAACCCGACCGTTAGCGAAACACTCTCAGAGAAAGATGGACATATTATACATTCTCAATCCAGGAGATTGGATCGATGGGCAGAACACTTTAGGGATCAATTCAACTGGCCTTCAGCCACGCTTCGGTTTCCCACGATCTCTAGTCAACCTGGATGGCAAGTTAATGTAGGTCCTCCGACTCTTTACGAAGTTGAAAAAGCTATAGGAAATCTGAAGCGAGGGAGAGCAGCAGGCCCTGACAGGTTTAAGGATTTTAAGGATGGTGGTCCAGTATTAGCAATGAGATTAACCGAGGTCTTAGGTAGAATTTGGGAACTGGACGTAATCCCATCTGACTGGTCTCAATTACTGATTGTGCCAGTCTATAAGAAAGGACAAAAGTCCTCTTGTGACAATCATAGAGGAATCAGTTTGACTAATATAGTGTCTAAAATATTAGCTTCAATAATACTTCGACGCCTAATCAAAGCTCGTGAAGAGCAGATTAGAGAAAATCAGGCTGGTTTTCGACCTGGACGTGGTTGTATAGACCAGATATTCACACTACGTCAGGTTCTAGAACACAGACACACATTCAGACGCCCCACAATGGTAGTATTTCTCGACCTTAAGGCGGCATTCGACTTTGTTGATCGTGAGGTTCTATGGCAGTGTTTGTCACTGAAAGGAGTACCAAAGAAGTACATTAACCTTATAAAGGCTCTCTACTCGAACACAACTGGTAGAGTGAGAGCTTATGGCGAACTGTCATCAGAATTGATTACCTCAAGTGGTGTTCGTCAGGGCTGTCCACTCTCCCCATTCTTGTTCAACTTTGTGGTCGACGTACTTTTAGAGATAACACTTTCCTCATCTAGATTTCCAGGGGTTGGACTTCTACCGGGAGGTTCACTTGTTCACTTAGAATATGCAGATGACATAGTTTTATTTGGTGAAGACGCTGACAAAATGCAGAGTCTTCTGACCACTCTAAGCAACAATGCAAGCATGTTCGGGATGCGATTCTCTCCCTCGAAATGCAAAATGTTGCTTCAGGATTTGGTTGCATCAACACACGAACTAATGATAGGGAGTGAAGTAGTTGAGTGTGTCGACCGCTTCACTTATCTTGGAAGTCTGATCAGCCCTTGTGGTCTGGTGTGTGACGAAATCTCAGCACGGATACAGAAGGCTCGACTAGCTTTTGCCAACTTGCGTCATTTATGGCGTAGGCGAGATATCCGTCTATCAACCAAAGGACGTGTTTACTGCGCATCAGTTCGTCCCGTCCTACTTTATGGCAGGGAAACATGGCCGGTAAGAGTAGAGGATATCCGTAGGCTACTAGTATTTGATCATAGGTGTCTTCGAAACATTGCTCGTATATCGTGGGACCATCGAGTAAGTAACACAGTTGTTAGGAAACGGGTACTAGGTGAGGATGGCAAATCAATTAATGAAGTAGTGAAATTTCATCAGTTGAGATGGCTAGGACACGTGTTACGTATGCCCAACGACCGACTACCTCGACGTGCTATGTTCAGTGGTATAGAAGTAGGTTGGAAGAAAGCTAGGCGCGGCCAAACCAAAACATGGCACAAGTCCATGAAGTCACTGACAAGTGGACTGAGTCATGTTGGTAGGTGTAAACTACCTGGTTGGGGACCGCGAGATGATAGCAACCGATGGTTAGAGACCTTGAATGACATGGCTCAAAATCGTTTGCAATGGCGCAGGTGCATCCACTCTTTGTGTTCTCCCAAATTCTAATCTTCTGAATTCTTCATGTCCCTTTTTTCTTCGTTGTCAACAGATTAATGTCTAATGAATAGGCACTTTCCATTATTCCTAATGTTCACGTTAGCGAAAACAGACTTATAAAAACAATGAGTGTGCAAACAAAAAACATGGCTTTATTGTTAGGGGTTTACGAAGATTTTGTTTACTTGAGCGTACAGACAAATGACCTGGGGAAAGTCGAAAATCAAACAAATTTCCTACCTAGCAGTTAGTCTTTATTCATGATGCAAGTAGAACTTTGTTCAATCAATCAGGTACTCCATTAATGTATGTTTAGTTCAAGCTAATATAATTCTTCAAATAAATAACTAATATCACCTATTTTCACATTGGCATGTACAGATAATATATCTAAAAGTCCAGTACTTAAACTTGTACTTGATTTCTGAGTAGCGTTAACTAACCAGTGCTTCCAGGCTTTCAGTGGTGGTCTAACATCAATCGGTTCATGATCTCATTCAAAGACTTAACAATCTCTAGAACCTCTAGACTGATAATTACCATGTTCTCACTAATAACTAGCTTCGTGAGAAAATTCTCGAAGTTCTAGTGAGAGGCCGTGACTAGTGGAGCTAATCCATGTCAGGTAGAGACAGGTATCTACCTCAGTAAGATGGAAGATGGTCGCACAATTTCGTGGATTGGTTGGGGTTAGACATTAACATCGTTGGATGCCGACTCAGTGATCCAGCAGGTTAAGCGTTCTTGCGCGAGACTGGAGGCCCTGGGTTCGAATCCCACGGGCAGGACCGTGGATGCGCAATGCTGAGGAGTCCCACAATAGAACGAAACGGCCGTTCAGTGCTTCCAGGTTTTCATTGGTGGTCTAACATCAATCGGTTCATGATCTCAATAAAAATACGTATATTCTTCCTCATTTTTTGTCTATAATCGTTAAAGTTATTTTTATGAAAATGATATATTCACTACCATTCATTGTAATAATCGATTGTATATTACGTCAAAAAATCTATTTTCCAATCAAATCAACATTTTCCACTGAAAATTGTTGTTATGGTAACAGTAAGTTGAAAAAGTTTTATCGAATTGTTTAGTGTATATCACTTTTTTTACTAATATTCGACAACTACTGAGAGTGAGGAGTTCGCTGGATGTGAGGTCATAAAGCTATTCACTGTCGAGGAATCCTAGACTGGAACAAAAGAACAAGATCCAGCTATGTAAACTACAGATTTAACAATCCTGAGAGTATACAGTTTTCGTCATGTTTATTATTTGTATGGTAAAAAAATGATCAGATTTTATTGAACTGAAACACTGGTTCAATGTTTAGAAATAACATTACACTTATCCGAGTAGTAGTCACTATCATGTTTGTGTATGTTTTTATTGATGATTGGATTCTATGATGTTGGGAATGGTTGGAAGAAGGTTAGGGGCGGTCAAACCAAAACGTAGCATCAGTGCTTGAAGTCACTAACTTCTAGTCTGAGCCATGTTGTTAGATGCAGACTACTTGGTTGGAGTCCGCGTGACTTTCGTAACCAATGGTTGGAGACTGTGTGTGACATGGCTCAGAATCGATCACAATGGCGTCGGTGTATACACTCTCTGTTTTCCCTCAAACTAAGAGACTAAAATTATTTTATATCTTTCTATCTACGTACTAAATCTTTCTTCCTGTATTATATCCTTATTGCAATCTTTCTTTTATATATTACCACCTCTGAATTAACTACTTTTATGAATGCGGTGTCCATCTTTTTGTGTTAATGAGGTATGGCAACTTGGACCGATGCATATATATACCTGGTCCTACGTTGTAGCTGACTGACTGACTGACTGGATTCTATGGATCATGATTGCATTTTGTAACTTTATCAACAGAGTTAAATGATTAATAAAGAAGCTGGAGAAATAAAAACAGCAATTACTATTCATAGATTCATCAGTTTTAAAAGTATCAGTTCTACAGGAGGTCAGTCAAGGACAAAATTATTCAATAGCCCCGTGCGTTTCACTGTCCAGCCAGTCAGTAACAACGTAGAACTTCGTACGTACGTACATCCGTTCAAGTCGCCATATCATTTTTGCACACAGATACAATTGTCGATCCAAATTCCGTAGTGGTAGATGTAGTAAGAGTATAAGCAGTAATCGGAAAGATTCGGGTTTGAAGGTGTTATTCAAGGAGTATAATCCAATGAAATAAATTTGGAAAGAGAAGAAAAAAATGGACATTAAGAATTCAGAAGATTAGAATTTGGTAGAACACAAAGAGTGGATGCATTTGCGCCATTTCAAACGATTTTGAGCCATATCATTCTAGCCATCGGTTTCTATCATCTCGCAGATCCTAACCAGTTAGTTTACACCTACTAACATGACTCAGTTCACTTGTCAGTGACTTCATGAATTTGTGCCATGTTTTGGTCCATCCAGTCACTATAATTATTTGTTCATTTGAGAATGCTTTATTCAATACTCATATTTAATAGTTTCAGGTTGTTCTTTTTACGGTAATCATTTTGTTTTGAATTTCTTCAGAACTTTCGTCATTCAAATCTAAATGACACTAGTGGTGGAATTAGCTTGCCATTCAATATCGGCAATACAAACTCTACGAATAATAATAATAATAATAGTGGTAATTCCAATGATTTCACTTGGATTGATAATGGGAAATATTTATTTAAAGTTGATCTGAAACCTTTATCATCTATATATACACATGATCCAATATTGTCAAAATTCTTTCGTGTTTGTAGTGATCTACTACCACGGATGTTGTACTTATCATCTACGAAAACAAATAATGCAGATAAACAGAAGGTATCTTAATTTATTTGTTTCCAGGGATATTTTCAACTGTTTCTAGTTGAATTGATTCCTTATAGTGTAATTTTCTATTCTATATCATGCCTTTTTATGTCTCACCGTTGAAATTCAATCGATCTAACTTATGTAGCAATCATATTGTTTTTGTAGTGGTTAGAAATATTTATTACTTAGTTTCCCAAATCGCATCAATTTTAGTCAGTTTCAAACCTTTAACCTACTACTGTTGGACGTTGAATGTTTTAATCACAACGCTATCGTTCATCATCTCTCTCTTTTTGGGAAATATCGTTACCTTGGGGGTTAATTTCATTCTGTCGATATTATATATTTTAATATAGGAGTAATTTATATTTGGTAACCCCTGAGTTTAGTATATTGATTTAATTATCATTGGTAAGGATTAATACTTCCCCATTGTTAATATTCAAGACTTCCTTAGATGTCTGCATTGTTTCGTATTTGGGACCTTGGACGAACTTTTCTATATTAGCTACTGTAGCTAGTTGATTATATTTTGAGTAATGTAAACCAAGATAAGTATTTCGTTCAGTTTCGGACTCATCATTTGGACATACCTGCATCTCTTGTGTGATGCACCAGCCATGTTCGTGCTTAGTGAAACCGATTGGATCTTCTGGTAAGAAGAATACATTTAATGCCGTACAAACCCACCGTGCAGGTGTTTTCCCCTAGGGAAGTCGTTGTAAACTGTTGGGACGGATTCTGAGGATTAAAATGGAGCCTCCAGAAGCCGTAAACGTGCCAAAGAGTTCCCATCCAATCAGAACTTGATGGAGCTTTCTAGAATATCAATGTGACATACTACGATTGAACAGTAGCATAACCTTCCTCTTCGCGGATTGGCTGAATTATAATGATGTTATAACTAACTCTAATATCTATAAATACCTATGATTTTCCGTACATTTTGGTTTTTACCTCACAAGCACTTCTCGAGCTTTCTTCTGGTTTTGCGACTGTGGGGTTCTATGCGTTCGAATGCCGTAGTTGCATATGGTATTCAGTGTTAATCAAGTAACAAACATAACAGAAACCACCTAGGTGTTGGCTCTCAGGCATCTCACCAGGGGAAAGTGTAATCTACATGCGTAGCGATAACACAAGTTTACACCCATGGATCCCTTGGCATACACATAGGTATATTTATTTATATGGGAGCGTAGATGGTCTCTGATTTTATTAGATACTAGGTAGAGATTTTTTCAGAAGGAGGACCAGGTCGGATTTTGTTGTCAAAAAATCCGGCGATGCACGGTATTCCCACCCGGTCACCCATGGAAGTACTGATCATGCCCAAGTTCAATAATCGGAACAGAACCGGTGTTTTCAACGTGGTATAGTTACCTTCTGATGTATACTGACTTCGAAACCTCCAGTGTACACCGTTTCAACTTATATTGTGTTGCATAGCACTAATTCATGTTAATTACGAAACCTGTTTAAGGGCTGTAATATTTACTGTTAATTATGAGGGATTGTATTCCTCTATTGTTGAAAATTCTGGACTTCATTTATCAGTCCCCATTAAATAGGTGGTGTCCTTAATTATTACTATTCCTCTTATCATTATCGATTAATTTCTGTTTCTGCATTTCTTAGAGAAGCTTTTACCAATGACGATTATTAATAGTACTTACCTACCCAAAATTTAATACTTCAGTTGCATGACCAATGGTTGTGTCAATAAAATGTTTTAACATCGGTAAATGAATTTTGTGGAGATTTTAGAATTCACATAGTTTGCATCATTGACTGATCTTAGCTAGACAAGCGTTGAAGACTTGTGATCACTGAAGTTCAGTCATGTCGAGTGTGACACTGTTTCCATTCACAGGCAATGGAAGATGATGCACAATATCGCGAATTGGTTAAAATTAAATATGTACAGCATTTGGTACTCGTCCATTTGTTTAGAAGTGAAGTGCTTGGTGCGAAACTGTTGGTCATGAGTTCTGTCTCCGATAGAGCCTCTAGATACTCATAACCTTAGGAGTCCTGTACTAGAACGAAAATGTTTACCAGTGATTCTTGGTTTCCAGCTATTGTCTAACTAAACTCACTCCATGATATAAACCAGAAAAAATGTTTTAATCACTAAACTATCACTTTTCATGATACTTAACAAATTCTTTCTAATCATAATATACAATTGAAAATTTCTACGGATTCATTTATGTTTGTTTTACTTTTCACAGCAAAATCATGTTACATTTCGTGATGATACTGTTGTAATACAATCTAATAATATTGATTCATCATCATCATCATTATCATCTTCATCTTCAAAACGTATCAGTATTACAGGGGGTAATATTTCTAGTAACAGTATATTACATAATGCAACATCAATTCATTTACATTTATGTAATGCTATGAAAGCATTATTATTGATTAGTCCAACTGCATTAGTACAATTTCTACCAGTTATTCTTAATCAATTTATGGAGATCATTATTCTTAGTGCTGAAACAAGTGAAAAATGTTTTCAACAACAACAACAACAACAGCAGCAGCAGCAACAGCAAATAGCTCAACTATCAGATTCAATCAACAAAGATCTTAGTAATACTGCTGATACTTCGGAATATTTATGGTTTAGAAGTTTAAAAAATAATTATAATAATATGATTAGTACAAATACAACAAATTATACTACTACTACTACTACTACCACTACTATTACTAGTAGTAATAATAGTACACCGGATGATGTATTGAGAACAGCTATTAGGTGGGTTGTTTTCTTTTTGTACACTAAGTACAGCTTTTTTTGCTTTACATAATTTCAGTAATTTCCATAGTCAGAGGGGGAAATATGATCATTTGTATATTGTATTTAAACAATTAGTCATGAAATGTATATTAGACTCGCTTAACTCTGCGGTAACTCAATTTATTTGCAACTATCAAGTCTAATCTTGGCATTGTTACCTATAAACTTTTCTATCTTTTATTTTATGGCTTTATTTATCTATAGAGTTGAAATAGTTGAGCTTATTGACACTTTCAATTACCTTTGAAGTCTCATCAGTTCTGATGGTTTGTTGTCTAATGAAATCTCGGCATGAATGCAGAAATCTCGAATGACTTGCGTCACTTTTTGTGTAGGCGAAATATCCGTCTATCAACCATAGGAAAAATTTACTGTACAACAGTTCTCTTTGTTTCAATTTATTTTGGATGGTCATTAAGAATAGAATATCCTCGTAGACTACTAGTGTTCGATCATAAGTGTCTTCAAAGGATTGCTCATGTCTTTTGAGATCATTAAGTAAGTAACACCTGGTTAGGGATAGGGTAATAAGCAAAGATAGCAGGTCAGTTCATAAGGTGGTAAATGTTCGTCAAGTGAGGTAGTTGTGACATGTGTCACGCATCCCCAACCACCACCTGCCTCGACGTGCGATGATGGCTGATGTTGGAGTAGGTTGGAAGAAGGCCAGGCACGGCCAAACCGGAATATAAGATCAGTTCATGAAGCTATCGACAACTGACCTTGAGTCATGTTCGTAGGTGCGGACTTCGTGATTGGGCTCTGCAATGATAATCATAACGATTGATTACAAAACTTTGAGTGACATGGCTCAGAACCGTTTACAAAGGCATAGGTGCATTCCTGTCTTTAAATTCTTCTCTTGGACTCATGTTTTCCTGATTGTATCTACGATGCCTAATCTTCTCCATTATCACTTTTACTCTAACTTTGCTAATTTTGGATTCGCTCTAATATTTTCGTCTACCTATGTTAATGGGATTTGACAGCTTGAACCAATGTATCTACTTATTCACTTATTTATTTAAACACGTAAACATTGGTACAAGGAGGCACCAAATAGATATGCACCACATAAATTATTCGATTTATGTGAGGACGAGGATACTACCCGGGTGCCCAAACCGAAGCAGGTGGTCTTCTTAGGAGGGCCACACCCGGAACCTTCGACCTATAGATCTGATACACAAGGATGTGGAGCAACGTATGGAGATACAGTCCCACGGTTGCCAGTGACCAACGATTGGTTCATACACCATTTGTTCCTTCAGCATTCTGGAGTCAACCCATGTACATCAGGGTTTTCCAACTCCCCTAAGTAGATGCTCCGTATCCACCAACCCTGTTAAAGCGACGGACATTCACTTTTCATCCTCTTAATTTCATAAAAACACCCTCTCCACAAGAAGGCAGTGAGTAGGACTTCATTGTATTACACCGAATCATAATCAATTAATGGAGGGGGGAGTGTGGATGGGAATAAAACTGTTTCTATATTGATGATTACAAATTACATTATTCTTTAGTAAATTATACATTTTGTTTAAATACCAATCTATCCTTTCGTTTAATTCAATTATATATCAATTTAATTCATTAGAATATAATCTAATAGCTTGTGGTATATCTTCACATGTCTTTCCGTAATAGATCTTGTCACGCTTATTACCCTTTTTATCACGTTTAATGAACCGACTTGGTTAATATTTTGATTTGTCCTATCGATTAATTGATCAATTGGATCGTATATATTGAGTAAATCAGTAACTGAACGTTACTTTCCAAGGTTTTATTTTATTCAATACACGTGAATTTTAGTACGATTAAAGCACCCAAAAGTTTGTGTTCTAAATAAACAGAGTTAACATTGAGGAGAAATAAAGCACACACACACAGAGAGAGAGAGAGTGACAGAGAATACAACTACAAATAATTGATTGAATAAAAACAGTACGTAACAGAAGATGTTCGTGTTAACAATGGAATGGGAAGAAACTTCCTTTAATTAAGCAAGTCCCTGTCACTTTTATCATTGAACGTGAAAGAAAACTCCATTGGGATAGTCATTAACTTCTACTATGAGTCGTGTCTGATAACGTTCTGAACTATTGAGTTGCACCATCTCTAAGTCGTGATCGGTTGATATATGTCACTTGTACACGGATTTATTTCATACAATAGTGCTATGTCATGAACCAAACAGTTCTCCGCTTCTTTACCCACCCATGAATTAAGGGACGAGTATAATGTGCGGCAGTTCGTTCTGTTCTACTTTACGGCTGCGAAACTTGGCCACTAAGAGTAGAAGATATTCGTAAGCTACTAATATTCGACTACAGATGCCTTAGAAATATTGCTGGTGTCTGCTGGGATAACCGGGTAAGTAATAGTGAGGTTAGATGCAAGGTATTAGGGAATGATGGTAAATTAGTTGATGAGGTTGTGAATCTTCATCAACTGAGATGGTTGGGCCACGTGTTACGTATGCCTGAACACCGATTACCACGACGTGCAATGTTAACCGGTGTTGGAGATGGTTGGAAGAAAGTTAGGAGCAGCCAAACCAGAACGTGGCATCAGTTCATAAAGTCATTAACTTCTGGTGTGAGTCATGTTGGTAGACGCAGACTACTTGGTTGGGGTCCGCGTGACTATCGTAACCAATGCTTGGAGACTCTTGATGAAATGGCACAGAATCGATCACAATGGTGTAGGTGTATACACTATTTGTCTTCCCTTAAACTATGAGATTAAAATTGGTTTATATCTTTCTTTCTATGAACTAATTCTTTCTTCTTGTACGATATCCTTATACACAATCTTTTTTTGTATATTACTACCATTGAAGTGAATACTACTATGAATCCGGTGTTCATCTTGTTGTGTTAATGAGGTATGGCATCTTGGACCGATGCATAATGTATGTGCCTGGTTCTACGTTGTGACTGACTGACTCTACTCAATCATTATAGCGTTATCAAAACTCCCTTCAATAAAAGTAGCTGGGACGGCATTCTTAAGACAGATAAGTCACACTTATTATTAATGACCCGATGATATCCTTGTCAATATACTCCATTTACTAATTTTATGATAAGTAATTCGATCTATAAAGTTTTAAAGATGAGGCGGTTATCATCACCACATACTTTCTAGAAGTCTCAACTTTTCTATGTTTACTTGTTAGGGAATTTGTTAGTTAGTAACTTTGAGTGACATAAATCATAATCGTTTACAATGATACAGATGGGTTCTTCATTTTGTCTCTCTTTAGAATATAGTTTTTGAAATCCTCTTATACTTCTTATTTTTCTTCCTCTGTACCTATGCTATTCCTATTACTTTAAGATTTGTCTTGAAATTATTTTATCGCGTTATGGTAATGTGAACTGATATACATGTGTCAAATTCTACGTCCTACATACCTGACTGACTGACTGACTTTCTTGATATTTGCTAATCCAGATTTATTGTGTTAAATGTTCATAAACTAGAAGTCATAATTGTCAGTGCTGTATACATAAATTTAAGACACATTGAATTCATAGTTTATAAGATATAAGGATGTAGAGAATTACAGAAACTTGTCACATAGATTATTAATCCATTCACTTAAGCATTTATGTAATAGAAATGACTTAAACATATTTAGACTCGTTCATCTACTTTTTATATCTCATTCATATTAGCTTACACCTTTGTCAGCAATTGATTTAAGAATCTACACATAACTAAACGGATTTTTATTTTGTCCTACTAATAGCCCTCAAATGCCCTAGTACGGCCGAGAATGAGAAGAGTCAGCTCTCCTTCTCGAAATGCTCTCACATGGTCACATGCATATAACCACTGTCAGGGAAGTCTTACTCATTGCCTTCTTGTGGAGAGGGTGTTTTTATGAAATTAAGAGGACGAAAAGTGAATGTCCGTCGCTTTAACAGGGTTGGTGGATACGGAGCATCTAATTAGAGGAGTTGGAAAACCCTGATGTACATGGGTTGGCTCCAGAATGCTGAAGGAACAAATGGTGTATGAACCAATCGTTGGTCACTGGCTACCATGGGACTACATCTCCATACGTTGCTCCACATCCTTGTGTATCAGACCTATAGGTCGAAGGTTCCGGGTGTGGCCCTCCTAGGAAAACCACCTGCTTCAGTTTGGGCACCCGGGTAGTATCCTCGTCCTCACACAAATCGAATAATTTATGTGGTGCATATCTATTTGTTGCCTTCATGTACCAATGTTTAAATAAATATTTGGTCTTGATTAATAAATTTCCGAATACATCCATACACCTAACAGCTCAATGTAGTACACAAGATAGCAAGTAAAAAACTAGTGGCAAAGTGATCGCAAAGCGATCGATGGGATTCTATCAGCACCAAATAGTTAGACAAAGACGATATTGATCCAGTACTTAATGTCTAATCAATTTCAAGTATCTCAATGTTGCCGGAGATTATTCGCTGTCCGAATACCTCATTGTTGATATATCAGGTTATGTTGTGCGGTGATGCAGACTTACAGGAAGTGAGTGCAAACTACTATGTACCTTCAATGATTTGTGTTACATGACACCATACTAAATCTCATTTTATTCAACTTTACATTGCGAAAACGGCTTTCTTTTTCTGTAATCAACTCACTGTTGTAAGCCATTAATTAAATTTGTTTGTTAAGATTTCTTTTTGGTTGTTGTTATGGAATACCGTGTTGTTTAGATTCTAGTAAATATAATTTTGTACTTTTTTCAATTCTAGTACATTAGCTATGCTTGTCTCTGAATTGAATGCACAAATTCCAAATGATAATTGTTATTATCCAATCAAGTCAACAAATGATACAGCTTATTTAGATAGTGCAGTCGATTCAAACATATCAAGTGGTGAACGTGTAAAGCACAATTTATTGAAAACTTATGTAGAGGTAAGTTGTAAAAAATTCTTCTTGGTTTTCGAAAGTTTTCTTCACTTTGTTGTTACTACTCATAAGTAAATAGAAATGTTATCATGAAGATTCGGAACTCCACTGATTGTTTCGTTTAATTTGTAAAATTAGTCGACTGACTAATATCCAATTGAGTGTTGGTATTCGATTTTCTTTCTTTTCATTCTATATGGTAGTTTATTGAAGAGTCAAATAGCGTACGAAGGAGCTGTTTTCTATTTGATTATGTTGTCTTAACTCATCCGTATTGTTTTTATAAGTATCACAACGTACAATTTAAATAAAAAGTTAGATGGATGTGTGATAAACTCTCAGGCTTCGTTTGTCAATTACAAGCGATGTAAGCATCACATGAGAATTTCTTCAAAATTCTTCATCATTTATACGCTGAACGAAATTAACTTTTGAATCCCGTTCGGAAACGTCGGAAAGACACTTTATGAGTATCGCTGTCAAAATTTCACTTTGAAATTTCTAAGTAAATTGAATTTTGTGTTGATTTTGCTGATGTAGAAAGCGTTAAGCGTTCGCGCGCGGAACCGATGGCCCTGGGTTCGAATCACGCGAGCGAGGTCGTAGACGCACACTGCTGAGAAGTCCCATATTAGGACGAAACGGCTTTCCAGTGCTTCCAGGTTTTCGATGGTGGTCTAATATCAATCAGACTTAATAATCTCCACAACTCCATACTGTTAATAACCATGTGCTCATTAGTGACCAACTTCGTAAGGGAATTTTAGGAGTTCTAGTGAGAATCCGTGACCAGTGGAGCTAATCCGTGTCGGATAGAGTTAGGTATCTGTTATGCCCTAATAAGAATAATGAGTGGTAATTTTTGGGATCCGTTTGTGGACCAATACTATACGTATATTTTACCGTATAATTGTTAATTAACTAAGCTATTCATATACATGTCTCTCTTATCATAAGCTTTATTTTAACCTATAAACTGTTATTATACGATTTTCCATTCTTAAATTATTCTCTGTCTATTAGTCACTGTCTCCCTCATTCACAGCCACATCTGGTTAGTTCTTGTACAAATGTTTCGAATATAATGATTCATATCGCAGAGGCTCGGATTGGTGTTCTGGACTTAACTGACTGGGCTAGGCGGAAACCAGGACCAATCAGGACTCTAGGCTGCTAGCGCATGTTTTACGGGTCCTTGGTCCGATCGATAAGTCACTGCCCTCTGATCGGCGGTCACAAGTTATAATAGTATCTACCTCAGTACAATGGAAGATGGTCGCGCAACTTCGCGGATCGGTTGAGGTTAGTGGTCTAGAAGTTCAGCGTTCGCGCGCGAGACCGAAGGCCCTGTGTTTAATCTCCGCAAGCGGGATCATGGTTGCGCACCTCTATGGAGTCCGGTAATAAGGCGAAACGGCCGCCCAGTGCTTCCAGGTTTTTCAATGGCGATATAACATCAATCGATTCATGATCTATTATTATCATTCGACCCGATTTTGTCTTTGTGAAAGTGGTTATATTGTTTCTTTAAAGAAGCGACTTATATTGTTTTGAAGTTTGAATTTTCCACTTCTTTCAAATGTATTAGTTCCTTAGAATTTGACTCAAATTAGCATAAGAAGTATTTCCATACTCTTCACTTTGGATCGTTAAAGCATACTTTCATACTTGGATTAAGCTCTGGAAAATTCACTTATTCGGTAGTTGATTTAAGGACACCCCAAGAAACTCTTTAAGTACCTACACGTTTTTTCCTTTATCATCATCGGTTGGACTGTTAATAAAATTAAATTGACCAGACCACTACTCAATTTGTTCGGGATTCAGAATTACACAAAAAAGACAGAGGAATAAAGATCTGACTAACACAACCACGACACAAAGAATTATGCAACTATGCTTAAACTACGAATTAGGGTAGAAAATTTATATACAAAAGGTTAAATGTAAGTCACAATTATTTCGAATGGAAAACAGTGTAATCGTGAATCCCACATCAACTTAAAGCTTGTGGTCTACAGAATAAACCAGAGACAAAACGAAAGGTTCATATTTTAGAGACTTTAAATTAAATGAAGCAATTTTCTCAAGAATAACATCATTGATAGCTTCCTTCGGAGACAATGTATGATCTCCTTTTTGGTTCAATATGGATGAAATTTGGTCTTCTTCGTTTCCTCGCATTCTAGATCAATAAACATATTCTGTATTGAGACTGTCCATGAGGGTTCTCCACACTGAGCCTAGTTTTTTCAGTTTTCTATGATGTTGTTGAATATGTATGTGGTTGGCATGACATATCCACCCTTTAACTTCCATCACATACATTACTTTTCCTTGTATTTTGTAATTTGTTAATATTTCCTCTTTCAAACAACTCTATCCGTGCAGCAGACTCTCCCAGTCTCCCACATTGTACGAGCATTCCATGTACCTAAGTAAGTGGTTGCTCTGGTTGTCAGAAGGAGCATCGGCCTCGTGACTTCCGAAGGAACTCGGCTTTTATCATGAGGCGTAATAACTCTTCTAAATGAAGACCTTCTGACTCCCAGGACAGAGTTTAAATGGTTTGAATAATTTTTTTCTGGTTAGCGTTTATTTAGTGATTTAGTTTTCTACGGGGTAGAGTCGCTAACCCCATGCCCACCCCTCCTCCTTTGTCCGGGCTTGGGACCGGCAGTAGCCCCCGGAAGGACTCCAGACGGAGTCTATCCGTATTAATAGTTTATTATTTCACTAATTATTCGTAATTATTCAGTGAAAAGAGTCAAATAAGTAAATTTACATCCGTCTAATATCCTTCATGTTTGTTTTCCTTCCTTTTTTCTCTTGTTCTTTTGATGTGTTTTGTTTAAATTGCTGTTATGAAGGCCGATAGTGGCCATCTTATATCAGGGTATTTATGAAAATGATTCATATCTGTCAAATACTTTAAATATTGTAAGCTAGACAACAACCTACTGTTTTAGCTTAGTCAATTTTCAATTTATAGACATAAACAAACTTGAATACGTGTATACATAATCACTTAAGTATATATATACCCTGGTAGATAGGTACCAGCATGGTTGGGAAAGAAGATTCACTAAATTCATTATTCATGCCACTTTATATATTTGGTAAATAGTGAGCTTCTTTTCAAAAGTTTGTTTATTTCTTTTAATGTCCGGGTACGGTCGAGGGTGGTGAGAGTCCACGTTCCCTCTCCAAATGTTCTCACATGACCACGCGTATATAGCCATTGTCAGGTAATTCCTACTCACTGACTTCTCACAGTGGGGGTGTTCTTACGAAATGTGAGTGTCAGTAGCTTTAACTGGGTTTGTAGATACCGAGCATCTACTTAGATGAGTTGGAAAATTCTGATTCCAAACCAATAGTGCACATACGTTTGGCTCCAGTATCATAAAGGAACAAATGACGTGTGAATCAATTATAGGATTGCATCTCCTAACATTGCTCCACTACCTTATGGATTAGACCTTTATTTTGTCATGTTGACCTGCAGAGAAGTATATTTCTCTTATTACATATACATATGATGTAATTATTATTACCATTACTTTGATTAATCTGATGTACATTTACTTCTAGTATACATTTTATTTACATAATAATTGTATCGATACCCTAAAATGGCCTTTTTTACCCCTTCCAAATTTATAAATGATTTATTCTCAATGTATTTCAGCCTTAATCAATGCTAAAGTTCACTAATTTAACATTTAACATTGTTTAGTTCACTTAATCATGGTTATTTTAATTTACTGTAATTGATTGCGGATTGATAAATGTAGGATTTGATAATATAATTATTGAAAATCATTTAAATCCTGAACTGATCTAAGTTAGACCTTCATTGAATACCTAGAGGTGCTTGGTGGTTGATTTACTTTAGTATGGAGCTTCTCAGAAGTGCTTATCCATGATTCCACTCCGGGGTGGGGTGGTATGAATAAGGGACCTTTTGTCTACCTCTAGAACTCTTAAATACTATATCACTGAGCCGATATTTAACGATGTTAACGTTTAACTTCCTTGTTGCTTAATGTATATTACATTGCACATTGTATTTTGGATTAAAGTTTAATATTTTTAAGCCAGTTTCTATCACATTTTAGAAGATAACCTAGAGTACCGCTGTAAACAGTTGTACAATACCTAATATTAGGTCTGAACTTATCAACCGTGCCCTAATCAGATCTAATAGTGAGCCTTATCTTTGAATTGTTGTGCCAGGAATTATTTGTATATTCTATCATTTTGTAATATTTGATGGTCGTTAACCAATAAATTGGCGTGAAACCATTGTCCAATGCTCTTCAGTTTTTGACGTTTTGTAATGAAACCTCTCTTCATAAAATGGTTAAAGATATTTGTAAGTATAAAATTCAGTTATAAACGGAGGTGGATAGCGGCCAGCACGCGCGTTTCGTCTTATAAGAGACTGATCAATTGCTATCCTAACCAATACAAAATTGAATCTACACTTTACCCTCATTGTACAAGCTAGTGGCTATCACGACTCAGTAGCTAAGCGGATAACGTGGTGGTATTTGAAGCGAGCGGCATTGGGTTGGAGTCCTGACATGAATATCAACTCTGAGATGTAGGTACATCCAAATGACGAGTCCTAAATATGATGAAACCTACGTCCTGGATCCCACTACTAACCGTCATCCATCTTGACTTATGATGCTTGTGACTTAAAGCAATATCGAAGCAATCCGTACAGGATGTATATGTACCAATGTGAGATTTATCTATTGCACTGCTAAACATCAGTAGGAAGATTCAAACAACCAATACAAAAAAATGAAATAAAATTCAGTTGTTTGTGAGTAAGGTTAATTAGGTTAACTAACAATAATCACGTGGTTACTAGACTACAAGCTCGAATTCTGTATCTCTGACCTGAAATATATCACCTGTTACCTAGGGGGGAAACCTGGAGAACTACAAAAGCCATTATCCAGAAGTTATAAGTGTTTATTAACAGTTTTCTATGCAAAATACATCAGATCCGTTGGCCAGACACAACCTACTGTGGGACAGAACAAACCAGATCCCAGTGGAGTAAGAAATCAGGAAGAAGCGATGGTAATGGGTAGGACATATTGAAGAAAGCACTCAACTGCGTCACAAAGCAAACCCTCACTTGAAATCCTAAAGGCCAAAGGAAGAGAGGAAGACCAAAGAACACATTACGCCGAGAAATGGAGACAGACATAAGAAGAATGAACAACAAGTGGAGAAAATTAGAAAGAAAGGTCCAGGACAGAGTGGGTTGTATAATGTTGGTCGGCGGCCTATGCTCCATTAGGAGTAACAGGCGTAAGTAAGTAAGTAACCTGTTCACTTAAGTATGATTAGGACTAGACTAACGATAAGATATTAAATCAGTAAACAATAGACGTCAATACACTTCCTCAATATATATTTTATCATTTTATAGTTTGTATTCAATCCTGATCATTTGTTAACAACATGTATAAATCATTATTTAAATGAGAATCAACAAATCAATAATGATCCAAGAAAAGAAGAAAAAGAAGGGATACAACTCAATGAATTAATACATCATAAAAGATCAAATCGTTCACCTCCACCATCATCATCATCATCATCACCAACCATAACAACAACAACAACAACAACAAGATCTAATAAATTATCAATATCACAATTGACAATTCATCAATATTTTCCTTTATCCTCATTACATCATTCTATTATTCGTGGTTTAATTCTACTTTTATCTGATATTCATTGTCCAAATAATATATTAATACATTTATTTAATAATATTTGGTTATTATTAACATTAATAATTAAATCAATGACACAATATTTATGTATTAGTAAGAAAATATGGGTAAGTCATTCAGTTATATTGTATATTTGTGTGTGTGTGTGTGTGTAGATGTTTACTGTTTATCAGTGTTTACCATTTGAAGTAACTACTTCGATGAATTTTGATGTTCATCTTGTTGTGTTAATGAGGTATAACAAGTTGTACCGATATATGTATATGTATGTACTTGGTCCTACATTGTAGCTGACTGACTGACTGACTGGTTAATAGAATACAATCAATATTCATTGTATCATCGTCTTTCATTAAGGTTCACAGTTATTTTGTCACAAGGAAATTACTTACTTACTTACTTACTTACTTACTTACTTACTTACTTACTTACTTACTTACTTACTTACTTACTTACTTACTTACTTACTTACTTACTTACTTACTTACTTACTTACTTACTTACTTACTTACTTACTTACTTACTTACTTACTTACTTACTTACTTACTTACTTACTTACTTACTTACTTACTTACTTACTTACTTACTTACTTACTTACTTACTTACTTACTTACTTACTTACTTACTTACTTACTTACTTACTTACTTACTTACTTACTTACTTACTTACTTACTTACTTACTTACTTACTTACTTACTTACTTACTTACTTACTTACTTACTTACTTACTTACTTACTTACTTACTTACTTACTTACTTACTTACTTACTTACTTACTTACTTACTTACTTACTTACTTACTTACTTACTTACTTACTTACTTACTTACTTACTTACTTACTTACTTACTTACTTACTTACTTACTTACTTACTTACTTACTTACTTACTTACTTACTTACTTACTTACTTACTTACTTACTTACTTACTTACTTACTTACTTACTTACTTACTTACTTACTTACTTACTTACTTACTTACTTACTTACTTACTTACTTACTTACTTACTTACTTACTTACTTACTTACTTACTTACTTACTTACTTACTTACTTACTTACTTACTTACTTACTTACTTACTTACTTACTTACTTACTTACTTACTTACTTACTTACTTACTTACTTACTTACTTACTTACTTACTTACTTACTTACTTACTTACTTACTTACTTACTTACTTACTTACTTACTTACTTACTTACTTACTTACTTACTTACTTACTTACTTACTTACTTACTTACTTACTTACTTACTTACTTACTTACTTACTTACTTACTTACTTACTTACTTACTTACTTACTTACTTACTTACTTACTTACTTACTTACTTACTTACTTACTTACTTACTTACTTACTTACTTACTTACTTACTTACTTACTTACTTACTTACTTACTTACTTACTTACTTACTTACTTACTTACTTACTTACTTACTTACTTACTTACTTACTTACTTACTTACTTTTTTTACTTGCTGTTTCTTTTCGGTTACATGACTTTTTGTGAATAGTTGTTTTTGTTGTGGCATAAAGTTTCAACTTAATGAACTGTTTCGCTTTCTGTTTTGAACTTCTATGGATCATCTGCAAATGATCTAGAAAGATCAAATCAATCAACAATTTTATTGTCTTAGTTTTGATAGATACACTAACACAGAGGAATTGATTTAAGAAAATTCACTTCCTGGAACTGACCGCGCTAATACTAATACCTTGTTGATTTCCACCAATCGTAGTAGGTTTATAAATTTATTTCTGGGTGTATAAATGAAGATGTATGGTATGAGTTTCTAGTGAGAAATTTTTATTCTTAGTCATAAATATTTCCAACTTACTCACTGGTTTAACACTTATCATCTGGAGAGAATGTTTGAAAAATGTATGAAACAATCTAAAGAAATGTTTTGTCCTAGTTCACAGGTTTCTCATGTATAATGAGCATAATCGTTCTCAGTCTTCCCAACTTCATTCATTTCTGACTTGATATTGATTTCGTTGAATTCAGTAGTCATAGATTATCATTAAGAAATAATTAAACTCAGAGAAGGGTTTTTATGGATATTATAGTAATTTAATAGTTGGATTCATGAGTTAATTAAAGCTAGACTGCTATTAAAAAAGTGGAAGTACTGGACGGCCTTTTCGTACTAGTATAGGATTCCTCAGCAGTGCGCATCCAGCGCTTCCAGGTTTTCCATAGTGGTCTAAGTTCTATTGGCTCATGAATTCAACTATTAAATTACTGTAATGTCCACAAAAACCTTTTTCTGATTATAATCACCATATGCTCACCAATGACGGTCTCCAAGATGTATTTTCTGTAGTCCTAGTGAGAAGCCGTGACCAGAGGTGTTCAACTGGGTCTGTTGTAAGATAGTAACTCACTGATGACAATGGTTGACGGTGGCTCAACTTCGTGGATTAGTTGAAGTTGGACATTAACACTGTGGGATGCCGAGTCAGTGGTCTAGTGTTTAAGCATTCGCGCGCGAGACTGATAGATCCTGGGTTCGAATCTCTCGAGCCGGGATCGTCGATGCGCACTGCAATGGGACGAAACAGCCGTTCAGTGCTCTCAGGTTTTCCATGGTGATCTAGCTTCAATTGACTCATGCATTCAACTATTAAATAATTAAAAGTCCATTTCAGAATTAACCACTATTGTATACTTGATTGTTATTATTTATTAAAGAGAGTAGTCATGTAAAAACCTTATGCTGTTTCAATATCATAAAATTTAACATGAGTTGTGTATTGCAGTGGAATCTAGCACTCACATTGAGATTCGAGTGCAGTGCATCAGCCGCTAATTTGTGCAACGCATACGATGTTTAAATCATTGTTAGTTAATGTTTAAATTATCTTGTTCTTGATATTCAGGACAAAATTTTAAGCTACATAGCATCACAAGCCTACTTTAGTTGTTCGACAACCAGTGAAAATGAAGAAGGATCGAACAGTTGTTCTATCCTATTTCGGAACCTCTTAGTAGTGCACTTGTATAATATTACTAGCGATAGGATCGTGGATCTTCAAATCTCGCGGCAAGTGTTTGGCCTTTTGGCATCCAATGGTGCACATTACTAGCTTTGATCATTTCACAATATTATGTGACTCTTTCCCAGGTACCATGTTTGTATACATATCATCTATCTTTTTTTCTTGTTTTAGGCCGAACGATCAGGTGAAACACGTTTTTCATCATTATTCTGTGAAGATTTAACTGTATTTATTCAATTGATTGGATCACGTTTATTATCTACATCTCTTGGTACTACAAAAACCACATCAATAACATGTAATCAATCTAATAAAACAGATGAATTAGATACTACCACTTATAATCAAGTTATTACATCACTTAATGGATCATTAACAAAAATGGAACCATTTAATTCTCTAACAAATTCACAAGCAAGTAAATATATTAATCAATCATTAACACGAAAAACTTCACCTCGTTCTGAATCTATTCAACTTAAACAATATTCTAACAGTGTTAAATCTAATCCACATCATATCAATAATAATGTAATTGATTTTAATGGAATTGATGTAATCTCAGCAATTGGACAATTTTTATGTCATTTATTCAATTTAATGGATAGAGGTTATGTTTTTAAACGTGTTCGTGATTTGTTAATGTTCCTTGAAATATCACCAAGAATGGTAAGTTGACGTGTATGTATGTGTGTGTGTGTGTGTATGTATACTTAATGAGAAATTAACTAGATATCGAGAATTGTACGTTAAATTACTTAGATTCATACACATCAAACAACATCTCGGTCTGTTAGTCTGCTTGACTTTTCGGATTCAATCCATCTATTTGTGACAAAGCATTTAATGTTCATCCAAAGATACTATGCTTCATCATACATTGGTATATCTAAATTGACCATCTGTTATCTTTCTACGCAGTTCCAATGTTGGTAAATAATGCTCAAAATAACCAATCAGTTGTAAATATTACAATCCTTCAGGAGATCACTCACTTTCCGAATAACTTCTTGATGACATTTAAAACTGCGGAACTGTTTAACTCGGTGTTATGTTTGAGAGGGATGATGATTTTACCTGGGACCGGCGAACGGAACGAAGTTAGCAACGTAACGATAGGACAAGCTGATGTATTACAATGAGCCCCAGTTTTGCTAACTATCCGGAGAAAATCATATTCAACTGGATAAAATATATATCTCACAAACAGTTCGGAAAAAAACGAACGAAAAGCACACAACTCATGCATAGATATATAAAATACAAAATTATCTTTGAAAAGTGTTACAAAATAGCGTACCAATAGAGGAAACAAACCAGTGTCATTTAAGGTCATTCCAAATGCGAACCGAAGGTAAAAATGGGCGCGAAAATGTGAAATTCAAATTTGCATAATAAATTTACAAATGTGAGACTCTGACCAAGAGATTTCTGGCGATCAAACATCCACAATACTCAGATTCCAATTCATAAGTGGTCGTTAATTTCTTCCAGATTTCAGGTACATCTTGGTGAAGAATACCAACGAACGTGAAAGCTATTTCCAAGGTTTCCTATCAACTTCCTACAACCACCTAACATTTCAAGAATACAAATGTGATTAATTGGTTTACAGTTTCACGTTCTTTCACTCAAATAACGCATTCTTGTTCAGCAAACAGTGTATGAATTGCAGATGAGCTTAGTATAGTACTGACTTTGTAATTAGAGTTGGAACCATATGGTTTTAGGTTCGAACCCCATTTCAACTATTTTGATTAAGAAGGTCGGATTGTATAACTAGCGGTCAGGTGAAAAGGTTCTCAAGGCTGTTTTCAACATGAAGTTGGTGACTATATATTAAAGGTGGTGCTTTAAAACACAGCATCGTTAAATATTTTCAAGTAAGATCATCACTGAAAAACTCAAATTCCCGGGTGGCTATTTTGCTTTAGTATAAGACTCCTTAAGACTACGCTTCCATGATTTTACACGCGGGGCTCGAGCTCAGGTTCTTCGATCTCTTGTGTGGATATTTAACCACTATATCATTGAGCCGGCATCCGACGATGTTAATGATCAACATTAGTCAATCCACATTAATGCGCGACCATCTTACATTATCTTTGATAGATAACTACTTCACACGCTACCCAAATTAGCTTATACTAAAACCAATTGGATGCCCTGTGCTTCCAAGTTTCACTGGTGGTCCAACTTGGATTGGTTCATGATTTTAGTGAAATGAAACGTTCTCCACAACTTCCATATTGTAAATATTCATGGCGAGACTATAATTTATGGACGGACCAATCACGTATAAGACAACAGGTCTTGAATTTTGGCGCGAAATTCACTGATCCATTTGGATGGTGTTTTGGCATTATAGCTGATGTCGTTTGATGATGAAAACCATAATTCTAATTCTTCATACTTATTTATAACCCGCATTTAGTCCTAGTTATTAAGTGGACGATCTTAAGATCAGTATAGAGTCACTCAGAGGTCATCCATAAATTATAGTCTCACCATATTCATTGTTACAGTGTTATATAAATCCATATAACAACACTTTTTTTCTTGTTTACAACTTTTCTTTTTTCCTTAACTCAGATTTCATCGTCTACTAATATCAACTCGATAGAATTAGATAGTTAAAGGTAGTCGGTAATCTTGCGGGTGGGATGGGGGGACTGAAAAACCTCATGTGATTCAATCTCGTGTCACCAAGCTTTATAACATAAGATGTTATACTGTTGGGTTATTAGGAAAGCTTCCCGTCTGTAGTAAAACTGAAATGCTTTCGATTGATGGATGATTAAGTAGTGACAACAATCATGTTTTACTTATTTATTTATTCAAACACATAAACATTGGTACAAGGAGGCACCAAATACATATGCGCCACACAAATCATTTGATTTCTGTGAGGGCTGTGATATTGCCCGGGTGCTCAGACCGAAACAGGTGGTTTTCTTAGGAGGCCACATCCCTAGTTTTTGACCTAGAGGTCTAATCCATAAGGCAGTGTAGCATCGTGAGGAGATGCAGTCCCATGGTAGCCGGTGACGTAGGAATTGGTTCATACGCCGTTTATTCCCGCAGGATACTGGAGCCCATGTACACCATTGTTTTGGGATCTGGTTTAATCGCCGAACATTCGCTTCTCGTCCTCTCATTTTCGTAAACAACACCCTTGGTGCGAGAAGGCAATGAGTAGGATTTCCCTGGCAGAGGCTGTATACGCGTGGCCGTGTGAGAGCATTTCGAAAGGGAGGGAGGTCCCACCCCACTCTCGACCATACCAAGGCATTTGGGGGCTAAAGTGTGGCAACTGGTTGTTACAATGTGGAATTGCCGGGCCATCATGTATTCCTAATTCTTTAGTGTAAATTGAGTTTCACTGATATGTTTATTTTAACATTGGTAGGACTCCATGAATCTAAGTTTCATGGTTGTTTAAACATAAATTTTATTTCGTTAGGTTAGTTAATCACTATATGTTGCTTCTACATTAATAGACCGTTACTTCTAGTAGTGTACTGATATATTTGATGCATATTTTGTCTTTTCATTAATGTGATTATGATTCGTACCCCTCGCCCTTCTCCGTTTGTTTGTTTTTTAACAAAAATTCTATCCTTTGTTTTAGTCCGCTGATAAAATTGATCAATTAAATGAATTACGATTTGAATTATTACGTTCTATTTGTGAACATGAACATTTTATTCCATTGAATTTACCCATGTTAAATATATCTGATGGTTTAAGTAAGTTCACTTTCCTATCTACCTTCTTTCATAGTTTGTAGTGAGTGTTTAGTTTTTGCGTACAATTCAAAATTCAATGATAGATTTTTATTTATATATTTATTTAAACACATAAACATTAGTACAATTAGGCACCAAACAGATATGCGCCACATCAGTCATTCGATTTGTGTGAGGGTTGGGATACTATCTGGGTGCCCTAACCGAAGTAGGTGGGGGTTTTTTTAGAAGACCACACCCACAGCCTTCAACCTAAAAGTCTAAACCACAAGGCAATGGGGCAACGTCAGGAAATGCAATCTTATGGTAGCCGGGGACCACCGATTGGTTGATGCGGTGTTTGTTTCCTTTGGATACTGGAGCCCACTTACATTATTGGTTTGGAATCAGGGTTTTTAACCCACCTAGGTGAACTCTCCGTGTCCACCAACCTGGTTAAATCGTCGGACATTCACATTTCATCCTCTCAATTTCGTAAACAACAACCCAATGGCGAGAAGGGATTGAGTAAGACTTCCCTGAGAGTGGTTGTATGTATGTGGCCATGTGACAGCGTTCGGAGAGAGAGAGCTAACTCTCCACACTCCCAGTCACTTGGAGGTACTTTTAACTTGTGTTTAAAAGTTAATTAAAACCTACCAAATATTTGGTTACTAGGATGCTTAAAATTGTTAATCATAAAATGAAGTATTAGATATCATTATGTCTAATATTTTGTAAGTAATATGTGCGTTATATGTTAGAATTATATTTGAAATAAACCAAGTGATGTAGTAATAGTGGCTGGTGACTTTAATGCTCAAGTAGGTAAACTAGGCGAAAGGGAAAGACACCTAGGTGGATCTTATGGTGTCATGGCTCAAAGAACAGATAATGGCGATCGTCTGTTGCAGCTATGCTCAGATAACCGCCTTTTTCTTGCAAACACGAATTTTAAGCATAAGGAAAAACATCTTTTAACATGGTGACCCCCGAATTCGTCCCAACGTTGGACCCAAATATATCATATCGCTATCAGCCACCGATTTAAGGGCTCGATAGAAGACTCACTCATTCTGGAGCACATACTTAAATTCAGATCATGCTCTAGTGCGAGCGCGTATTTGCTTGCGTCTTACTGGACGTAGGAAAGACGCTGCAAGGAAACCTCTTAGGGTCCTACTTAATGATAGTCAAGCTAAGAGTATATTTCAGGAACAACTAGAAAAACAGTTAGGCAGCCATGTATGTGATGCCCATCCCGACGCATCATGGAGCGATATCCGAAAAGCTATGGAAACAGCAGTGATATCTGCTAGTAAGGTAAACCACAACGTTAGGGAGAAAGATTGGATCTCAACAGCATCTATCGCACTGATAGATACTCAGAAACTCATTCCACCTGGCCCTGAACATAATGAAGAGCGGAGTCAGCTTAAGCACAAGCTGACAAGAAGTCTACGCAATGATCGCGAACAGTGGTGGGTGGCGAAAGCAAGAGAGATGGAAAAGGCAGCGGCAATAGGTAATAGCAGACAATTGTTCAGACTCGTTAAGGAAACCGGAATTAGGAACCCGACCGTTAGCGAAACACTCTCAGAGAAAGATGGACATATTATTCATTCTCAATCCAGGAGACTGGATCGATGGGCAGAACACTTTAGGGATCAGTTCAACTGGCCTTCAGCCACACTTCGGTTTCCCACGATCTCTAGTCAACCTGAGTGGCAAGTTAATGTAGGTCCTCCGTCCCTTTACGAAGTTGAAAAAGCCATAGGAAATCTGAAACGAGGGAGAGCAGCAGGCCCTGACAGGTTTACTCATGAGATTTTTAAGGATGGTGGTCCAGTATTAGCAATGAGATTAACCGAGGTCTTAGGTAGAATTTGGGAACTGGACGTAATCCCATCTGACTGGTCTCAATCACTGATTGTGCCAGTCTATAAGAAAGGACAAAAGTCCTCTGGTGACAATCACAGAGGAATCAGTTTGACTAATATAGTGTCTAAAATATTAGTTTCAGTAATAATTCGACGCCTAACCAAAAGTCGTGAAGAACAGACTAGAGAAAATCGGGCTGGTTTTCGACCTGGACGTGGTTGTATAGACCAGATATTCACACTACGTCAGGTTCTAGAACACAGGCACACTTTCAGATGCCACACAATGGTAGTATTTCTTGACCTTAAGGCGGCATTCGACTCTGTTGATCGTGAGGTTCTGTGGCAGTGTTTGTCACTGAAAGGAGTACCAAAGAAGTACATCAACCTTATAAAGGCTCTCTACTCGAACAGAACTGGTAGAGTGAGAGCTTATGGCGAACTGTTATCAGAATTGATTACCTCAAGTGGTGTTTCTTCAGGGCTGTCCACTCTCTCCATTCTTGTTTAACTTTGTCATTGACATACTTTTAGAGATAACACTTTCCTCGTATAAATTTCCAGGGGTTGAACTTGTACCGGGAGATTCACTTGTTGACTTGGAATATGCCGATGACATAGTTTTATTTGGTGAAGACGCTGACAAAATGCAGAGTCTTCTGACCACTCTAAGCAACAATGCAAGCATGTTCAGCATGCGATCTACCCCCTTGAAATGCAAAATGTTGCTTCAGGATTGGGTTGCATCGACAACCGAACTGATGATAGGGAGTGAAGCAATAGGACGAAACGGCCGTCCAATGCTTCCAGGTTTTCAATGGTGGTCTAACATCAATCGGTTCATGACCTCAATTAAATAAAACAACATATTTGGGGTCCGCGTGCCTATAAGAACCAATAGTTCGAGAATGTGGGTGACATGACTCAGAATCGATCACAATGGTGAAGTTTGTCTTCCTTCAGACTATGAGACTAAAATCGCTTCATATCTTTTTTTCTACAAACTAATTCTTTATTCGTGTATTATGTCCTTATACACAATCTTTCTTTTATATATTACCACCACTGAATTAACTACTTCTATGAATCCGGTGTTCATCTTGTTGTGCTAATGAGGTTTGGCAACTTGGACTAATGCACATATGTGCCTGTTCCCAAGTTGTAGCTGACTGACTGACTAATTCTAAGCAACGATGCAACCATGTTCGGGATGCGATTCTCTCCCTCGAAATGCAAAATATTGCTTCAGGATTGGGTTTCATCAACACACGAACTAATGATAGGGAGTGAAGTAGTTGAGTGTGTCGACCGCTTCACTTATCTTGGAAGTCTCATCAGCCCTTGTGGTCTGGTGTGTGACGAAATCTCAGCACGGAAACAGAAGGCTCGACTAGCTTTTGCGAACTTGCGTCATTTATGATGTAGGCGAGATATCCGTCTATCAACCAAAGGACGTGTTTACTGCGCAGCAGTTCGTTACGTCGTACTTTATGGTAGTGAAACATACCCAGTATGAGTAGAGGATATTCGTAGATTACTAGTATTCGATCATAGGTATCTTCGAAACATTGCGCGTATATCCTGAGATCACCGGATAAGTAACTCAGTTGTCATGATAGGGGTACTAGGTAAGGATGGCAAATCGATAGATGAAGTGGTGAAACTTCATCAGTTGAGATGGCTGGGACATGTGTTACGTATGCTCGACCACCGACTGCTCAGACGAGCGATGTTTTATAGTGTACGAGTAGATTGGAAGAAATCTAGGGGCGGTCAGACCAAAACATGGCACAAATCGATGAAGTCACTGGCAATGGACTGAGACATACTGGTAGGTGTAAACTACCTGGTTGGGATCTGCGAGACGATAACAACTGATGGTTAGAGACCTTGAATGACACGATTCAAAATCGTTTGCAGTGATGTGAGCAGGTGTATACACTCTGTGTCTTCTTCCAAATCCTTATCTTCTGAATTCTTCATGTCCCTTTCTTTTTTTTATTTCCAAATTTATTTCACTAGATTATAATCGTTGAATGCTAGTAGCTTACAAATATATTTTACTGTTAATGACCATGTTTCACAGCCGTAAAGTAGAACAGAACAAACTGCTTTACAGTATACTCGTCCTTTATTTGGTAGACAGATATCTCACCTTCGTCATAGGTGATATAATTTGGTAAAAGAAACCAAGAAAACAGATAACTTGTTGAACTATCTAAATGACAGGAATAGGTATCTCAGTTATTAAAGCAGGCTCCAGGCAATCTCGACAGATAAAGAAAACTTAATCCTTACTCTATCAATCTTATTAAACTCTATTAAGTTATTTTCATTTTTCAAATGACCTATAAACAATTATCACTTCTATAATTTACTCATTGTATATAATAGCTGAACAATATTCTGTTAGCAGACTGTATACTGTAAATATTGAGCATAGTCAAGGTATGTAATTTTGTTTGAATCACTATGTGTACTGCTATCCTATGTACAATTGATTATTTCCATGTATACATATACATATATGCACTGCATTGCATTAGTTTTTATGATTATTATATACTAATAACTATGATTATAATTGTACTCACTTCTTGTGTGTGTGTGTGTGTTTGTGTCTGCTTCGGTGGATTGTTTTTATACATGCATGATATTTAATGAGATAATAATACTTTACATTTGGGAACTTCACACACACACACACACACACATGCAAACATACACACGTACCCATATTTTATGTTTAATGTACTAGAACATTGAATCAGCTCATTGAACTTTGAAAATATATTCGTTCTACAATCAAATGGTACATTGTATTTTGTATATGGATATAAGCGAAATACTCTTTATTTCTTCTCATTACTTGAAATGAGAATTTGTTTTTGTTTAAGGTAATTTATATGATGTTGTAGGGTGTTAGGGGTACTGCCCTGTTGCTGAGGTGATTTTCTTAGAGAACCACTTCTTAAACCTTCAACCTGAAGGTCTGGGTCATAAGGTAATGGAACATCTTTAGGAGATGCAGTTCCATTGTAGCCAATGACCCACAATAGGTTCATACACCATTTGTTTCCTTAGGATCCTGGAGCCAGTCCATGTTCACCATTGGTTTGGAATCAGGGTTTTCTAACTCTCCTAGTAGGTGGACTCTCCGTATCCACCAGTCCGATTAAAGCGCCGGATATTCGCTTTTCGTTTTGTCAATCCGGTAAACAATGGTAATGCACGAGAAGGCAGTGAGTAGGACTTGTATGGCAATGGTTGTATGAGCGTGGCCATATGAGGGCAAGCTGACTCTCCGTACTCTCGGCCGTACCAGGGCATTTGGGAGCAAGACAACACTTAATTTTTGTCTAGCAATCATTAAGATAACATTTAATGATTGCTAGTTAGTTATATCACTTTTCTATGTTTATTTAATCCTTGAATTAAAAATCTCTTCAAGAGCTTCCTACAACTATTCACTTACAATATGTTTGTCAATTCTGGATATTTATATTTTTTTATATTGTAGAAAAGATAGAAGAGGATTAATTATTTAAAATGTACTTGAAATTAAATCAGTCATCTGGACATTCCTACCTTACTCGAACAACTTTGGTAGTTAAGTAAAGAGTGATAGCACAGTAGTGAAAGTAATCGGTTTTAGATAATTAAATACTAGATTTAAACCTCTTTACTTCCATTTTTGTTGTTTTAAGCTACCTGATTATATCAGTAGTTATTTCACAAGCAGCATAGCTTAAATCTAAGTGTTTCAATATGTACGTGTTATCTTGGTTAGTCAAATTATGTTACCTATCCTTTCAGAAAAGTATAGCACGTAGCCAAATTAGTTGTTAGTGTGCACTTAGTCATTGGTTTTCATAATGATTCAAGGGTAAAAATATGTATTTAATTGTATGATATACTTTGAAAATTGATTTTTTTTAGTATGACCGCATGTGTGGTTGTGAGTATATCCACTATAGAGAAAACAACCATTTATAGCATGCTTATATTGAATAATTTTCGTGTTGGGTAACAAATCATGATCAAAATAACATTCAAATTAACAAAATCTGTATATCAGAAGGGCTTTTGTGGAGATTTCAGTAATTTCAGTAGTTGAGATCATGATTCGATTGAAGCTAGACCACCATGGAAAACCTAAAAGCACTGAACGGGTGTTTCGTCCTATTGTGAAACTCATCAGTGGCAGTGCGTATCCACGATCCCACCTCACGAGATTCGAAGTTGAAGTTAGACAATAACACCGTTGGATGCCGGCTTAGTGGTCTAGAGGTTGAGCATTCGCACGCGACACCTGGTTTCGAATCTCGCAAGGCTGGATCGTGGATGCGCACTGCTGAGGATGAAATGGCCGTTCAGTGGTTCCAGGTTTTCCATGGTCGTCTAGCTTCAATTGATTCATGATCTCAACTACTGAAAATCCGTATAATCTTAGCCGTGTTTCTATTAATTTTCGTTTGTATGAGTCGCTACATCGAAAGAAATTGATATTCCATGTATCAACAACGTGGAACTTCTGTACCTAGAAATAAAGTTGATGTAATCAAATGAATGAAAATCGATAGAAGATGAACAAAAACAAATATATAGGTTTAGTTTATTCATGCGTAGATTGGTTTCAGAAAAAATCAACTACTGAAACATATTCTACAGCTTCTCAAATTTAATATAAATGCTTTACATTACTTAGTAAACAATAAGTAGTTAAATTTTATAACGTAAAAAATGACAGAAGTATCAGATTTGACTCAAGAGAATAATAATAATAAAAAGATAAACTGTGACATTTCTTTAGCGTATCAAGAAAATATGATTCAACATGATGTATTAATGTCACTGATTGATACAACATAATTTTGTACCGATTACAACCAACTTTCACCTAGTTACATTGAAATAGTCTTTATCTTAACAGTCCAAAATATTGTGTGATTAAATTTTTTGGTGTATGAAAGATTGAACAAAAAATGAATTTCAAATTGTATACATTGTATATCAGCATTAATTTTGAAAGGTATATTATGTAATAACTTGTGTGTTCGAGTGTCAGTCGGTTGATTATGAATTTAATGGTCTTGAGTGTTGTTAAAGGTATGAGGGCTGTCATCACTTCCCAGTTGCCCACACCGTAGAAGGGTTCTTCTGGAGGTGCCTGAGAAGGAAATTGGACTAAAGGTAGTGTTAGTGACTTGAGAGCATGACCGCGATGCCCAAAGAAAAACTGCTTGAGGTCGGTCACACGCGACCTCTTCGTGAGTGATTTTCGTGTTAGCTCTGTACTTGTTGAGATTTTACTGCCGGAGACGGATATGCATGGGATAAGGCGAGGTATACATTTTAAGGGTCGACCTTTTCTAACCTCATCCCTCCTTTTAGAAAGGCAGTATTGCTGTTATGCTGGTTGTCTGAAGGAGACACCTCTGTACAGTCAGCAGTACGACTTCACCCTCGGACTTTCGGTTTGCTGCTTTTAGTCTTACCGCTTTTCAATCGACCTATCTGGCATGGCATGACCTTTAGAAAAATTGTTCCAACCAGTATAGCTTGAATGGTTCATCACGATAGGTATGCCCGACCACCACGTCAAGATAGCAACAACGATCCGGGGGTGTTTAAATGTATCTGTTTATGAAAGTCTAAAGTTGATACTCAGTGATATAACTTTCTTTTTTCTATGATTATTCTTTGGTGCAATTTTTACTTCTGTACCGTATATACATAAATATTTAATTAATTCAATTGCAAAATTTTCGAACAAATCAATCTATTCAATATTCCCCAGTATTTCTAGTTCAATTATGATTGTTAATGTTGTAAGCTTCTTGGAGAAAGTTTTTATTTACCTAACTAATCAGAAGCTTGCAAAAGAATTCTAGAAGACAATAGGCTATGTTATCCTCTTTCTCACTTGAATTATCAAAATCGTTAACAATTTCAGCATGTATTTTAAAAGCTTCTAAACTATCATTATCATATATTGTCATATAAATCTATTTGTTTTCCATTTATGTACTTAAAACGTTTTCTACACGTTACACTCTCTGTTCTATTTTATTTTCCCTGAATTTCAAGTGTAACAGAGAATTATGGTAATTGTAAAGCACTTAGGGATTCTCAGTTTAGGGTTGTGACGATTATTAAGTTTTTGATTGAGATCATGAGCCGATTGATGCTAGAACACCATGGAAAACCTGAAACCACTGAACGGCAGTTTCGTCCTATTGCTTGACTCCTCAGCAGTGCGCATCCATGGTCCCATTTGCAGGATTTGAACCCAGGGCCTTCGATCTCTCACACGAACGCTGAACCTCTAGACCACTGGGCCGGCATCCAACGGTCGGGACTGAATGCGCAATGTTGAGGAGTCCGGCAATAGAACGGAACGGCCGTTCAGTGCTTCCAGGTTTTCCATGGTGGTCGAACATTACTCGGTTCATGATCTTAATCAGAAACTCAGGGATTCGTCGTTTTCATTAAACGTAAAATAAAATTCGTATTCCTTCATTAATTACATTTCAAATGAGTTTCATTTTGTGTTAATCTGTTTGTTACCTGATTGTTCAATCTTTTGATTAATTTGTATTGTATATCAATAAAATCCTTCTTTTTTTGGTGTATAATTGTCTATTATTTGCACTATTCATAGCACAATTCTGACAATCATTCATTTCATTATACATAATTCACATTATACTCTTTAGTTATAACATCTGAGTTTCTGTTTGAGTGTTGTCTGTTTGTTTGTGTTAAACAGTTGTCTTATAACTTCAATTGTTACTGTCTGTTGTGACGTGCTATGTCCAAAATTTGATACTGATACATGTTGTACTAAGTGCTAACCCCCCATCTGACTGCTTGATCGAGAAAATGTGTTTGACTACCGAATAAAATGCACACATATTCATATATATCACCTTATCCTTAGGAAGTTGACCCATTGACCTAATTAAATGCGATTGACCTTTAAGTGACTTCTGATTATCATTGATTGACCCTTTCATTAGGTTACTTCTGATTGGTTCTCTATATCACTATCACCATCCGTAATAATAATGAGCTTTGTAATTTGTGGAGTAATTTGTTTCATCTTGTTGATCCGTTATCACTTAATAAATTCATCATATGATTGTTGTATATCACACTGTAAATCAATGACTATATGATCCCATTATACTTGTCAATAGTTAGAAAATTAAAGCAATCAAGAATGTCATTGTTGCCTTTTGATATAAAGATTTTTATTCACTAGGTATTGTTTACTTGAATCATCTCATTGATGTTTAGGATTGCAGTTGATTAGTCAACCTCTTATTAGCATATGTGCATACTGTGCGTATTGCCTTAATTCACAAGCATTATAAGCTAAGATGGATAGTGGCTAACAGTGGAATCCAGGGCGCACGTTTCGTCCTATTTAGAACTCGTCAACTGGATGTACCTACATCTTAGAGTTGATGTTCACTCTGGAATGTGAACCCATTAGCTAAGTGGATAACGCGATTGTGTTTGAAGCAAACCGTACATTCCAGATGATGAGTCGCAAATAGGACGAAGTTCGCATGAAACTGTATTCCACTGCTAGCCACTATCCATCTTTGTTTATAAGAAAATTTTACTATTCATAGAATGTAGTCTTTGATGTTATTGATCAATGCGATAGGATATTTTTTTCCACTTGAGATTTTGTATTTCACACTGTTACATAGTCTGAATAATCTTATTGGCTAATCGATTTAGTTGTCGAACTAATCAGCATAAATCATTCATGAACCGATTAATGTTAGACCATCAAAATTGAAAACCTGGAAGCACTGGACGGCCGTTTCGTCCTATTGTGGGACTCCTCAGCAGTGCGCATCCACGATCCCGCGAGCGGGATTCGAACCCAGGGCCTTCGGTCCACAACCCCTATACTAATAAATCATTCAATCGATTTTTAGATTGTACTAATTCAATCGGTCATATCCAAAGATCATTAACTGTTAAATGTTTTCATAGTATCGATTATCTATCATAGTAACTGTAGTTGTAATATACTTTTATTTCATACAGTAAAGAGAGTGATCAGTACTAGTTGCATAATATTCTCAGAATGTTTCTGTGATATATACTCTGTGTTGTAATAATCCAAGAATATAGATAATGTAAATGTTTAATCAATGAAGATGATCTATGAATTCTGTTTCTATGACCATAAAACTTTAGACGTAGTTTTCGTTGTTAATTTATATACCTTTCTTGTTCATTAATTGAATGTTAGTTATTCAAATGTTCCTGAAAATCTGATAACTATATCCATTTAGAAATTAAGTATTGTGATGTTAAGCAAAGATGGATAGAGACTAGCAATGGAATCCAGTTTAACACGCGTTTCATCTTATTTGGGACTCGTCAGCTGGATGTACCTGGATCGCAGAGTTGATGTTCTTACCGCGACTCAAAGCCAATACCTTTGGCTTCAAATGCCATCATATTATCCACTTAGCTACTGAGTCCTGAAACGCTCATCAAACTAGATTCCACTGCTAAGCACTATCCAGCTTTGTGTAAAAAAAGCTTGCGACTTAGGGCTATATCAAGGCAATCCGCACAGGATGGCACATATGCCAACATGAAACTGATCCGTTGCAGTTTTTAAATAACAATGGGGAGATACAAGTAGAACAACACTAAGTGAATTATTATAATGTTATTTTATCAAATCGATTGGTTTGTTGTAGCAAGTCATAGAATCCCCTTTTTTATACCATTCATTCAATTTTTTGCTTTCCCTTCATTTCTGTATTTATTTAAATGAATCCTTAGATGTTGGTCTTGAATTATCGTTAACTGATCAATTTTGTCAACAACATTTTCCAATTGGAATTCTATTGAATCAACTTAGTTGTTTATTATCTGGTTGTATAAATACTGGAAGTTGGGCAATCCTTAAATCAACATCAAGTCAACATTATAAACAACCTATTACAATATTACGTAATCTATTAATTAAACATACACTTGATCCACGTTATCGTAATTCTAAAGTAATTCAAGCTAGAATTTGTACATTATATCTTCCATTGATTCGTTTAGTGTTGGATCATTGGGATTCATTTGGACCTCCAGGTAAAGTGTTTAATACTATTAATGTTATTCAAATTATTTTGATGTTGATTCATCAATAAAATGAGTTCGTTATCTTGATGGAACCCATCTTTTTTTTCCAGGAATCCATTTTAATTCCACTATTATAATTTTGAGGTAACAAATAGTTTCTAGTAGAACTGCTGCACTTATTATCACTTTAATCTTTACCATTGAACTGAGCCTATGTGTAGAGGTGTAAAATCCCTGATTTCAGTTTACTCGATAATCAACAGTTTGACAATAGGGATCACAATAGTGTAGATTCCTATTGTCTCCAAGATTTTAAGTTCCACTTTTTCACCTTTTGATATCATCCCAAATCACATTCTGAACGTTTGGTTTTTTTTTTCACCGCCACTGATACAACTATAACACCGATTTCCATTCTATGTTTCGTCGTAATTTCATCTTCTTCTGTCGGCAAAGAGTAACATCTTGGGTGATCCACATTTTTCGCCACATTATACGTTTTGTAACTAAAATTTTAGTATTGAAGTACCTTTAAACGACTGGAAAATTTCGCATTAATAGCTATAATGTTAGGATTATATACCCATGTTAGGTCCCAATAAGCATAATGACTGGTTACTTTGGGATCCGTTTATGGACCAATACTATACGTATATTTTTATTGTGTAATTGTTAAATAACCAAACTATTCATATTCCTCTTATTGTAAGCTTTATTTTGAACTATGAACTATCATTATACGTTTTACCATTCTTGAATTATGCTCTATCTATTAGTGACTGTCTCCCACATTCACAGCCACATTTGGCTAAATCTTGTACAAATGTTATTTTCTATTTTATGGCACGTTGCGGTCTGCTTGATTTGTATATAAACCCCGTATGCTTGAAATAAATGACTCACATCGCAGAGACTGAGATTGGTGTTCTGGGCTTAACTGGCTGGGCTAGACGGAAAGCATGACCAATCAGGACTCTAGACTGCTCGTACGCGTTTTACGCGTCATTGGTCCGATCGATAAATCACTGCTCCGAATTGGCGGTATCAGTACTTATCCATTAACAGGGCTTACAGACCATAAGTTATAACAACCCTGAATAGAAATTTTAGTCACATAACTATACAATTGTAGAGTCCAATAATAGAATACACTGAAATCAAACAAGTCTTATCAGTTGTCACACTGATTTAAAGCAATTAGTTCAATTTCATAAATTTCAATAGATGTAATAAGAAAAGGAAAGATCGTTAGAACTATGTGATGATAAATTCACTTGGTGTTATTTTACTTGTATCTTTCTATTGCTATTTAGGACTGCAAAAAAACCACCAAGTGAATTTATACTTCACCCCCATTGCACAAGCGAATGGTTATCAGGACTCAATAGCTAAGTGGATAACGAGATGGCGCTTGAAGCGAACGGTATTGGGTTCGAGTCCTGAGGTGGACATCAATTCTGGGATGCAGGTACATCCAGTTGACGAGTCCCAAATAGGACGAAACGTGTGTTCAACTGGATTCCACTGCTAGCCACTATCCATCCGTGATTAGAAAGTATGTGATGATAGATTAGTGTAATACATTTCGAACAATCTGATCACACATATACTTATAAAAACATTTATATATTAAAAGACTAATATTTGAACGAAGAATATTCTTTTCGATAAATTCTCTTCACGTTAGTGTTTTCTACGCGCCCAATGGTGACACCTAGGCTAAAAGACGCATTACCTAGAATGACCAGTTCATTTTGTATTTAACAGTTCGACTGCTTCTGAGGAGCAATTGATATTGGTCGAAGTTCTAGGAATTTACATTTTCGTGCTCGTGAACACCTCCCAGTGTGGCTGAACAAAGGTTTGATAGAGAAAGTGAACAGCTCGATATTGGCTCATTTAGTACAAACTGATCATAGTGCCAGTGTAGTGAACAAGAACACGGGTGGGGACAATCGGATGTATTTAATACAACAATTACATACTATCTCAACAAAGCCTGAATACCATATATAGTAAATTGTCAATTTGCAAAATATTCATGCATCAAACCAAACTGGACTGTTTCTGTTGCAAACACCAATCCATTGTCTCCCATTCCATTGTTCATGCGTTTTCTTACAAATTCCATTGTGTTCTCCCTCTTCCTTTCTTGATCTTCCCCATTTTCTGCTGCCAGACATCACGTTCTTTTAACTCACGTTATCTACTATTCATATCAATATAAGTAGCTCACACCACACCAGTATAAGCCAATCTTTTTCAATTATTTATCGGGTCAGTAACTTTTTGCCAAAACTTGTCAAACCTAAAGTCCTTCAAATGGCTGAAGCTATGCGTACAGAAGAAATATCTTCAACCACTCCTCCTCCCCTGGCCAACATTAAGGCCAATTGGTTTTCATTATCCCCACAGCAATTTTTTTTAACACCCCCACCCTTAAAAAAATTTTTTCAACCCCATAATCACAATATTTTTCATCCCGTTTCGACCAATGAAATGGCTAGTTTTAAAGTTCGTTTTAATTGGTTAGTTATGTCTTGCCAAATTGTCATAAAACATCAGTACTTGTCGACGAAGTACATTTTAATCATCATTATGGAGGAGAGTAACGTGCCGAATACAAGCGCTGTTGTTTCTCACGTAACAGAAACGGAGGAAGTCTTTTTGACAACATTGTTTCTCGTTGCGTTCCCATCGCTTGAAGCGTTGAAGTCCGCTATCACAAATTATGAAAGATCAACTTACTGTCATTATGTAGTGAGAGATTCGCATTTGTGCAGAAATGAAAACTCGTACATTAAATTTGTGTGCTGGAGACATGGCCGTATAACATCTAGCGGTTCGTCACGGCAGATTAGACGGAGGAGGTAATTTGATTAATGTTATTAACATTTTTTGTCATGAAGGGCTTCCATGAACACTCAATGTCCGACCTTTATGTTTTGTAAGATTATCGACGGCTACTGGACTGTTGTACGTGGGAATGTGCATCACAATCACGAGTGCAATTCCCTGAGGTACCAAGGTAATTTATGGGTGCGCAGGTTAACAGAGGGCCAGTTTGAAAATGTGCGACCGCTGCTAATATTTGGTACTGCTTCATTCCACATTAAGAATTATGCTTACCATTCTTATGGGAAACTACTGACTGATCAAGATATCTATAATATGCGGTACAAAGTGTTCTCACAGGCGAACATTCCTGGTAAGCCATTTGCCAATTTATAATGTAAACGATAGGTGATTACGAGAAATTGAAAGCGCACATAACATCTTTGGGTGGGCGATGCGAATACGAATTAGACGATGAGAACTGTCTATCGTACTTTTTCTTCAGCACTGGTGATCAAAAGATTTTTGCAGACCGTTTCGGTGATGTTATTGGTTTGGACGGGACATACAAGACGAATAACGAGAACATCTATTTATATCAGGTCGTCGTCCTTGATATCAATTTTAAGGCAATACAAATGGAAGAATACCCGTTTGTATTGCATTTATAAGTTGCGAAACATTGACTTTTATTTCTCGATTCCTGTTGTAGAGGGTACGATCATTGGAAGAACAACAGGAATCGAGAAATAAAAGTTAATGTTTCGCAACTTATAAATGCAATACAAACGGGTATTCTTCCATTTGTATTGCCTTAAAATTGATATCAAGGACGACGACCTGATATAAATAGATGTTCTCGTTATTCGTCTTGTATGTCCCGTCCAAACCAATAACATCACCGAAACGGTCTGCAAAAATCTTTTGATCACCAGTGCTGAAGAAAAAGTACGATAGACAGTTCTCATCGTCTAATTCGTATTCGCATCGCCCACCCAAAGATGTTATGTGCGCTTTCAATTTCTCGTAATCACCTATCGTTTACATTATAAATTGGCAAATGGCTTACCAGGAATGTTCGCCTGTGAGAACACTTTGTACCGCATATTATAGATATCTTGATCAGTCAGTAGTTTCCCATAAGAATGGTAAGCATAATTCTTAATGTGGAATGAAGCAGTACCAAATATTAGCAGCGGTCGCACATTTTCAAACTGGCCCTCTGTTAACCTGCGCACCCATAAATTACCTTGGTACCTCAGGGAATTGCACTCGTGATTGTGATGCACATTCCCACGTACAACAGTCCAGTAGCCGTCGATAATCTTACAAAACATAAAGGTCGGACATTGAGTGTTCATGGAAGCCCTTCATGACAAAAAATGTTAATAACATTAATCAAATTACCTCCTCCGTCTAATCTGCCGTGACGAACCGCTAGATGTTATACGGCCATGTCTCCAGCACACAAATTTAATGTACGAGTTTTCATTTCTGCACAAATGCGAATCTCTCACTACATAATGACAGTAAGTTGATCTTTCATAATTTGTGATAGCGGACTTCAACGCTTCAAGCGATGGGAACGCAACGAGAAACAATGTTGTCAAAAAGACTTCCTCCGTTTCTGTTACGTGAGAAACAACAGCGCTTGTATTCGGCACGTTACTCTCCTCCATAATGATGATTAAAATGTACTTCGTCGACAAGTACTGATGTTTTATGACAATTTGGCAAGACATAACTAACCAATTAAAACGAACTTTAAAACTAGCCATTTCATTGGTCGAAACGGGATGAAAAATATTGTGATTATGGGGTTGAAAAAATTTTTTTAAGGGTGGGGGTGTTAAAAAAATTGCTGTGGGGATAATGAAAACCAATTGGCCTTAATGTTGGCCAGGGGAGGAGGAGTGGTTGAAGATATTTCTTCTGTACGCATAGCTTCAGCCGTTTGAAGGACTTTAGGTTTGACAAGTTTTGGCAAAAAGTTACTGACCCGATAAATAATTGAAAAAGATTGGTTTATACTGGTGTGGTGTGAGCTACTTATACTGATATGAATAGTATATAACGTGAGTTAAAAGAACGTGATGTCTGGCAGCAGAAAATGGGGAAGATCAAGAAAGGAAGAGGGAGAACACAATGGAATTTGTAAGAAAACGCATGAACAATGGAATGAGAGACAATGGATTGGTGTTTGCAACAGAAACAGTCCAGTTTGGTTTGATGCATGAATATTTTGCAAATTGACAATTTACTATATATGGTATTCAGGCTTTGTTGAGATAGTATGTAATTGTTGTGTTAAATACATCCGATTGTCCCCACCCGTGTTCTTGTTCACTACACTGGCACTATGATCAGTTTGTACTAAATGAGCCAATATCGAGTTGTTCACTTTCTCTATCAAACCTTTGTTCAGCCACACTGGGAGGTGTTCACGAGCACGAAAATGTAAATTCCTAGAACTTCGACCAATATCAATTGCTCCACAGAAGCAGTCGAACTGTTAAATACAAAATGAACTGGTCATTCTAGGTAATGCGTCTTTTAGCCTAGGTGTCACCATTGGGCGCGTAGAAAACACTAACGTGAAGAGAATTTATCGAAGAGAATATTCTTCGTTCAAATATTAGTCTTTTAATATATAAATGTTTTTATAAGTATATGTGTGATCAGATTGTTCGAAATGTATTACACTAATCTATCACCACATACTTTCTAATCACGGATGGATAGTGGCTAGCAGTGGAATCCAGTTGAACACACGTTTCGTCCTATTTGGGACTCGTCAGCTGGATGTACCTGCATCCCAGAGTTGATGTCCACCTCAGGACTCGAACCCAATACCGTTCGCTTCAAACGCCATCTCGTTATCCACTTAGCTATTGAGTCCTGATATCCATTTGCTTGTGCAATGGGGGTGAAGTATAAATTCACTTGGTGTTTTTTTTTGCAGTCTTAAATAGCAATAGAAAGATACAAGTAAAACAACACCAAGTGAATTTATCATCACATAGTTCTAACGATCTTTCCTTTTCTTATTACATCTATTGAAATTTATGAAATTGAACTAATTGCTTTAAATCAGTGTGACAACTGATAAGACTTGTTTGATTTCAGTGTATTCTATTATTGGACTCTACAATTGTATAGTTACGTGACTAAAATTTCTATTCAGGGTTGTTATAACTTATGGTCTGTAAGCCCTGTTAATGGATAAGTAGTGATACCGCCAATTAGGGAGCAGTGACTTATCGATCGGATCATTGACGCGTAAAACGCGTACGAGCAGCCTAGAGTCCTGATTGGTCATGCTTTCTGTCTAGTTCAGAACACCAGTCTCAGCCTCTGCGATATGAGTGATTTATTTCAAGCATACGGGGTTTATATACAAATCAAGCAGACCGCAACGTACCATAAAATAGAAAATAACATTTGTACAAGATTTAGCCAAATGTGGCTGTGAATGTGGGAGACAGTCACTAATAGATAGAGCATAATTGAAGAATGGTAAAACGTATAATGATAGTTCATAGTTCAAAATAAAGCTTATAATAAGAGGAATATGAATAGTTTGGTTATTTAACAATTATACAATAAAAATATACATATAGTATTGGTCCATAAACGGATCCCAAAGTAACCAGTCATTATGCTTATTGGGACCTAACATGGGTATATAATCCTAACATTATAGCTATTAATGCGAAATTTTCCAATCGTTTAAAGGTAATACAAAGTAAGTTCAGGTGTCATGTTTGCATAAAGCATATGTTTGTATGAAGCTGAAGATTATGCTACTGCCTATGTTTTTTTCAACGTCGGTTGATGTTGTTTTATCCATTCGTAACATCATATTTCCTACGATTAATTTGGATTATGGCTAGTAATGTAATCCGGTGCTCTCGTTTTTTCCTCTGTAGTACTCACGAAAGAAGTACTTGACATTAGATGGTGGTTGGAGGTAGTCGACAGGAACCACTCGACCCGGGTTTCCTGGTACTTGGCACTCGTTGGGAAGGTATACCTTTAATCTTGATGGAACTGTTGCTACCTGCCGGATTCGATCCTGTGTCACCCAGGTCCCCTGTCAGCTACGTTACCGCTGAGCGATCCAGGCCGCGACCAACCTTCCAGTTGACTACCTTCAACCACTATCTAATCTCACAATAGTGCACGCAGTGTCGAGTCACCTAGACTGGTGGCCACATTTCAACATGATCGATAGCAATCGACCTGCACTAATAAGGACTTGACACACATGACATTGATCACCACCCAGTGATTAATCAATTGTAAAGGACTTGACGTATTTGGTATTTGTCACTTCTCAGAAATCAATCAATTGTAATTATATCTCAGTCTTATAAGAGGTTATTCGTAGCCCGGATAGCACAATGAGGAAGTCTTTGACTGTAAATCTGAGTCATACAATGTCAATTCAATCAAGGAACATCTGTTTCCTCTAGATTACAGGTACACCTTGCTGACGAGTTCTAAAATGAGCACAAAACGTAAATCTAGGGTTTCCTGTCAACTACTTTCAATCACCACCTCAATTGATTGAAACCAATAAACGACTAAATTCCATTCAGTTTTAAGCTCTTGTGTCATAAAAATCTGTTTTTTATATTTTGAGTTAATTGCATGACATGGGTTATAATTATGCTGATCATAAAACATTAATGCTTAAAATGTAGACACATTTGTGAAGCTGTAAGTGCTGACTGTAACGACTTACAGCTATTGACAATATTCACATGACATAAACACCAACCGAAATCCATTCCAGTATTAATAATCCTGAGTCAACGAAAAGCTCTTACTGGTCCTCGATTCGGTAACTTGTCTTCCTGCTTTCCCCGTTGAGTCCAGAGCAGAGTAATCATCCTTCACTATATGATATATTTCAACCAGACGTAATTTTTATACTAGGCATATCAGACTGCATTACATTATAAAATAGGAAATAACATTCATACATGATTAAGCCAAATCAGATCCCAGCGGGGGAAGAAATCAGGAAGAAGCTCTGAAAGTGGATAGGACGCACATTGAGGAAAGCACACAACTGCATCACAAGATAAGCCCTCATATGGAATTTTCAAGGCCAAAGGAAAAGAGGAAAACCGAAGAACACACTACACCGAGAAATGGAAACAGACATGAGAAAAATGAACAAAAATTGGATAGCACTGGAAAGGATGGCCGAGGGCAGAGTGGATTGTAGAATGCTGGTCGGTAGTCTGTACTCCATTGAGAGTAACAGGCGTAAGTAAGTAATGATCAAGCCAAAAAGGAGCTGTGAGTATGTGAAACTATCATTTAATATGTATAATAATAGGCCTTAAATTAATCCTGTCCATTACCATCCCTTCAATCTTCGTCGGATACAACACTAACTTGAACTATATCCAGTATCAGTGCTTCTCGAACTATCAATACTTTATAATGAAACATCAGCTTTAAATTAAAAACACAATATTTTGCTTGTCTTTCATTATTTTTAAAAAAAAGGTGGTGCTCTACAAACAGCTGTTGTTGCAGCTGCAGTACGTCGAGATTATGAAGAATCTTTACAACTGACTGATGGTCATAGTAATTCTAGTACATTGAATACATCTCGTCGTCAACATTCTATTGATAAATCAAATAAATTAAATAAATCCAATATTCCAGGTAATATAACTAATCATATTAACAGTATATCAAATTATCGACCACAAAGTATGCTTAGTGATTATTCATTAGAAACAATTAATAATAACAATCAATCACGACAACAACAACAACAACAGAACACCATGAATTCTGACAATGGATCATATGATTCTTATTTATCCATAACTAGTAGTAGTCATTCATTTTCACAGACTGGTAGTAGTGGTAGAAAATCTTCTCTATCAAGTGATCAAAGTGATGGTCGGTCAACAAACAGCGGTTCTGCAACTGGCGCTTCTACTACTGCTACTACTACTACTACTACTGCTGCTAATGCTGCTTATTTAACTAAAGATGGCAAAGTACAAAAGCATATATTAGATCAAATTGCTGGAGTTAATCAAGGTAAGTGATCATAATCAATCCTTTTTATGTTTACAGCGTGATTGATATTACCTAACTGCACAAACCGAAGTAAATGGCCTTTTTTACTTGAAGTTTCCTCTTCAGTAATCTTTAACCAAAGGTTTAATCGATTAGATAATAGATCAACTGTAGAAGAAGCAATTGTTATAGTACAATTGTACATCTTTCATTTTCATAGAAGACTGAATCTCATGTATGTTATTGGTTGAGAATAAAAGCTTTTGCATAGCTTTATTTGGTTGAAATGCTTCACTTAATAAAGGAACTTGTGTTACATTCTATATTTAAGTGAATTGTTTTGAGATGGCTACTTCTAATGAATTCCAATTAAATATACTTGAATAAGTAATAAGGGAACCAATCTGCTTTTAAGATTTACCGAAAAGCTATTTCTATCGAAATAAGTTTATACTTCTACCAGTTTTTCTATGTTTTTACTTTGCGTCGTAGGAATTAAAGTGATTCATTGTTTCATATATGAGTAATAGGCAACACTGTTGTAATGGATCGGTACATTTTAGCAGTATTTATGACCTCGTTAATTCCACTAACTATGTTGTATTCATTTTGTCTGTTACTGACTTATATTTATTCAACTCACTGAAGACATTGATGGACGGTGGCGCAATTTCGTGGGTTGTTTGAAGTTAGACATTAACGCCGTTGAACGCCGACTCAATGGTCTAGAGGTTAAGTGTTTGTACATGAGACTGACAAGTCCTCGGTTCGAGTGTGACGTGCATGATCGTGGATGCACACTGCTGAGGAGTCTCATACTAGGGCGAAACGGTCTTCCAGTGTTTCCAGATTTTCTATGATGGCCTAGCTTTAATTGACTCATGAACTCAACTCAGTCAGTCAGTCAGTCAGTAACAACGTGGAACTTCGTATGTACGTACATCAGTTCGAGTTACCACATCATATTAGCACAGAGATACTATCTATTATCTGTTTATTTTATAAATTTTCTAAAACACTTGGCCATTTAATGAGTTGGTTTAATATGACAACTGTCCAATATTTTTGTGAAATGAATCCAGAATGTGTATTGCAAATCAATGAACTGTATAATCAAATGGATCATGAAAGTATATTTTAGATATTTTTCAGCTTCATTAAGACTTGAATAAGACCTATAGTAATCAAACTGTATATTGTTTTCTGTAATTGTGACTGGATTTATTTGGTGCTGTTTCAACAGCTCTATCAAGATTCATCTTAACATTATTTATATATTACTGCATGTAAGCTTTCTTTAATGAATACTTGCGTGTACTTACGAGCTTCCATAAATTGTTTATCTTGAATCTGATTAACTAGAAATCCAAACTATATCACCATGATGGTTGGTATAGTTCACGATGCCTCCAAATGCCCTGATATGGCCGAGAGTGTGGAGAGTCAGCTCTCCTTCTCGAAATACTCTCACATGGCCAGGCGTATACACCAGAATCACCATTGGCGAATCCATCTAGTGTAGTTGAAAAACCCTGATTTCAAACCAATGGTGCAGATGGTCTCCAATATCTTGAGGGGACGGATGGCGTATGAACTAATCGTTGGTTACCGGTTACCATGGGACTGTATCTCCTGACGTTGCTCCACTACCTTGTGGATTAGACCTTCAGGTTGAAGGCTCTGGATGTGGTCCCCTAAGAAAACTACCTGGTTCGGTTTGGACACCTGGGAGGTATCACAGCCTACACATAAATCAAGTGGCTTATGTGGCGCATATGTATTTGGTGCCCTTTTGTACCAATATTTTTGTTTCCAAATAAATAAATAATCGAAAAATATACATCTTGGAAATAAAACTAATCATACCAATGTTCAGTTTAATATGAACAGCAACTAATCACTGATTAAAAACACTTTACACAAATGTTTTTTTCTTTTAAATATGTACTTGTTAAATGCCTATAATACTTTTATCAGGTGGCGCTCTGCAACGTGTACAAAGAATACGTCATCAAGACACTTCATCTATACCGCCACCATCAACAACAATTATCACGTCGTCCATTGAATCTAATGTACCATCGATAATATCTAATCAATGTCCACGTTCTCATTCAATTCATTCTGTGGATAGTGCACAAAGTGGAAATTGTGTTTTGTCAAGTCATACAAGTAGTAGTACACTGACATTAACTGGTCCCGATGTGGATAATAATAATAATAAAGATCATATAAATGGTCTAAATGGAGGTAATCATATCGATGAGAATGATGGCATTAATAATTTAACAAGTGATTACAAGAATAATGAAATTAACCAGAATCACAATGAACTAAGTAAGTTGAATGTAAAACTGTGATTGGTCTTGTAATATATAAATTGATGCTTTTAACAGCTCTAACTACGCTTTATCATTCCGTATTATACTCCGCTGTTGTAGGGAATGAAAGGTGTGATAAGTAGTTAATCAGTTGATAATCTTGTAGTTTACATTATGGAGTAATCTTACTTATTCAACCATTGAAAACCAGGAAACACTGGTCTTAATGTGGGACTCCTCAGCAGTGTGTATCCTTAAGTTTATTAGGGTCAGGTTTCGTAGCAATCATTTTAACCTTTAAGCTATTGGATTTCAGTTATGTTTGGAGTAATACATTAATGGTATTGTATGATGGTTACATAATATCGCAAATCAAAGTTATAAATCTAAACCATTTGATACTAATTCAGTGGTCTAAAGGTTAAGCACTTGGCTCAAGATATGAAAGTTTTGGATTCGATCCCTAGTGGGTCGTGATTGCACACTCCTGCGGATTCCCATAACAGAATGAAATAATTGTCCTGTTTATCCTGGTTTCTAATCTTTATCTAACTAAGGTCAGTTCTTGATGTAAACTACAAGATTACACAATCTCCAGAAGAAATTGAACATCATATAACACATTCGTATATTTAGCCTTGAGTCATACTTTATTTGTTGTTTTGAATGCTCTTCTCTCCCTCTAAATGCAAATTGTTGCTTCAGGACTGGTCTGCGTCAACACCTGAACTAAGGATAGGGAGTGAAGTAGTCGAATGCGTTGACAACTTCACTTATCTTGGAAGTCTGATCAACCCTAATGGGTTGGTGTCTGACGAAATCTCAGCACGGATTCGAAAAGCTCGTTTGGCTTTTGCCAAATTACGTCACCTATGGCGAAGGCGAAATATCCATCTATCAATTAAAGGAAGAGTACACTGTGCAGCAGTTTGTTCTGTTTTACTTTACGGCTGCAAAACATGACCATTAAGAGTTGAAGATAATCGTAAGCTACAAGTATTTGACCACAGATGCCTTAGAAATATTTCTCGCATCTACTGGGGTCACCAGGTAAGTAATATTGAGGTTAGACTCACAGTATTGGGGAATGATGATGGTAAATCAGTTGATGCGGTTGTAAATCTTCATCGACTGAGATGGTTGGGCCACGTGTTACGTATGCCTGAACACTGAATACCAGGACCCACAATGCTGACTAGTGTTGGGCATGGTTGAAAGAAAGTTAGGGGCGGCCAAACCAAAACTTGGCATCAGTGCTTGAAGTCACTAACTTCTAATCTGAGCCTTGTTGGTAGATACAGACTACTTGGTTGGGGTCCGTGTGATTATCGTAACCAATGGTTGGAGACCCTTGGTAAAATGACCCAGAATCGATCATAATGACGTCAGTGTATACACTATTTGTCTTCCCTTAAACTAAGAGATGCATATATGTGCCTGGTCCTACGTTGTAGCTGACTGACTGACTAACATTATTTATCCATAAAGCCCAGCGGCACTATCCAGATACTTAGATCAAAGTAATTAGAACAGGTTTTAAACTTATGACATAATGATGAGAAGTGGAATACTGTAATCACTAAGCCATGCTATCCTAGCAATTATAGAATATTCAGTTCTCAAGTAAATAATTCCAGACTTGTATGAAATATATATATAGTGTTATTATTCAATATGATTAATTATAGATAACGATCAAGATTGGGCAAAACAAGTTCTTACATTAGCTGGTATTTATACAGATCGTATTAATGATGTAAAATCAATGAGTTCAGTGAGTCCACAATCTGTTATATCTAATCCTTCTATTGGAATTCCATTAGAAATGAATGTTTCAGAGATGGAGTAAGTATTTGAATATTATTATTCATTCTGTATATTAATATAAATACGAGTTTTTAGCCTTATTTTTATACTCAAAAATAAGGTTCTCCTACTATTTCAACTTTATATTTTGTATTCATCTTGGTAATTTCATTTTACTGTACTGAAGCGAGTGTCCGGCGATTTAACCGAGTTTGTGGATATGGAGATTCGTCCACCTAGGAGAGTTGGAAAACCTTGATTCAAAACCAATGGTATACATGGGATTCAGTATCCTGAGGGAACAAATAGAGTATGAACCAATTATTGATCACTGACTACCATGTGACTGTAACTCCTGACGTTTCTCCACTGCCTTATGGATCAGATCTTTAGGTCGAAGGCTCTGAATGTGGCCCCCTAAGAAAATCACCTGTTTCGATCTGGGTACCTGGACAGTATCATAGCTCATACACAAATCTCTCCAGCTTCAATTAACTCATAATCTCAACCATTAAGTAGATAATTTATTTGTAATATCCCAATAATTAGAAAAATTAAATTTTCTGGCGTTTCGTGACTCAGTGTAAACCACTTCTTCAACGTATAAATAACCAGATCAACATTAATCCAAGTTTAAATAGTATGACGAAACAAAGTAAGAATATTACGCTTGATCAATCAAAAAATAGGTCTAAATAAATCAATGTCATGTCATTTCGGTCAAGGTAATTCATAAGTGTCATGTGTATCAATTTATGTGTGTGTGTGTATGTGTGCAAGGTCAGGGATGAAAACATGTGTGACCTTTATAATGAGAAAGGATAGAGTTTAATTTATTTGTACGATAATAGTGTGAAATGTGAGTAATATCTGACATGGTCGAAGTGGGATGTATGATTAGGCCTTCGTTTCTATTGAGAGCAGTAGGATTAAATATTATATGGAACGACTCAGCTAACTCTCCTTTCTTTGTAATTGGAAAAACCTTTTTATAATATTTTGATATTTTTGAAATCGATTTGGCGATTGTTGAAATTGGTGTGAACTATTATTGCCTATTTGATTTGAAGTCTATCCAGTTCTACAAGATTATTGGGTAGTTTTTTTGTGTACCTAATATATTCAGTTTCAGTTTGGAAAGGACAGGAGGCTTGATGGCCTGTTTTAGTCCTGACAGTGGTGGTCTCTCAGTTGATTCAATTTTTTTTCGAAAGAGTCGACGGATAGAGCCTCAACCACGTGTTGAGGTATTGACTTCCACTCGTTGATGATTCGATGCGAAAGTCGATAGTCGGCTGACAAGTAATTTGTTCTGGGCTTGTGAACTTTTTTGGAGTGTCCTCGTAAATTCTCTGTTTTGGAAGACAAGAAAAATGAGGGCATATCAGGTGCAAATTTATCACTCAGCAATTTGAAAACTGTAATCAAGTCGCCTCTAGTTCTACGATATGAAAACGGGAAAAGGTTTAGCTTGGCCAGTCGAGCATCATACAGGAGCTTCGCTATTCCGGGAATCAGTTTAGTTGCTGTTCCCTGAAGCTTTCCCAAAAGTTCACTGTCTTTTTTAAACAGGGGTTATCCGGTTGTATGCAGTACGCAAGTTTAGGACGTACGGACACTGTATACGAAGTCAAAAACGTTTTAGCGTCGACATGACTAAAAGCTCTACGTATTGACTATAACGTTCTAAAACCTTTGGCGGCTATTGCACGGCAGTGTGCAGTAGTCGTTAAGTCTTGCCCCTAACGATGACTCCTATGTCATTATATGTCTGGACGACAGGTACCTCAGTGTTATTCATCATGTATGTATCTGTACCTTGATGACCGATATGCATCACAACACACTTGGAAGTATTTATCGGCAACTGCCAGGTTTGAGACCATTCAGATAACTTCTTCAGGTCATTTTGAAGTTCTAAGCTATCACTCTTACATCGTATCGTTCTCCATATCTTGACATCGTCAGCATATAGCAAGACCGATGATGATAAGAGACGAGGAAGGTCATTTACATACAAGAGGAATAGCACTGGCCCCAAAACTGCACCCTGAGGTAATCCACTAAGCATAGTTCCCCAGCTAGATGACTTTGAGTTCACTCGTACTCTTTGTTGGGGCCCAACTAGAAAGTCTTTTATCCACATCAATAGATTGTCTCCTATTCCGACATTTCTTAACTTATATAATAGCCGGTTGTGCGGAACCTTGTCAAAAGCTTTTCTGAAATCAATGAAGGCTACGTCTACAGGTAACTTTTGGTCCTAAAGAGCGCACCGGCTTTCACGATCGATTAATAAGTTAGTAAGACAAGAGTAACCTATTCTGAAACCGTGCTGCTTCTCCGAAAGGATCCGGTTTTCATCGAGATACTTAAACAGCTCCTTCCGAATAATTTTTTCCAAGATTTTAACAATCACACTAGTTAGGCTAACGGGGCGGTAATTCTCAGGTTTGTGTTTCGTACCAGTTTTGAAGACAGGACTTACTATGGCGTTTTTCCAGTCTTTGGGTAAACGACCCTGCGTTACGGATAGGTTGAAGCATATACTTAAAGGGTTCGCAACGAAGTTAGATGATTCCTTCAGTGGCCTAGGATGTAATTCATCGGGGCACGTGGATTTACCTATGTCAAGCTTATTAAGTAGACCAAAGACATCGAGTTCTTCAATGGTCACGCTATCCAGTGTATGTGTGGGGGGATCTGTATGCGCTGATGGGAAGGGTGCTTCTATGGTGTATACATTGCTAAAGTAGTTTTAGAACACTTGAGCCTTACCAAAGTCGTCCTCCACTAGTGACGCGGCAGTACTGTCTCCCCATAGTGCAAGAATATTTCCTCTTCTTTTTGTCTTTTGGTTTGTATAGGAATACAAGCGTTTAGGACATTCTATGGATTCCTTAACAATTTTCTCTTCGTACAACTTTCTAGATTTACAGAGGGCCGAGGCACAAGTATTCTGAGCTTTTCGATACTGAGATTTTGTATCATATTCTTTGGCTTTATTCAGGATCTCGCAAGATAACTCTCCAATATAGAAGGTATCACAATCGACACAATCTAATTTGTAGACGCAGTTCTGAGATGCGGTAGAAGATTTGTAGCTCAGGTGAATGATTTTGATGGAGTTTTTGCTAGGTTTGAAGTGATTATGAGTTCATTTAGTCTGCGAACGGAACAAAGACTTGTGATCAAAGACCAATAAACTAGCTATTCTATTGCCTCTTAACCCCGCTAACTAAAGGGAGAATTCGAAGTCTGAATTGAGGAAGTATATTCCGCAAAAAGCCAAAAGCACGAGTGATAACAACAGACACAAAATCAAACGTATATATACAGCATAAAACTGTCCTTGGGAAGCGTTACAAAATAGCATACTACTAAAAGATAGAACGAATCAACAGTGTTTAAGATTCTCCCATGTGGGTAATACAACATGAAGGTGAAAAGAGCGCTTTTGGCGCGAAAACAAAGAAATTCAATTTTTCAAAATAAAATTATAAAATTAAAGCATTTATTAAATGAATTTTACGGATCTAACATCTTTGAGCTAGATAGTGTTTGGTCATGGAACTTTCATCATTCTTCCGAAGACCAAACTATCCAACTCAGAGAACAAAACTCCATTCAAAAAAGAAAGACTCAGTTCTGTGTTAAGTAATCATTTGTCGTTCTTTCTTTCTTTTTTTTCTTTTTTCTCTCTAAATAGAAATTCCGACAATGTTCATCAACATTCTCATTCTTATAATCATTTACCATTTTATCAAAATATACGATCTAATCATCAAAAGATATTTATTCCTGAATTATTATTAATTAAACAACCTATTATACGTTCACATATTCATCGTCGTCCATATGAATTAAATAATATCGATGCACCACGTCGTTTAACTGATAATTGTCAACGTGATTTATATATTTGTATATTACATATTATGTCTACTATAACATTAGTACATTTAAAATGTTTATTTCATAGTTTTACTATACAAGAAAGATTACATTTTTTGAATATATTAAAGTAAGTTACATCTTTTGTAAATCTTGTTTTTTTTTGTATGGATTTATGTTGTTGTTGTTGTTGTTGTTGTTTTTGATGATGGAATTTTCTTCTCTGAGAGCTGGATGACATTTGGTTGTGGAGATTTTTCATCATTCTTCTGAACGATATCATCAGTATAAATGCTCTCACATGGCCATGCGTATATAGCGTCTGACTGGGGAGTCTTACAAACTAACTTCTCGTGGCGGGGGTGTTGTTTACGAAACCGAGAGGATGAAAAGCGAATTTCCGACGCTTTAACCGGGTTGGTGGACATGGAGAGTCTACCTAGGGGAATTAGAAAACCTTGATTCCAAAACATTGGTGCACATAGATTGGTTCCAGGATCCTGAAGGAACAAATGGCGTATGAACCAATCGTTGGTCACCAGCTACCATGGAACTGCATATCCTTACGTTGCTCCACTGTCTTGTGGATTAGACCTTTAGTCGAAGGCTCGGGGTGTGGCCCCCTAAGAAAACCACTTGCTTCGATTTCGGCACCCGAGCAGTTTCACAGCCCTTACACATATCGAATGAGATTTGTGTGGCGTATATGTATCCGGTGCCCGCTTGTATCAATATCTATGTGTTAAAATAAATAAATAAATAATAAGTAGAAATGAAGTATTCGAATTTCTTCACATTATTGGTTCACAGCTTATCTTGTACACTTTGATGTTGATTGATTCTTGTTAACCTTAAACATCTCATTGTTTACTTCTTTGTTTTGGTCGTATTCCATTGATTTAACTTTCGTTTTTATGTTTGGTTGATAAATTGAATTGATTTCAATGTGTTTGTTGATTGCTGATTATTGCCCTGAGTGCTAAGCTTTCAAAGAAATTTCTCTGATGTTTCTGGAATTGTTTCTATTCAAAATCTCCACAATTTTCCACATGCATCGGTATAAGTGAGAATATGTCATGGTGTTTGACAATTAATTGGTTGAAGTTTGACATTAACACCGTTGGATGCCGGCTCAGTGGTCTAGTGGTTAAGTGCACGCGCACGAAGCCAGTAGGTCCTGGGTCCGGGCCCCGCGTGGTGCGGGATCGTGGATGCGCACTGCTGAGGAGTCCCATACTAGGACGAAACGGCCGTCCGGTGCTTCCAGGTTTTCAATGGTGGTCTAGCTTCAACTGACTCATGATTTCAATCTGTGGAATTAATTGATATTCATGCAGACAAAGATGAAGAAGACATCTGCTTTGTTCGATATAATGCTTTTTCGCAGTTGGTACAATATATTTTGTAGATGTTGTTTGATTTGCCTTCATTTGTCATTTCATCCTTTGATTTGCATAGAATTAATTGTAGAGAATTTGTTGGTTTGTGTACAACACGTATTCCGAAAGTTTTAAGCAGTCTCACTGTAGTTTCTGATATGCATTTTATAGTATGGTAGGCTGATCCTTTTGTTGATTTCTGTGCTTGACTTTGTTTCTGGTGATGCGTGCGGATGGTTTTTTCTTTTGATGATGTTTCTAAATGCAAACGTTTAAAATGTCATAGTTGTATACTTATATTCATAGTTTATGCTAGATTGGAAAAGATTATTATAGGATCATCTAAAATTGTTAAAGGGAATGAAGGATCGTTGAGATAATAACAACAAGATAACTTAAGCTATTCACTGCGTCTTAGACTTGGTAACTAGAAAGAGAAGACTATGTTCAGATGAGGAGAAAAGTATTTTCCACAAACTTTTGAAAACACAAAATAGAGTATGAAAAGAAGTAACAAATCGATAACATTTCAGGTCCTTCCAAGTGGAACATACAATTTAAAGGCAAAAATGAGTATTCTCGGCGCGATAATAATAAGAAGGAAACCTAGAAGCACTGGTCAGTGCTAATTATATAAGTCATTGAAGCCACTAACTTCTAGTCTGAGCCATGTTGGTAGATGCAGACTACTTGGTTGGGATCCGCGTGACTATCGTAACCAATGGTTAGAGACTATTGGTGACATGGCTCAGAATCGATCACAATGGTGTAGGTGTATACACTCTCTATCTTCCCTTAAACTATGAGATTAAAATTGCTCTATATCGCTCTTTCTGCGAATTAATTCTTTATTTCTGTACTATATCCTTATAAACATCCTTTCTTTTATATATTACTACCATTGAAGTAACTACTTCTATGAATTCGGTGTTTATCTTTGTGTGCTAATGATGTATGGTAACTTGGACCGATGCATATATGAAAAGTAGACAATTGTCTTGGTTGAATATCGTTGTTGAGGTTTTCAGTTCTGTCGAATTTATTGATCTACTTAATCAATTCAGTTTCTTTCATCAATCTTTTATCTCCATAAGTATCTCTCAAAATCTTATGCGGTTCTTAAGTATCACAAAAATTCTAAAGGCTCTATTTGTATAGTTATTGGACAACTCATCCATGTGATCTGTTTAAATTTGATTCTTCCATGAGTTTTGTTTTAATGTGATATTAACTACTGAAACATTGGTAAATAAGAAAACACTCGATTTACATTACATTCAATCATGTCATGAATTCAACTATGTTTTTTATATTTCATTGTTTTATATTATTATTTATAGATTTTCTATTCAACATCTACGTTATCGTGGTAAACATTGTATTCAACAATATGAGTAAGATTATATAAGAACTTTTTGTTTTTATATTTCTATCGGTGTTAGTTTGTTTTACATTGTTCCTACGCGCTTCGCTTCCACTCTTTTGCATATTTATTTATACTACTTATTTAAATTCAGTAAATAGTTGAGTTCACAGCACATTTCTTAAACTTATGTTGTAACGCGGGCTTATCGTGTCATATACTGAAATATTTACATAGACTTATAACGTTTATCGTATTTATCATTATAAATACTTTACCTTAATCACTGTAACAGTTATCTACAGCTTTGTGTATTTGTTTAAACGCAACAGTTTCCATAGTGTTTTACATTTGGTTCGGGTTTCGCATGTTGATAAACTGTGATCAAGTTTAGACACAGCTTTGTTTGCACTATCGAAGCCCTTTTTGTTTCATTTAAAAGAACGCATTAAACGAGACAGACACCTCACAAGTTGAGAATCTCTATTGTAGACAAATCGTTGTTTTGTGAACTTCGGTTTTGCGCGTAACTCAGTTGGGTTACTTGGAAGCTTCGATAGACCTAACAATCGGTTTTTTTTACTTCAATTGAAAACTGGAATCAAAATACTCCTTTTCGTGGAAAAAACAAACAAGATATAAGTTATCTTAGTTTACATTGCCTTACTTTTTTGTATTCTGAGAATCGAGTAAGATGTAAATCAGTCAAACGTATGCGGATCGGCCATATCCCACCCAACCTGAGACGAAGAATGAATATTCCGTTTCTGTTGTGTTTCTGATATTTAACGATGTCTACTGACTTATATATTTATAACATCTTGATGCTTGAACTTTCTCTGGTTGATGAATATGACACTAATCAATACTAAGTTATTAATCATTTGTAAAGATCTCCGTCTTACGAGTAGTTGCTGCTGAAATAGGTTATTGCTAATGTGTTAGACCATTAAACTGGATGATACAATGACAAATCTAACGAGGAGCATAAGATTACAGACGTACACCCTACTGACGAGTGCTGAATGAAGTGAAATCGAATATGTATCAACTGTTTATTTTATTCTTTGAGTATTGCCTACTTATTTTGTTATCAGTAGTTAAAGTACAGTTAATTCAAATCTGCGACCTAATTGTTTATCTGAACTTAATTTTTTGTTTAATTTAGACACATAAGTCACAGTAGTGTTGGACGAACTGGTGGTACTGGTCATCTCCTTCATATGAGCAATGCACTAGCTAGTAATGCTGCTTCTCGTAAAAAGAGTAAACATTTACAAAGTGATCTGTTAACTAAAAATGTTAATGAACTAACCCCTGAAGAAGGACATGATAATATACCAAGTAAGTTCTTTAATTGGATCAATTTTGTTTTAATACACGGTTTTACAACTATGTTTTAAAATTTCACTTTATCGTAACAATACGTTACCATATTGTGTAAGTAATAAACAATAAAACGTAACTAAAATCCATATATCTCGATTGTGAGTGTTATACTTGCGGGTTTGTGCCTCTATCAATGTATGACGTAATGGTACCGCCAATTAGAAAGCAGTAAGTTACCCACCGAACCAATGACGCATAAAATATGTACGAGCAGTCTACAGTCTTTATCGATCCTGCTTCCTGCCTAGCCCAACCATTTAAGTCCAGAACACCAATCTCAACCTCTTCGATATAAATCATGTATTTCAAACATACTCGGTTTATATACCAATCAAACAAACTAGATCGTACCAATAAAATAGGAAACAAGATTTGTACATGATCTAGCCAAATGTGTCTGTGAATGTGCGAGACAGTAATCGATAGACTGGGCAGAACTCAAGAATGGTAAGTCGTATAATAACAGTTCATATGTCAAAATAAAGCTTATGATAAGAGGAACACGAATATGAATGGTTTAGTTATTTAACGATAAAAATATACATATAGTAATAGTCCAAAAATAGACTCCAAAATTTACCCTTCATTATTCTTATTGGGATATAATAGTGAGTGAATTTAACATCTAGTTTCTCATTTATATTATTTTTGTTATAGAAATGAAAGTTTTATTAAAAGCGAATTTGGCAACTGAATCAAGCTTAATCATCTTAGATTTGTTGAGTACGTTTACAACAGTTTTTAAAGTAAGTTTTTTGGGACCTTTTTCAGTGATACATTTCGTTTTAAATAAATAAACATTTTCACAGTTGAAATTACAAGTCCATCTAAGCTAGACTACCATTAGAAACCTGGAAGCACTGAACAGCTGTTTCCTCTTAGTATGTGACTCCCCAACAGCACATGTCCAAGATCCCGCTTGTCGAAGTCAGACCCAGGACATTTGGTTTCTTGTATGAACGCTTAACCTCTAGGTTAATGCATCGGGACCCATTGGTGTCAATGTGTAACTTCAATCAGTCTGTGATCTTGCTCAACCCTTCATCGGTTGTCTCACAGAGAAAACGTATTGAACTCCATTGGTCAACGTTAATAAGTGTACGAATATAAACCCAATGGAATGAAATGTTTACAGAACAGTTACTTAATTTTCACACTCACTGTTTACGTTCATTGTACACCGAAACTGAGATCACTCATACTTTTGATCCAGAATAATATGAGCTACTTAAATAATTTTCAGTAGCTAAGTTGTTATCATCAAATGTCGTTAGCGTTATTCTAGTGAGATATTTTCCTATGGGATAGGGTCGCTAACTCCATACCCAACCCTCCTCCTTTATCCGAGCTTGAGACCGACAGTAGCACCAGAGAGAGGCTTCAAGTGGAGCATTTTGTTTAGTGATATATTACTGCCTGAAATGTAAATTCTTTAGTTATATCAAACATGAATTATCCGTTACCCTTCACTATTTACTGCATAAACTATATGATTTAATACAATTTTTAGATTTTTTTATCATACCGATTTGTTTCCTGTCGAATACCTTCAACGATTGATCATTAAAACTGATTGCAAATATGATGATGACTTGCCTAAAGTCGTAATTATACTATACCTGTCTTCAATAAAATATCGAAATGAAGGACTGAATAGTAGTTGGCGAGACTCTAATTTATGGACGACCTTTGATCAAATCTTAAGTGACCTTGAGAAATATTAGCTAATCAGCAAACAGTCAGTATAGAGTAAAAGTATGTCATACAATACTGAGGAAATAAAGTGGATACACTTCCTATATATGGTTCAAAAACTTATCAAGGTTAGAAAGAGGTTCAAAGGTTCTAAAATCCTGATGCATGTAGAAGAGAAAATCATTCATATGGTTACAGAATAATCGACCTCTGGAGCCATGATAAAGTCTCAAAAACCCCTTCAGCCTCGAGCACATAGCTTCAATATTGTTTGTATGTACTCCAGTTGTTGAGTACACAAAATGCTACTTGTGGATAACGACACGATGCATATAACCAAGCCTATGTAGGAGTCTGTACGCTCTCCAAACATCCGTATATATTATATTAACGAGATCTGTTATTTCATACTTGATTGATTCGTCCACAAATTATAGCCTCGCCGTTTTATTTGTTATAGCCGTTCAATTATCACGTTTTGTACAAAATTCCCTGTGAACCGATTGTACATTGGCACCGTAACCTTAAAATATTTAAAACGCTTCTGATTGGCTCGTCCATAAATTAAAGTCTCACCTAGTAGTAGTCAGTCAATGATTAATTTAGATAGTATCACGATGAGTTCACCCCTATATCTCATATTTGGCTCACAAACGGTTCATTTTTCTAATTTTCACTTTTCTCATCAATGTTTTTTTTCTCTCTAAAATAGTTTTCTACCTTTTTTTTCTTTATAATTTTATTTCTAGTCAGAATTGAATCTATGTAAACCAAATGATCCAGTATTTTGTTCAATAATTGAAACGTACATATGTATATTATCTAATAATCCATCGGATTATGTAATACGTCATACATTTTCTGCATTACGTGTATTTATTAATCAAAATTCACAGGTAATTAATGTATAGTTTTTGATTCATTTTAATTATTATCTATGCTAACTATTGGTTGTAATTGATACATTTAGGTTACATGTATCTTCCTATTGTTAATTCAGACTGTAATTGATCAATGTCATGTTGCAGATACATCCAATTGAAGAGTCCCAAAATAGGACGAAATGCGCTTCAAACTGGATTTCATTGCTAGCCACTATCCATCTTTGTTTAAAAAAGCTTATGACTACTTAAGACTATATTGAGGCAATCTGCGCAGGATGCATATATGTCAATAAGAGACTGATCAATTGTAGTTCTAAATAACAATAGGAAGATACAAGTCAAATAATACCAAATGAATTTAAACTTCACCCTATTGCACAAGCTGGTGACTATCATCAGGACGAAATGCACGTCAAACTGGATTCCACTGCTTCCCATTATCCATTTCAACAGTTAGAATCATGATTCAATTGAAGCTAGACCATCATGAAAAACCTGGAAGCATTAGATGACCGTTTCCTGTTATTGTAGGACTCCTCAACAGTGCGCATCCACGACCTCGTTTCGTGGGATTCGGAACCAGGACCTATCAGTTTCGCGCGCGAGCGAGCGCTTAACCACTAGATTAATTGTTGTCAGGCTTTTCAAATAGTCAATACCGCTCTGTAAAACATAATTAGGCTAACAGAATAAGGCTCTTGATCAATAGTTATATAACGTGTTGTTTAGTTCTTAATACCGACTAAAATTTATAGACCTATTTATAAAGTTTAGTATACTTGTTTCATTTATCGCTTAACGAAACATTAAATAAGATTCATTTGATGTACACGATGTTATTTCAGAGTCGATTTCTTTCAGTCACTTAACATTATTAGGAAGTTGTAGTGTCGGTTACTATATTAAGCCCAAATAACTTAGTCTAGTTTTTGGATAGGCCAATTTATCAATTCTTCTTGAGTCACGTTCAGACCTTGTTAGTTATTCACTTATCGACACTCACTTTTTATATGAGCGTATGGGTATGCACATCTTATTCTACTCACCACATATCTGTAGCTTATTTTTGTGTGACTATAAATATTGATTAACGCTCCACCGCGCGTCATTTCGCTTCGCTCTTTTTTCTTTGTTTCGTCTCCCTGATTGCCTGTTCACATCACTGAGTGCATGAAATATACACATACGAAATCCATTGTCGTATTCAGCTTATTCAATTCCGTTATGTTCAGTAACATGGATTAAATTGATAATAATATACGGGAATATTCAGGATGTGTATATTTCGACAGCAATCATTTATACTGTGATGTATGCTACTTATATCCACATAAGTAGTATAGAATGCTTGTCAGGAATAAAATGTCTGGCAGCAGAAAGTCGAGAAAGAAAGAATGAGAACATTGAAGTCTGAGACAATTGACTGATATTCACAAAGGAACAGTCAAATTTGAGAAAATTGATTGATATTTTACAAATGAAGTATTTACTGTATGATTCTTAGATTTTACTAAGAAATTCTATAATTTTGTATATTGAACTACTATTTACTTATCCCCATTTGTATGTTCTCATTCACTACAATACAAACTACTTAGAGTCAAATCCCCAGGTTACTCTCATATAAAGTCTTAGCGTTGATAAGTGAATAATTAACAAGGTCTAAACGTGACTCAAGAAGAATGGATAAATTGGCCTATCCAAAAACTAGACTAAGTTATTTGGGCTTAATATAGTAACCGACACTACAACTTTTTAACAATCTTAAATGATTAGAAAAAAAATCGACCGATACATATTTGTGCCTGGTCCTACGTTGTAGCTAACTGACTGACGATAAACTATACACATTCTGTTGAGTTATATGATAGAAAACTTTCATCTTGATTAGTTGATTATCAAGGACATGAAACAAAAAAATAGTTTGCATACCTACCCAGTTTCTCCGTATTATCGTCAATTAAAGCGAAACCTAATCAATCTGGATAATAAGCCTTTTATTGAAACAACGATTTAAATCAGTCATCAATAAAACGTACTGCGCAGCAAAGATCATCATCAAAGAAAGAACAAGGTGCATGCTTCATTCAAAACCTAAAGTACATGGAAACGATTGCGTCACATCCCACTGTGTTTACCAATTTAAATGTGTGTGTGGTCACACATACATAGGGAGGAGTGAGTGAACATGTACCCAAATGGCTTCAGAAACAAATACAATCAAGTGACCCAATAAGAGCAGAGGATAAACATCCATCATCCTCTATTGCTAAACATATAATTGAAACAGGTCACAAGATTGATCTAAATTCAGCTTTTGTAGTGTTGTATAAAAGTGTAAAAGGGTGTATACTAAGGTTTATGAAAGCCTTAGCCATACGAAAATTCAAACCGCCTTTGTGTGTTCAAAAACAGTTTGTTCTTACCTTAAACCTACCCTGGTAATATTGACTTATTATCCAGAGTGATTAGATTTCGCTTTGTGTTCACATTATTATTATTATTATTACTCTTATTATTATTAGCCTTATCTCCTCTTACCCCGTTTCCAGTCTAGTTGACCTTTTATTTTTATATATAAATGCTCTTAACAAGTATCTTATGTGTGACCAGATTGTTCGAAATGTATTGCGCTAATATATCACATAGTTCTGATAATCTTCGTCTTCTAATATCATTATTAAAAATTGAGTCAGGAATCATTGATTGGTTAAGTTTGAAGATTGATTAGAGCCTATTTACACGTCGGAGTGGCCGAGTGGTCTAATGCGTCAAACTCAAGTGTGTTGTTCTGCCTCAGAATGCCCTGGTACGTCTGAGAGTGGGGAGAGTCCGCTCACCTCAAAACGCTCTCTCACTGCCTTCTCGTGGCATTACTGTTGTTTACGAAATTGAGAGGACGAAGAGCGAATGTCCGGTGCCTTAACCGGGCTGGTTGACATGGAGGGTTCACCTAGGGGAGTTGGAAAACCCTGATTCCAAACCAATGGTGCACATGGGTTGGCTCCAGTATCCTGAAGGAACAAATGGTGTATGAACCAATCGGTGGTCACAGGTTACCATGGGACTGCATCTCCTTACGATGCACCCAGGCAGTACCACATTCCTCGCACAAACCAAATGATATTTGTGTGGCGCATATGTATTTGGTGCCTCCTTGTACTAATATCTATGTGTTTAAGTAAATTAATATGATTATAGTGTTATGACTAGTAACGAGTATATCTATTATTTTATTTGAACACATAAATATTAGTACAAAGGGTCACCGAATACATATACACCACACAAGTCACTTAATTTGTGTGTGTGTGTGGGCTATGATACTGCCCAGGTGTCCAAACAGAAACACGTTTTCATCCACGATTTCCACTTTGCAAGATTCGAACCCAGGACCTATCGGTCTCACACGCGAACACTTAACCTCCAAACTACTGAATTATAACACACAACAAATAAGAAAAATCTCATCAACATTGAACTAGTAAATTTATGAAAGTCATTACAAATATGATTTGTTAACTTTTCATGTTATAAACTGTTCACTTGTAGTAGTAAGTAGATTTGTCTGAGATGTGAAGAGTCAGTCAGTCAGATAGTTAGGACGTAGGACCAGGCACGTATATGCATTGGTGCAAGTTGCCATATCTCACTCCTTGGCATAACAAGATGAACATCAGATTCATAGAAGTAGTTAATTCAGTGGTGGCAATATATAAAAAAAAGATTGCGTATAGGGATATAGTACACGAAGAAGGAAAGATATAAAGCGATTTTAATATCATAGTTTAAGGGAAGGCAGAGAATGTATACACCTACGCCATTGTGATCTATTCTGAGCCATTTCACTAATAGTCTCCAACTGTTGGTTACAATAGTCACGCGAATCCCAACCATGTAGACTGCATCTACCAACATGGTTAAGACTAGAAGTTAGTGACTTCAGTGACTGATGCCACGTTTTGGTTTGGCCGCCCATAACTTTCTTTCAAGAGATATATGGTTCATGGTAAAAATTTCGAATAAATGTTTCTTCCCAGACTGAAACTTCTGAACAGAACACACCCATTGATTCATCAAAGGCTACACATACAATCACGATAAGCTCGCTACTACTTTTGAATTACTGAGTTGACATTCAAATGGTTCACATTCTCTATTTCAGTCAATTCACTCATTATATTTCTGGTCTCTCTTATAGCATGGTTATTGGCACAGATAATTTATATTTTATCAACAAATTACAGTGAGACTATCATTTATGGACGACCTTTGAGTAACGCTAACCTGACCTTGCGAGTGCCCACCTAATAACCTGGACTAAATGAGGGTTATAAACCTGTGTGAGGAATTCGAATTATGATTTGCAGTTGATGATTAGAAATTAGATTTCAGGGGTTTTTATCATGAACTGACATCAGCTATAATGCCAAAACTCCATTTACCCAAATGGATGAATGAATTTCGCGCCAAAATCCGAGATCTATTATCTTATACGTTGATGGATTCGTCCATAAATTATAGTTTCGTCCAAATTACTTATTTTTATAATATTTTATGGCTTTTCTTTTCTTCTTCTGAATTTAAATTTTAGACTCTCTTCTCTGAATCAACCGATATTCTAAGCATGCTTTGTTTAGCTGGTTTAAGATGTTCTAATCAATGTTTTCTTTCATTATCATCGGTTATCTCTTCTCCATCATTATCAGTTTCATCAATACCACCACCACCACCACCACGAACAACAACAACAACTGCATGCCCTGTCTCCAACTCGACTGATTCCAATACTAAAAATTCTCAAATATCATTTCTAACTAATAATATTAATACAACGTCGTCTGACACAACAGCATCTATTAAGTATAAACCTCCAATACTATCTAGATTGAAAAATATTGAAATTAATGATACAAATCAGATTATATCAAATACTAGCCATTTTAATCATAATAATGATTATGATAATAGTAATATGAATAATCAAGCATTGATAAGTAGACTTTGTCTAGATGCATGCGGTTTCTTATATCGTTTATGGAAGTGTAGTTTTGAAACACATCAACAAGTTGGATTTCATCGTGTACATTTACAGGTAAGTGAATATAACATTATACGATATATATATATATGTTTCAGTGGTTGAGATCATTAGTCAATCGAAGCTAGACTACCATGGAAAACCTGAAAGCAATAGATGGCCGTTTCGTCCTACTTTAGGACTCCTCAGCAATGCTCATGCACAATCCCTTCTCGTCAGATTCGAACCCATGGTCTATCAGTTTCGCGCGTGGGCGCTTAATCATTAGACCACTGAACTTTCCGGCATCCAACGGTATTAATGTCTAACTTCAACTAATCCACGAGATTGAGGGACACATCCACCATTGTCTTCAGTGGGCTACTATAGTAACAGTATCAGTAGAACTGAAAAACATATAAGGCATAGGCAACATGATTCAAGAATAATACATGAATTTCTTGAATAAAATGTAATGTTAGGTCTATCGAAGCATCCAAGTCACTCAACTGAGTTACGCGCAAAACCGAACTTCACAAAACAACGATTTGTCTAAAATAACGATTCTCAACTTGTGAGGTGTCTGTGGCGTATAATGCGTTCTTTTAAATGAAACAAAAAGGGCTTCGATAGTGCAAACAAAGCTGTGTCTAAACTTGATAACAGTTTATCAACATGCGAAACCCGAACCGAAAGTAAAACACTATGGAAACTGTTGCGTTTAAACAAATACACTAAGCTGTAGATAACTGTTACAGTGATTAAGGTAAAGTATTTATAATGATAAATACGATAAACGTTATAAGTCTATGTAAATATTTCAGTATATGACACGATAAGCCTGCGTTACAACATAAGTGTAAGAAATGTGCTGTGAACTCAACTATTTACTGAATTTAAATAAGTAGTATAAAATAATATGCGAAAGAGTGAAGGAGAAGCGATTAAGAATAATGTAATGTAAAATTATTTTAAAAATAGAAGAAGTGAAGGAATAAAATGAGCGAATACATCTAACTTTATTGTGATCGATTCTGAATAATGTCGCCCAACGTATCGAATCTTAGGTCATGATAATCATCCAAACCCGAAAAGAAATAGTTTGTATCTACCAACAGACTAATGTCATGTCGTTCTTTGATTATCTTTAACTTTCTTTCAAACTACTCTTACATCATCAAAGAATCGTTCATCAATCCTTAACCTGTTTTAGTTTAATTTTATTAAAATAAAATTTGACTATGATGCAAATATGATGGATTGTCAATGAATCTTAGTTTATATGTTCACAACAATTCATTAGTCTGGAATATTTGATTATGTTGACAACAGAGTAGTCAATTGTAATCTTTCTTCGCTCTACCTCTCTTTTTCTTTATTGATAGACAATTATTGCTATATCAAAACTTGTAAGTGAACTAAGTCCCGGTTTTGAAGCAAGTTTAAGTCTTTTGCATAGTTTAGCACAAACTGATATGCAAAGAATTTCAGAATCAACTTCAACAAAGTCATTAACTACAACAGTAACAACAACATCGTCGTCATCATCTGGGAAGTTGTTTTGGACTGATTCAAATATTCGTTTATTCTTAGATGATATTGACGATTTAATTCATCGTATATTAACTGTATTAACTGCTACTGCTGAAATGCGTCGACATTGTGATGACCCTGAGCGTATAGTTGACTTACAGTATGCACTAGCTAAATCGTACAGTAGTAATCCAGCATTAAGACGGTAAGTTTCTTTTCATTTTATTTATAAAGTTGTTTTTTTCTTGAATCCTCTGCGAAATAAACAAATACACTGTCTATCGGTATTATGCAACTTTGTCAATGTATAATGTACGCGATCACTTGAAAGCTTGGGAACCTTCACATAGTAGTCAATACTCACTGTCTCCTTCTTCAAAAAATTCATGGTTAATACCTCCATAAAAATTGGGTATTTATTAGATAGATCAGTTTTGGGTATAAAACTCTGTATCATTATTTACACTCAACTGCTGTAGAAATCCAACAGACGATTATACCATGTTACTTGATTGTTTGAACCAAGCGTCAAATTATATGGTTTTAGTGTGTTTAAGTAACGGAAGTGAAAAGTTTCAGGACCGATAGGTCCTGGGTTCGAATCTCGCGGAGCGGTATCGTGGATGCGCACTGCTACAATAGAACGAAACAGCCATCCAGTGCTTCCAGGTTTTCCATGGTGGTCTAGCTTCAGTTGACTCATGATCTCAACTATTGAAAAAATATATAACTGTTTAATAATCATCTTTGAAAAGTATTCAGTATTTCGGAGCAAAAATTAGAAGTTATTGTTTAAATAATACTTGGAATTGGGAGGAAATTGGAAACATGTACGATGTAAAGATACATCAAAACCTCTTCCTTAAGATTGTTAACGATCATGCCATTTGTGCTATATGAGGTCATGAGTGTGGTTGGAGATATGAATTTGAAGATATAGTATTCGGCGCGAAATCTTACCATTTTCATTAGATTTTTTGCAGTGTAGTAGATAACCTCTTCTTCTAGTGCCTGTTATCATGCTGTTCTCTTGCCGACATCGATTCTTCATAAAAGTAGCTTTCTATATATTATTATTTTTCTGGTTAGCGTTTCTTTAGCGAGTTAGTTTTCTACGGGATGAGGTCGCTAACCCCTATACCTAACCCTCCTCCTTTATCTGGGCTTGGCAATAGCCCCAGAGGGGTTCCAGGTGGAGTTTTCGATATATTAAGTCCATCAAAAGAGTAGCTCTAACATAAAACAGTATGGTAAATATACTGAGACAACTGGAGAATTGTAATCGTATACAATTACTGTCTTGGAATTCCTACCTATTACCTTCTAGAGGTGGGGGTATTGTTTACAAAATTGAAAACACGAAAAGTGAATGTCCGGTGCTTTAAACGGATCGTTCGTTTAAGAGTACCCACGTAGGATAGTTGGAAAATCCTTATTCAGAACCAATGGTTCACATGGCCTCTAGAATCTTAGGAAAACAAATGATTTATCAACCTGTTATCAAGAATTATTAGTTTTAAGACTAACAACACTAAAATATTAATCGTTTCTATTATAATTGTTTCACATAAAATAATTAGAAACTTCATTGAGCTAGGCATTTTGGTTGTGTAGCGCTAACAAATCAGCCTCAGAACAAATTGAACGGTTTCTTTGATAAAAAGTGTCGAAGTTCATTTTAACTTCAGAATAATATCTCAATGAAACACCTTGTCGACTGGTCCCAAATGACCTGGTACGGCCGACGGTGGAGAGGGTCAGTTCTCCCTCTCTAAATGCTATCACATGACCATACGTATACAGCCACTGCCACAGAAGTCCTACTTAATGCCTTCTCATAGCATTACTAAGGGTCTACCTAGGGGATTTGGAAAACTGTGATTCCAAACAAATGGTTTACATGGGGTCCAGGATCCTGAAGGAACAAATGGTATATGAACCAATTGTTGATCACTGGCTACTATATGACTGTATCTCTTAATGTTGTTCCACTTCCTTATGGATTAGACCTGTAGGTTAAAGGTTCAAGAAGTGGCTCTCGAAGAAAACTACGTGTTTTGGTTTGAGCATCCAGGTAATATTCCAGCCGTTACACAAATCGAATGATGAAATGTGACGCAATAGATATATATTTGGTGCCTCTTTTTTACCGTTGTTTATTCTAAATGATGTTTACATGTCTATGTATGCATTTTATGCATATGTATACAGAGGAACATGGTTGAATGTAACAATTTCGGTAATATCAACAGAGTACATCAGTTCAACTATAGTGTGCACTTTGTAAAATCATTTATTAACTAAACTATCTGTATTTATCTTGACAGACATATTAACATTTTGTATGCACTTTGAAAATGATGATCCAATGTCATAGGAAATACAATTCATGAAAGTACATTCAATTTCACTTTCAAAATAAAAAAAACAACAACATTCTTTTGTTGCTACTACTACTCTCCTCCCCCCCCCCCATACTTCTGTTGTTTCAACAAAGTCAACATGAATCAATGTTTGAATTATTAAACTATATGACTTTGAATGAGTACATAATACATTGAAGCTTTATATTGTATTGACTGTAGTTATGTTTCTGTTATATCTTGTGACCGCCAATTAGTGAGCAGTGACTTATCGATCGGATCAAAGACGCGTAAACACGTGACAACAACTTAGAATCCTGACTGGTTCTGGTTCCCTGTATAGCCTAGCCAGTTGAGTCCAGAACGCAAATCTCAGCCTCTGCAATATAAATCCTTATATTTTAAACATACTCGGTTTATATACCAATCAGACAGACCACATCGTACCATAAATTATCAAACAACATTTGTACAAGAATTAGCCAGACTTGGCTTTGAATGAGGGAGGTAGTAATTAATATACTGGGTATAACTTAAGAATGGTAAAAACGTATAATAATAGTTTATGGGTCAAAATAAAGCTTACAATAAGAGGAATATGAATATGCATAGTTTAGTTACTTAATAACTATACAGTAGAGATATACGTTTAGTATTGGTCCGTAAATGGATCCCCAAAGTTACCATTCATTATTCTTGTTAGGACATAACAGTTTCTTAAAACTTAAATAATCAATTCAGATTATTTCACAAATAAACCCTTAACTTAAAGCCTTCAAAATCCTAATAAGTAATGACTTTATTATTGGATAACATTTTTTAACTCATTTTCAACACTCTCTATACTAAGTTTCTATACAACTTCTAAACTTTCAACAATCTATGAAGTTAGACATTGACACCGTTGGATACCGACTCAGTGGTCTAATGGTTAAATGCTCGCTCGCGGAACCTGTAGGTCGTGGGTTCGAATCTCGCAGGCGGTGAGGTCGTGGATGCACACTGCTGAGGAGTCCCACAATAGGACGAAACGGCCGTCCAGTGTATCCAGACGTTCCATGGTGGTCTAGCTTCAACTGATACATAGTCTTAAACATTGAAGAAATCTATGTAACTTTTTCTATAGAAATCAATAATCAAAGAAATTACCAAATAAATTCACAGTCTAATTATCAACTAATTGTTGTTAAATAGGGTTTTGTTGTGGTTTGTTAGATTATGGGCTATGTGTTGGGATATTCAGGAAAATATCCCAAAAATTATTCTATTAAGTTTAATGCTATTCTTGGACTTGAGATGGTGTCATTTTCCTATTGGTCAATATTTATTTCACGTGTCATTTCCCTACTGGTCAATACCTATTTCACGTCAAATGTTATTTTCTATTTTATGGTACGATGTGGTCTGCTTGATTGGTATATAAACAGAGTATGTTTGAAATATAGCGATTCTTATCTCAGAGGCTGAGACTTGCGTTCTGGAGTCAACTGGGTGGGCTAGACAGGGAAGCAGGGCCAATCAGAATTCTAGGTCATTCTTACGTGTTTTACACGTCTTTGATCCGATCGATAATTCACTGCCGTCTAATCTGCAGTCCACAAGACCTCGGATATACAAGGACCTAGGAAATATACAAGAAACTAAACCACATAGATAATGTTTTAAATTATAATAGTGATAAGCTAATACTAATTTCGTCCTGCTGAGGAGTCCCATACTAGGACGAAACGGCCATTCAATACTTTCAGGTTTTCCATGATGATCTAGCTACAATCGACTCATAATTTCAACTATTGAAATGACTAAAAATATCCACAAAACCCCTTCTGACAATATTGATTTATTTATTTGAACACATAAATATTGGTAAAAACGGGTACCGAATACATATACTCTACACAAGTCATTTAATCTGTATGTGGGCTGTGCTCAAAGTGAAGCAGATAATTTTCTTAGGGGACCACACCTGAAGCCTTTGACTCAGAGGTCTAATCCACAAGGCAGTGGAACAACATCAGGAGATGCAGTCCCATGGTAACCGGTGACCAACGATTGGTTCATACAGCATTCTAGAGCCAACCTATGTGAATCATTGGTTTGGAATTAGGGTTTTCTAAATCTCCTCAGTAACGCTGTGAGAACGCATTAAATAGGACTTCTGTAGGAGTGGCTGTATACTCATTACCATGTGATAGTTTTTATAGAGAGAGAGAGAGAGAGCTGATTCTCTTCACCATCAGTCGTATAAAGGTATTTGGGATCAATCGAAAAAGTGTTTCATCGAGATATTATTCTGAAGTTTAAATGATCTCTGACACTTTTTTTTTATCAAAGAAACCGTTCAATTTGTTCTAAGGCTGATTTGTTAGCACTACACAAATATTTTAATATTATTGGTCTTAAAACTAGGAATTCTTGACATTTTCTTATACTTTCCCATGATGGTTTAGTTTACAGTCTAGGTAACAATGTATTGTAATACATAAACAATATCTATATATATATGTAATAATCACTATCCATTAAAATCAATATCGAATCAGACATGATAGTAGTCGGACAATGTTACATCACAAAATATCATTAGAAATTGAATCAATTAAGTTCAGGATGGTTGGTAATGATTGTAATTGGTTATATATTACTTATCATATGACATTTCCTAAACTAAGTAGATATTGGTTAGATTTCAATTGAATCTATGTTTAGAAATAAGTTTTTTTCTTAAATGTTATACAATTCCAAGAAGGTTTAACCCCCCAATGCCCTGGTACGGCCAAGAGTGGGGAGAGTCCGCTCTCCCTCTCGAAATGCTCTCTCATGGCCACGTGTATATAGCCTCTGCCAGGGAAGTCCTACTCACTGCCTTCTCGCACCAAGGGTGTTGTTTACAAAAATGAGAAGACGAAAAGCGAATGTCCAGCGCTTTAACCGGATTCCAAACCAATAATTCACATGGGCTCAAGTATCCTGCAAGAACAAATGGTGTATGAACTAATTGTTGGTCACCGGCTTCCATAGGACTGCATCTCCTTACGATGCTGCACTGCCTTGTGGATCAGACCTTCAGGTCGAAGGCTCGGGGTGTGGCCCCCTAAGAAAACCACCTGCTTCGGTCTGGGCACCCTAGCAGTATCACAGCCCTCACACATATCGAATGAGATTTGTGTGGCACATATGTATTTGGTGCCTCTTTGTACCAATGTTTATGTGTTTAAATAAATAAATAAATAATAAGTAAGACATAGATACAAGATGATTGGATACCAAAACAAAAAGTGAAAATTACCGTTATTATATGGCTTAATTAAATAAAGAGAATGATCACTTTATAGCTAATAAGGTGAGTGATTCGACATGGTAATACACATTGGATTGGATTTTAAATGATTACAGGGTATTGACTACTGCTTATTTAGAAATCAGTATTATTAAGGTTGGTTAAGTGTAAGGACAAATTGTTTTTTGAATACATAAAGGGGGTTTTAGTTTCCGTATAGTCAAGGCTTCAATAAACTTTAGTATATACGTCCTTGAAAGCTTTTGTATAACACTACAAATGCTGATTTGATGTCAATCAAATGTTTCGCAATGAAAGATGATGTCTGTCTATTCTGTGATTTTATTTGATCATTGGAATCCACTTGTTTCTGTAGTTATCCTTAATTGCAAACTACAATTGCTCATCCCTATGTTACCATACATATATGTAACTTGATAGACATAATGGGATGTGACATAATCGATTTGGTGCTGTTTGGGCTTTTGGTGAAATCATAAACCTTGTCTTATCGATAATGACAAGTTAGGCTGCATAAAATGTTCGGTTAATAGCCTCCGTTTCAACATGAGACTATTTTTGTCGCCTCTAAATGGTAACGTAATGTAAACTCGCTTTTTGGGTGCCAAAAGTGTCATAAGTCTAGCCGTACTGCAACTCTTCCAGCGGTTTATGAACTTCAATGAATAACCATTATTCATTAACGTATCAGTCAAGAGCTTCATCTCTACTTCAATAGTACCACTAGTACAAATACGATTGATTCAACTGAATAAGCCCTTTATTTATTTATTTATTTAAAAACATAAACATTGGTACAAGGAGGCACCAAACAGATATGCGCCACAGAAATCATTCGATTTTTGTGGGGGCCGAGATACTGCACGGTTGCCCAAATCGAAGCAAGTGGTTTTCTTAGGGGGTCACACCCCGAGCCTTCGACTAAAGGTCTAATCCACAAGGCAGTGGAGCAACGTAAGGATATGCAGTCCCATGGTAGCTGGTGACCAACGATTGGTTCATACGCCATTTGTTCCTTCAGGATCCTGGAACCAATCTATGTGCACCAATGTTTTGGAATCAAGGTTTTCTAATTCCCTTAGGTAGACTCTCCATGTCCACCAACCCGGTCAAACCGTGTTGACTACATTTTTGTTTTTTATTCATAATATCAAGCTGGGCTACATCGACATAGTTCATAGAAGACAGTTGCAGATAATTTCTCATGCTTGACTTGAATTCATTAATGAGATTTACACTAATATAGAAGATTCATCAACTAAATGAATGAGGAAATAATATAACAATAAACCATCATCGTATAACTTTTAAATGACTTTTTATTCGATTTGTGCAAGGACTGGGATATTGCCCATGTGCTCAAATCGAAGGAAGGATGCCCAAATTGTCAACGTAAATGGCTTTTCTTTTCTCTATTGAACATTTCCCGTTTTTTTTGAGCATTTCCTATTCTAATTAATATTTATTATTATTATTCATTTTTTAATGATTATAGTACATGGTTAGAAGAATTAGTCAAATTACATATGAATTCAAGAAGTTTCACAGAATTAGCTATGACTAAATTACATATTGCTGCATTAATGGCTGAATATTTAAAATGTAAAGGTAATTCACTTATAAATTTTTAGATACATTTTTACCATAATATATAGATGTATCTATGAGTTGACCTTCAAAATAATCGTTCCAACTCAGTTTATCTAACTAACTAACTAACTAACTAACTTACTTACTTACTTACTTACTTACTTACTTACTTACTTACTTACTTACTTACTTACTTACTTACTTACTTACTTACTTACTTACTTACTTACTTACTTACTTACTTACTTACTTACTTACTTACTTACTTACTTACTTACTTACTTACTTACTTACTTACTTACTTACTTACTTACTTACTTACTTACTTACTTACTTACTTACTTACTTACTTACTTACTTACTTACTTACTTACTTACTTACTTACTTACTTACTTACTTACTTACTTACTTACTTACTTACTTACTTACTTACTTACTTACTTACTTACTTACTTACTTACTTACTTACTTACTTACTTACTTACTTACTTACTTACTTACTTACTTACTTACTTACTTACTTACTTACTTACTTACTTACTTACTTACTTACTTACTTACTTACTTACTTACTTACTTACTTACTTACTTACTTACTTACTTACTTACTTACTTACTTACTTACTTACTTACTTACTTACTTACTTACTTACTTACTTACTTACTTACTTACTTACTTACTTACTTACTTACTTACTTACTTACTTACTTACTTACTTACTTACTTACTTACTTACTTACTTACTTACTTACTTACTTACTTACTTACTTACTTACTTACTTACTTACTTACTTACTTACTTACTTACTTACTTACTTACTTACTTACTTACTTACTTACTTACTTACTTACTTACTTACTTACTTACTTACTTACTTACTTACTTACTTACTTACTTACTTACTTACTTACTTACTTACTTACTTACTTACTTACTTACTTACTTACTTACTTACTTACTTACTTACTTACTTACTTACTTACTTACTTACTTACTTACTTACTTACTTACTTACTTACTTACTTACTTACTTACTTACTTACTTACTTACTTACTTACTTACTTACTTACTTACTTACTTACTTACTTACTTACTTACTTACTTACTTACTTACTTACTTACTTACTTACTTACTTACTTACTTACTTACTTACTTACTTACTTACTTACTTACTTACTTACTTACTTACTTACTTACTTACTTACTTACTTACTTACTTACTTACTTACTTACTTACTTACTTACTTACTTACTTACTTACTTACTTACTTACTTACTTACTTACTTACTTACTTACTTACTTACTTACTTACTTACTTACTTACTTACTTACTTACTTACTTACTTACTTACTTACTTACTTACTTACTTACTTACTTACTTACTTACTTACTTACTTACTTACTTACTTACTTACTTACTTACTTACTTACTTACTTACTTACTTACTTACTTACTTACTTACTTACTTACTTACTTACTTACTTACTTACTTACTTACTTACTTACTTACTTACTTACTTACTTACTTACTTACTTACTTACTTACTTACTTACTTACTTACTTACTTACTTACTTACTTACTTACTTACTTACTTACTTACTTACTTACTTACTTACTTACTTACTTACTTACTTACTTACTTACTTACTTACTTACTTACTTACTTACTTCTGTTACTCCTCGTGGAGGAGTGTAGACCACTCACCAACCAACATTCTTCATCATATTCTATACTGGCCAATCCTTTTGATATCTACTTCCAATTCTCAACTCAATGTATTCTTTAACTTTTCTCTTTTCTGTTTTCTTCCAAGATTCCAATTATATCAATTAAAAGATAATAACTAAGTCAATGAATGAATTCTTAGAGTAGCTTTCAAATAATTCAATCTGTTTTTAATTTCTATTCATAGATTTGAAACAATTTGATCTGGTAAATTTTCGTTTCCCTTTTGATCTTTACAATTCTCATTTGATGTGTACATTGTTTGCTTAATACGTTACTACTATTGTTTATTCAATTCTTATCAGTATAAGGGTTGTGGAGATTATTAAGTTATTGATTGAGATTATGAGCTGATTGATGTTAGACCACTTGTAAGCATGTGTCGGGTAGAGACAGATATCTATTTCAGTACAATGGAAGATGGTCGCGAAATTTGGTGGTTTGTTTGAAGTTAGACATTAACACCGTTGAATATTGGCCGACTCAGTAGTCTACTAGGTTGAGCATTCGCGCGTGAGACTGAAGGCCGTGGGTTCAAATCTCATGAGCGGAATTGTGGATGCACACTACTGAGGAGTCCCACAATAGGACAGAACAACGATCCAATACTTCCAGGTTTTCAATGGTGGTCTAACATCAATCGACCCATGATCTCAATCAATATCTTTAATTCTTGGTTGAATGAAAATTGATTGTTATCACTTAATCACCTTGAAATTTCTCAACAGTTCACATCCACGACCCCACACATGGAACTCGAGCTCAGGACATTCGATTTCACACGTGAATATCTAGCATTCAATGATGTTAATGTCTAACTTGAATCTATCCATGATCTTTTGCAACCGTTTATACATGATCTGAAATGGATAACCTTCTCATATCCAATATCACTTGAACTTCATTGGTCATAGTTTCTCACTAGGACTGTAAGAAATTCATCTTGAATCTAATCACCAAGGGGAGGGGGTGATTTTTAGTAATTGTAATATTTTCATCATTGAATTCACTGATCGATATTATCACGAGTTGTATTATGTCATTATAGTGTAATCAAAATATCCAATATATTGAATAAAATGTTCAATATTTCAGTCATACAACACCATTCACATATATATGTGAACATATTGTGCATAGTGAGACAAAGGACAATTCTATTTCAAGAAACAATAAGTATCAACTAGAAAATTTGAAAGAAAAAAGTTCTCTCTTTTTTTTGGTTTTATCAGTTGTGGAGATTATTAACTTTTTGATTGAGATCATGAAGCGATTGGTGTTAGACCACCATGGAGAACCTGGAAGCACTGGACGACCGTTTCGTTATATCGTGGGACTCCTCAGCAGTGCGCATTCACGATTCCGCTCTTTCGCGCGCGAACGCTTAACCTTCTGAACCAACTGGATCAGCATCCAATGGTTCATGATCTTAATCAAAAATTTAACAGTCTCTACAACATCTGAACTGATAATTACCATGTGTTCACTAGTGAATAGCTTCGTGAGAAAATTCTCAGAGTTCTAATGAGAAGCTATGATCAGTGGAGCTAATCCGTGTCGAGTAGAAACAGGTGTCTACTTCGGTACAATGGAAGATGGTCGCGCAACTTCGTGGATTTTTTGTTTGTTTTTGTTTGTTTGTTTGTTTTATTTTGTTTTGTCAAATGTTTATTGTATTGAATTTATTGATTGTAAACGAGAGAACGAGAGAAAGAAGAAGAATAAACTTTGTCTAATACAATGTAATCATATTTACTTTTTCATTTAGGTATTTTAGATTGTAAGTTAGTTTTGTTTGAATATTTAAACTTGGTGCAAAATTAATTTGTACATTTGTTTATTTGTGTGTGTGTGTGTGTACATACGCACGCCTCTATTACATGATTATTTATTTGCATAGATACACTACTTATATTACCAGTACTACTCATTTACTGATTCATACTCAATTACAGACACATACATACATACACACACATACACACACGAGCATGCATCTATTCTGTTTACATGTACACTAGATGCATATTTTATTTTGTATGTTGATTATCTCATATGAAGTATGTTTGTTTATTGAAGCAAAGGGTATGTCTGATGTGATAGGTACCGGGGGGGGGGTGATACGATCTTGATATTGACAGAGAGAGAGAGAGAGAGATTCTAATAGAATGTTTATGTATGTTTACATATGCGATTACATAATCTATGTATTTGTATTACATATACATTGAAATGTAAATGAAAGGATTAAATGATGGTTAGAGATCATAGTGTTCTATTGTTAAATATAATGACAAAATCAAGCCAGAAACAAAAAAAAATATGCCCAATTGATTGTTTATTTAAATAAATGTCATACTCTCAAATTTTAACTTGTATGTAAACAAAAACACTGTTGGATGCCGGCTCAGAGTAGTTTAATGGTTAAGCGCTCGCACGCGAGACTGTGATAGGTCCTAGGTTCGAATATCGCGGCGGGGGGGGGGCGGTATTGTGAATGCGCACTACTGAGGGGGTCTTATACTAGGACGAAACGGTCGTCCAGTGCTTCCGAGTTTTCCATGATGGTCTAGCTTCAATTAACTCATGATGTCAACTATTCCAATTACTAAAAAAGAAACAATCAAAGAAAAAGAAAAAGATAAAACACTTTAGAAAAAAGAAAATACTTTTTTTGTCCATCGAATTTATGTTTTCACTATATTAGGAAGTGATATCAGTATGTGTATAGAAGAATGAATGTTGTTTTATATGTGGAAGAGTTTTAATTCAAATGATCAACTAGTCATTATTCCATTATTTTGGTCTGTACTCATTTGTATAAGATAAAGTTATGAATCTTCATTGATGGAGGAAGTTACTAAGACATGTATTATGTATATTCAATCACTACTTACTTCAATACATAATGGTAATTTGAGAAGATTGAAAGAAAGCTAGAGTCGCTGAAACCTGACGTCGATGAATTTTTGTTAGTTGTCCGTTTGAGATATATCAGTTAGTGTAGACTGTTTAATAATAGATCTAAAAGATTATTGTATTGGATGACATGATTCAGAATTGATCACAATGAGGTAGATCCATTCACTACTCTTATCCCATTAAATCTTCGATTTTTAAAGTTGTTTTATATATTTCATTTATCAAATTCATTCATTCTTTTTTAATGGATGAATTCATGAGTCCACTAAAGATAGACAACCATGAAAATCTTGGAAGCACTGGCCGGCCGTTTCGTCTTAGTATGGAACTCTTTCAATAGTATGCATCCATGATCTCGCTCAGGGGATTCGAACCTAAAGCCTGTCAGTCTTGCACACGAACGCTGAACAGACTCATGAATTCAACTATTGAATTACTAAAATCTTCACAAAACCTCTATCTGAAAACAATCATTCATTCTTCTTAAATCATATTGTCTATACTTAATGTTTTCTAGTTCTACTTATCTTGTTACTATAGTTATTAATCATTTCATCTATCTATATGGATATGATATAGTAACTTGGTCAGATGTATCTTTGTTCCAATTTCTTTAAATTAAGCACTAAGCTAGAGGCGGCCAAACCAAATCATGCCACAAGTCCATGAAGTCACTGATAATTGGACTGAGTCATATTGGTAGGTGTAGACTACCTGGTTGGGGACCGCGAGATGATAGCAACCGATGGTTAGAGACCCAGAATGACATGACTCAAAATCGTTTCAAATGGCGCAGGTGCATCCACTTTTTGTGTTCTCCCAAATTCTAATCTTCTGAATCCTCCTTGTCTCTTTTTTCCTCTTTCCAAATTTATTTCACTGGATTATACTCTTTAAATAACATCTCCAAACCTTAATCTTCTCGATTACTGCTTATACTCTTGCTACCTCTACCACTACGGGATTTGAATCGACAAGTGCATCTCTGTGCTAATGTGGTGTGGCAACTCGAACTGATTTACGTACGTACGAAGTTCTACGTTGTTACTGACTGACTGACTGACTAAGATCATTCATTAAACACTATAACATATTTCATACACACTACAGAAATACTTACTTTAGACATGTGTTCACATAATTGAATTGATCTATTTTAGTATACAGTTAACTGGAGAACCATATAAGATTCGATCATTTTTGATATTTGATCATATTTCCCTGAAACAAACAACAACAAAAAATTGGATCAGATTGGATCCTTTTAGTTGAATTAGTGAATTATCATCTTGTCTAGATTAAACTACAATGAAAGTTATTTAGTATAAATATATGTAGCATTTTAAACATCTTATCTATGTATATACATATCTTTATTGATCTAAACACGTAAACATTGGTACAAGGAGGTGCCATAGATATATTGTGCCAGATATTATCATTCGAATTGTGTAAGAGCTGGTATACTACCTGCTGGACACCCAAACCCATTTAGGTGGTTCCCTTCGACAGCCACTTCCCGAAGCAATTAACCTACAGGTCTAATCCATAAGGAAATGGAACAACGTTAGGAGATACAGTTTCATAGTAGCTGGTGACTTAAAACAAGTTGATACACCATTTGTTTTCTTAGGATCCTAAACCATTTGTTTGGAATCAGGATTTTTCAACTATCCTAGGTGGATGCTCTTAAATCAACGACGTGGTTAAAGCACGGGACATTCACTTTTCGTATTGTCAATTTCGTAAACAACACCTCCACCTCGAGAAGGCAATGAATAGGAATTCCCTGACAGTGGTTGTATACATGTGGCCATTTAAGAGGCAACCCGGTTTCTGCGTCGGCCATTCACATTTCGTCCTTTTAATTTCGTAAACAATATCCCTTTCACGATTAGGCAGTGAATAGGACTTCTATAGTAGTGGCTGTGTATATATGGCTATGTGAAGGCGTTTCGAGAGGGATAGCAAATTCTTTTCACCCTCGACTATACCAAAGCATTTAGAGGCAAATTCATATTGTTACCTAATAAAATCCTTTTCTTCCATTTTCCTTTGTGTGAATTTCGTTTGTTTGCGATTGATTCATATATATCTAAATTGGGACCTTTGATTTACATCGAATTCATTGAATGTTTTATGGATACCATTTGATTATGATGCATGTATTACTTTCTTTCAATGCACACTCATCTTCTAATATTCATCGTGTATAGGGGAATCCTTTAACTATTTGGTTAACTAATCGGTTAATGTGCATTTGAGATGTTTATTAAATGAATTTTCAATAGTAACTAAATAATGAACACTTTTTTTTTTACAGATTTTCTTAAAGTAGAATGTAATAACTCATATTATCCTAAAATGTTTTAGGACTCTATTTCCAATCATAGAATAACTAACATTCAACTGACGAGTCCCAAAATAGGACGAAACGCTCGTCAATTTGGATTCCATTGCTAGTTACTATCTATCATTGCTTGAAGATGTTTGTAATTTAAATCACTATCGAGGCAGTCTGCACAAGATGCACATATACCAATATAAGACTGATCGATTGCAATCCTAAATAATAAGAGGAAGATACAAGTATCACAACACCATGTGAATAACCAATACTGTGTTCTTAGTTGATACTAGTCATTTGACATTTGACAGACAATACTCAGTTATAAATAATATATTTTCATTGTTTAGATCTTTTCATGTATGTGTATTACACTACAATTGATTAGTCCATGCACGTATGTCCAGCTAACAAATGCCAATTCAGCAGTAACACCCTCTCTTGATTCAATTTTCCATCTTTACATCAAACTCTCGAGTTTAGTAAATGCATAATGGTTAATATATAAAGGTTTCTTCATAACTGCCAGAGTTGAAGCTATCATGAGTTCACTTAATCTGCAAACGAGAAACAAGACTCGTTGACCAAAGACCATTTAAGATATTTCCCAATTGGGAAATATAACATGAAGGTGACAAGAGCGCCTTTGGTGCGAAAACAAAGAAATTCAAATTTTCTAAATAAAATTATAAAATTAAGTCCTTTTCCAAATGAGTTCTGGGGATCTAACGTCCCCATCTCTACATCAAACTCTCAAGTTTAATACATGCATAATGACTTAATATATAATGGCTTGCTCATACATAACCTTATCAGAATGAAATCTCTTAGTGATAGAATGTTTGTAGTTAAATACTGATTCATATATTCATTTCTATACTTATGAAAATAATGAACCTCCCCCGCCACCGCCCCCCAGTTTTTTTTTTATTGTTGTTTTTCTCAATTTTGTTTTAGGTGAATTTCCTCAAGGATGTAATGGATTTAAAACAATTTCATCGAATATTTGCATAGAAGAAAATGGATTAAAAACCGATTCTACAGGATTAGAAATTTCTTATACACAAGTAAATCTATCCAAAAAAGGGATTGTGTTTATTTTTTTGTTGGTGGATATTATAGGTTCAGATCATAAATCAATTGGAGTTAAATCACTATGGAAAACCTGAAAGTATTGGATGACCATTTCATTCTATTGCCGGACTTCTCAGTAGATTTAAACTCAGGACCTATTGGTCTTGCGCATGAGTGTTTAACTATTAGACCACTAAATTGGTGTCTAATTTCAACTTCGAATCTCGTGAAGTGGGGTCGTGGATGCACACTGCTGAAGAGTCGTACAAAAGGATGAAACGGTCTTCCAGTTCTTCCAGGTTTTTCATAATGCTCTAGCTTCAATTGACTCATGATCTTAACTATTGAAAAGATATACGTTTATTTATCATTTAGTAAATACAATGTAGTGTTCATATAATCACTGTAAATTTATTTATACTATCTGTTATATACTACTGAAAAGGATTGCCTAGAATAGAGTTCGATGAACAATCCTACTTGGGCGATCTATGTTCTCCTCTAGGAGGGTTAAAATGTGTAACTTAGTAAATAAATCATATTCTATATTGATAATTAGGTGCATTTTCTTTGTGTGTCGTTTCTTTAACAAAGAGCAAACGGGTTAAGGTGAATAATCTACGTACGCATTATTGTGTTCATCTATTTTTTGCGTGGTCGATCATTTGCACGAATTCTCACGTTCCAACAATCTTCAGACTAGAACATCAGAAAGTGTTACAGGGGGAGGCTTTTTAACACAGAGAATGTTTATAAGTTATCAGTATTCGATCATACGGCCCCCAAATGCCCTGATACGGCTGAGAGTGGGGAGAGTCCGCTCTACCTCTCCAAATGCTCTCACATGACCACGCATATATACATTTGACAGGGAAGTCCTACTCACTGCCTTATCGTGGCGAAGGTGTTGTTTACGAAATTGAGAGGACGAAAAGCTAATGTTCGGCGATTTAACCGGGTTGGTGGACATGGAGAATCCACCTAGGGGAGTTGGAAAACCCCGATTTCAAACCAATGGTGCACATGGTCTCCAGTATCCTGAAGGAACAAATAACGCATGAACCAATTGTTGGTCACCGGCTACCATGGAACTGCATGTCCTTACGTTGCTCCACTACCTTGTGGATCAAACCTTCAGGTCAAAGGCTCCGGGTGCGGCTTCCTAAGAAAACCACCTGCTTCGATTTGGGCACCCGAGCAGTGTCACAGCCCTCACGCATATCGAATAAGATTTGTGTGGCGCGTATGTATTTGGTGCCTCTTTGTACCAATATCTATGTGTTAAAATAAATAAAATAGAAATTCTATCATACATACTTTCCAAACATTGTTTGCGTATGTTATGACTACCGAGTGAGCTACAGCAAATTTAAACGAAGTGTACTGGTTGCAGATGATAAATCGATCGATAAGGTGGTGAATTTTTATTCATGGAGGTGATCAAGGCTTTCGAGGATTCGTGTTAGACCTTTACCTTTAGGTCAAAGGTTCGGGATGTGACCCCCAAAGAAAATCGCCTTCTTCGATCTGGGCACCCGGGAAGTATCACAGGCCTCACACAAAAATGTGGCGCATATATATTTGGTGCCCTCTTGTACCAATATTTATGTGTTCTAATAAATAAATAATAAATAAGTTGATTTTTAATAGTTGAGATCAATTGCAGGTCAATTGAAGCTAGACCAACATGAAAAACCTGGAAGTACTGAACGACCGTTAATTAGCCCTAATTTCTCATCTTTACAATGATATATGAATTTCCTAATACAAGAATACATTTTAAAGTTCACAGTCATCATCGGCTCCAGTACTCATCTTAAATATGCTGTCTAAGTTACTATCTGAGTATATTGTATCTCTCATTACTTGTTTCAGTTCCATACATTGATCGTTTTCTCATCTACCATTATTTTAATTCAATTTGTAAGGGGAATTGTGTTATTCTTTCTTTTTGGACAGTTTCTAATGAATTCCAATTAATCTTGGTTACTATATCTATATCTTGTATGAATTACCTTTCTATAATCATTATGTCGTTAATATTTGTAGAATATTAGATGAGTTTTGTGAATATTATAACAATTTCAATGGTTAAGATCATGCACACTGTTGTGAGGAGTCTCACAATAGGATGAAACAGCTGTCCAGTGCTTCCAGGTTTTCCATGGTCATCTAGCTTCAATTGATTCATGATCTACTGATCATGAGTGATTCCATGTGAGGGCTTGTCTTGTGACGACCGTTGTTGCTACCTTGACGTGGTGGTCGGGCTTCCCTATCGTGATGAAGCAACCGAGCTATACTGGCTGGAACAACCGTTCCTCAAGGTCCTACCATGTCAGACAGGTCGGTTGAAGAGCGGTAATACTAAAAGCAACAAACCCAAGGTCCGAAGGCGAAGTCGTACTGCTGACTGTACAGAGGTGTGACAGCAGTAAGGTGTTTCCTTCAGACAACCAGCATGACAGCGATGCTGCCTTCCCAGAAGGTGTGGTGGGGTTAGAAAAGGTCGACCCTAAAAATGCACACCTCGCCTTATCCCACGGATATCCGTCTCCGGCGGTAAGGTCTCAATAAGTACGGAGCTAACACAAAAATTACCCATAACAAGGTCGTGTGTGACCGACCTCAAGCAGTTGTCCCTTGGGCACTGCGGTCACGCTCTCAGATCACTAAGACCACCTTTAATCCAAATTCCTTTTCAGGTACCTCCAGAACAACCCTTCCACGGTGTGGGCAACCGGGAAGTGATAACCGCCCTCATACCTCTAACAGCACTCAAGACCACTGACTGACTGACTGATTCATGATCTTAACCATTGAAATTTATAGAATAGATGTGATATTTATCTTTTCTTTCTTTTAAATGTTGTTTTTAATGTTCACTTTTCTTTTAAGGAGAATTTATTAACCGATCTAAATGAAGCTGCATTAGCCTTAGAATCTGCTGGATTATATGAATGTATACAACCTGTATATAATTTAATTTTACCAGTATATGAATCTAAATGTCAATATATGAATTTAGCTCAAATTTATCATCATATTGGTCGAACTTATGAAGCAATAAATCGAATTGAATCTTATGGACATCGATTATTTGCCGCATATTATCGTGTTACATTTCATGGTCAAGTAAGTTATGTTTGTTTTGTTAGAGGAGAAGACAAAGAGTGTATACACTGACGCTATTGTGATCAATTCTAAGCCATGTCATCAAGAGTGCCTGAAAATGTGAACGATTTAAATATCCCAAAAGAGATGGAAAAGGCGGCGACTATAGGGAACACAAGACAGCTTTATAGACTAATAAAAGAAACTGGAATTAATAAGTCAAGTGTAAGTGAGATTATATCGGAAAAAGACGATACACTCATCCGCTCTAAGTCCAGGCGTTTAGAACGATGGGCGGAACACTTTAGGGAACAGTTCAGCTGGCCTTCAGCTACTCTACAACTACCCTCCATTCCCAGACAGTGTGAATGGAACATTGAAGTAGGTCCCCTGACTCTTGCTGAAGTGCAAAAGGCTATAGTTAATCTGAAACGAGGAAGGGCAGCTGGTCCAGATGGATTGGCTCCAGAGGTCTTTAAGGATGGTGGTCCAATTTTAGCGATTAAGTTGACTAATATTTTAGCTAAGATCTGGGAATTGGACTTTATCCCATCTGACTGGTCGCAATCGTCCCAATATATAAGAAAGGGTCAAAATCATCCTGTGACAACCACAGAGGGATTAGTTTAACAAACATAGTATCTAAAATACTGGCCTCGATAATTATCAAACGCCTACGACTCGTGAACTACAAACTCGAGAGAACCAAGCTGGCTTTAGACCTGGTCGTGGCTGCATCGACCACATATTCACCATTCGTCAGGTTCTAGAACACAGGCAATACCTATCGGCGTCCGACGATGGTGGTATTTTTTGACTTAAAAGCAGCATTTGACTCGGTAGACCGCGAGACTCTGTGGCAGTGTCTGTCATTGAAAGGCGTACCTCAGAAGTACGTAAACCTTGTGAAGGCTCTTTACTCGAACACTACTAGTCGAGTCAGAGCTTATGGCGAACTGTCATCTACTTTTGCAACCTCAAGTTGTGTCCGTCAAGGCTGTCCACTTTCTCCATTTTTGTTTAACTTCATCATAGACCTATTGATGGATGCCTTAGAAATATTGCTGGCATCTGCTGGGATCACCGGGTAAGTAATAGTGAGGTTAGACGCAGGGTATTAGGGGATGATGGTAAATCAGTTGATGAGGTTGTGAATCTTCATCGACTGAGATGGTTGGGCCACGTATTACGTATGCCTGAACACCGATTACCACGATGTGCAATGCTAACCGGTGTAGGGGATGGTTGGAAGAAAGTTAGGGGCGGCCAAACCAAAACGTGGCATCAGTGCTTGAAGTCACTAACTTCTAGTGTGAGCCATGTTGGTAGATGCAGACTACTTGGTTGGGGTCCGCGTGACTTTCGTAACCAATGGTTGGAGACTCTTGGTGACATGGCTCAGAATCGATCACAATGGCGTCGGTGTATACACTCCCTGTCTTCCCTTAAACTAAGAGACTAAAATCACTTCATTCTTTCTGTCTACGAACTAATTCTTCCTTCCTATACTATATCCTTATTGCAACCTTTGACCTAACCACTCCTATGAATCCGCTGTTCATCTTGCTGTGCTAATGAGGTATGGCAACCTGGACCGATGCACATATGTGCCTGGTCCTACGTTGTAGCTGACTGACTGACTGACTGAAAACAGATATTAGATGGACGATATGTCATACACTGACGCCACTGTGATCAATTCTGAGCCATATCACCAAGAGTGCCTGAAAATGTGAACGATTTAAATATCCCACTAGTCGATATTATCTAAAACCGATATTAGATGGACGAATTGTCATACGGAATAAAATTCAACATAAATTTATCTTCTGAACTTTAATTTTTTTTGTTTTACCGTAAATGTCTGGTACAAAATAACTTCTTCCACATTCGAATTTACAGATATTGACTTACTGAATTACTTGTAATCCATTGGGAGTGTAACCGTAAATAAATTCCCAAAATAAATAGCTCTGTAAGTTTTCGACATTGGATGCTGACCATAATAGTTTTAATGAACTCACCCAGTTGAAGGCGCTCGGTTATGCATCCGCACCAGATCATGAGTGGGAACGTCGTGCTCAACAACCCCTGCAATCGCTAATCAGATTAGATCAGACGATCCTCGATATATTAACAGCCTATCAAATATATCTTAAAACCTCCTCGCTTCTGCCTTTTGGGTACGCTTCATATTAGAAGGTGTTACTGGTTAAATCGTTGTCAAACTCCGAATATTTTTGGCATCTTCAGGGGACATAATTCTGTTTTGTGGTGACACTGACATATATATATATAAGTCTAGTAATCTATGAGATAGATATATCTCTTCCATGGATTAGTGAGCGCTAATGAGAGTAGAAATTGAAAGTGTACGAGTTGCTTTTCTTAGAAGTGGTATTTACCTTAAAGAGGTCATTGGTGTTCGGTTGAATATTGAAACGCATTTTTTTTTTGTTTTTATCTACTTGCTGCATCTATGACTCACGTAAGATGTCTTAATGTTTATCACACATAAGTATACTGTTTAGAAATTGGTTGATTGCCTTGTTGGTTATGAAATATAATTTTCCACAATAACTGTAAGTACATTGTTATAACTTGTTGTTTTGAATTTTGATTGTCTTGGCTCTTATGAATGCTACTTTTTATATCTGATCGTCGGTGATTGTTATGCCCGGAATGCTTATACCTTATACTCGAAACAAGGGACCTCTGCAATTCCCACAACTTGAAAGTAAAAACACAAAGACTGGTATAAATGATAATTTATTAACCGCAAAAACACGATGACAACCAGATATTAAAAGAGTTAAGACAATTAGCATTCAAAACGACAAGTTATAACAATTGGTGACGGGGATGGGATATCTTCGGCTCTTTCTGAACTTCTTAAGGTTTCCTCGAATTCATCCATGAACTGTCCTCATATACATGATTATATGTTTCGTCAAAGTATTGCTTACTTATGATCGGTTCATTAATTAATTAATTAATTAATACTTAGTTTAAACATATGGTACTAATGAAACCCTAAAATTCCACAGTTTGAAATCATGAGTCAGTTGAAGCTAGACCACCATTGAAAACCTGGAAGCACTGGACGGCCGTTTCGTTCTGGTATGGGACTCCGCAGCAGTGCGCATCCACGATCCCGCAACACGCGGGGCTCGAACCCAGGACCTACTGGCTTCGCGCGCGAGCACTTAACCACTAGACCAGTGAGCCGGCATCCAACGGTGTTAATGTCTAACTTCAACCAATCCACGAAGTTGCGCCACCGTACACCATTGTCTTCAGTGAGTTGTTATCTCACAACAGACCTGGTTGAACTCCACTGGTAACGGATTCTCACTAGAACTTCAGGAGTTTTTCCTGAAGTCAGTCACTAGTGAGCAGTTGATTATTATTATTATCAGAATGGAAAGGTTTTCAATGGTGGTCTAGCTTCAACTGACTCATGATTTCAAACTGTGAAATTTCTAAAATTCTCCACAAAACCCATTCTGAAACCCTAAAAGTTCATCAAATACTCAAAACTTTGCCCATAATAAATTATATTAACAATATATAAATGTTATCAGTATAAGGTTTTGGAGTTTATTAAGTTTTTGATGGAGTTTTGTTCTCTGAGCTCGATGGCTTAGTCGTGGAGTTTTCATCCTTCTTCTAAACAACATCATCAACACAAACTTCAGGTAGAGGTGAAATGTTCGAATTTCATAACTTTTCCTGTACACCTCGATGCTGATTAGTTCTTGTTAATCTTAAACTTGTCATTGTTTACTTCTTTATTTTGACTGTATCTCCCATTGGTTTGACTAAACCATTCAGCTCAGAGAACTAAACTCCATCAAAATCATCCACTTGAGCTATAAATCTTCTCCACCTGCTTAGATTATTAAATTTTTGATTGAGATCATGAACCGATTGATGTTAGACCATCATTGAAAACTTGGAAGCACTAAATGTCCGTTCAGTCCTATTGTAGGACCCCTCAACAGTGCACATCCACGATCACACACGAGACTAAAACCCCCTAGGTTCAAATCCTGCGAGTGGGATCGTGGATGCTCATTGCCACTGAGGAGTCCCACAATAGGACGAAATGGCCTTCCAGTACTTCCTTGGTTTTCCATAATAGATCTAGCTTCAATTGACTCATGATCTCAACTATTCATTCTACATTAACCTGACTTTCAGTAAGCATTATGTAATAGAGTTTTTAGAGAAGAAAAGACCTACTTTTCTTTATCTCTCTATCTATCTCTATGCATTTATAGTTATTTGAATCAATGGCTGGTAAATCATTTATATATCGTTCAAATCCATGTCAAAAATTAAATGAAAAATGTGATGAATTATTACAATTATATCGTCATAAATATGGTGAACAATCAGTGGAATTATTAACTGATAATTTTATTAATCGATCAATATTAGATCCAATGAAAGCTTATGTTCAAGTAAGTTATATTAGAATGAACAATACTTTTCATTTCATTCTTTTGTTTCTTATATACATCTCTAGTCTTCTTTGATCTGATAATATTCTAGAGAGAAAGAGAAAGAGAGGGAGAGAGGTTCATGTTAGTCTGCCACTCTCCCCATTCTTGTTCAACTTTGTCATTGACGTACTTTTAGAGATAACACTCTCCTCATCTAAATTTCCAGGAGTTGGACTTCTACCGGGAGGTTCACTTGTTGACTTAGAATATGCAGATGACATAGTTTTATTTGGTGAAGACGCTGACAAAATGCAGAGTCTTCTGACCACTCTAAGCAACAATGCAAGCATGTTCGGGATGCGATTCTCTCCCTCGAAATGCAAAATGTTGCTTCAGGATTGGGTTACATCGACACCCGAACTAGTGATAGGGAGTGAAGTAGTTGAGTGTGTCGACCGCTTCACCTATCTTGGAAGTCTCATCAGCCCTTGTGGTTTGGTGTGTGACGAAATCTCGGCACGGATACAGAAGGCTCGACTAACTTGCGTCATTTATGGCGTAGGCGAGATATCCGTCTATCAATCAAAGGACGTGTCTACTGCGCAGCAGTTCGTTCCGTCCTACTTTATGGCAGTGAAACATGGCCGATAAGAGTAGAGGATATTCGTAGGTTACTAGCATTCGATCATAGGTGTCTTCGAAACATTGTTCGTATATCATGGGACCATCGAGTAAGTAACACAGTTGTTAGGAAACGGGTACTAGGTAAAGATGGCAAATCAATTGATGAAGTAGTGAAACTTCGTCAGTTGAGATGGCTGGGACACGTGTTACGTATGCCCAACGACCGACTGCCTCGACGTGCTATGTTCAGTGGTATAGGAGTAGGTTGGAAGAAAGCTAGGGGTGGCCAAACCAAAACATGGCACAAGTCCATGAAGTCACTGACAAGTGGTCTGAGTCATGTCGGTAGGTGTAGACTAACTGGTTGGGGACCGCCAGATGATAGCAACCGATGGTTAGAGACCCTGAATGACATGGCTCAAAATCGTTTGCAATGGCGCAGGTGCATCCACTCTCTGTGTTCTCCCAAATTCTAATCTTCTGAATTCTTCATGTCCCTTTTTTTCCTCTTTCCAAATTTATTTCACTGGATTATACTCTTTAAATAACATCTCCAAACCCTAATCTTCCCGATTACTGCTTATACTCTTGCTACCTCTACCACTACAGGATTTGAATCGACAAGTGCATCTCTGTGCTAATGTGGTGTGGCAACTCGAACTGATGTACGTACGTACGAAGTTCTACGTTGTTACTGACTGACTGACTGTTAGTCTGCCATAATCAACTTACAGTTTGTCTCACATATACTTACTTACTTACGGCTGTTACTTCCAGTAGAGCATAGGCCTCCGACCAGCATTCTCCAACTCTGACTTCCTTTCTAGTTCTATCCAGTTGTTGTTCATTCTTCTCATGTCTGTCTCAATTTCTCGGTGTGATGTGTTCTTTGGTCTTTCTCTTCTCATTTGGTTTTGAGGATTTCAAGTGAGGGCTTGCTTTGTGATGCAGTTGGGTGCTTTCATCTATATGTGTCCTATCCACTTTCAGCTCTTCTTCTTGATTTCTTCCTCCACTGGGATCTGGTTTGTTCTCTCCCACAGTAGGTTGTTGCTAATAGCGTCTGACCAACGTATCTGTTCATAAACACTTGTATCTTTTGGATGATGACTTTCGTAGTTCTCCAAGTTTCCGTCCCATATAGTAGAAATGACTCAGATATGCGTTACCTCAAATCTCCATTCCTTGTGAATAAAACTAGATTAAACTTAAACTAAATATTAAAACGATGAGTCTTATAAAAGAGTTGGAATGGTGTGTATAAAGGAGTATTCAGAGGTACAAACTACCCTGCAACAACATAGTTCATACGATTTCGAGTAGTCATCTAGACTAATGGCCACATTACAACTTGATCGACAGAATTTGATCTGGACTAAAAAAGAATTGATATACAATCCCAGTATTCAATCAATTATAATTACATCTCAGTCCTACAATAGATCAGTTACGACCCGGACAACTCAATGGTAACATCTGTATTTGTGAAACTGGATAACACGAGGTCAAATCCTTCATTGACCGTCATTTCTCTCAAGATTACAAGAACGCCTTGCTGATGAATGTTAAATGACACGAAACCTGTGTCCAGTGTTTCCTGTCGACTACCTTCAACTACCAGCTTATATCACTGACAATCACTCTACTGTATCTCAATTTTAACAGAAGCTATATATCTAGACTGTTATCATACTGATACCATATATTTGGCACAAAGCCTAAACTCTATGAGAATGATAATATGTGGGGTTAACTGTTGTTGAGGAGCCTCAAACTAGTACGAATGTTCTATTCATGGATCCGCAGGCTATCAGTCAGTGTTATATCCACCACCTGCCTGGATGCCCGATGTTTTGGGGGCAGGAACACGTTCGAATAAAACTAGGTTCGGGTAAGATAAAACGTCGCACTAATCTACGAACTCACCACGTGTTTGACTTAACCGTGGAGTTGGGTCCAAACTATCTGATATTGGTTCGTGCGATTGTCGTGACCAACAATTGTTGACGTTGGGCGAAATGCCCCAGAATCTGTTTTAATAGCAGAAATGCAATCGCTGTTTTTTCTTCACCTAGATATTGAGTTTTAAAATTATCTTATTCTTCTCTATCCCATGAATACATTCTCAAATCACATCATCTGTTTAATATTTTCTACTACCACTAATCCTATCATCAATTCTATTACTATGGTGTTCATCTTACTTATTCCATGTCTTTGTACTGATGTGGTTTTGCAACTTGGCATCTACCTTGCCTCTGTGTGACTGGCTTTTGTAAATCTGCTCGATATCTTTAGTTAATGAGCTTAGTTAAGAAAGAGAAAATAAGTTTAACCTACTGTTTTGAATACAGATATTTTTTGACGTATTACATAATATTTAACTGTGTTTACTCTTAACTAGATTATAGCTTATCCATTCAGGAAAAAGTGTTCACAGTGTAAATTGCTGCACTGAAACAGCTTTACCAGAAAAAATAGCGATTTGTCCTGTGTGCTCCATCTTTCAGTCTTGATGTAATCAAAATAACGAACAGGAGGAATTATTGTTTATACTATACCGAGCAACTTTAGAACTCTAGCTGAAGTTAAGCGAATGTCTGGCGCTTTAACCGGATTCCAAACCAAATCAATGGTGCACATGGGCTCCAGTATCCTGCGGGAACAAATGGCGTACGAACCAATTGTTGGTCACCGGCTTCCATGGGATTGCATCTCCTTACGATGCTCCACTGCCTTGTGGATCAAACCTTTAGGTCGAAGGCTCGGGGTGTGGCCCCCTAAGAAAACCACCTGCTTCGATTTGGGCACCCGAGCAGTATCACAGCCCTCACACATATCAAATGAGATTTGTGTGGCGCATATGTATTTGGTGCCTCCTTGTACCAATATCTATGTGTTAAAATAATAAATAAGAAATAAGACATTAACACCGTTGAGTGCTGGCTCAGTGGTCTAGAGGTTAAGCGTTCGAGTGTGAGACCAATAGACCACCATTGAAAACCTGGAAGCAATGGAAGGACGTTTCGTCCTACTGTAGGACTCCTCACCAATGCACATCCACGATCCCGCCCCGCGAGTCCCACAATAAGACCTAACGATCGTCCAATGCTTCCAGGCTTTCCATAATGATCTAGCTTTAATGAACTCATGATCTTAACTATGAAAATAACTTTAGAACTATTTTTGTGTAACCTATAAATTAACACATTTCCTATACATGAATTATTCATACCTTTCAATATGATTATTTCTTTTTCTATATTATTTATCTATAGATTACTTATGTTGAACCATATAAAGAAATAAAAGATTCTGATAAAAAACCATTAAGATCTTATGAAAAACATCATGATGTACGACAATTTATGTTTGAAGCACCATTTCTAAGACAACCAGGTAAGAAATGTGCATATCTTTTTGATTGTTTATGTTTTATTGGCTTGTTTGTTTGTTTGTTTGTTCTGCGTCTATCAACTCTGTAAATTAAACTTTGTAAATGTTGTATGTAGTGTTGGTTGCTATGTATTATAACATATGGTCTGTGTGCCCTGTTAATGTATAATTTAACGATACCGCCAATTAGAGAGCAATGAATGATTGATTGGATCAATGATGCGTAAATCTGTATGAGCAGCGTAGAGTCCTGCTTCCTGCCTCACCCTGCCTATTAAGTCCAGAACACCAATTTCAGCCTCTGTGATATGAATCATTATATTTCAAACATACTCGGTTTATATACCAACGAGACAGATCACAACGTACCATAAAATAGAAAATAACATTTGTACAATATTTGGCCAAATGTTGCTGTGAATGTGGGAGGAAGTAATCGATAGACAGGGCATAATTCAAGAATGGTAAATTATATAGTGATAGTTCATAGGTCGAAATAAAGCTCATGATAAAAGGGATATGAATATGGATATTTAGATGGTGGTTAGAGGCAGTCAACAGGAAGCCCTGGACACGGGTTTCGTGCTACTTGGCACTCGTCAGCAAGGTGTACCTGTATTCTTGAGGGAACTGGTGCTCCCTGACGGATTCACCCAGCTTCACAGTCAGAGACGTTACCACCGAGCTATCCGAGCCGGATCCAAGCAACATGATCGATAGCATTCGATCTATACTAATAAGGACTAGACGCGCATGACATTGATGTCCACCCAGTGATCAATCAATTGTGGATATGAATAGTTTAGTTACTTAACAATTATGCGATAAAAATATGCGCATACTGTTGGTCCATAAATAGATTCCTCATGTTACCATTCATTATGCTTATCGGGACCTAACAATATGTTAAACTCACATAGTTTATTCTAACTTTCAGATAGGCCAATTTATTCATCCTTCTTGAGTCACATTTTGGTCTTGTTAATTAATCGCTTATTAATCCTGATTGTTTTTATATGGTCGTGTGTGTGTATACACTTCTTATCCTATTCATTACGCAATCGATCACAATGGCGTCGGTGTATACACTCCCTGTCTTCCCTTAAACTAAGAGATTAAAATCACTTCATACCTTTTTTTCTACGAACCAATTTTTTCTTCTTGTACTATATCTCTATATGCAATCTTTCTCTTATATATTACCACCTTTGACCTAACCACTGCTATGAATCCGGTGTCCATCTTGTTGTGCTGATGCGGTATGGCAACCTGGACCGATGCACAAATGTGCCTGGTCCTACGTTGTAGCTGACTGACTGACTGACTCATCACATATCTGTAGCTTATTTTTGTATGGCTATAAATATTGATTAACACTTGGTGAAATCGAATAGGTTTAAGAGCCTTCTATACTGCGCATTATTTCACTTTAGTCTCTTCTATTCGCTTCATCCTTCTCATTTCCTGTCCAGATCATTGAATGTACAAAATTAATTCATATATATTTGACTTATTTAATTACATTATTGACTAACACGATCTAAATCGATAATTATATACGAGGAATGACAATATGTATATTTCAATAGCAATCAGAAACGATCTCAATAGAGTCAGATCTCAGGCCAATAAAGTGGTGAGCTCGTCGACAGCATCGTCTGATCTAAAAGGCTTCACTAAAGTATCATATAGGTTAAGACCTACTTAGCCAGTCCATAACAGATATAACTACTTATTTATAATACTATTTAATAAGATAGACAATACAATACGTAACCTACAATTGTGTGTTGTACTTTGATAATAGTTTGTTTGAAGTGACTTTAAAGGAGGTTTAGAGATGGTGGAGAAGATTTGTAGCTCAGGTGGATGAGCTGGATGGTTTGGTGGTGGAGCTTTCATCGTTCTTTTGAACGACATTATCAACACAAATTTCAGATAGAAGTGGAGTGTTTGAATTTCTCCATATGTATCTCAAAGCTTGTTTACATGGTGATAATTATCAATCGGTTACAACTCATCATGTCATGTTCCTAACAGTATCTAATTCATTTGTTAAAACAACTCCAAGATATCTTAATCTTAACAATTGTCTACAACTGATATGTGACTATAGAACGAAGATAAACTGATAGATATTTGACTTATTAACTATTTACTATGTTAATTCCGTTCTACTATGAACTTAATGTGTATATGGATTGATAATAATATTTGTATTAAACAAATTATTCTCTGATCTATTCTTTACTTTTCCATATTTGGTGTCTTCGAGACATTATTCGTATATCCTGGAACCACCGAGTAAGTAATGCAGTTGTTAGAAAACGGGTACTATTTAATGATGGCAAATCAATTGATGAAGTAATGAAACTTCAGTTGAGATGGCTGGGATACGTGTTACGTATATCCAACCACCGACTGCCTTAGCGTGCGATGTTTTATGGTGTAGGAGTAGGTTGGAAGAAAGGTAGGGGCGGTCAGACCAAAACATGGTACAAATCCATGAAGTTACGGACAAGTGGACTGAATCATGTCGGTGTAGACTGCCTGGTTTGGATCCGCGAGATGATAGTAACCGATGGTTAGAGACCTTGAATGACATGGCTGAAAATCGTTTGAAATGGTATGAGCAGATGCATCCACTCTATGTGTTCCTCCAAATTCTAATCTTCTGAATTCTTTATGTCCCTTTCTTTTTTTCTTTCTAAATCTATTTCGCTGGATTATACTCCTTGAATAACACGTTCAAACCCTAATCTTTCCGATTACTGCTTATACTTTTACCACCTCTACCACCATGGGATTCGAATCGACAATTGTATCCGTGTACAACTGTGATATGGCAACTCAAACTGATGTACGTACGTACGAAGTTCTACGTTGTTACTGACTGACTGACTGATATGGTTGTGAATCGTTTATTAGGAGGAATGAAGTGATTCCACTCTGTGTATACCATATCGATTGAGTATCCAATCTAATAATAATGTATTGATCCATATTCACTTGAATTATAGACACATAATCAAATTAGTGACGATCATATTATAAACTATTATGACAGGCTGATACAATCTATTATGTGACCTTTTTCTGACCTTTGTATGCTTCATTGTAACTCTGTTAATTATAATCTATACTTAGAAGATTATCCCTGTTTACCCATATCACTCTTTATCTATTTTTTTCATCTATATATCTGGTCTGTATCTGTCTATACACTCATTTATGTTTATAGATAGCTTTGACCTCGTTGAATTCTATCTGCATGGACTCACTTATAAAATAATATGTATCTACAGCACTATTGTATCTGACTTATTTCTAGTTGTTCACCCATATGATTAGGTTGATGAATATATACAAAGTTAGTAAAGGAATTGCCCCCAAATGCCCTGATATGACCGAGAGTGGGGTGGACCCGCACTCCTTCTCGAAATGCTCTCACATGGTCACGCCTATATAGCCTCTTCCAGGGAAGTCCTACTCACTGCCTTCTCGTGGCATTACTGTTGTTTACGAAAATGAGAGGACGAAAAGCGAATGTCCGGTGCTTTAACCGGATCCCAAACCAAATCAATGGTGCACATGGGCTCCAGTATCCTGCGGGAACAAATGGCGTATGAACCAATCGTTGGTCACCAGCTACCATGTGACTTCATCTCTTCATGATGCTCCACTGCCTTGTGGGTTAGACCATTAGGTCGAAGGCTCGTGGTGTGGCCCCCTAAGAAAACCACCTGCTTCGATCTGGGCACCCGGGTAGTACTCCAGCCTTCACACAAATCGAATGATTTATGTGGCGCATATGTATTTGGTGCCTCCTTGTACCAATATCTATGTGTTAAAATAAATAAATAAAATTAAGGAATTATATTTCATCGATTGTTTGCATGCTCATATCTTATGATCATAGTAACAACTTGTTCCGTATCATGGGAAATGAAAATTGTTTATATATGCCATAATGATTCAGATAATAATGATGTTAACGACTGAATCTATCGGTTAATAAGAAAATATGGTGCACAGGTTGAATGATAACTAGTCCATATCATTAACATGGTTAGTTGTGCATTCAATAACAATATAACTGCTGCTAATTCAAATTCAACGACCTTTCATATTTACTTCCTGAAATAAATGATATAGAATTTAAGATCCAGACTTTTGATATTTTCGTTTATGAGTGATAGATATAGTCTGTCTTAATAATGTTGAATAAGATTTGTTATATAAAATTGTCAATCTTCAAAGACTATGAATTCATTGGTACTCAAAAGTTATTCGACATGAAATTGACTTTCTCATTTCGACTCTTTAGTAATTCGTACTTTGATTTCTACAATCCGATTATGATTTAGAGAATTAAACAAACATGAAATTGGTCAGTAATCAGTCTTGGCCTCAATAGTTCAATATTGAGGTCTCAGATTTATGTAGGTTCAGATTCCACAGGGAGTATTAATTCCTATCGACTATTTTCAATTAACTAACATTATGCATATCTCATTATGAACTCTATATTTATCGAGATTACTGTACTGATTTGAATAGGTTTATCGACGGAAGAATGCCTATTAGCACCAGGTCCAAAACAAAGTGATGATTTAACTATTCAATGGAAACGTCGTACAATATTAACTACTGAAGCAACATTCCCGCATATACGTCGTCGACTTGAAATTATACAAGTAACAGAGATTGATTTCACTCCAATCGATTCAGCGATAGATGCTATACAAGTAAGTCAAAGTAGAACATAAAATGTTACTTTTTCTTTGATACTGATGTATTTTCAAGATTCAATTATCTTCACAAGTGAACTGTTTTTATTCTTAGTCAATAATTTTCAGAGATGATTTGTATTATTAACTGAATTCATTTGAAGAATCCTGAAATATAAAGAAACACTAGACAACTGTTCATTGTCTCTTCAACGGTCTACATTTAGGACCAGATTATTGGTGTATATTTCCATCTTCAGCCAAGTTATGACTATTATTCTATGACATTGAATAATAATTATGTCACTTTCTCGACGTGATCAGTTTCAAAGAGCCCAGATTTGTACCATGAGGATTTCTTGTGTTTTTAACTTGTTTATTTACTAATATTGAGTTGCAGTTGAACTTCAGGGAACTTTGCAGTGTGTGTTTGATGATTTTACTTATTTATTATTTATTTTAACACATAGATATTGGTACAAGGAGGCACCAAATACATATGCACCACATAAATCATTCGATTTGTGTGAGGGCTGGAGTACTACCCGGGTGCCCAGACCGGAGAAGGTGGTTTCCTAAGGGGGCCACTCCCCGAGCCTTCGACCTGAAGATCTGATCTACAAGGCAGTGGAGCATCATGAGGAGATGCAGTCACATGGTAGCCGGTAACCAACGATTGGTTCATACGCCATTTGTTCTCGCAGGATACTGGAGACCATGTGCACCATTGATTTGGTTTGGGATCCGGTTAAAACACCGGACATTCGCTTTTCGTCCTCTCATTTTTGTAAACAAAACACCCGCCACGAGAAGGCAGTGAGTAGGAATTCCCTGACAGAGACTGTATACGCGTGGCCGTGTGAGAGCATTTCGAGAGGGTGAGCGGACTCTCCCCACTCTCGGCCATACCAGGGCATTTGGGGGCAGTGTTTAATGAATTAGGTTATAACTAAACAAAACTTATATCAGTTCGTTCTGATAACTTAATTGTTTGTGTTTTTGCGTCATGTTTATTGAATTGCATTAAGAAACCATTAAAATTCAAGAATAACGAAGCATCTGGTTTTCCTTTTGACAGTTAACATGTGTAGCTCCTCACAGAGCGGTCAAACTTAGGACTTTTAAGGCATCCAACAGGCCCTCAACCTTCAGACCACTCGATTGAAATCAATATAATATTAATGTTCTAACAATATCCACAATATTCATTTAATAACAACCTAATCATTTTCATCAGTTTTGAGAAATGTACATCAGCGAACGTAGAACACTACTAACAAGCTTTATGAATTTATGATTTTAGTTGTACACAGTTTACTCATCATCTAGACAGATATAGTTTGAGGTTCAAAGTTTGTTAAAGGTTTATAATCGAGTTTTTTTGTAAGCAATGATGGATAGTGGCTAGCAGTGGAATCCAGTTTGACGCGCGTTTCATCCTATTTGGGACTCGTCAGCTGGATGTGCCTGCATCTCAGACTTGTTGATGTTCACTTTGGGACTCGAACCCAGTACCATTCGCTTCAAACGCCATTGCGTTATCCACTTAGCTACTGAGTCCTGATAGCCACTTGCTTGTGCAATGGGGTGAATTTAAATTCACTTGGTCATTTAACAATAAACTATAGTTTATTAATTTTTAATGGTCAAGATTATGAGTAAATTGAAGGTAATCCACCATGGTAAACCTGGAAACACAACAGACCTGGTTGAACTTCATTGGTCAATACTTCTAGTGAGAAGCAATTATATAGTAACTCACTGAAGACAATGGTGGATGTGTCGCTCAATTTCGTGGATTGGTTGAACTTACACTTTAACACCGTTGAATACCGGTCGGCTCAATGGTATATTGGCTAAGCGTTCGTGCGCGAGATTGATAGGTACTGGGTTCAAATCTCGCGAGGTAGGATCGTGGATGCGCACTGCCGCTGAGGAGTCCCAGAATAGGACGAAACGGCCGTTCAGTGCTTTTAGGTTTTCGATGATAGACTAGCTTCAATTGATTCATGATCTCAACCATTGAAATTACTATAATATTTACAAAACCCTTTTGATATATTTTAATATTTTTATTGGAATCCATATCGATCTGTTAATTATTCATCACTAGACGATATGTCACTGTTTATTACATCTATTTCCAAAACCTTCGAAGATGTGGTTATGTGATAGTTGGAGAGAGCGTCGAAAGACATCGTGTGATTAACTATCGACACATAATGAAGTACTTGTTTTTGTTTATGACCATTCATTTATTATTATTATTAAAGTCGGCTTTATATTATTTCTTGTTTATACAGTGTAAAAATCAGGAATTAATGAGCCATGTAATAACTCTACGTAATAATTTGACCATTTACCATTATTCAGGTTAGTTATATATCAGATTAGAAAGTTTATATTCTAAGGGATTGACCGTATAATTTTCCTTGAATTTTTATTTAATTATTTATTTATTTGAATACATAAATATTGGTTCAATGGGGGGGCAATGGATAGATATGCGCCATACAAGTCACTTGATTTTTGTGTGGGCTATCATACTGCTCGTGGTGCCCAAACTGAAGCAGGTCGTTTTCGTATGGGGGCCATACTAGTAGCCTTCGACCTAAAGGTTTGATCCTCAACTCAGTAGAGCAACGTCAGGCGATTCAGTCCCATGGTAGTCAGTGATTAATAATTGGTTCATACGCCATTTATTCCTTCAGAATACTAGAGCCAACCCATGTGCATCATTGATTTGGAATCAGGTTTTTCCAGCTGCCCTAAGTGGACTCGCCGTGTCCGCTAACCTGGTTAAAGCGCCGGACATTCACTTTTCGTCCTCTCAATTTCATGTAAGAGTACTTCAAGAGAGAGAGAGAGCTAACTCTCCTCATCTTCGACCGTACCAGGGCATTTGAAGGTTTCCCTGAATTAAAATACAGAGCTAAGATTAATGAACAAAAAGATCATTTCATTTGAATATTTTATCCGTGTTAACCTCAATGATTACAGTGTTGTTGAAGTTAAGTTGAAATAATGAACATTGTCTCTCTATCGAATATTGTTATGTCAAACATGTTGACTTTGTTCTCATATGATTTAATCAAACTGTTAAGAATTAATAGAAGTATTGTATCTGAATTCATCATATGTATAATAGTTTTCTTAATTATCACTTTATAAGTGTTATATCTGTAGATGCTTATATTCTTGATATGACGCGTATAACTTGAGCATTTGAACGCCAGAACCCTTCCAAGTCACAGTGAGAAAACAGAAGACTAGAAGACTATGTTCGGTTCTTTCTGAGGTTCTTCGCGTTCACCCTTGGACCATCCTCACACCTCCCGCCTTTTAAGTCTGTTGTGTAAGACTTTTTCCTTGGATCCACCTGAAACTTGGTTACCGTATTCCTCTTGCGATCCATCACTTTCGAAGATTGTGCAGCTTTGCCCTTGCGTCTTTTATCTCTTCTACATTCGCACTCCTGAGGGTTTTTTCGAGATGAATCTGATATGATTGTTTGAACTCTGATGTTTAAAACTTTGTAAAGTTATTGTTCATTATTATAACAACTGAATGAAGATTACTACCGTCAAATGGAATAATAGTCATTGTTATGTTAACCTGAAGTTATTGGAGTTTTGTAAAGTGATGTTGATGATGATCACCTAGTGGTTAAAACAGTCAGATTTCCCCTCCCCTTTCATAGCTTCATTACAATTACTCCATTTATTACACCGAACTTTATAACTCAATGTTGTCTGTACAAATGATCAATCACTGAGTAGTTACAATTGTTGTTTGTCTAGTTATATGGTGTTAATCCGACTTTATCAGCACATAGGTTCATGATTGCCTTTTCACTGTGTTCAACCATCTAACATACGAATCTTTTAGCATTATGTTGTTGAGATAATCGAATTTCATTGAAATCACGAACTGATCTTAGCTGGATAACCATTAAAAACCTGAAAACATTGAATGATCATTTCGTACTAGGATGAGATTCCTCGGCGTTGCTCATCTAATCAATGGATATGTTAAAAAAGAGTATATTCATAACAAAAACTAGAGGCTACCAGAGAAAGCACCCATTAGTAACTCATTTATCAAGTAAAGATTAATATTATTGAAATCACAAACCGATCTTTCACATGAACGTTTTAGACCATGTACATATTGGAATTCAATCGAAACCGAAGGTCGTGGATCAGATTTCCCATTGCGAATTGATAGATACACACTACTGAGGAGTCACAATGCTAAGTATTCAACGGTTGTCTAACTTGAATATTTTCATGATTTCAATAATATAAATCTGTATTTAGTAAATGAGTTACTAGTGGGTGGATGGAGGTGGGGTCTTTTCTCTGTTAGATGCTTGTTTTTGTGGTGAATATATTCTTTTTTTTTCTCATCTTCATTGTTGTAATTTTGTCAATGCAAATAGTATTTCTTTCTTCCTGTTTCAAATTATAATAATCTCGCTGGGTTCGAGGTCGTGGATACGCACTGCCACTGAGGAGTCCGACAATAGGACGAAACAGCCATCCAATCCTTACAAGTTTTCCATAGTGGTCTAGCTTCAACTGACTCATAATCTCAACCATTGAAATCATAAAAAAAAGATTAAAATTGAAATAATGTGTAATTTGATATTTGTTCATGTATACAATCTATTTACTACAGTATTGATTGATTTACTTTTCGGTAAAACAAACAAAGAAATAACACAGTCCATAAAACATTGTATCGTTTGCGTTAACCCTCCTTTCCTCCGAACTGACTACTTGAGTGAGAACATAAGAATAATTGAGAAAGTGTATTGGACTACTGAATGAAACGAACAAATACCACTCTATTCTTATAAAAAATAGACCCATTAACCCAATTAAATGCAGTTGACCTATAAGTGATTTATGATTAATATCAGTTTACACTTTCATTAAGCTAGTTCTGTATGATTATCCATATTACATGTATATTGATGTGTTCAAAGAATTTGAAATCATGTTGATAGTTTGACTATTATTACTGGAGACACTAGATGATCGTCGTGGTATATAAAGGAGAGAAACGAACTGGAAGTATTAATCATTAGGCCTACAATTGTGAAGATGGTTCACGGGTGAACTCAAAGAACCGAACATATTCCATCCAATCATCTTTTGAAATAATATTCCAGAATCCCTACGTGTAGCTTCCCTATTAGAAGAATGCTGATAACTCCCTGTGTGCGGATTGGATAACTATAGTTGTGATTTCGTTTTTACTAAAAACTATAAATAACTGACATTTTTGTACCATAATTGGCACTGTCTGAAATAACAATCCTTTCACTAGTTTTCTGTCTTCTCATTTGCGACTTGGGAGGGTTCTAGCGTTCGAGTGTTCAAGATATGCGCGGCAAATTAGGAATCTAAGCTCTAGATCTAACAACTGGCGACGGATTGTCTTATCAAGATGTCATTTACCTTTGAACACTTTGAAGCCTTGCTGGAGGATCAAGAAAAATATTTCGAACAGTTCCAGATTCATATTATAGAGACGCGAACCCAGCAAATGAACCTAAATCAAAAAGGGGTTACAGATGATTCTTTCAAATCTCATGCCGACCACATTATTAATTCTATCCATGAATTTAATTTCGATGAGTTGGCTGGCATTACTTTTGAAACCTGGTTCAAGAAATATGGAGATTTGTTCAAGGTTGACCTCAGAAAACTTGATGATCCGCCAAGGTCAGAATACTCTTGCGAAAACTTGGCACAGTTGAACATGAATGTTACAGTAACTTCATCCTTCCAAAGAACGAACCCAAGAGATTTTTCTATTGATGCAACGATTGATATTTTATCGCAAATCTTTGCTGAACAGTCATCCTTGTATAATATTCGTTATCAATATCTCAAGATAACAAAAGCAGGTAATGATGACTATGTGAAGCATGCGGGTTTAGTAAACGGTGGGTGTGAGCGGTCCAAACTATCAGCAATGACAGATCAGATTGTGTCTCGTGTTTGTGTGCAGCCTCCAATTTCTCGAAGATGCTGATGTTAGGACCATACTTTTTGAGTAGAATTGAACAATGTTCGAATATAACACTACAGGAAGTAACCACTTAGTGCCAGATATCGGTAAACTTGAAACATGACACTTCCATGATTGAAAATAATACCCTATTGCCATACGTTCACGTTGTAAGCGAAAAGAAAGATTCCTGCTCAAGAAAATTATCGCACACAGACAATCAGCCTTCATCTCCATGTTGGTCATGTGGAGGATGGCATTACAAGAGGTTCTGCCCATATAAAGAACATTGTTGTAGCAAATGTCATCAGAAGGGCCATAAAGAAACAAGCTACAGAAAACGAACCCATAAATGAAATTCTTCGAAATCATACTCCAAGAAATACAGATATAACGCTCAAACTAAGAAAATATTGGTATCACATAATCGAGCACAAATTTACCGCCAACGAAAATATGTAAACTTAGATATAAATAAGAAGCGTGCCTGCCTGCAGCTCGACACTGCTTCCGACATCACACTTATTAGTCGAAGAACCTGGAAGCTTATCGGAAAACCACAGGTGCTCCCAACAACCCAGTTAGCTCTTAGTGCATCTGGAAGGAAACTAAATATTGTTGGAGAGGTTTGTTGTACAGTTTCAAAAGGAAACGCAAAAACGAATGCAACGGTATATCTCACAGAGAATCCAGGACTAGATTTTCTGGGTCTAGACTTAATGGAAACACTACAATTAACAAATCACTCCATTAATCATACTCACACAGAAATTTACATAGTGGACTAAGTGTCTAAATTACAATGAGCAGATAAATAATACAGTAGTTGAATGGGCTTAATACAAATGCACGAATTGACAACTATCAAATAATCTTCAACGCATTATCCTTCTCACTAGCTTCTTTAATGGCTTCAAATGTGACTGGGAATCCGGAAACTGCGTCTGTCAATACTGTGTGAACCTCAGCCTCGATATCTACGGCAGCTACAAGCACCTCCTCTTCTTTAACATTTTTGCATTCCTCCAGTTCTTCCGTGAACACTTGTCTGTGTTTCTCCAAAACAAATTTCCCAAGACTTCCTCTGGTTTGTTGGTTCTCACGCAACAGCATTCGTCCAATAAGGATTCTGGAATATTCTTCCAAAAGATGATTGGATGGAATGTGTTCGGTTCTTTCTGAGGTTCTTTGAGTTCTTCGATGGATCGTCCTCACACATGTACTTCACATTTTTCGATGACTGATAACAGTCTTCATATCTGAATAGCTGTATATATCTATTATTTTTCGACTCTGGGACGTGTTTTTTTCAATATCATGTTGGTCCAGCTAGTGCAAATCTACATGATAAAATTCAATAAATGGACTAAATATTTGGGTATAATACTTGAAGCTTCATGATATGAGTCAATATGAAGGTTGTAATCAATGAGATTGTATTCTTCCAAGGTGAACATCTAAACAATCACATTTAATCGAAGTTATTTACTTAGAAGAAGTTTTCTTCACGAACTAAAATTAGAGGTACACGGAACTCGTGTATTATCTTAGGTCGGATAATTATTTTCTGTACTCACTTTCTAGCGCATATGTAATCGAATTCTCTTTCTTCAGGTTTCTTTACAACCCCGATACAATTAAATCACTGAATAAGAGTTTCATCAATCAATACTTACATCAATTCTTCAGTTATTGTTTTCATCAGTGATTTACTGTTTCTGATTGAGATCTTGAACCGATTGGTGTTAAACCACCATTGAAAACCTGGAAGCACTGGATGGCCGTCTCGTCCTATTGTGGTGCTTTTCAGGAGTGCGCATCTATCTACCTTAATACAATGAAAGATGGTCGCCCAATTTCGTGGATTGGTTGAGGTTAGACATAAACATCATTGGGTGCTGGCCAGCTCAGTGGTCTAGTAGGTTAAGCATTCGCCCGCGAGACTAAAAGCACTGGGTTCGAATCCTGTGAGCGGGATTGTGGATGCGCACTGCCACTGACAAGTCCCACAATAGGATGAAACAACCGTCCAGTGCTTCCAGGTTTTCAATGATGATCTAACATCAATCGATTCATGATCTCAATCAAAAAATTAATCAACTCCACAACGTCAATATTGATAATTTACTGTTTCATTATGATCTTGATGGAATGTATAGGTCTCGGTTTTACTTGACTTTCATGACTATTCACACGGTAGGTTTATCATCAACTTTTCTAATTATTCATTATTATTATTTTTTTTTAAAATAGCTAATCCAACATTGAATGAAGATAAACGTATCTCTATCAATATGCTTAATTTACATTCACCTATTGTAATAACAAATACTTCTTCAAACATTCCTAATGTCATAACATCAACAACAACAACTACTACTACTAATACTACTAATACTATAAATAGTAGTATTAATGGAAATCATTCAAAAATATCTACTTATAAAATACCATTATTAATGGATATGCAATTACAAGGTGCATTATTACCTACAGTGAATGCTGGTCCAATGGCTTATGCTCAAGCATTTTTAAAACTGGAAAATCAATCATTTTATCCTATCAGTAAAGTTAATCGATTGAAAGAGTTATTTTTGTAAGTGAATATGATTGGGTTTTTGGGGGGGGGTGGATGGTTGGTTGGTTAAAGGGGTTAGGCTTTAAGTTTTATATCCACAATATTACTCGTAGAGATCTAATGAGAATCTGTAACCAATGGAGCTCAATTGTGTTGAGTGTGAAATAGTTTATCTATTGAAGACAATGGAAAATGGTTGTACAACATTATGGATTGGTTAAAGTTAGACATTAATGCCGTTGGATCTCATCTCAGCATTCAAGAGAGACTTAACGTTCTAGGTCTGATTCCTGTGAGTGGGGTTGTGAATACGCACTGCTGAAGATTTCTCACACTAGGACGAAACAACATTTCAATGTTTCCAAGTTTTTAATGGTGATCTACAATTGTTGGGTTCATGGTTTCAATAAAACCCAACAAGCTCCACAACCCTGTAATGACGAATATATACTTTTGTTGATCCCAGATAGTTTGTTTGCTTTAATATTATTAATGTTTATTTATTTATTTTTTTGAAAACAAAAAATATTGCCACAGAAAAAGGCATTGAATGCATATGTGCCACACAAGTCACTTGATTTTTGTGTGAACTGTGATACTTCCCGGGTGCCCAGACCGAAGCACGTGGTTTTCTTAGGAGGCCACACCCCGAGCCTTCGACTTAAGGGTCTGATCCCCAAGGCAGTAGAAAAACATCAGAAGATGCAGTTCCATGATAACCGGTGACCGATAATTGGTTTATACATCATTTATTCTATCAGGATCCTGGAGCCCTTGTGCACCAACCCGGTCAAAGTGCCGAACATTCGCTTTTCGTCTTCTCAATTTGATAAACAACACTCCAGTGGTTAGTAGGCAATGAGTAGGACTTCTGTGGTAGTGACTGTATACGTGTAGACATGTGAGGGCATTTCGAGAGTGAGAGGTGATTTTCCTCACTCTCGGCTAAGCCAGGGCATTTGGGGGCTTAATGTTTATACTACACTTCTATATTATTCTTTGATAATTAGTTAGTAATGGGAGGTCCACTGTGAGAATATACCTTCTATACTTGTTATAATTCTAAAAAGCGATTTGAGAGAAATCTAAACAGCATAGTCATATCAAGCTGTGACAATTCTTCATGAAATCAACGTCTATTTAACTAAATCATGTAAATAGGCTTGCATCAATTTGTTGGGATTCTCATAATTATCATAATTAATGATTAGTAGAAATGCATTCATTCATTATCTTCTCTTAGATTATGAATTCAGTGGTCTTGAGTGCTGTTAGAGGTATGAGAAAAAGCTATACTGTGATGCTGCAGATTAGAAGACAGCGAATTATCGATCGGACCAAAGACGCGCAAACACGTAAGAACGGCCTAGGGTTCTGATTGGTCCCGCTTCCCTGTCTAGCCCAGCCAATTGAGTCCAGAACACAAGTCTCAGCCTCTGAGTTATGAATCGTTATATTTCAAACATACTCTGTTTATATACCAACCAAACAGACCACATCGTACCACAAAATAGAAAATAACATTGTACAATATTGACCAGTAGGAAAATAATTTTTGGGATATTTTCCTGAATATTCCAACAGAAAGGTTATCACTTCCCAGTTGCCCATACCATGGATGGGCTTTTTTATTGGTATCTGAAAAGGAAATTGGATTAGAGGTGGTCTTAGAGACCTGACTGCAGTGGCCAAAGGATAATTGTTTGAGATCGGCTACACATGACCTTTTTATGAGTAATTTTTGTGTTAGCTCCGTACTTTTTGGGACCTTACCGCCGGAGACGGATATTCGTGGGATAAGGCGAGGTGTGCATTTTTAGGGTCGACCTTTTCTAACCCCACCACACCTTCTGGGGAGGCAGCATCGCTGTCATACTGGTTGTCTGAAGGAAACACCTTACTGCTATCACACTTCTGTACAGTCAGCAGTACGACTTCGCCTTCGGACCTTAGGTTTGTTGCTTTTAGTCTTACTGCTCTCCAACCGACCTGTCTGACATGGTAGGACCTTGAGTAACGGTTGTTCCAGCCAGTATAGCTCAGTTGCTTCATCACGATAGGCAAGCGCGACCACCACGTCAAGGTAGTAATAACGGTCGGGTCTTCTCTTAGATATTAACTTTCAAAATGAATTGATACTTTTTAATCATCAATATGTTGTCCTGATTATTTCATCTCACTTTACTTTTAGGGTATGATAACTTGTTGTACTACTGATTTACTTATATGTCATGTTCTGCATTGCTTATGGACTGATTGATTGACTGATTAATGATGTATTGTTTTATCATTGATGGTATATTCTCATGACACTGTCTATTGCTCTTCTTCTTTCTCTTTATGTATAGTGATTTCTTATCAACTTGTCTGGTACTTCTTACATATTATTACAATCTAATGTCAAGTGTACATGAAGCAAAATATCGTGCTATGCGTGATGCATTAGATCGTTATCGAGTTGATTTAAGTAATTTATTAAAAGAAGAAGTAAGTTTATCTATTTATTTGTATGTATAAAATTATCATTGTTAAGAGTTGATTGTAGGTAAAGTGGCACCAAACAGATATGAACCACACGGATCTCATTTGATTTGTGTGAGGGTTGTGATACTGCCCGGGTGTCCAAACCGAAGCACGTGGTTTTCTTAAGGGCCACACCCGGAGCCTTCGACCTAAAGGTCTGATCCACAAGGCAGTGGAGCATCGTAAAAAGATGTAGTTTCATGATAGCCAGTGACCGACGATTGGTTCATACGTCATTTGTTCCCACAAGATACTGGAGCCAACCCATGTGCACCATTGGTTTGGGATCCGGTTAAAGCGCCGGACATTCGCTTTTCATCCCCTTATTTTCGTAAACAATAGTAATGCCACGAGAAGGCAGTGAGTAGGACTTCTTTGGCACGGGCTGTATACGCGTGGCCGTATGAGAGCATTTCGAGAGGGAGTGCGGGTCCACCCCACTCTCGGTCATACCAGGGCATTTGGGGGCAGAAACCTTTACAAAGTATTGAAGAACTATCACTTTCAATGTGTTTGTATTAAAGAGAACAAGGTGATTGATAAGATTATTCATGACTGTATGATCATAGACAATCACTAATTGTAACTGTTCAATCAGGTATAATCAAAGTACCTATCATAATTTTCAAGAATGATTTTGAAATCTTTCAACAATTAACAAAAAAGAAAACGTTGATTGATCGAAATATTTTAAAGATTACTTCAAAGAATTATCGAATACTCCTTAATAAACTACTACATCTATTATGATTAGTAATAGAACTCTTAATCATTTTCAAAGAGAGGAGTTTCCTTCTATTCTACAACCTAGAATGCATATCAATCTTGGCCCCGAAATGCCCTGGTATAGTCGAGAGTGGAGAGAGTCCGCTCTCCCTCTCGAAATGCTCTCACATGACCACGTGTATATAGGCTCTGCCAGGGAAGTCATACTCACTGCCTTCTCGTGACAATACTATTGTTTACGAAATTGAGAGGACGAAAAGCGAATGTCCGGCGCTTTAACCGGGTTGCTAGACATGGAGAGTCCACCTAGGGGAGTTGGAAAACTTTCATTCCAAACCAATAAAGCATATGGTTTTCAGTACGGTGAGGGAAAAATGGGACTGCATCTCCTTACGTTGTCCCACTGCCTCGTGGTTCAGACCTTCAGGTCAAAGGCTCGGGGTGTGGCCCTGTAAGTAAACCACCTGCTTCGATTTGGATACGTGAAAAGTATCCCAGCCCTTGCACAGATCAAATGAGATTTGTGTGGCGCATATGTATTTGGTGCCTCCTTGTACCAATATCTATGTGTTTAAATAAAAGAAGATCAATCTTACAGTTGTTATGTTTTGTACGTATTTCCAGATTATTGTTAATGAAAAAGAATTAAGAATTGGACCGAAATCTTCATCCTCTTCATCATCATCTCCAACAACATCGTCTTCATTCACAATGAATCATAATCATTGAATTAAGCAACTACATTAAACTCGATTTCGTTTTTTGGTCATCTCTCTCTCTTTCATCTTTATCCCATGAATAGTATATTTGTGTATACAGTGATAGGGTCATTGTTCCATTAGCGTTTTTTTTTTTGTGTGTGTGGAGCAAATGAGTTTTCTACGGGATAGAGTTGCTAACCCTTCCCTCTTTTTATCCAAACTTGAAATCGGTATGAACTCGAGAAGAACTACACAGATAGAGTTACATTATTCATTAATCCAACTTAATTCTATTCAATAATCATCTGTATTATCGGTTTACATTTCTTATCATATAAATTCAATAAATAAAAAAAATAAACATTCCAATTATAATTCACATATCGTTTTAATATGTATACACATAATGGTGCATACTACTGATATCTATCGACATATATGAGTAGTATATTAACACTAAACAGAAATAGCTTGTTTAATCTGGAAATTGTATTGTTCTTCATTGTACCTAGTAACAAATGATAGGAGTCTTTTCTTTTTGAATGCTCTACTGAATACCTTTATTGTTTTTTTTGAAAACACACAATGTATTATGTAACTTGAATCAAATGCATTTCTATGTCAGTTATTTTGATCCCTTCTCCTACTTTCTCTTCTTCTTCTTCTGATTATTATGATCAATCATAATATTGTACACTATTTACTTTCACATAATAGATGTGGATGGATAGTTTGTTGTTTTTTTTCTGTTACCAAATTGTATGTATTATGGATAATTATTTTGTAAAATAATGATATAATATAGTAATGATTATACTATGTATATATATATACAATTATGATTATAGAGTTGATAGACTTGTTGCCAAGGAAACAGTGTGAATGTTTACTTATATGATAAATCTTGCTAATTGAATACTAATATTTAGTTCCTAAGCTATTCTCGTAAACCTTCCCCCACCCCTTTGCCCCGAGTTAGAACGATACAACGAACTGAATATGAGAGAAATGGCTGATTGATTTATAAATTTAATGATTAGAAAGTAGTCATTTATTCTCATTTATCTATTTACCCTAAAAAGTAACAATTCGTTTTATTTATTTATTATAACACATAGATCTTGGTACAAGGAGGCACCAAATACATATGAGCCACACAAATCTCATTTGATATGTGCGAGGGCTGTGATACTACCCGGGTGCCCAATTGGAAACACGTGGTTTTCTTAGAGGGTCATACCCGGAGCCTTTGACCTAATAGTTTGATCCATAAGTCGGTGGAGCAACGTCAGAAAATACAGTCCTATGGTATCCGGTGACCAACGATTGGTTCATACGCCATTTATTCCTTGAGGATACTGGAGCCCATGTGCACCATTGGTTTGGAACCAGGGTTTTCCAACTCCCCTAGGTGGACTCTCCATGTCCACCAACCCGATTAAAGCGATGGACATTCACATTTCGTCCTGTTAATTTCGTAAACAACATCCCATGGCACGAGAAGGCAGTGAGTAGGACTTCCCTAGCAGAGGCTATATACATGTGGTCATGTGAGAGCATTTCGAGAGGGTGAGCGGACTCTCCCCACTCTCAGCCGTACCAGGGCATTTGGGCGCTTATTGTGGGATTATATTGTAAAATACTGAATTTTACTACAAGAATTTAACACTTCAACTAGAATTGCTTTACGATATTCTTACATTTTAACTCTATAAATGAGTAAACAACAAAAATTATCCCTTTTCTTTTTAAACATACCGTTGAAATCTATTTTACACACAGGATTGTGAGCTGAATCTTTTTAATGGGAACATATAATTTTCCAAGTCAATCCATTCATCTATGAGACCTAATGGTCTTCTCGTATTGATTCCTTTCAGAATCCTGTATGATCACTGTAGAAGAGTCTTAAACTAGAATGAAAAGCTTCTTGGGACTCTTCAATTTTTCATGATTATCAAATAATATAATTTTATGGTGAAAAATTGAAAACAAATAACTTGGACAAGCTTACATAACTACTGAAGAATCAATTATACAAAGGGTGAAATTGGATTATCCTTTCATTTAGTCATGAATGAAGATTACTGAATTACAGCTTAATAGTTTAAGTTATCAATGATAAGTCTTGTTAATTGTATGCTATATTCAGTTCCTAAACTATTCTCGTAACCCCCCCATCCCTCGCCCAAGTTAGAACGACACAACGATCTGAACACGGGAGAAAAAGCGCAAAATACACGAGAAGCAATTAACTCCAATGATTCGTTTTAATAAAGAAAATATTAGAGTTTTTATAGTATTTTAGATGTCCTTGTGTTCCCCGAAATTTCTGGAATGCTACTCAACATAGTAGTAGTTAGCTAATCAGAAACCCTACATGTGACTTTTCACTTTCTTGATATTTCTGGCTAAACTTCAAGTGGACGCTGATTGGATAAAATGCTTCTCAGTGTTTCTTGAGGCTTTCTTGTCTTTTGCGAGAAGTTTTCTGGATCATCCCAACATGATAGTCATAGATAAAGTTGCCCTTAAATGATGTGGTACGGCTGAGAGTGGGGAGAGTCAGCTCTGCCTTTTGAAATGTTCCCACATGCATACGACCACTGCCATACAAGTCTTACTCACTGCCTTCTCGTGGCAATACTATTGTTTACGAAATCGGGAGAACGAAAAGCGAATGTCTGTCGCTTGAACCGGGTCGGTGGATATGGAGGGTCCACCTAGGGGAGTTGAAAAACCCTGATTCCAAACCAGTGATGCACATGGGTTGGTTTTAGGATCCTGAGGGAACAAATGGTGTATGAACCTATTGTTGGTCATCAGCTACCATGAGAATGAATGTCATGACCTTGTTCCACTGCCTTGTGGATCAGACCTCTAGGTCGAAGGCTCCTAGATGTGGCTTCCTAAGAAAACCACCTTCTTCGATTTAGGCACTCGAGAAGTATCCAAGCCCTCACACAAATCAAATGATTTATGTGGCGTATATCTATTTGTTGCGTTATTGTACCAATGTTTATGTGTTTAAATGAAAAACGTAGGTCCATGATTTCCTATTGACTACCTTCACCCACTATCTTAATCTTAACAACAGTGCATGCAATAATTGAATCATCTAGACAGACTAATAGCCATATTATAACTTGATCGATAGGATTCAATGTACACAAAGAAGGACCTGACACGTATGATATTGATCACCTCTATCCAGTAATTAATCAATTGTAAATGTACAATATCACATAACTTATCATTGAATTAGTTTGTATTATAGTCAGTCAGTAACAACGTAGAACTTCGTACATACGTACATCAGTTCGAGTGGTCATACCACATTACCACACAGATACAATTGTCGATTCAAATCCCGTAGTGATAGAGGCGGTAAGAATATAAGCAGTAATCGGAAAGATTAGGGTTTGAAGATGTTATTCAAGGAGTATAATCCAGTGAAATAAACTTGGGAAAAGAAAAACGAGACAAGGAGGAATCAGAAGATCAAAATTTGGAAGACCACAAAGAGTGTGTATGCACCTGCTCACACCATTTCAAACGATTTTCAACCATGTCATTCAACGTCTCTAACCATCGATTTCTATCATCTCACGGTCCTCACAACCAGTATGTATTATAAACTTTGAACCATATTATAATCATTAATAAAATTAACCCAACTAATTAAACAAATATACGTCATTTGAAGATCCATAGAATGGAAAGAGTAAAGTTTTTTTTTTAATCATTGAAATGATTATCATTATTTGAATAATTATTAATGATTGGTTATCATTATCGATTTATTATAGAAGTAATAATATAGAGTTCATGATTTGATATGATTGTCAATAGTATTCAGGTAAGATTTATTCAAGACGCAATAAAATAGATCCATAATCAATCATATTCAAATCAATGAATCGATCAAACAAACAACTGATCAATATTCAATAGCATTGAAATATCAAAGAGAAAAGAAAAACAAAAAACAAACACCATCAATGATCTTGATTCGATTATGAATCGAGTTCATAAAGCATGAATAGTGTATTGAATAAGAATACACAAAATAATAGAATATCTTATTGAAATCTTATTGGATCATACAGTAAATAATTGAATTGTAGAGATATTCATTCATTGGCTTAGATTTGATGATTCTTTCGTTTCCATGTCAATCATTCGTTGTTGTTGTTGTTGTTGTTGTTCTCTTCGACGATCTCAACTTACTGACATCAAGCATTTCTATTTTCGATTAACCATATACATACTACTTATATCTGTCAACATCAGTAGCACATACTATACTATACTATAGTTCTCACAAGTATACACTTCATAATAGCTGTTATACCCTACTATTAATAATAATAATACTACTACTACTACTACACAGTTACCTGAATTCTAAATAAAAGGCACCATAGAAACAGAATAAGTTAAAACTATTATCTAAACAAGCGTGATCAGTAGCCAGAAAATAAAGATCAATCATATAAATAAAGAATAATTAGTGAACACCATTAAGAATTATGTAATACCTTATTAATAATAATGATAACAAGAAACCTTGGTTACTTCATGAATACAGAATTCAATAATGAAATTATTCAATCGTTGCTTTAGTAACTTTATCTAAACGACGTTGAAGTTTTTCAGCTAATTCATTTGTTGTTGTTGTTGTTGTTGTTAATGATGTATCATTATTGTAATGTTGCGATTGATGAGGATTTGTTTCCTATACAAGAAAAAAAACAAACAAACAAACATACGAACTGATTATCCAATGAAAGTTGAAAACATGAGTTGATTGAAGAACCATTTCGTCCTATTGTGGGACTCCTCAGCAGTGCGTATCTACGATCCCGTCTGTTTCCCGTGAAATTTGAACCCAGGAACTATCAGTCTCGCCCGAGAATCCCCTTCTCATAATAATCATCTGCTCACTGGTGACTGACTTCAAGAGGCATTTCCTGGAGTTCTAGTGAGAAGCAGTGACCAGTGGAGTACACAACCAGGTCTGTTGTGACATATCAACTCACTGAAGACAATGGTGTACCTAGGAGCAATTTCGTGGATTGATTGAAGTTAAACATTAACACTATTGGATACCGGCCAGCTCTGTGGTCTAATAGTTAAGCGTTCGCGCGCGACACTGATAGGTCTTGGATTCGAATCTTGCGAGACGGGATCGTGGATACGCACTGCCATTCAGGAGTCCCACATACGACGAAATGGTCGTCGAGTGCTTCCAGATTTTCTACAGTGGTCTAGCTTCAATTGACTTATGATCTCAACTATTAAAATTACTATAATATTCACAAGTTGCAAACAAAGTCCAATCACAGATATTGTGGTTGATGGCAATATACAACGAAAAGAATGTACTAACCTTCTAACTGACAACCACTCAATAATATGTTATCATCAGGTTCGATCAAGAAATAAGAAATGAGAAACTTGCTGAAATACTTTATGCTAAGAATTCTATATTATACCAAAAACTATAATATAGAATAAACTCATTCATAATAAATACTAACTATGATTTGAAGGATTCATTTAAATGATTTCCAACTTAAGGTCATATAAGTTCAATTAAATCAATAGAAAAACCATGTCATGTCTAATTGATTGATCATTGAGTAACGTTAGTTAATATCATATTCAATGGTGGTCTAGCTTCAACTGACTCATGATTTCAATCTGTGAAATTTCTAAAAAAAAATCTCGACGAAACCCATTCTGATAATAAACAACTGCTCACTAGTGACTGACTTCAGGAAAAACTCCCGAAGTTCTAGTGAGAAGTCGTTACCAGTGGAGTTCAACCAGGTCTGTTGTGAGATAGGAACTCACTGAAGACAATGGTGTACGGTGGCGCAACTTCGTGGATTGGTTGAAGTTAGACATTAACACCGTTGGATGCCGGCTCAGTGGTCTAGGGGTTAAGTGCTCGCGCGCGAAGCCAGTAGGTCCTGGATTCGAGCCGCGCGTGGTGCGGGATCGTGGATGCGCACTGCTGAGGAGTCCCATACTAGGACGGAACGGCCGTCCAGTGCTTCCAGGTTTTCAATGCTGGTCTAGCTTCAACTGACTCATGATTTCAATCTGTGAAATTTCTAAAAAAAAAATCTCCACAAAACCCATTCTGATAATATCATATTTGTTTGAATTCTATCGATTAAGTTACTATGTGACCATTACTCTCAGTGATTCGATATCATATATATATACTATATTGGAATGTTGAATGCTTAAAAAGTAGTCAATACTATGATCAGTATTAAAAAAGAACAGACAGAACATAACATTGATCATGATTGTTTAGATCTTTAAATGAATAAATTCTCAATGTAGCATCATTCTAATAGTCAAACTACAGATTTTCAGTATAATTTTTTTCTGGTTTTACAAGTAGCGTATGGTGTGTGCTACTGATATCGACAGATATAAGTAGTATGTATCATCAATTGAAAGTCGAATGACTGACAGAAGCAACTCAACAAGATCAAAGAACAGAGAACAAGAACAAATAATGATTAGTGTGGAAATGGAAGTGGTTTGAATACTTTTTTCTGGTTAGCGTTTTTTTAGCGAGTTAGATTTCTATGGGATGGAGTCGCTAACCCCATGTCCAATCCTTTTCCTTTATCCGGGCTTTGAACCGACAGTAACCCCAGAGGAGCTCCAGGAAGACATGAGAAAAATGAACAAAAATTGGATGGAACTAGAAAGGAAGGCCCAGGACAGAGTGGGTTGGAGAATGCTGGTCGGTGGCCTATGCTCTTTGTGTTTGATCATTGTTGTCTCCGAAGGATTGCTGACATCCAGTGGCAACACCATGTTAGTGATGCAGAGGTTCGGCACCGTGTGTTTGGGCACAGAGACGATAATTCAATTGGTGTCACTATCTTAAAACATCGACTTCGGTGGCTTGGAGTGGTCTTGAGTGCTGTTAGAGGTATGAGGGCGATTATCACTTCCCGGTTGCTCACACCATGGAAGGGTTCGTCTGAACGTACGTGAAAAGGAAACTGGATTAGAAGTGGTTTTAGTGACCTGAGAGTGTGACCACAGTGCCCAAGGGACAACTGCATGAGATCGGTCACACGCGACCTCTTCGTGAGTCATTTTCGTGTTAGCTCTGTACTTGTTGAGATCTTACCGCCCGAGACGGATATCCGTGGGATAAGGCAAGGTGTGCATTTTTAGGGTCGACATTTTTTAACCCCACCCCTCCTTGTGGGAAGGCCGCACCGCTGTCATGCTGACTGTCTGAAGGAAACACCTTACTGCTGTTACACCTCTGTACAGTCAGCAGAACGACTTCGCCTTCGGACCTTGGGTTTATTGCTTTTAGTCTTACTGCTCCTCAACCGGCCAGTCTGGCATGGTAAGAACTTGAGGAACGGTTGTTCCAAACAGTATAGCTCAGTTGCTTCATCACGATAGGCAAGCTCAACCACCACGTCAAGGTAGCAAAAACTACTATGAATCCGCTATTCATCTTGCGGTGCTAATCCAGTATGGCAACTTGGACCGATACATATATGTGCTTGGTCTTACGTTGTAGCTGACTGACTGATTATTATTATTTCACTACCATACACTAACTTGTGGTCGTTATCGTTCTTTGGTTTTCTTTATACACGCACCTAACATTCTTTATCTCTTCCCATTCTCATTATTATTGTGTGGCGCATATGTATCTGGTGCCTCCCCCCCCTTGTACCAACATTTATGTGTTCAAAGAAATAAATAAATAGTAAAAAAAACATAGAGGAGTCAAGCATACAAAAAAAAGAACAACAGAACTTTCAATTAAACTGTACAGTTTACAAGTTAACTAATTATTCAATTCGATTTTTATCTATGACTGACATGTTAATCTATACTTGAATATACACCCTAGAGATTAGGTTACTTTTAATGTACATAATACTGAAACAGATGATAAGAGAGAAAGAAAGAGAGAGAATAAGCCATGGGGTGAATGAAAATACATGTGATTAGTTGTTTAATTTTCATACAGATGAATCATGACTATCAATAATTGTTTGAAATGGAAGATACGTTAGATCTAAACAACTGTTCAATTCATCAATATTATTCAAAGATATACATTGTACAGTATTTAAATATATAACTGACTAGATTACTGGTTGATATTCCAAGTAAGTAAGTAAGTAAAGATGAATGATAGCAAGCAGTGAAACCTAAGATATGCGCTTCGTCTTATTTGAGACTCATCAGTTGCATTCTAGAGTTGATGTTCACTTCAAGACTCGAATCTAGTACCGTTTACTTGAAACGCTATCATGTTATCCACTTAGCTATTGAGTTCTAATATTAGCCACCATTATCTCTGATTACAATGCTTGTGACTTAAAATATTCCACATAGGATTCAAATATGCCAATAAAACACTGATCAATCTAAGTCCTGAACATCAATGAAAAGTTTCAAACAAACTCCCTTATTCATTGATATAATCAATCCATATACATCGTAATCAACCATTGTGATAAGTATTATTCATATTACACTTTACAATTGTCTATAGATGAATAATCGAAGTGAATAGTAAACAGTTGAATGTAATAGTATGCTTCAGATTATGTTCCCTATATGCGTATAGACAGAGAAACATGATAATTATTGTATGTAGACCTAACATCTTATATGTAAACACAATAAATTATATCTAACTAAGATTTCATTGCATTATTACTAGTCACAAATAAACCTATTGTTTCACAGACAAGTTTTAGATACTTTCAGAATAGCCGAAGGTCAGGAGAGTCCACTCTTCCTCTCTAAATCTTCTCACATGATCACACGTCTACAGCCACTACACCACTGAAGTCTTACTCAATGCCTTCTCACCACTGAGGTGATGTTTACGAAATTGAGAGAACGAAAAACGAATGTCCGATGCTTTACACGGGTTGGTGGATATAGATGATTCACCTCGGGGAGTTGGAAAACTCTGATTCCAAATCAATCGTGTACATGGGTTCCAGTATCCTAAGGGAATAAATGACGTATGAACCAATTATTGGTCACTGGCTAGCATTGGAATGCATTTCCCTACGTTTCTCCACTGTCTTGTGAATTAGGCCCTCAGGTCAAAGACACCCTAAGAAAACCACCGGCTTTGATTTGGGCACCCGAGCAGTATTCCAGCCCTCACACAAATCAATGATTACTACTACTGGCCTCATTGTTATTTTGTGGCGTATATGTATTTGGTGCCTTCTTGTACCGTTGTTTATGAGTTCAAATAAGTAAAGATTTCGTTTCAAAGACAATTTGGGCTTTCAGTTATAAGAAATAGCATATTTTTTTGTCTTCATAGTGTAGTCATGACTATATTATCATCTATTTCAAATTACTATCTGAACACTGGTATAAGCAAAGATAGATGGCGGCTAGCAGTGGAATCTAGGACAATGGGGAAGATACAAGTAAACAATACCAAGTGAATCTAAACACCGTTAGATAGAGAAAACATACACTTGAAATGGTGTTATTATCATAACATTTATGTGCGCATCTTACAAAGAAGCATTTCATTCATAAGGAGGATTTAATGAAGACTTTAGTAGTTTAATAGTTGAATTCATGAGTCAATTAAAGCTAGACTATCATTGAAAACCAGGAAGCACTGGATAGCCGTTTCGTCTTATTGTGGGACTTCACGTGGAAAGTGTCCGTATCCTAATGAAGAATAAATGAATAGTAACTGCTAGGATCTATTTATAGACAGGACATGGTTATGAGAGAAAAACTAGAGTTGCCTCCAGGCTGCTAGTATTCTGGTTAATGCATCATTGGTTTGGCACAATGCCAAAATCATATAAGTCAGTGTTACAATTGGAGATTTAGACAAGTGATAATCAATAGGGCATAAAGAACATAATAGAAAGAAAATTGAATCATTTTGACAAACCATTTTATTCAATTGTTTCTTTTCAATTAATTCACGTTTCCAATGTGGTACAAGACCCCATTTCTTTAATTCATCCTGTAAATTGAAATGATTAAATATGGGAAACATTCACAATAATAATTGAATCATAGTTATATTAATAGAATTTAAGGTTTATTCATTTAAAACAATGATGGATGGTAGCGCAATTTTGTGGATTGGTTGAAGTTAAACATTAACACCGTTGGATGCTGGCCAGCTCAGTGGTCAAAAAGTTAGGCGATCGCGATCAAGACTAATAGGTTCTGGGTTCGAATCCCGCGTGCAAGATCGTGGATGCGCACTGCCACACAGGAGTCCCATACTAGGACGAAACGGCCGTCCATTCCTTTCAGGTTTTCTATAGTGGTCTAGCTTCAATTGACTTATGAATTCAACTATTAAATCACTATAATTTCCACAAAACCTCTCTCTGGTTTAATCATTTATTACTTCTCTTTAATGAAATGAATTAATGCATCGACAAATAGTAAACATAAGCATATGAAGTGGATAATACGTAGAGCATTTGAAGAGAGACACTGGGTTCCGATTCTTGTGTAAACATTAATACTGTGATGTAGGTCTATTCAGTTGATAAGTCTTAAAAAGGACGAAAAGCACTTTCTGGATTCTACCTCGAACGACTAACAAATGTTACTTCAAATACTTGTAATGTAATGACAATATTAAGGCAGTCTACTTAGGGATGCATATATGCAACAAAAGAGATGAAATCCTCAATATCGACAAAGAGAAGATCTAAAATCTTACAAGTGAATTATAACCGTATTAAGTTATTGAAGAGAAAAATGAGTTTTGGTTCGAACTATTTCATTCTGCTATATGGAAGAAAGTTTTTTTTTTAAAAACATTTTGATTTAGTATACTTACCTCTCTCTCTGTTACTGTTACAACTAACCATTTGTATACATCAACTCGTAAATTTCCCGATATGCCGATGATGCTCAACGCATTGAAAGGTGTAAACTTCATTCTAGACATCTTAGCACTACCCGTAATCATTTTTTGGGTAGATGTTAGTTATACAAGCGTAAAACATCAAAATTGCCTCAGTTTAGCAACATTTATAGCCTCAGAAGGAGGTTTTGTAGAGATTTTAGTAATTTTATAGTTGAATTCATGAGTCAATTGAAGCTAGACCACCATGAAAAACCTGGAACCACAAGACGGACGTTTCGTCCTAGTATGGGACTCCTCGTCAAGTGATTTAACATTTGCCTAGTATAAATAGATGCCTAATCTAATTCAATCTGTAGTCCCGTCATACAAAAGATATTTTATCAGCAAGTAATTGAGATATTTATATACTTTCTACCGTCAAAAGTCTATGTCAACAAATGTAGAGCAGTATACTCACTTTTTAAACGACAAACGTCTATCTCATATGTGAGTTACAATTTGTGCAAACGCATCACATATATACAACAATCAGTGCTGTTTGACAAAAAAAAAGTACTGGTCATCACTATAAATGAACAAATATTTTGGATTAATGATAACACTCCAAACTATTATTATCTTTACTGTGTTTATTTTATATCTAATTATTTGAACACATAAACATTGGTAACATATGCGCCACACAGTAACAATTAGGCCAGGAGTAGTTATCATTAATTATATGTGAGGGCTGTGATACCACCCGGGTGACCAAATCAAAGCGGGTGGTTCTTATACGAGACCACACTTGGAGCCTTCGACCTAGAGGTCTAATCCACAAGGCAGTAAAGCAACGTTAAAAGATGCAGTCACATGCTATCCGGTTCATAGGCTATTTGTTCCCTCAGAATCCTGGAGCCAACCCTATGTGCACCATTAGTTTGGAATCAGGGTTTTCCAATTCGAACTCTCCATTTCCATCAATCCAGTTAAAGCACCGGGCATAAGGTTTTCATCCTCTCAATTTCGTAAACAACAATTCAGTGGTTAGAAGGCAGTCAGTAGGACTTCCATGGCAGTGGTTGTATACGCGTAGTCCCATGTGAGAGGATTTAAAGAAGGAAATTTAACTCTCCCCACCTTCAGCTGTCCCTAGGGCATTTGGGTGGTAGAGGCATTCAATGAAAGAAATAAAAACAAAACAAAACAACACCCAATTCATTTATTTAAGTATAAACATGGAAGTTTTTCAACAATATACACTCTATATACTTACTGCATAAATATTAGCTGCATCACGATTTTTTCTTTCTAATCGATGAATTTTCCAATCAGGCAGATTCGATGAAATAGGATGATAACCTGGTATTTGATTGGCATCAACTATATTGTATCATATAAATATGTAAAGAATAAAGGAGATATATATATATATATATATAATTCAATTGATAGTTCAGGTTTATAATCCTTTTACTGAATACATTGAAGAATGATTATAAATCAGAGCTTGAATGCTATTGGGAGAATTAGTTACAAATTTCTTCTGTACACATAAATTGAGGTTATATGTAGGAATTCCTATGGCTTCAGTTACATGTAGGAGGCGGGAACGAACTCTGTTGGGAAATGATGGAGATATACGATAGATCATTCGAAATGATTTCGATTTATCTACACAGCATGACCGCTATCAATAAGATGTGCCAATATAGAACTGCGAATTGTTTTTATCTGGTCCTTTATAAACCAAGCTGGTAGATGTTCACTCATTAGTTGGTTAAGTTGCCTGGTAGTACGCCCGATATAGCTATCTCCACAGGAGCAGCTGAATTTGTAAATGCACATTGAGGAGACCAACTCAGGTAACTTATCCTCCGTTTGCGTAGACATTGCTGATCGACAGGAGAAAGTCAGCGCAAGACATTCTACGCAGCCAATCTTGCGTAATATAATTAAGGTTATGTTAGTACATATTTTCATTATAAAATTGATTTTAAATGAGTAAATAATATTTGCCCCTCTAATGCTATGGTACAACTGAGAGTGGGGAGAGTTAGCTCTCCATCACGAAAACTGCTCTCATATGGCCACGTACAAACAGCCATTACAAGGGAACTCCTAGTCACTCCCTTCTCGCGGCAATACTGTTGTTTATGAAATTGAAAGGATGAAAAGTGAATGTCCACGGCTTTAACAGGGTTTGGTGGATACGGAGAGTCCACCTAGGGGAGTTGTAAAACACAAATTCTAAAACAATGGTGTACATGGGTTCCAGTATCCTAAGGGAACAAATGACGTATGAACCAATCGTTGGTCACCGACTAGCATGTGACTGTATCTCCCTAGGTCATTCCACTGCCTTATGGATCAGATCTTTAGGTCGAAGGCTCCAAGTGTGGCTCCGAGCAGAATCCCAGCCCTCACATGTATGGGATGATTTATGTGACGCATATCTATTTGGTGCCTCCTTGTACCAATATTTATATGTTGATATAAATATATAAAAGAATAAAACTTTAAATCAGAAGATTTATGATTTTTAAAAAGATTACAAGTAAGATTCCTGTCTATCTAAGGGATTAATCACAGAGTTATAATGCAACGTATTAATTCAGTAAACCTTTATATACCATACAACTTTCAGTCACAATTATCCCATATGAAAGCTAGAGACACTATCCAGTTACTTAAATTGTAATAAATGGACAAAGGTTTGAATTTGCGCAACTCTAATGTTTTAAAAGTATAAGCATTGATTATTAAGGCTACTGCTTTATATTCAATCTTTATGGCCCGATCGAAGCTGCTACCTTGACGCGGTGGTCGGGCTTGCCTATCGTGATGAAGCAACCGAGCTATATTGGCTGGAACATATGTTCCTGCAGGTTCTACCATGCCAGGCAGGTCGATTGGTGAACGGTAAGACTAAAAGCAGCAACTCAAGGTCTGAGGGCGAAGTCGTACTGCTGACTGTAGAGGGGTGTGACAGCAGTAAGGTGTTTCCCTCGGACATCCAGCATGACAGCGATGCTGCCTTCCCACAAGGAGGGGTGGAGTTAGAAAAGGTCGACCCTAAAAATGTCACACCTCACCTTACCTCATGGATTTCCGTCTCCGGCGGTAAGGCCCTTTGAAGAACGGAGCTAACACGTCAAAAATCTTCCACAAAAAGGCCGTGCGCGGCCGGCCTCAAGCAGTTGTCCCTTGGGCTCTGCGGTCACGCTCCCAGGTCGTCAAGACCAACACTAATCCAATTTCCTTTTCAGGTTCCTCAAGAAATACCCTTCCACGGTGTGGGCAGCCGGGAAGTGATATCAGCCCTCATACCCGTAACAGCACAAGAGACCAAGGTGGTCACATTCAAATCTTTCCTACACCTTCTAATACCTCTCTTATCTCCCCGACTAACCCTCCCCACGTCTCTTTATCACCTCGCACCGCTAGGGCAAACGATTCGAGTACGTGGAACGCCATTCCTGGTCTCCTGAAACCACGCTCTAAACTACACGTAGGAGCTTTTAACGTACGAACACTTTGCCAAATAGGACAGCAGGCTTCCTTAGCTAGGACTTTAGAATCTCGCGCCATCGATGTGTGCTGCGTCTCCGAAACGCGCATACAGGATCCAAGTAGCGTCATTCATTTGACCTCACCATGCCAAAATAAAGAACCGACTCGATTTACGCTTCGTGTATCTGGATGCCCTGATTCTGCTTCTCGTGGCCTCACCGGCGTAGGTATAGCATTGAGTCCTAGGGCAGAACTAGCTCTCTTAGAGTGGATCCCAGTAAACAGTCGTTTGTGCGCTGTCCGACTGAACGGAACAGTAAGAATCCGGAAAGATAGGGACACTCGTCGTTGCCTCTTCGTCGTCTCTGCCTATTCTCCCACTGACTGCAGCTCAGATGATGTAAAAGATGAGTTTTACAGAAAGCTTTCGGACCTTCTCCGAAAAGCTAGGCGCTCGGATGTAGTATTAGTGGCCGGTGACTTTAATGCTCAAGTAGGTAAACTAGGCGATAGGGAAAGACACCTAGGTGGATCTTATGGTGTCGTGGCTCAAAGAACAGATAATGGCGACCGTCTGTTGCAGCTATGCCCAGATAACCGCCTGTTCCTTGCAAATACTAACTTTAAACATAAGGAAAAACATCTTTTAACATGGCGACCCCCTAATTCGTCCCAACGTTGGACCCAAATAGATCACATCGCTATCAGCCACCGATGGAGGGGCTCGATAGAAGACTGTCGCTCATTCTGGAGCACATGCCTAGATTCAGATCATGCTCTAGTGCGAGCGCGTATTTGCTTGCGTCTAACTGGACGTAGGAAAGACGCTGCAAGAAAACCTCTTAGGGGCCTACTTAATGATAGTCAAGCTAAGAGTATATTTCAGGAACAACTAGGAAAACAGTTAGGCAGCCATGTATGTGATGCTCATCCCGACGCAGCATGGAATGATATCCGAAAAGCTGTGGAAACAGCAGTGATATCTGCTAGTAAGCTAAACCACAAGGTTAGGGAGCAACACTGGATCTCAGCAGCATCTATCGCACTGATAGATGCTCGGAAACTCATTCCACCTGGCTCTGAACATAATGAAGAGCGGAGTCAGCTTAAGCGCAAGCTGACAATAAGTCTACGCAATGATCGCGAACAGTGGTGGGTAGCGAAAGCAAGACAGATGGAAAAGGCAGCGGCAATAGGTAATAGCAGACAATTGTTTAGACTCGTTAAGGAAACCGGAATTAGGAACCCGACCGTTAGCGAAACAATCTCAGAGAAAGATGGACATATTATTCATTTTCAATCCAGGAGTTTGGATCGATGGGTAGAACACTTTAGGGATCAGTTCAACTGGCCTTCAGCCACACTTTGGTTTCCCACGATCTCTAGTCAACCTGAATGGCAAGTTAATGTAGGTCCTCCGACTTTTTACGAAGTTGAAAAAGCCATAGGAAATCTGAAACGAGGGAGAGCAGCAGGCCCTGACAGGTTTACTCCTGAGATTTTTAAGGATGTTGGTCCAGTATTAGCAATGAGATTAACCGAGGTCTTAGGTAGAATTTGGGAACTGGACGTAATCCCATCTGACTGGTCTCAATCACTGATTGTGCCAGTCTATAAGAAAGGACAAAAGTCCTCTTGTGACAATCACAGAGGAATCAGTTTGACTAATATAGTGTCTAAAATATTAGCTTCAATAATACTTCGACGCCTAATCAAAGCTCGTGAAGAGCAGACTAGAGAAAATCAGGCTGGTTTTCGACCTGGACGTGGTTGTATAGATCAGATATTCACACTACGTCAGGTTCTAGAACACAGACACACATTCAGACGCCCCACAATGGTAGTATTTCTCGACCTTAAGGCGGCATTCGACTCTGTTGATCGTGAGGTTCTATGGCAGTGTTTGTCACTGAAAGGAGTACCAAAGAAGTACATTAACCTTATAAAGGCTCTCTACTCGAACACAACTGGTAGAGTGAGAGCCTATGGCGAACTGTCATCAGAATTGATTACCTCAAGTGGTGTTCGTCAGGGCTGTCCACTCTCCCCATTCTTGTTCAACTTTGTCGTGGACGTACTTCTAGAGATAACACTTTCCTCATCTAGATTTCCAGGGCTTGAACTTCTACCGGGAGGTTCACTTGTTGACTTAGAATATGCAGATGACATAGTTTTATTTGGTGAAGACGCTGACAAAATGCAGAGTCTTCTGACCACTCTAAGCAACAATGCAAGCATGTTCGGGATGCGATTCTCTCCCTCGAAATGCAAAATGTTGCTTCAGGATTGGGTTACATCGACACCCGAACTAGTGATAGGGAGTGAAGTAGTTGAGTGTGTCGACCGCTTCACTTATCTTGGAAGTCTCATCAGCCCTTGTGGTCTGGTGTGTGACGAAATCTCAGCACGGATACAGAAGGCTCGACTAGCTTTTGCCAACTTGCGTCATTTATGGCGTAGGCGAGATATCCGTCTATCAACCAAAGGACGTGTTTACTGTGCAGCAGTTCGTTCCGTCCTACTTTATGGCAGTGAAACATGGCTGGTAAGAGTAGAGGATATCCGTAGGCTACTAGTATTTGATCATAGGTGTCTTCGAAACATTGCTCGTATATCATGGGACCATCGATTAAGTAACACAGTTGTTAGAAAACGGGTACTAGGTAAGGATGGCAAATCAATTGATGACGTAGTGAAACTTCATCAGTTGAGATGGCTGGGACACGTGTTACGTATGCCCAACGACCGACTGCCTCGACGTGCTATGTTCAGTGGTATAGGAGTAGGTTGGAAGAAAGCTAGGGGCGGCCAAACCAAAACATGGCTCAAGTCCATGAAGTCACTGACAAGTGAACTGAGTCATGTTGGTAGGTGTAGACTACCTGGTTGGGGACCGCGAGATGATAGCAATCGATGGTTAGAGAGCCTGAATGACATGGCTCAAAATCGTTTGCAATGGTGTGCGCAGATGCATCCACTCTTTGTATTCTCCGAAATTCTAATCTTCTGAATTCTTCATGTGCCTTTTTTCCTCTTTCCAAATTTATTTCACTGGATTATACTCTTTAAATAACATCTCCAAACCCTAATCTTCCCGATTACTGCTTATACTCTTGCTACCTCTACCACTATGGGATTTGAATCGACAACTGCATCTCTGTGCTAATGTGGTGTGGCAACTCGAACTGATGTACGTACGTACGAAGTTCTACGCTGTTACTGACTGACTGAGTGACAATCTTTATGGTAGTCCCAATCATAACTGTTTGATGTGGTAGTCAAGTTTTCTAATCGTAATGACTCAATCGAGTTTTACAGGTTGGTGCACTCTTTCTCTATGATAAAAGTAAATGAAGCAAACTCATGGTTCAAAGTTATACAGCCAATATTTGCAAGGAAGGTAGATGGACGTTAGAAAGATCAACCTTGAAAATATCACACCTCACCTTGAATCATGAATTCCCGTCGCTGCTCATAAAATATGAAAAATACGAAACTAACATATCAAGAACTACATAAAAAGACGTTGAGTAACCGTAATCAATAAGCTACGGTTTAATCTCTCAATTCATAATCCCATGTTGCCTTATCCAGATTACTTATTAGATATCACACGTAGATGTGATATTTGTCCATACATTATTATTATATTTTATTTAAACACATAAACATTGGTACAAGGAGACACCAAATATGTATGCGTCACACAAATCATTCGATTCGTTTGAGGGCTGAGATACTGTCCGAGTGCCCAGTTCGAAGCAAGTGATTTTTATAGGGGACCACACCTGGAGCATTCAATCAAAGATCTGATCTACAAGACAGTGAAGTGACGTAGGGAGATGCAGTCCAATGCTAGCCGGTGACCAATAATTGGTTCATACGTTCATTTGTTCCTTCAGGATATTGGAGCCCATATGCACCATTGATTTGGAATCAGAATTTTCCAACTCCCCCAAAGTGAACTCTCCGTGTCCATCATACATACAGAACAACATTTGAGTTTATAACTCGGGCGGTTATTACTGATTGCCCACTTAAAGTACTTTGAAGAAAAAACCATTTTCTACAAAAGTTTCTCTCATATAAAACTAACCAATATTGAATTGATTAAATATGGTCAATGTTTGTGGATCCAAATTCATTGATTGTACATGAATAAAAGATGAATCTGAAATTGTAAAAAAATACGTTATGAATTAAGCTGATGATGAATGAGTATTATTACAAACGACACTAAAAGGGAATATTATAGTTTATGTTAAAAAAGAAACTGAATTAACTGAGATAACTATTGAAAACTAGTAAGAATTAGACAGTCTTTTTGTTTCAGTACGGACTTTACCAAGAGTATGCATTCATGAATCTACCAGAGATTGAGTCCTGAACCTTCAGTTCTCATTCAGAGAGCTTAATCTTTACATTACTCAACAGTTATTGATTTACATGTTCAACATCGATTCATTTACTAAATTGTGCAACCACATTGCAAAATATTTGAGATCATGAACCGAGATCGAAGGCCCTGGGTTCGAATCTCGCGGGGTGCGGGATTGTGGATGCGCACCGCTGAAGAGTTCCACAATAGGACGAAACGGTCGTCCAGTGCTTCCAGGTTTCCAAAGGTGGTCTAACATCAATCGGTTCATGATCTCAACCAAAAACTTAATAATCTCCACAACCCCTACACTTGCAAAATATTGTTAGGCAGCTCTATCTCACAGTCAATATGGTTGAAGCCAGATAGATGAAGACTAATTAAATTATGAATCCGATATTTGTGAGCTTAATGAATGCAAATCAGAGGTTAAATAGAACATTGTAAGTGAAATGATTCGTTACATAATAATAGACAGAAAGAGGAAATTCAACTGACATATGATCATCACTAGAATTAAAACGCATCCATGTACACAAAACAAGTTATTTAGTTTGTTTGCTTTGATGACAATATTCAACTACACTCTCGTCCTATAATTTGTGCTAGTTAGTAGTATTGGGTAAGGGATACCTGTGATCTTGATCGGATGGATCCTTCTAGTAAAGTTCAAACCCATGTTAACCAGTTTCACAGTATGAAACCTTACCATTATTGAGTTATTCAAGGAGCTACAGGCTTCTTGTAAGAATGATATAACTAGATTGATTGATCACAATATAAATTCTATGCTTGATTGAATCGTATTATGTTCTCAACAAGATACAAGCTTAAATAATAGTGAATTTCTACAGCTTAAATAGATTCATTAGTTGAAATTACATATAGAAAGAAACGAGCATTCGATATCTCACTCATGATCATAATAGATCTTTATGAGATTTAGCTTATTAATCAATAGTGACAGTTATCATATCCCAGTACATAAAATATAGACTTGACAAATGCGATGATTATTAAAACTTCCTTTCATTTGCACTGGAATCGTTCCGTTCAACAGGACAAGATACTATTAAAAGTAGTATATTTCTATTTTATTTACTACGAACAGGAAAGTAGTGTTATAACTTGTGCCCTGTGTCCCCTATCAATGTAATAACGTAATGATACCGCCAATTAGAGAACAATGAATTATGACCAATGATGCATAAACCAGTACAAGTCTAGAGTCTTATCGGTCCTGCTTACTGCCTAGCCCTGACTATCAAAGTTCAGGACACCAATCTTAGCTTCTGCAATATGAATCATGTATTTCAAACATAATAAGGTTCATATACACCAACCAAACAGACCACATCGTACCAGAAAATAGGAAACAACATTTGTAGAAGAATTGGCCAGATGTAGCTGTGAATAAGGGAGGTAGTAATCGATAGACAGGGGGCATAACCCAAGAATGGTAAGTCGTATAATAAGAAGAATCTGAATATGTATAGTTTAGTTATTAAACAATTATACGATAAAATTATACGTATAGTATTGGTCCAGAAATAGATTCCAACAGTTACCATTCATTATTCTCATCAGGATATCACAGTTAAGTGACTTAATGATCTTAATCATCATAATACTAATGAAAACTAACTTACTCGATGGACAATCAGAAGATGAACGAGGTTGTAACAATGTTGTACTATTAAATTGATGAACAACATGTGAATTCAACTGTTGATGATGTTGTGATTGTTGACTGTGAATATAATGATTTGTGGAATTGTTTACATCATTATTAATAGTACAATGTGAAGAATGAACACGATTTTGTAGTTTTGATAATCCATTAGGTATATTTCCTATTATGAGAAAAAAACAAAAAAACAAACAAGCAATCGGTTGTAATTGTACAAACAGATTGGTAAAATGTAATCTTTTTTCTTTCTATTTTTCAAGGGACTATAATTTATGGACGAACCAATCAGAATCACGATAACAGGTCTTGAATTTCGGCGCAAAATTCATTCATTTATTTGGCTAAATAGAATCTTGGCATTTTAGCTGATATCAGTCCATGATGAAAACTCGATATCGAATCTTTATGCTTAACGATCAACTGTAAATCACAATCTTATTCCTTGATACAGGATTAAAACCCTCATTTAGCCCTAATCAGTAGGTGGACATTCTCAAGGCTATTTTAGCGTCACTCAAAGGTCATCCCCATATAATCTCACCCTATTTTCTTTTAAACGAGGTTTACACACTGATTCACACTTACAGGTTAGTAAACGATGATAGTGAATCTCAAAATTTGTTGGCTAGTAAGTTGTCATCACATTAACTTCATCTGAAGCCCTTCTAAAGTTACTTTCGGTCCTAAGGCTCACGTAAAGGAAGAAGATTGATATGTGGCTACCAACATCATCACGTAGAAAAGAACTTAATGAAACACCAACAGGAAAAAATCACACAAAATTACTGATTTGATGATATCAGTAACCTTTATATTCTAACAAAATCAAGTCTGTAATCTCATGATCTAGTTAATAGATTATCTCAAGTTTACAATGAGTCAGTTTACTTATCTAGTATACAGTTTATACTCTATCATAAACAAATGTATGTTTTATATTTCACCATATGAAAAACGGCGAGACTATAAATTATGGATCGATTTGTGTGAGGGCTACGATACTGCTCGGGAGCCCGGACCGAAACAGGTGGTTTTCTTATGGGGGCACACCCCGAGTCTTTGACCTAAAGGTCTAATCCAAAAGATAGTGGGGCAACGTTAGGAGATGCAGTCGCATGCTAGCCGTTGACCAACAAAAGGGTCAAACGCCATTTGTTTTCCTAGGATACTGGAGCACAGGTGCACCATCGGTTTGGGATAGGGATTTTTCAACTCTCCTAGGTGCATCTCGCATATCCATCAACCTGGTTTAAGAGCCGGATATTCACTTTCCGTCCTCTCAATTTTGTAACCAACACCACCGACACGAGAAGGCAGTGAGTAGGACTTCACTGGCAGTGGTTGTATACACGTGGCCATTTGAGATCATTTCAAGAGGGAGAGCTGACTATCCCCCACCGTCGATCTGTTCCTTTTGAAAATGCCAATTAATCATCTCAGATTTCACTGTTCTTTCATTTACACAGCAATCGTTCTCTGTTCTCGTTCGATTTTCATCGATCTTCTTAATCTTCTACCGTCAGACATTTCATTTTTCGATTAATGATATATACTACTGATATCTATCGACATTAGTAACACACACACCACCCTAGTAACTGATTCATTTTAACCTACATAGATGACAAACTATTCATAAACTCTTCTCAAAAAAAATATTCAATCTCGATAAGTAACTATCTATCTACCTATCTATCTTAAAAATCAATTTTAAAATTCATTTCCCAATTGAAACATTGAACATATATATATCTTCTATTGTAAACAAATGGATTATTGAAGATAAAAGATTTTAATTAAATGATTCTAATGAGGATTGCTACATTAATCCACTTGTAAAATTCAAATGTTAAAACAAAAAAACAAAAATTAATATTTAATGAAAACCAAAGAGTAATGAGAGGAATACTTTAGTAAGTTTAATAGTTGAGATCATGAGTCAATTGAAGTTGGAACATCATGGAAAACCTAGAAGCACTGGACAGTTGTTTCGTCCTATTGTGCGACTCCTCAACAGTGCGTATTCACGATCCCGTCTCGCGATATTCGAACCAAGGACTCATGATCTCAACTATTAAAATTACTATAATATCCACAAAAACCCCTTCTGATACTAGTCAGTATATGCTCACTAGTGACTAGCCTTAAGAGGTATTTCCTGAAGTTCTGGTGAGAAGCTGTGATCAGTGAATTTCAACCGGTTCTGTTGTGAGATACTAACTCACTGAAGACAATAGTGGATGTGTCGTTCAATTACGTAGATTGGTTGAAGTTAGACATTAACATAGTTGGATGTCGGTCGGCTCAGTGGTCTAGTAAGTTAAGTGCTCGAGCGTGAGACTGATAGGTTCTAGATTCGAATCTCGCGAGACGGGATCGTGGATGTGCACTGATGAGGAATCCCATACTAGGACGAAACGGTGGTTCAGTTGTTCCACGTTCTTCATAATGGTTTATCTTTAATTAACTGATGAATTCAACTATAAAATCCCTTTTAGAGTTGATCAAGTAAGGCAGCAACAAGTAACAACCTACTCGACATTGCATCTTGAATTTCGCTCGGAAAATCTTACGGTTGATTGCTTTGTCAATAGAATATGCTTTTATTGAAAGAATTTGTATGTGTATGGATATTATGGTCAGAGGATTGAATAAAAGGGTGCATTAAGAATGAGTATACAATTAGCTAAACTGATTTAATGATACATTTTTGGACAGGAGAGAGTCAACAAGTAAAGAGAATCACAATGGCTTTTAATGATTAAGTTAAAGCAAAATCTTTACTATAATGATGACCTAATCTAATCTAATCTACTTAATTAATTAATTCTAAAATGAATGAAATAATTGAATTGGTCCCTAAAGAACCGATTAGAGAACTGTTCTAGTAAAGTGGATTGTAGAAATTGTAGACTGTAATAATTTTAAATTGTGGATTGATTTTAGTTAGACAACCATCAAATAACAAGAAGCAACGAATAACTGTTTTATCTAAATATGAGACTCTTCAAGAGTCTTTGTCCATAACTCTTTAGAGAATCGAATCTTTGTTCTTCAAATCTAGAGGCAAGTGCCTAATTACTGTACAACTGAGTCAACATACGATAGTTTTTTTCATCAAAATTATTTCACTTCGCAATCCGATTAGTAAACACAAAATCATTTTTAGATCATGAAGCGATCAATATTAGGCCACTATTAAAAACCTGGAAGCACTGGATGGCCTTTCCATCCCAGTATAGGACTCCTCAACAGTGCGTATCCACGATCCCGCACCCCGCGAGATTCGAACCCAGGACCTATCGGTCTCGCACCAGGCGCCTAACCAACTAAACCACTGAGCCGGCATCCAACGAGGTTAATGCCTAACTTCAACCAATCCACGAAGTTGCGCAACCGTACACCATTATCTTCAGTGAGTCCAGTTGGTCTAGTTGGTTAAGCGCCTGGCGCGAGACTGATAGGCCCTGGGTTCGAGTCTCGCGGGGCGTGGGATCGTGGGTGCGCACTGCTGATGAGTCTCATACTAGGATGAAACGGCCGTCCAGTGCTTCCACGTTTTTCATGGTGGTCTAGCTTCAATTGACTCATGATCTCAACTTGGGAAGAGAAGAAAGTAAAAACGAAACACATATCTATTTACAAATGAATAAATCAACTTACCATTACCAGAATTAAATGTTGTACATGATGAATTTGTTTGATAATATTCCTCTGGAAGAACTGTCGATGTAGATTGATAAGATGAATTAGTCGATATAGAGCTAAGAATTATGATTGGATAAAACAAATAAATAATGAAAAAAAGTAATTAAATAGATTATTATTATTATCAGAAGGGTTTTTGTGGAGATTGTAGTAATTTAAACAGATGAGATCATGAGTCAATTGAAGCTAGACCACCATGGAAAACCTGCACGGCTGTTTCGTCCTATTGTGGGACTCCTCAGCAGTGCGCATCCACGACCCCGCCTCGCGGGATTCGAACCCAGGACCTATCAGTTCAACCGGGTCATTTGTGAGATAGTAACTCACTGATGACAATGGTGGATATGCCGCTCAATTTCGTGGATTAGTTGAAGTTAAACATTGACACAGTTGGGTGCCGGATCAGTGGTCTAGAGGTTAAGCACCTGACACGAGACTGATAGGTCTTCGGTTCGAATCCCGAGAGGTGGGGTCGTGGATGTGCACTGCTGAGGAGTCCCACAATAGGACGAGACGGCCGTCCAATGCTTCCAGGTTTTCCATGGTGGTCTAGCTTCAATTGACTCATGATCTCAACTGTTTAGATTATTATTATTAATAATGGCTTTATTCACTATTCTACTTGTGGTACAATACAGAATTCTCAGCATAAAGTATTTCAATGAGTTTCCATTACTTATTTCCTAATCGATCCTGACGATAAATATTCAGTGATAGCCAATTAAATGTTAGCAGTTCAAGAATCGATATATGAATAATGTATATCCTTTTCGATGCATACTATCAACAACTGTGATGTCTTTGATTGGGCTCTTTCCTAACACATATACAATGAAAGGTTGTACACATTTCACAAACTCATCAGCACAGGATGCACATACGACAACAAGAGACTGATTAATTGCAATCCTAAATAACAATGGGAAGTTATAAGTAAAAAAATACCAAGTGAATTAAAACTTCACTCCACTGTACAAGCGAGTGGTTATCAGGACTCAGTAACTAAGTGGATCACGCGATGGCGTTTGAATCGAACGGTACGGCGTTCGAGTCCCAGAGTGAACATCAAATCGGGGATGCAAGTACATCCAGTTGACGAGTCCGCAATAAGACGAAACGTGCGTCCTGAATTCCACTGCTAGCCACTAACCATCTCTGCTTAAAATTACTTTAGATAATGTTTGAAGTTGATTTACTAATAAAACTAGTATTTGTTATTCATTATGATCAATTTCGAAGATAATTATCAGGATTCGAGTAAGTTGATTATATTTATTACAAACTTACTACTGAAATATAATATAAGTAGTTGAACAATAAGGATATTTGCTTGTAACAAATTGAACATAAACTCCTCCTCTCCCTCATGTTGATATACTTGAATAACTAAGTACAAATTGATGTAATCAATTGTGGGTTTGGTAGTTTGTATAAGGTGGTTTAGTGATATTACATTGAAGTTGAATGATTCTAAACATTTAGTCGTTACTTAATTAGCTAAGTTGAGCCTTAGTCGGTCAACCATATAACTTATTGGCTAATCTAGATATTCATTATAAAGTAAGCTTTACATTAATTTATACGACAACATGAATTTAGTCAATGATATTACTCAACATTCATTATAGTTGGTTGAAAAGTTCATAGGAATCCGTATTTAGAATGACGTCGTTTTTCATATCAATAAGCTATCAGATGAATCCCTAAAGTTTTATTGAGAAATCATAACTAGTAATCTCAATCATTTCGAGATAATGAAGCAATTATTCACCAAAGATAACACTATATGATAACAAACCCAATAGATATATATTGTCAATTGCTTGAAACTGAAAACATGAACTATTGAGTTGTAATTCGGTCAGCGGCCTATGCCCCATTGGGAGTAACAGGCGTAAGTAAGTAAGTAAGTAAGTTTAAAAACACGGTTTATCATGATAGTTGACAATTACGAGTTCTAGATTATCAGTATGTACTTATTAAGACAATTGAATTTAAGTAAAATAACTATCCACTGTTTTCTGATTTCCAATTATGAATAAGAACCATAAGTATAAAATGATACTTAGCCAATGCATTTATTAAACCATAGTGTAATATACAACTAGCTAAGAAGTACGCCTTAACCATCTCTTCCATTGTACCGAGGTAGATACCTGTCTCTTCCTGACACGGATTGGTTAGACTTGTTGATGTCAGACATTAACACCACTGAATGCCGGCTTAGTGGTTTAGAGGTTAAGCGTTCACGCGTGAGACTGAAGTTCCTGGGTTCGAATCCCGCGAGCGGGATCGTGGATGCGCACTGCTGAGGAGTTCCACAATAAGACGAAGTGGATGTTCAGTGCTTCCAGGTTTACAATGGTGGGTCTAACATCAATCGATCCATGATTTCAATCAAAAACTTAATCATTCATTTGACAAATGGTAGGTTGCTTTTATCTTCTTACCATAAATTTAGCATTTAATCATAATGAATTGACCTATTTGGTTTTCTATTCAGTAATTAATAATTATACATCCCTACAATGAACATACATGGAAAAGAGGAAGGCCAAAGAACACAATGCATCGAGAATTGGAAGCAAACATGAAAAAGATAAATAACAAGTGGAAAGAACTATAAAGGATTGTCCAGGACATGATTGAATGGAGAGTGCTAGTGGGTGGCCTATACTCTTCAACGAGGAGTAACAGGTGTAAATAAGTAAATAAACATAACAAGATACAAGAATAATCATAATTCTATTTTAAATGACCTCCATCATTATTTAACATATTTACATAAAACTAACAATAATTATAAATGGAGACAGATATGAGAAGAATAAACAATAATTGGATAGAACTAGAAAGGAAGGTCAAGGACAGAATGGGTTGGAGAATTCTAATCGGCGGCCTATGCTTCATTGGAAGTAACATTTGTAAGTAAGTAGGTATCAATAATGATAAAAAATGAAACGGTCATTATTCATTCATTTAACTTTCTGTTGTAAATCTGTTAGATTTTTGGCATGATACAATAATGGGCGTTCTCTTGTTTGTTTGTTTGTTTGTTTTTATTAGGCTAACTGTACTCAAATCTTATAATTACAGTAACATAACTACATCAAGGTTATACAAATTAAAAATGATAGAAATGTTTAATGGACTGTAAACAATTATTTCTCAAATTCATTTTATTAAATAAATGATGGACACTATGCTAGAGTAGCACTGATTAGTGAATCTCACACTTTACAGTATTATTATTTATTTTATTTGAACATGCCCCCAAATGCCCTGGTATGGCCGAGAGTGGGGTGGGCCCTCCCTCCCTTTCGAAATGCTCTCACACGGCCACGCGTATACAGCCTCTGCCAAGGAAATCTTACGCAGTGCCTTCTCGCACCAAGGGTGTTGTTTACGAAATTGAGAGGACAAAAAAAAGCGAATGTCCGTTGCTTTAACCGGGTCCCAAACCAATGGTACACATGGGCTCCACAATCCTGAAGGAACAAATAGCGTATGAACCAATTATTGGTCACCGGCTACCATGGGACTGCATCTCCTCACGACGCTCCACTGTCTTATGGATTAGACCTTTACGTCAAAGGCTCGGAGTGTGGCCCCCCTAAGAAAACCACCTGCTTCGGTCTGAGCACCCAGGCAGTATCACAGCCCACACACAAATATGATGAAATTTTGTGTGACATATATATATTTGGTGCCCTCTTGTACCAATATTTATGTGTTCAAATAAATAAATAAATATTTGAACACATAAACATTGGTACAAGAAAGCACCAAATATATATGCATCACAATTTGTCATTCGATTTGTGTGAGAGCTGGAATACTGCTTAGACACCCAAACTGAAGCAGGTGATTTTCTTCAAGAGTCACTCTGCGAACCTTTGACCTAGAGGTCTAATCGATAAGGCAGTGGAACGACATCAGGAGATGCAATCCCATGGTAACCGGTGACTAAAGATTAGTTCATATGCCATTCGTTCCTTTAGGATCCTGCAGCCCATGTCCATCAACCCGGTTAATGTGCCGGACATTCGCTTTTCGTCCTCTCAATTTCGTAAACAACACTAATGCCGCAAGAAGGCAATGAGTAGGACTTCCCTGGGAGTGGCTATACTAACAAGAATTATTGTTCAATAAAATTCATTCTATCAACCAATCAATCAATCCATCAGTTATTTGATACCTATATGTGAAGCCTAGTACAAATGTGTATTGATCCAAGTTATTACACTATGTCAACATAATGAAATGAAAATGACGAGATGAAAACCATAAGACATAATCAATGATAGTGGGAAATACCAGGTATTGGTGAAGACAGAATAGAAAAGATGGAAAGTATGAAATATTATTTACAACTAAGGATCAAGGAAGGATAAGTAAGGAATGGACTTGGGTGAGATTATAATTTATGGACGACCTTTGAGCGACGCCAATGTGACCTTCAGAATGTCCACCTACGAACTAGGAGGAAATAGGGGTTATGAAGCAGTATGAGGAATCAGAATTATGATTTACAATTGATGGTTAGGAATTAGATTTATGGTTTTCATCACGAACTGACATCAGCTATAACATAAAAACGCTATTTAGCCAAATGGGCGGATGAATTTCGCACCAAAATCTAGGACTTGTTATCTTATATTTGATTGGTTCGTCCATAAATTATAGTCTCGCCATGGATTTGTGTCATTGTAACCAACTATAAACCAAGTCACCATCAAACATTTTCAACTATTGATCGCAGTTAACATGAAGATCCACAACCAAGCCATTCTTTGCTCTTTAGCAGATTTCGATCAACGTGAATCCGAGTGACAAGAATAGATTAGTTAACTAGTTCGTTTGATGAAATCGAACTTGGAGACGCATATAATTGGAGAAGCAAACTCTAACATACTTAGTTCCATATGATATAAAGAAACGTTGAACATACATTAAAGAAAATTAATTTATACAATGTTTACTCAACATTTACCATAGCCAACGTCTCAGGGTATATACCTCCAAACTAGAGTACATCCAATCCAGAACAAAGCTATGTGTGTACTAAGGGTTACACAAGCGAATGTTGAATCTAATCGGATCTCTTCAACAGTGTAAAATGCTTTTCGAATAGGAACAATGACTGGAAGGAATGTATATAACTTTCACTGAACTAAACACGTAACAATAACATCATACATACATTATTCCATAGCACTCAGTAGATCAAGTAACTCACAACATACATGCGTAACTGATAACAAAAGCAAAGTTAAGACAAAATAAAGTTTGTTAAATGTCTAGACTCATTACAAGTTTATGCATTCAGGTTTAAGTTTTAATGTCTGTGTGTTGCCTAGTGATACACATCGATTAATTTAACAGAAGAAGGAGGATGAGTGGCGAGATTCAGAACTTAAGACTTAATGATTGATTCGAACATTAAACCCATTGCTCTGATACTTCAAAATTGACTCAATCAATTTAATGTTAAACATTAGCTCACTAACTATATATCATAATGATTTACCATTATATACTTTATCACTGTTATTCTTAGCATTACAGATCTAAAAATGAAAAGACCGATGACTAACTCACCATTTATCATTTAGAAACTTTCCATTAACATATAATGAATCAATAAACGATTTATGATGATTGGACATAGTAGTTATGGTAGTAGTAGTAGTGGTAATGGTAACATTGGTAGAATTAGACGAGAATGGATAAGGTAAAGTAGTTGATATATGATTGTTTGCACAGACATTCCGTTTTGATAATTTCCCCGATGGAATATTCATCATTTGATATGAATGATTCATATTGGATGACTGAAATAAACAAAATTAGATTGAATAAACAGATAAGGAGAAATGGTATTTTCAATTATCATTTTCTTTTCTATAATCTTAAAAATAAAAATGATTATAACCAGAGAGGGATTAAGCGTTCACGTGCGAGACTGATGATAGGTGCTGGGTTTGAATCTTGCGGGACGGGATTGTGGATGAGCACGTGTAAGGAGTCCCATACTAGGATGTAACGGCTGTCCAGTGCTTCTAGGTTTTTCATTATGGTCTAGCTTTAATTGACTCATGAATTCAATTATTAAATAAAAATGATATTCAGAAATCTACTTCAGACTCAATAAGTTTTGGTAACATAATGGATAAGTATGGTAATACCATTAAGTAATCAAGTATTCACTTTCAGGTTATAATTTGGATAAATAGCGTTAATGTACTGATATAAAGACCACAAATTATCTTGTTTATTTGGGTACATTTGCTAATGCCCACAAATGCCCTGATACGACTGAGAATGGGGAAAGTCAGCTCTCCCTCTCCGAATCCTCTCATATGATAACGGGTAAACAGCCACTACAACGGAAGTCCGACTCACATTAGGAGTGTTGTTTAAGAAATCGACAACACGAAAAGCCAATATCTATCTCTCTAACCGGGTTGGTAAATATAGAGGGTTCACCTAGGGGAGTTGGAAAACACTAATAACAAACTAATGATACGCATAGACTTCAGGATACTGAGGAAACAAATGGCATATGAACCTATAGTTGGTCACCGACTACCATAGGACTGTGACTTTTGAGTATAGGAAAAAATTCCAAGCGACTTCTCGAATTCAAAGGAATCATTGTTCACTTCATGGATTGAAGTTAGTTAAAAGAAACCATTGAAAACTAAGAAGCATTGAACAGTTGTTTTGTTCTAACATAGAACTCTTCAGTAGTGTGCATTCACAAGCTACCGCAGCATCGAATTCAAGACCATAAGATCTTATAATAAACACTTATAAACCTTATACCATTGAGTTGGCAACCTATGGTTTAGAATGTTAACCTCAGTAAATCTGTTTTATTGTTAGCTAAGGTCAATCAGTTTTTGTATTAAAAATGTCATAGTGACAAACTCTATTAATATATTACATAATCTACTATCAACATAAATTACTTTTCAACTATACTTATCATCTTTATATACTAATAAAAAAAGACAAATCAATTTTTAGCATATATATAACCGATAGGTCTGTAGTGGCATTGGGCCCCTAACCACACAATCATCAAAGCTGAACACGAGACAATTGAGGAAACAGATATTCAACATTTTAATGAGGAGAAAAACCCAACGATGGGGGCAGGAACAATGAATTGAATTAATTCGAATTGAAAAGATGACGTGGCTTGGCCTTGCAGGCATGGTCCCTGTTGAATGTTATCTTATATATTTCATTCATATTAAATATATTGTTCTATCTCTAGCCTAAGCTTGTTCTTCATCATGTATTGGTTGATGATGCGATGAGTTCGTGTAGAATATGATTTGACTTCCACATAAGATCTTGTAGATTAGGCAGTTAAATCATAACAAATCTACAATTTTAGGATTAGGTCTGTTATTTGAGCAATACTAATATCAAAGTAGACCATAATTCTACAGGTCCTAGGTTCGAATCTCGCTAGGTGAGATTATGAATGCACACTGCTGAGGAGTCCCACAATAGGACAAAACGGTCGTTCAGTGCCTCCAGGTTTTCCATAGTGGTCTAGCTTCAATTGACTCATGATTTCAACTATTGAAATAACAAATAAACTAAAAGTATTTTTATTATTCATTAACTTACACTACTTTGATTTATATTTCTATTTAACAATGGTGATGATGATGATGATGATGTAGTTGACATGACAACTTCTTGTGTTGCATTATTTTGTGATGCGAGAACAGTTGATGTAGCTAGACCAGTAGTGATAGGTGAATATTGTGAATTAGTAGATAGTGTTGGTTGATTGTACTTGTGATTAGTTGATTTGTTTACATTATTAGTATTGTTGTTATGAGGTATACAGTCATTGATTGAATTTGGTCGTATTGTAGATGATAAAGTACTTTGTACATTAGAAGTTGCTAATGGAAATAAAAGTAAAGACAGAAGGGATGAGTTGTACACTGCAATTATACTATTATTATTATTATTATTATTATTATTATTAAAACGTCAGAGGGTTTTAAGTAGTGGATATGATATTGTTTGGCATCTAACTAGTTTATTGATAACGTCTCAAACCATGAATCTGAATGACTCAGGTTCAAATCTCACATGGAGTACCAGTTCCTTCAAGATTTCAAATACACCTTACTGACAAATGTTAACTATCATTCAACTTAAGTCGGGTAGAGTTCTATACCAACTATCTCTAACCGCCTATTAGCAGATTATTAAAGTAAGAGACAAATAAGACATCGATCACTACTCCATGGCCACTTAATTGTAAATCTACACTATTCTCAAGATTCTGGAACAAAGTCACAAATAGAGTAATATAAAGCTCTTTGTCAGTAAGTTTCGTAACAATATTAATCCATTAAAGAAATAAAGACGACTATCACATTGATTTACATCGTGATAAATTGTATTTAACGACAGTTGTCCAAAGAACAAAGTAGCAGAGTATTAGGATCACCAAAGACGTTAAATTCTTGTCTACATCGTGATTGATTCATAACCCATAAAATTTGAACATCAATTTACAATATTTGGTTGAAAAGTCTAACCAATTTCAAATATTTAATAGTTGAATTCATAAGTCAATGTAAGCTAGACCACCATGGAAAACCTAGATTGGTTGAAGTTGGACATTAACACAATTGGATGCCAGATCAATGGTCTAAAGGTTAAGCGTCCGCCTGAGAGACTGATAGGTCCTGGGTTCGAATCTCGCAAGACGGAGCCATGGGTGTGCATTGTTGAGGAGTTCCACAATAGGACAAAACTCCCATCCATTGCTTTCAGGTTTTCCATAGTGGTCTAGTTTCAATTGACTCATGAATTCAACTATTAAATTATGGAGTGATGCAGAAGTACCATGTTGAGCCTACAAAGGTAGTAACAATACTAAAGAGCAACTTAAGACAGATTGGTACAGAGGAAGAAGTATAACGATAGCTAATCACAATTAAATCTGAAATATTAAATTGAATGGTGTCAGAATTCCTATCGAGGTGCAAGATTTCCATCAAGTTAATAGTTTAAATACTTAAGCTACTGACAAAACAGGTAGAAATGAATAATTGGCATGAAGAAGATATATATTCTGTATATTTCTTCCTGTATATCAAACGAAAAACTTACTGTTGCATTGATTTGATATTTTTGCATTACTCATAAGTAGACTGCCAAATTTACGTATTATATCTTGTACTGGTAATGTGGTACATTCAATTGAGTGACTAGTATTATTATTATTATTCTCATTTGATGACTCCACTGAATGTTTCGTCTAAGAAAAGAGAAAATGCACACATTAAGATGAGAGAGAGAAAGAGAGACAAAGAAAAGCGACAATCGAAATAAGGAAAGAATGATTGCTGGGAGACTGAGGCAAGATCTGAACACTAGAGAAACTAAGAAATATCTAAAATATGCTGGTCAGTAAGTCAGTCAGTTACAAAATCGAACTTCGTACGTACATATATCAGTTCAAGTTGCCACACCATATTAGCACAAAGATACCATTGTAGATTCAAATCTTGTATTGGTAGAGGTAGTAAAAATATAAGCAGAAATCATAAAGATTACGGTTTGAAGATGTTAGTCAATGAGTATAATTCAAAGAAATAAATTTAAAGAGAGAAAAAACAAGGGACATGAAGAATTTAGGAGTTTAGAATTTGGGAGAACACAAAGAGCGTATGCATCTGCGCCATCGCAAACGATTTTGAGCCATATCATTCAAGGCCTCTAACCATCGGTTGTTATCATCTCGCGGTTCCCAACCAGATAGTCTACACCTACCAACATGACTCAGTCCACTTGTCAGTGACTTCATGGACTTGTGCCATGTTTTGGTTTGGCCGCCCCTAGCTTTCTTCCAACCTACTCCTATACCACTGAACATAGCACGTCGAGGTAGTCGGTCGTTGGGCATACGTAACACATGTCCCAGCCATCTCAACTGATGAAATTTCACTACTTCATCAATCGATTTGCCATCCTTACCTAGTACTCGTTTCCTAATAACTGTGTTACTTACTCGATGGTCCCATGATATACGAGCTATGTTTCGAAGACACCTATGATCGAATACTAGTAACCTACGGATATCCTCTACTCTTACCGGCCATGTTTCACTGCCATAAAGTAGGACGGAACGAACTGCTGCACAGTAAACCATCGGTTGTTATCGTCTCGCGTATCCCAACCAGATAGTCTACACTTTCCAACATGGCTCAGTCCACTTGTCAGTGATTTCATGGATTTGTGATGGATTAATGAGTGTCTTTCAGTTAATTCTAGTGGTACTAATATTTGTATATTATCTAAGTGAAAGGATTCTTGAATTATTCCTAATCTCTGACGTAGCTTTAATTTCTGTACTTTGATTTGTTTAGGGTTGAAACGTCTATGAATAGTGGAATTCTAGAAGAAGTCAAATAAAAATTCAAAGTGTTGCTTAGACATAAAAATAACAGTGAAAATCAATTAGTCACAGTCAACACAAAGCCTGGACACTAGCGTGTGTAATAGATAGATATAGATACTAAACGTTTGAATGATCTCATATCATGAAGGTATACAAACTGATTAACCAAGTGATCATCTTCATTTAGTATTATACATCTAGCCTCAAATATTACTCACTCAATGATTTCAATAAATACAATCGGTCAGTCAGTCAGTCAGCTACAACGTAAGACCAGGCACATATATGCATCGGTCCAGGTTGCCATACCGCATCAGCACAACAAGATGAACACCGGATTCACAGCAGTGGTTAGGTCAGAGGTGGTAATATATAAGAGAAAGATTGCATATAGAGATATAGTACAAGAAGAAAGAATTGGTTCGTAGAAAGAAAGATATGAAGTGATTTTAATCTCTTAGTTTAAGGGAAGACAGAGAGTGTATACACCGACGCCATTGTGATCGATTCTGAGCCATGTCACCAAGAGTCTCCAACCATTGGTTACGAAAGTCACGCGGACCCCAACCAAGTAGTCTGCATCTACCAACATGGATCAGACTAGAAGTTAGTGTCTTCAAGCACTGATGCCACGTTTTGGTTTGGCCGCCCCTAACTTTCTTCCAACCATCTCCAATACCGGATAGCATTGCACGTCGTGGTACAATCGGTGACACTATTCAAACTCGTACTGTTATTCATAATCCAGTAACAATTTTCAGTGTGAATTCAAATGATAGCATGGATTGTAGTGATTAGAATGTGATAGAAAAAGATGTACCATACATATTTTTATTTGAATATTGGCATAGCGAACCCTTGTGTCATTTCAAGTTTTACCATTCACAAGTACAGTATGTGATATTCAAATGAAATACATTGATTAGAAAACACATTTTCACAGTATATAAAACAGAATATCATTTTCCTATTTCATTTTTGCATTGGTTGATTGAATCATCCCATTGATGTATAAGGACAGCAATTGATCAGTCTCTTATTAGCATATTTGCATCCTGTATGGATTGACTCGATAATGTCTGAAGTCACAAGTATTATAAGCAGAGATGATAGTGGCTAGCAGTGAAACTCAGTAGTTAAGTTGATAATGAGATGGCGTTTCAAGTAAACGGTATTGGGTTTAGGTGTTCGAGTAAACATCAACTCTGGGATGTAGGCACTTTCGACTGACGAGTCCCAAATAGGACGAAACATGTATTCTGGATTCTAATGCTAGCCAGCATCATATCATTTTCTTATGTTTAATAATTAAACCTCTGCTATTTTACAAAGGCTATAAGCTTGTCATCATTATATATACAGTGAAAGACACAAAGGAGGGAGCATACTTACTTTCGAATGATCTATTCCATTATTTCCAGTGACCATAGCATTAGATGTTATCATAGTGTCAGAAATAGGTGTCTCCATGTCATGATGTTTAGGCCAACTCGGTAAACTTGTTAGTCGAGTGGATGGAGCTCTTTGAGGAATTGATGGTTTTCGTGAATTTGTTGTGGGTATATTATGATGAAACTGTTGTGTATGATGTCCATTATTTGTATTATATGAGTTGATGGTTGATTCTACATGACATTTAGGCTAATCAAGAAAATAATAGGAAAGAACAGATATTTATCTATTTATGTTAACACATAGATATCGGTACAAGGAGGCACTAAATACATATGAGACACACAAATCTCATTCGATATGTGTGAGAGCTGTGATAGTGCTCGGGTGCCCAAACCGAAGTAGCTGGTTTTCTTAGGGAGCCATTCCCCGAGCCTTCGACCTGAAGGTCTGATCCACAAGGCAGTGGCGCATCATAAGGAGATGCAGTCCCATGGTAGCCGGTGACCAACGATTGGTTCATACACCATTTGTTCCCACAGGATACTGGAGCCCATGTGCACCATTGGTTTGGAATCCGGTTAAAGCGCCGGATATTCGCTTTTCGTCCTCTTATTTTCGTAAACAACACCCCCGCCACGAGAAGGCAGTGAGTAGGACAGATAGATTATCATAGTAAATATTTGAGATAGTTTAGGTTATTATATTAAGCTAATTTCAGTCGAAAAGTATTGTTAGAAAGCTGAATAGAATATAGAGGAAGTCTATAATTCATAGACTGATTTTTTCATCAGTAAACTACCGAAAACTACAAAGAAAATAAATAGCTCTATTTCATCCTATAATTTGAAACTCCATAAAAATGGTAAGCATTTATGACTTAAGCACATGGAACCGAACTCAAAACTTTTAATAGAAAACCATCAGGTCAGATAAATATAGTACATACTTTTTTCTAAATACGATCAAGTTGTAATTTAACGGGACAACCAACCAGTCATGTTGGTAGGTAAATAACCATCTTATTATTTTATAAATGATGGTAACTCCATGGGTTTTAGATTCTTATTAAGACCTCTAAAATTCTACTGAAAACTAGTTGCTAATGAAAAATATTTTGATTGCACAAAGACACTGAAATATGAATCATCTTATTCTGAAGATTTGAAGGTTTCGGGATCAACTCAGACGGCGAAGCCATGAAATGATACTTCCTAGGAGTTTTAAACTAAGGTGAAATAGATATCCAGTGCTTCAAGTTACTCAATGCTCGTATTGTTAAAGTTAATCCACCGTAAAATTCCTACCCCCCAAATGCCGTGGTACGGACGAGAATAAGGAGAGTCAGCAATCCCTCTCGAAATGCTCTCAAGTGTCCACGCGTATACAGCCACTGCCAGGGAAGTCCTACTCACTGCCTTCTCGCACCAAGGGTGTTGTTTACGAAATTTAGAGGACGAAAAGAGAATGTCCGACGCTTTAACCGAGTCGGTGGATATGGAGAATCCACCTAGGGGCAGTTGGAAAACTTTGATTCAAAACCAGTGGTACACATGGGCTCCAGGATCCTAAAGAAAACAAATCACCTATTTTTAGTCACCAGCTACCATGGGACTGCATCTCCTAACGTTGCTCCACTGCCTTGTGGATCACACCCTTAGGTCAAAGGCTCCGGGTGTGGCTCCCTAAGAAAACCACCTGCTTCGGTTTGGTTACCCGAGGAGTATCCCAGCCTTCACATAAATTGAATGATTTATGTGGTGAATATCTGTTTGGTGCCTTCTTGTACCAATGTTCATGTGATCAAATAAATAAATAATTAATAATAATGAGTCCTTTATATTGTTAGTAGGAAAATGAATAGAGAATATGGAATGATTAATGAAATAGAGAACAAATACATAGAATGCAAATATTTCTCTCATGTTGATTATAAGTTTTTAATAGTTGGATGAGTCAACGAAAGCTAGACACCACCTTGGAAAACTTGGAAGCATTGGATAGTTGTTTCATCAGACAATGGATGAATGGTTGCATAACTATTCATAGATCGATGGAAACTAGACATTAACATCGTTAGATGCCGGCTCAGTGGTCTAAAGGTTAAGTATTCGCATGTGAAGCCGAAGGTTCTGGGTTCGAATCCCGCGTGTGGGATTGTGGATTCGCACTGCCGAGGAGTCCCATACTAGGACGAAACGGCTATCCAGTGCTTCCAAGTTATATGTTTTTTTTTCCTATTTCATAATACTTTAACTTTCAAGGTAGAATAGTTAATGTAAACTTAGGGAGTCATTTCTAATGTTATTAATCAAAAGATTAATAATAATTATCAGAAAATTGATCTTTTGAAAGAGAAGTAACTAACATTAGGGAAATATGATAACTCATTGATTAAGTTAACAGACTGATATACTTAGTTGTAAATCACACTATATCATAGCTAGTAATATGACTACTAATCGCTTGCTCAAACTGAAGTAGATGTAGGGAAGTCAGTCAGTCAGCTACAACGTAGGACCAGGCACATTTATGCATCGGTCCAGGTTGCCATACCGCATCAGCACAACAAAATGGACACCGGATTCATAAAAGTAGTTAATTCAGAGGTGGTAATATATAAAAGAAAGGATATAGTACAGGAAGAAAGAATTAGTTTGTAAAAAGAAAGATATGAAGCGATTTTAATCTCTTAGTTTAAGAGAAGACAGAGAGTGTATACACCGACGCCATTGTGATCGATTCTGAACCACGTCACCAAGAGTCTCCAACCATTGGTTACGACAGTCACGCGGACCCCAACCAAGTAGTCTGCATCTACCAACATGACTAGAAGCTAGTGACTTCAGGCACTGATGCCACGTTTTGGTTTGGCCGCCCCTAATTTTCTTCCAATCATCCCGAACACCGGTTAGCATTGCACGTCGTGGTAATTGGTGTTCAGATATATGTAACACGTGGCCCAACCATCTCAGTCGATGGAGATTCACAACCTCATTAACTGATTTACCATCATCATTCCCTAATACTGTGAGTCTAACCTCACTATTACTTACCCGGTGATCCCAGCAGACGCCAGCAATATTTCTAAGGAATCTGTGGTCAAATACTAGTAGCTTACGAGTGTCTTCTACTCTTAATGGCCATGTTTCACTGCCGTAAATTAAAGCAGAACGGACTGTCTGTTAGGGATGCAGAGGAATATACCAATAAATATCATATTAAGTCTAATGGTGTCCTTGGACTTTAAATGGAAATTCCCTATTGGCCAATATTTGTTTCACTTGTTAAATATTGTACAAATGTTGTTTTCTATTTTATGGTACGATGTGGTCCGGTTGATTGGTATATAAATAGAGTATGTCTGAAATACAGTGATTCATATCTCAAAGGCTGTGACTTGTTTTCTGGACTCAACTGGCTGGGCTAGACAGGGAAGCAGGACTAATCAGGACTCTAGGCCGTTCATACGTGTTTTATGTGTCACTGATTCGATCAATAAATACGCTATCTAAATCGGCAGTCACACGTTACAACTCTGCCGCTCAGTATACTCGTCCTTTTATTGATAGACAGATATTTCTCCTTCGCCATAGATGACGTAAGTTGGCGAAAGCCAAGCGAGCTTTTCGAATCCGTGCTGAGATTTCGTCAGACACCAACCCATTAGGGCTGATTAGACCTGCAGGATAAGTGAAGTTGTCAACGCGTTCGACTACTTCACTCCCTATATTTAGTTCAGGTGTTGACGCAGACCAGTCCTGAAGCAGCAGAGGGAGAGAAGCGCATTCCAAACATTCTGGCATTGTTGCTTAGTGCTACCAAAAGACTCTGCATTTTATCAGCGTCTTCACCAAACAGGACTATATCATCTGCGTATTCTAAGTCGATAAGTGGACCTCCTGGTAGGATATCAATGCCCAAGAATTCAGTCGACGAGAATGTTATTTCCATCAATAGGTCTATGATGAAGTTAAACAAAAATGGAGATAGTGGACAGCCTTGACGGACACCACTTGAGGTTGCAAAAGTAGATGACAGTTCGCCATAAGCTCTGACTCGACTGGTAATGTTCGAGTAAAGAGCCTTCACAAGGTTTATGTACTTCTGAGGTACGCCTTTCAATGACAGACACTGCCACAGAATCTCGCAGTCTACCGAGTCAAATGCTGCTTTTAAGTCAAGAAAGACCACCATTGTCAGACGCTGATAAGTACGCTTATGTTCTAGAACCTGTAGGGAAGGTTCAACTAACAACCTACTGTTCGAAAGCCAGATGACTTAAACAATGAACTACTGGTTCATTGAATTTTAGAGTTCATTATAAACAAAATAATTAAATTAGTAAGTCATGTTTATCGTAGAATCTGTTAAGTATGTGAATTCATTCAATATAACATACCACATCAATAAAGTGCAACGAAATGATCAACACAGAACAGTAATAACAGTATTAGAGATAGTTGAAGACAATAAGGAATAGACAATGAAGAAAAAGAAAAAGAATAAGTTGATAACAATGGACTAACTTCTAGACAGATTTCCTGAATTCTTTGTGAAAAGATATGACTCGTTAAATGAATAGAATAGGAAATATGGTAGTTAGTTGCTTATTAATGACTAATTTTTCACCTAATTATTGAAAGATAATTTGCTTACTGTATTTTAGATATTTCAGATTTAGCTTTGTTTAGAGTTCTAGATGTAAACTAGGTCACACGGAATCGAATCAATGAGGGAGCACCAGTTCCCTCAAGATTACAGGTACACCTTGCTGACAACAAATAGCACGAAACCCTAATCCAGGGTTTCCTGTTAACTACCTCCAACCATCATCTTATCTCAATATAGTGCATGCAATGTAGAGTCACCTAGACTAGTGGCCACATTGCAACCTGGTCGATAGAATTCGATCTGTACTAAGAACAATATGACATTGATCATCACCCAGTGATTAATCAATTGTGAACTGATTAATCCTTAAAACAATGATGAAACAATTGACATGTTCTCAGTAAATTTTATATTCGATCATTCTATGGTGAAGATCATTTCTAAAACTATCGAATGGTTTGAGAAAACATCTAGCTGTCATTATTGTCATTGTAGAAACTTTGAAGTCAAATATATTTTTACCTTCTTAACTTATAATAAATATTTCCTCATTATTGATTTTCAACTACACCTAGTGACTGATTCATATAATGAAAAATTACATTACTACCTACTTAGTTGGACACTCTTTACTCCATGGTTATAGGAATTCAACAGGGAAACTTGACAAACATACGTTTTGTGCTGGTAGGCATTCATTAGTAAAGGATATCTGCGACCTTCAAGAAATCGATGCTCCTAAGATTCAAACCAACTTCGCCTACCTTGACAGGCTGTAACGCTACCACAAGGCTATTCCGACTACATTGACAAAGGCCGATGAATTACAAAACACAGGTTGATCTGGGTTCCCTCTGACTACCCTAAACCACTTAACTAAGAAGAAAAATTTGTGTCTAGTGGCGTGCGGTACATTCATTGTTTCTCCAGTTTTAATGTCGGTATGTGTAGCAAAAACACCCATACAATGATTATAGTTAAACTGAGGTGTGTTTACAGTTGTTATTCTTTTCACTTCGTTTGAAACGGCAACCGTAAATACCCAACCTCAAGAAATGAAACACATTTGTCAGTTCTCACGTTTTTCTCTATTCCTTAACAATACTGACCCCCCAATTGAATAGGTATGCAAAGGCTCTGACGTTAAAGTATAATTCAAGGTTAAAAAAACTTTAAAAATATAGCAAATCCCAACTTACATCAAACGGCTGACATTGTGAATACCCATTAGTAGAAGGAAAGCTCTGTAGATGTTTACCGCCATTCAATGTTGTTAATGTCGAATTGGTAGTATAAGGTGAAAATGTTGTTGATGAGAAGTGACTTGTTAACAATGTTACTGGTTTGGCTGAGCCTGTTGTTGCCTCGGATGTTGGTGTTGATAGTAGAGGCGGCAGTGGTGGTGGTGGTGGTGATGGTGGAAGTGGGAAATCCTCTGAAGCAAATGCATCAGGTGGAGGCAATGGAAATGAAGGTTCTGTGGAACAAATGAAAGAGATGATCTAAGTTTATAGAAAGAAATGATTGTAAACCATGAAGCACAGAGAGAAATAGATACAGATAGATTTATGTGGCGATAATAACAGATGAAAACATGTAGCAACAACAATCTTTGACTTTAAAAAGGTAAAACAATAAATATCAGTCTTACATTCAATAGCTGAAAAACGGAGATTTATGGAAAGCATCAGATGAAAATAGAGTTCGTATTTGCACCTATCTATGTAAAAATTATCTAGAATTTCGGCGATAAATCATACTGCTTCAGAGATTCAACAATAACATGAATGAATGCATAAACACATAAAACTATCAGTCAGAGGACGAAGTTTGTACGAGATCATCGACGGTAGATTGCGACTTTGAAACTTATTTTAGACATCTTAATTAGAACATAACTCGTTTTACGATTATTAAGGTCTTTTGTTGACTTCAATCCTCAACATATGCACAGATCATGAACCAATATAGCTATTAGATTTCGTTAATCAATTATCAAAGTAGGGTCTGGTACGATTCAACTAGTCACATTCTCATATCAGCACAACAACAAGTAATCAAAAAGATATAAAGTATATGGTGAGAAACACTGTGAAAACCGGTTAAAATCTAAACTTTAAAAAAAGAGTAGATGAGATTGAGGAGTAAAGAGTTAGGAATCATACTTTAAGATAATCATGGTATTTTTTAAACACGAAGTCTGTATCTTGCAAAATGACTAAGACCAGTCCATTCTCACATTAGGAGTGTTGTTTAAGAAATCAACAACAAGAAAAGCGAATATCTATCTCCCTAACCGAGTTGGTGGATACAGAGGATTCACCTAGGAGAGTTGGAGAACCCTGATTCCAAACTAATGGTATACATGTGCTACAGGATCCTGAGGAAACAAATAACGTATCAACCTATTGTTGGTCACCAGCTACAATGGGATTACATCTTCTAACGTTGTTCTACCGCATTGTGGATTAGACCTGTAGGTTAAAGTCTCCGGTTGTGGCCTCCATTTTCTTCAGTTTGGGCGTCCGGGCAGTATTCCAGCCCTCACACAAGTCGGATGACGAAATAGCTCATACATATTTGGTGATTAGACACATTAAATGAATGTTCCAACACCATAAACAGTATTGATTTATCAATAAACACTTGAATCTAGCAATTATTATCTAAAATTCTAAGCTTTTGTGTACTAGGCTATCAAGTCATAATACAGCTAGAGATTCCAAGTTGGTTCTTTCTATTAAACAGGATTAATTATTCTCTGTTATCTTTTTTATTACTCCATATCTTACTTGTAGTGTTTAATTGACCTCATTATTGTTTAACAAGTCTACCAACAAATATGGTTAAAGGCGTTGGAATGTTAATTACATACCTTGTATAATGATAAATCAGTCTAGACTTGTTTATTTTTCATTATGTATAATTAATATGCACCCCATTAACATCAAACAATAATAGTGTACCGTAAGTAATGAGTAGAAACACAAAATGGAATCTAGGAATCATGAATCAATTGAAGCTAGACCACCATGGGAAACCTGAGAGCACTGGACGGCCGTTTCGTCCTATTGTGGGACCCCTCAGCAGTGCACATCTTCGATCCCGCCTCGCGAGATTCAAACCCAGGACCTATTAGTCTCGCGCGCAAGCGTTTAACCACTAGACCACTGAGCCGGTTTAACTGTTGATTTGAAATAGTGTATGGAATTCATTTATTTCGTGTTAACTCTAAGACTATTATTGATATCAAGTGATGAATTGTTGAAATATAAACTCTTTGAATAGATCTCTTGATATTGTCTGCATATACAAGTAGTGGATACAGTTCCATTTCAATAGAAGCAACATGAACGAGTCTATATTCTAAAAACGGATGATCAGTTGAATCCTGAATATCAACGAAAGAAAAATATAAACCTTTCAACAAGATTTAGCTATCATAAATCAATAACTTAATTCAGAATACTCGGTCATTTCATGACTATGAATATCAGGTTTGAGTTTCAGTCAAAACATCAACACTAGTTGTTGCCGTGTTTGAAGTGATTACGAGTTCACATAGTCTGAAAACGGAACAAAAACTCTGTGACCAAAGATCAATAAGCTAGATATTCTGATGTGTCCTAGCCCCGCTAACTAGAGAGAGAAGTTCAAGTTCGTAAACGGGGAAATATATTCCGAAAGCAGCCAGAAGCACGAGCAATAACAACAGGTACAAATCAAACGTATATATACAGCATAAAATTGTCCTTGAGAAACGTTACAAAATAGTATACTAAAAGATACAACGAACCAATAGCATTTAAGATTCTCTCAAGTGAGAAATACGACACAAAGGTGAAAATGAGCGCTTCTGGTGGAAAAACAAGAAATTCAAATTTTTAAAATAAAATTACAAAACTAAAATATTTACCAAGTGACTTCTGAGGATCTAACATCCCCAACAACTGTCAGCTGAAATGTTCTAATGAAATGAATTATATGTCGTATTCCACAACACATAAGACTTTCTTTCACATCATCATGGATAATTTGGGAAATAGAGATTTAACAGTTTCAGTAATCAGTAAAGAAATGTCTATATCATAACAATTAATCAATAGTCATTAACCTTTATCATGATAAGATTTAAGAAGTTAATCATAAGCTGGTTTCTTGTAAGTTGTTCAGTGATTTCAACCAATCTCAGTAAATTCTTATATTCAGTCGTATATCTAGTCCTGATGATAAAAATCACTTGTTGCAGATATTGATATAGCTTGGTATAATAAAGTGTGATATATTTCACAGTTTTTCTTTAATTAACCTTTGGAAACGTTATTTACTTTATGTTAACTCCAAAAAAACAATGAAGCTATGACTTAATACCTGATTTACAGCTTCTATCCTTCAACCATTGCAATCTAGGTTCATATCCAATGGAACCGAATCCAACCTGAACAATAAGATGGTATTACTAAGAACTAGTGCTCAAAGATCAGTGGACAGCCTTACAAATGGTCACTTATTTACACTGACCAGTTCAAAACTAAAATGATGATAATCGTAACTATTGGTTGAAGACTTTGAGTAGCATGGCTCAAGTCCGGTCACGATAGCACATAATTATTCACTCCTTATCTTTCCCTAAAACTTGAGTTACAATAAACCTTTATACATACCTTTTTTTTCGAGCTACACTATCAATAAATAACCTTTCTTATTGTCATCTATATTGTTATTACTTAAATTCATTTGATATTCCTCTTGTTAATTTCATCTTGTTATGAGCATAATACAAAATTCGTATTCATTTCAATAATGCCATTGAAATTTGTACTAAATATGAAGTGACAAGACAGAATTCAACAATACTCATATTATACTGTGCACAGAAGTTCCTTGCTAACCCCACAGATAATAACATTAAAGAGAGAGAGAGAGAGAGAGTAATGATATATTTAACCGCCTACAGAGGCAGATAAGCTATCAAGCAATTGAAAGGATTATTTAACATTTATTCTGAAAAAATGGCTGGTATTCTTTATCACATCTATGTCGATAGTCGAAATGATGAGTTTAAAGGTTAGAACCGATGATGAACACTTACTGAGCTATTTTATTTTGGTAGAGCTATTTATCCTTGAGTTAAATTGATTAAGTTTCAAAATTGTTTCCATTGTAAACTGAATATTAGCTATAAGGAAGTTGTTGAAAGCTAAGGTAACTATATAACCTAACCTGTCCTAGATTTAAGACTTCATATGTGATCGTATACATATATATACCACTACAACTACTACTACTGTAGTGAACGAGAACACCAGTGGGGAACAATCGAATGTATTTGACAACAAATTACAGAACCTGTTAATATGTTCTAACAACCATACAGTAAATGCTTAATTTGCAAAATGTCCATCGATTTTCTCAAAATGGCCCACACTTCATTGTTCTTGTAGTTTCATACACATTGCATTCTGTTTCCATTCTTTACTGTTCGATCCTCTTGTCTCTCTGCTACCAGACCTTCTGTTCACGACCAACATCACATACTACTTATGTCAATATAAGTAGCACACACCACACTACTACTACTACTAAGATGTATCAAACGATGAGTAAACAATCATACTCTTTCATCATTTTTACAGATTATCAACTTAATATTAATTCATAAAGGATGTTATTGATGAGACTATAATTTATGGACAACCTTTGAGTGACATTAAAGTGACTTTGAGAGGGTTCACCTAATAACTAGGGATGAAATAAGGATTATAAACTAGTGTGAGGAATTAGAATTATAATTTACAGTTAATGATTGAGATTAGATTTAAGGGAGTTTTCATCACAGCTTTATCATTAAAACAAAACAAAGAAATGATTTAAATAATAAATGTCGATAAAAGATGAAAGACAAAAGAAATATGTATCTATTCCCTTATTCTTTCCTTTAATATTGAATAAGATAACCTTAAATTCAAAACTGTCAATAGTTTAATCTGTATATGCTTAACTGTTAGATTTCATTGTTAAAGACATTTAACCAAGTTATAAAAAACGATATAATTATTATTTTACAAAGTATCCGTTGTTGCTACCGCCCGACCGTTGTTGCTACCTTGACGTGGTGGTCGGGCTTGCCTATCGTGAAGAAGCAACCGAGCTATACTGGCTGGAACAACCGTTTCTCAAGGTCCTACCATGTCAGACAGGTCGGTTGAAGAGCGGTAAGACTAAAAGCAACAAACCCAAGGTCCGAAGGCGAAGTCGTACTGCTGACTGTACAGAGGTGTGACAGCAGTAAGGTGTTTCCTTCAGACAACCAGCATGACAGCGATGCTGCCTTCCCACAAGGTGTGGTGGGGTTAGAAAAGGTCGATCCTAAAAATGCACACCTCACCTTACCTCACGGATTTCCGTATCCGGCGGTAAGGCCCTTTGAAGAACGGAGCTAACATGTCAAAAACCTCCCACGAAAAGGCCGTGCGCGACCGGCCTCAAGCAGTTGTCCCTTGGGCACTGCGGTCACGCTCTCAGGTCACTGAGACCGCCACTAATCCAATTTCCTTTTCAGGTACCTCCAGAAGAATCCTATAATTACTACTAGACTTATCATAATCTAAATTAATCAATCCGTGAAGATCAACTGCATGTTCATGATGAATTAGTTATAAGCAACACGAAAATTGAAACATTAATTCAACTTATCTACTCAATATGTCCCCAGATGCCCTGATATGGCTAAGGGTGTGGAGAGTTCACTCCCCCTCTCCAAATCCTTTCACATGGCCACATATATACAGCTAGTGCCACGGAAGTCCTACTCATTGCCTTCTCGCGGCAATACTGTTGTTTACGAAAGTGAGAGGATAAAAAGTGAATGCCCGACGCTTTAACCGGGTTGGTAGACACGAAGAGTCCATCTTGAGGAGTTGGAAAACCCTGATTCCAAACCAGTGGTATACATGGTCCCTAGTATCCTGAAGGAGCAAATGGAGTATGATTCAATTGTTGGTCACCGTCTACCATAGGACTGTATCTCCTGACGTTAATTCATCGCCTTGTGGATCAGGCCTTTAAGTCGAAGGCTCCGAGTATGGCTCCCTAAGAAAACCATATGCTTCGATCTGAGCACCCGTTCAGTATCCCAGCCCTCACACAAATCGAATGGTTTATGTGGCTTATATCTATTTGGTGCCTCCTCGTACCAATGTTTATATGTTTAAATAAATAAATAAATCATATTGTCAATAGTTAATATTTTCTACTACTTCCTATACTGTTACTATTTCTACTCTGGGATTTCCGTAGATCATTTATTCTCGCTATGCTGATATGGAGTGAATTTTATTTATTTATAATTATTTGTACATATAAATATTGTTTCAAAGGGGAATCGAATAAATATGCGCCACATAAATCATTCGATTTGTGTGAGGGCTGGGATACTATCCGGGTGCCCAAACCGAAGCAGGTGTTTTTCTTAGGACGCCACACACGCACTCTCCGACTTAAAGATTTAACCAACAAGGCAGTGAAGCAACGTTAGGAGATACAGTCCTATGGTAGACGGTGAATAACACTAGGTTCATATGCCTTTTGTTCCCTCAGGATCCTACAGCCCATGTGTACCATTGGTTTGGGATCAGGGTTTTCCAACTCCTCTAGATGGACTCTCCGTGTCTACCAACCCGGTTAAAGCGTCTAACATTCGCTTCTCGTCCTCTCAGTTTCGTAAACAACAGTATCGCTGCGAGAAGGACTTCCGTGGCACTGGCTGTATATATGTAGCCATATGAGATGATTTGGATGTATTTATCTCTCGTCTTATCAAAGTATAAATACAAAGGAAAATATACCAATAAATGTAATGTTTCTCTATGCAAAGATGAATAATGTCTAGTAGTGGAATCCAGTTTGACATGCGTTTCATCCTATTTGGGACTCGTCAGTTGGATGTACTTGCATCTCAGACTTGTTGATATTCACTTCAAGACTCGAACTCAGTATCATTCACTTCAAATACCATTGCGTTATTCACTTAGCTACCTGAGTCCTGATAGTCACTTACTTGTGCAATGGGTTCAAGTTGAAATTCATTTGGTATTGTTTTGTGAACTATTCGTCAAATATGGTAGTAATTCGATCATATCAACATATTTTAATGCTTAAATAACTATTTTGTTTTAATTCATTGAATAATCTCTAATTCAATGGTGTACCTTAATCATTCATATTAAATTTCTAGACATTTAAACTATGTAATTGACCATAACTAAAGAAAAAAACTATGAAGAAAGTTCTTGTGAAAATAAATGACCCGAGTTATTTTATGAAGTGATAGATAATTTCTCTTTAGTAGAAGTCTACAGTTTATCATCTGAATTCCTAAATATTATACATAACATATACAACTAACCCAATTAATCAGTTATAACGTAAGACCAGACACATATATGCATCAGTCCAATTTGCCATACTTCATTAGCACAACAAGATAAACACCAAATTCATAGAAGTAGTCACTTCAATGGCAGTAATATATAAAGGAAAGATTGCATGTAAGGATATAAGTACAGGAAGAGAGAATTAGAAAGATATAAAGTAATTTTAATCTCATAGTTTAAGGAAAGACAAAGAGTGTATACACCTACGCCATTCTGATCGATTCTGAGCTATGTCACATACAATCTCCAACTACTGGTTACTATAGTCACGCGGATCCAACCAACTAATCTGGATCTACCAACATGGACCAGACTAGAAATTAGTGACTTTATGGACTGATGCCATGTTTTGGTTTGGCTGACCTTAACATTCTTTCAATCATCCCCAACACTAGTCAGCATTGCGCGTCATGGTAATCGATGTTCAGACATTCGTAACACGTGGCCCAACCATTTCAGTTGATGAAGATTTACAACCTCATCGGCTGATTTACCACCATTCCCTAATACACTGTGTCCAACCTCATTATTACTTACCGGATGATCCTAGCAGATGCGAGCTTTATTTCTAAGAAATCTAACCCACTGCAAAAGAAGCAAGTGTTTTAAATTCAACTTACAATATTTTCCAACAATTTTTTCTAAGAAAAAAAACGAATTTGTCTATATCTGATATAAATTGACTATTAAAATTCAGTCAGTCAGTCAACAACAACAACAACAAAGTAGAACTTCGTACGTACGAACGTACGTACATCACTTCAAGTTACCATACCACATTAGCACAGAGATGCAGTTGTCGATTCAAATCCTGTATTGGTAGAGGTAGTAAAAATATAAGCAGTAATCGGAAAGATTATGGTTTGAAGATGTTATCCACCGAGTATAATCCAATAAAATAAATTTGAAGAGAAAAAACAAGGGACATGAAGAATTCAGATTAGAATTTGGGAGAACACAAAGAGTGGATGCACCTGTGCCATTGCAAACGATTTTGAGCCATATCATTCAACGTTTCTAACCATCGGTTTCTGTCATCTCGCGTATCCCAACCAGATAGTCTACACCTTCCAACATGGCTCAGTTCATTTGTCAGTGACTTCATGGAATTGTGCCATGTTTTTAGTCTGGTCACCCCTAGCTTTCTTCCAACCTATTCCTACACTATAAAACATCGCATATCAGGGCAGTCAATGGTTGGGCACACATAACACATGTCCCAACCATCTCAACTGATAAAGTTTCACTAACTGAATATTGTTCAGTAGCTTAAAAAGTACGATGTCTTGAATAACCCATAACGATACATTAAAATTATGAAATATCACATAAATTAACATTTAGTATCTACAATCCATTGTATCCATATCCAACAATCACTTACCGATTTGATTACAATAATTTGTAAAAGTACATGACGATGATGATGTTGTTGTTGGATAAGAAGACGAGTTGACATCTAATTGATCATATTGATTATTTATTTGTATTTGATCTCCATAATAATATTTTCTTATTTCATTTATATCATTAATATTATTATTATGATAATCATTGATATTACTATTATGTGTAATAGATGTTACATAATTCATATTTGTTGTTATTGTTGTTCTATTTAATGAAGATAATTGATTTGATAATGATGGAGAATTTGTAAACGTTGAATAATTGAAATAATCTACTGAAGTATTAATAGAAGGAATATTAGTTAATGAAGAAGAAGTTAATAATTGTTGTTTCTTAGATTCAGTATCATTATCATCATTATTATTAACATCATAGGTAGCAATGACAGCATCTAATTCATCTATTGAACAACGAATTTCACTTCTATTTAACAAGGAAAACACAAATACAATATAAAAAGTAACATATATACAAGTTAATTAAGTGTTGTTTTATTTTGAAGAGAGATTAACATAAAACAAGCCCCCAAATGCCTTGGTACGGCCGAGAGTGTGGAGAGTTCGCTCTCCTTCTCGAAATGCTCTCTCATGGCCACGCGTATATAGCCTCTGGTAGGGAACTCCTAGTTATTGCCTTCTCTCAGTCGGGGTGTTGTTTACGAAACTGAGAGAACGAGAAGCCACTGTCCGGCGCTTTAACCGGATCACAAATCAATGGTGCACATGGGCTCAAGTATCCTGAGGGAACAAATGGCGTATGAACCAATTGTTTGTCACCGGCTACCATGGGACTGCATCTCCTTACGATGCTCCACTGCCTTGTGGGTTAGACCTTTAGGTCAAAGGCTCGGGGTGTGGCTCCCTAAGATAACCACCATCTTCGGTCTGCGCACCCGGGCAGTAACGCAGCCCACACACATATCAAATGAGATCTGTGTGGCGCATATGTTTTTGGTGCTTCCTTATACCAATATCTGTGTTAAAATAAATAAATATATAAATAATAACATAAAACATAATGATACGTGAAATTTCTCTATAAAAAAGTCCTTGCTTTGAATAAACATTCTTCATGGTAAAATAAGATTTACTACTATTTTTATACAACTCCGCCTAGAGTAACTCTTAGGCTACTACTACAGGTCTCAAGCTTGGATAAACGAGGAAGGTTGGGCATGAGATTAGTGACTCTATCCCGTAGAAAGTTAACTCACTAAAAAAAACGCTAACCAGAAAAAAATAATTTAAACCATTTAATGAATTGGTGATGAACAAAATCTTGGAGTGAAGATAAAAAATCCTTTATGATTTTGCCATTTATCATCATCTATAGTGAGGAGGAAATGTTTGGATGACTAATAAACAACTACATTTTTCAAAACTTAACATGACAACTCTATACGCAACCAACTAGTTATCACTGTAGATAATAAGACAGAGTACAAGTAGGAAATCACCTGATGAGATTGTAAATCTGCATAGACTAAGACAGTCAAGACATGTTTTATAAATCAGCCCTTACTAACTACACTGAAGCTTAATGGTAACTAAAGTGAGAGTGGGTAACCGGGCAAAAACTCTTTATTACACACCGGTCACTATACTATGCAACACTTTGTTTCCTTTCAACATTTTCTCCCATATTAGTTGCTCAACTCAACTTTGTATCACAATAGCTTACAACAATATGTATGGATCATAGTCAGTTACACAATATCATGCATGTTAACTAAGTCCCCAAATACCCTAGTATGGCTGAGAGTGAGCAGAGTCAGCTTTCTTTCTCCAAAACCTCTCACATGACTACGTGTATACAGAAACTGTCACGAAAGTCCTACTAACTCCATTCTCACATTGGGGGTGTTGTTTAAGAAATCAACAACACGAAAAGTGAATATCTATCTCCCTAACCGGCTTGGTGGATATAGAAGGTTCACCTAGAAGAGTACACATGTACACATGTTCTACAGGATCCAGTTTACGGTCTACCATGAAACTGTATCTCCTAACTTCTCTCCACTGCCTTATGGTTTAGACCTCCAGGTTAAAGGCTCGGAGAGTGACCCTCAAAGAAAACAACCTGACTCGTTTTGGGAGTCCGAGTAGTATTCCAGCCCTCACACAAATTGAATGACGAAGTGTGGTACATATATATTTGGTGCCTCCTTGTATCAATGTTTGTGTTTAAATAAATAAATGTCAAATAATACTAATTTAAAACATGGATGAGAAACTTGAGCACACTAAACTACAACTTGAAGTAAGTAGGATTAGTATTAATAGTACTCATATTCAACAGAATGCTTCATATAAATTCGGTAAAAAGAAATGAACAATTCCGATTATTAATAATAACAAAAATTTCAATTACACCTCAATAACATTGTACATCATTTGTGCATTGGATGACAAGATACAACGAGAAATTACCAGGATATTTTTATATTAATGATTAAATATGCCTATAACTTTGTTTACAGACGACACCTAAAGCTTGGGAAAACCAATGACGTTATCCAGCTATTTAAATCATGACAGACAGAGGTAGTAGTTTAAACTGTTGCATCATAGTTCAACCATATATTCATAACCATACAAATCCACCAAAAGATTTTTCGCAATATATTGTTTATATAACTCTGGGAAGCATAAACAAGGCAATAAAGTAGTGTAAAACATACCAAAGTGTTATCACATAATGATTTATAAATGAAACATTTATCGTTTATACAAACGAACTAAAACAAATTGATAATTACTACAGACAACAATAAAGAGTTCAATAAAACTTTAACCTTTATTCTAAAAATTACATTGGTATTCTTAGTAAAACAACAAATGAAGCACAATCTGACATGGTTAACAACAAGAAACTTAACTCACTTTCAAATAGATACAAGTACTATTCTTTAAAAAAATATAAAGATTTCATCATCACTATCATGATTGTCATCACCAATGAATTTATATCTATTACTTATATTTATATACGAAAAATGAAACAAATACAAAGTGGATAATAGTCTCTAACTGTATTAATGTGTATATATCTCTGTGTGTGTGTGTGTGTGGAAATAACTTCCAAAGTAACCAAATAAAAAAAATGGTAAGATTCAAGAGAAACAACACAAGTAGACATAATAACAAATGATTCACAATGGTTTCTGTTATTTAATATTATTTAAACCTGGAATTATTCTGTCTTTATTCTTTTATGTTATATTGTACACCATCAATTGTTTATTTTTCTAGTTGATTATTATAACACAATGAAACAAATGAATAGATTAACAAAATTAAACAATCATAACTATTTGTTTCCATAAATTAGGACATAACTGTAAATGATTTCACTAAAAGACTATTGTTTGTTTTGTTTTGTTTTGTTTTTTGTTGGATAGAAATTAACATTTTTACTTAAAAAACAATCTAAGATTAGGGAAGGATTATCATAATCACTATGAATGTTGATTCACTATAGATAATAGAGTAAAGGAAACAATAAAAAAGTTATAATACAGTAAATATTTAGATGTGTTTGTACTAACTGAATTGAATATATATGACGAGTTGACTTTGTATTTCTAGACAAAAAGATGTATTGTGATATTTATCTGAATTTAAGCTACTTATATATGAATTTGGATATAGATTTTAAGTTAGCTCTTCTAATGAATAAATCTAAATTGGTAATGAAATATAGATGTGTTAGTTTAAACTATTACCGGGGAAGTCTTACTCACTGCCTTCTTGTGACGGGGGTATTGTTTACAAATGGAGAGAACGAAAAGCCACTGTTGGGCACTTTAACCGGGTTAGTGGATATGAAGAATCCGTTTAGGGGAGTTGGAAAACCTTGATTCCAAACTAATGGTACACATGGACTCCAGGATCCTGAAAGAACAAAGAGAGTATGAACTTAATGTTGGTCACCGACTACCATAGGACTGCATCTAGATTCTTGAACTTATCCAAATCAAGTGAAGTTGAAGATGAAACCCAGTATGTAAAGACTGACTAACTCTACTACAAACAATACTCCTGGTGTTTACAGTTTTTTGGCTTACGACTTTTGAATTATATTTGTTTACTATACATAAATGTTAATTAAAGCGGGCCACTGTAATTCAAATATGAGTGGATGCTGTGTGTCCATTCAGAATAAATTTAACTAAGCGTGAGGCAATACTTAAAATTCCCAATGAACTACTAGACTACTAGTATTCACTGTTGAATGGCTTATTTTAATTGATTTATGTTAATGCAGTCAAATTCTAAGAAGTAAAAATATTCTTGTCAGACGTCATGACAAATTGTACAAATTTATCTAAACGCGTTCTCTAGTGATTTTATCCCCAAGTCGGACGACTCATCACTAAATATGAAGCATCATTTAGGTGCACCAACTCACACAATAAGATATGTGTAACACCATGGATCGAGTAGTTAGAATTTAGATTGCTAAAAACTCTGAAAAATATCCAAAGAGATGTCTGTAAGGTCTTAAACGATCTTAAATGAGAATCCTTGAATCTTAACATTAGCATTTGAGAACACCCCATATTGGTGAAATTACACACTGCGAACTAGAAACACAAAATAATGGCAATTTTATTTCACTTCGACTGAATATACGGAAGCAAAAACCAAGAAACAATCAATATCGTTTCTATCCCTATCCTAACTACTGACCAGTTAATGGCTTGACAGACGAAAATATTTGAAAATTGAAAGACAATGAAAAAGAAGAAACATGAAAAAAATAGTTTGCCTCACCAAAGGACGAACAAAACTAAGTACTGGTGAAATAACTGTTGAAAACTCAGTAATTTCATACATTTCATATACTAGACCTATACTCGTGAACACGAACAACAATACTTTACAGGTTTGTTCATGAAGGTACTAGATGTTTTGGGTTTGTATCTCAATTTTCATCATTTATAAGTCAAGCATAAAAATACTGACAACCAAACAATAACTATTTGGATAACTCAGTTACGAAGGTCTGCGGAAGGCTAACGTTGTCTCAGGTTCTATGACTCAGTAAAATGAACATGAATAGGAAGAAATCCATCATTTAAATAAATACACCCTTCAATAATAGTAATGTTGTGATCTACCTCTTTGATACTGTGAATAAATAAAGTATTCCTAATATTCGCTGCAAGGGATAACATGAACCCATTAGTATCTGAAAACGGATTTTTATTTCATACGGATTACGTAAATTGGGGTGAAAAACAAACAATGAAGCACACTTTTAGTGATATTTTAAACCCACAGCGACAAAAAGGGGAAATGTTGATCTATATCTCCACGGCAGGCGTAAAAGGAAACTTCTCGACGAGTTCCTCTTTCATGCCCCACGTGTTATCTTAGCGAATGTCCACTTTGATTCCCCTTATTTAGCTTGAGCTACTGTTTTAAAAGAATCTATAGTTCTTAACAGAGGCAATTTGACAGTATCTCAATATTTTGGTTGATTAATAACTAAGAGCACATATGTTTGCAATACGCTTACAGTAATGTCTGCTGACGGAATTTTACAAGTCTATGATATATGGGATACTCGCCAAGAATTTCGCCAAGATATTGAGCACGAGTCCTCTATTGTCGCGAGAATAGACGATAAGGTCACTGCTAAAAATAGAACATTAGGATTAGGAAAATAATACACTAAAATGTCGCAGGTAATAAAAAACTAGATGTGAAGTTTTAAACCTTACCCAAAGGATTTAAGGGAAGGACGAGGAGAATGATCTTGATGATTCTTACTTAGAGTGGTACTAGGTAGATTAAGCGAGAGTAAACCAAAACCAGATTCCTCTCCAAGAACTAAATGGTTACTGTCGCAGGAAATTTCCGACCGTATCATTCCCTTTTTTAGACCTTGGCGTAGACAACACACTAGCGAAAGTTCATTATCCTTAAGTTTGACCTTCAAATATCAGAGATCGCGCCTGAACAGAACAGTATTTTTCACAATTCAAACGGTTTAACTTTAGATTATCTGATTGTTAGTTCCGTCCAATCTATATACGGAAATCTGGAAAGTTTTGAATATTTATCGAACTGAATAACAAATTATTCTATACACAAACCTCAAAAGTGAGGAATATTTGTTGGCCGAAGAATGTAAATGGGATGCGAAAACTACTGTTGAAAAAGTTAGATAAAAGTCATTTTTCAACTGCATAACTTCCAACGGAGTATGTGGTGAATAGAATATCGCTACTTTTCACCGTTATCATGTAGCATTGAACAGAAATGGATTTCTAATATCCTAGTCAAGTTGTAGTGACCTACTTTATCAAGAGAACGCGAATGGTTTAATGGAAACAATTATTATTATAACCAATTTTACCAGTGGTTGTTTTACTGTACTTGGTTGTTTGACTTTACTAAAGACATTCTCCCTTCCGTTGACTGTGACGTTTGCTCAGTGATTCCTCTTGTACTCTTTTAGCACGATCTTGGTATTCTTTTGATACCACGAGATCGCCAACAAAAACATCTCGACCACAGTCATCAACCGCCTTCTGATATTTAGCCTACGAGGGATCTTATCGGTTAACTTGCACGTAGTCATCCTGTAATGGTGATCATAATCAACCATGACTCAACGCCGCACAACAACAATTGGTGAACGCAAAAAATACGAACACTTTTCAATTGAAGCTAAATCTTTCGAAGAAGCCAAATGCGGTGAGTCTGTTACATTTTATATTGATATTTTTCAATATATAATATTCTGGAAACAACCTGAGGTGGCGGATAACGATAAGAATAGTAATAATATAATAGACTCCGATGTACGCGTACCAAATCTTAGGCGTCTTTTATTCGCGTGATGATATATTTCAGGCTTTATTCGAGAAATTCCCCAAATTAGCTAAACCACTCGAGGAGATTTCATCGGTGACCAATCACGTGGTACACCACATGATCACCTGCGGCCCCCCAGTCACGGCAAGACCGCGCCGACTAGTGCTTAGCTTTCGCTAAGCGTGAGTTTGACAATTTAGTAGCTACTGGTAATATTCGTCCTTATCACAGTCCCTGGGCCTCACCTCTTCATATGGTGCGCAAAAATGATGGGGTTAGCTGGAGACCATGCGGCGACTAACGGGCATTAAACGTAGTTACATGCTTCGATAGCTATCCCATCCCCCACATACACGACATCACGGCATCGCTCAAGGGCACAACTATCTTTTCTAAGATCGATCTGGTACGAGCGTATCATCAGATCCCAGTCGCTCTTGAAGGTATTGAGAAAATCGCTATCACGAATGCCATTTGGATTACGGAATGCTGCTCATTATTTCCAAAGGTTTATCAATAGCGTAGAACGAGACTTAGATTTTGTTCACTTCTGTATTGATGACCTGCTAATCGCATCATCAAACGTAGATGAACATTATCAACATCTTACACTCTTATTCCAACGCCTTTTGAATAATGGAATAGTAGTCAACCCGGACAAGTGTGAACTTGGCAAATCAGAAATATTGTTCTTAGGTCACATTATAAGGCAAGGGGGTATTTTTACCTTACAAGGACAAAGAACATGCAATAAGTGAGTACAATGTGCCGTCCACACTCGAGGAACTGAAGGCATTTCTTGGTTTGCTTAACTTCTATCGAAGTTTCATCCCACACGCGCCAGAGAGGTTACGACCATTAACCGATTTACTTCGCGGTAATCCACGCAAATTAGAATTGAACGATGCAGCACGTACTGCATTATCAGAGATCAAAACGGCTCTGGCTCAAGTCAAGCTTCTCGCTCATCCTTACCCATCAGCCACGCATCGCATAGAGGTTAATGCATTGGATTCCGCTAAAGGAGCCGTTATGCAACAAAACATCTCTGGCAGTTCGCAACCTCTCGAATTTTTCTCACGACGCCCTACTCTCACGGAGACGAGATATAGTGCTTTTGATTGAGGACTGCCAGCAGCTTACTGTGCCATAAAAGATTTCCGACACGCATTAGAAGGTGGAAATTTTATTTTATTCACCGACCACAAGTTTTTAACGTATGCTGTGCATACCACGTCTGACCGCTACTCAACACGAGAATGTAGATATTTGAACTATATCTCTCAGTCCACGACGGACCTTCGTCACATTAAGGCGAGTCGAAATATGTTGCTGATATTCTGTCACGTATCCAAGTGAATGCAGTTACTTTACCGGTGCTCTATCTTTCTGCTATAGCTGCCGCCCTAGCAAATGATCCCTTTTGTACAGAAG